AATAAAATAAAATAAAATAAAATAAAATAAAATAAAATAAAATAAAATAAAATAAAATAAAATAAAATAAAATAAAATAAAATAAAATAAAATAATAATTTAATAATTTAATAAATAAAGTATAAGCTTTATAAGTTATTTATTAATTAAAGTAATATTTTAATTTAATATTATTATAAAAATTAATAATAAAATATAATAAAAGAAAAAATTAAACTTATTAAAATCTTTAAGAATTAAAGGATTTAAAAGAAAAAAATATTATTATAAATTAATAATTAATGAAATTATTTTTAAAAATCAATAACTTTAAAATAATTATAAATTTAATTAAAAATTATTAAATATTTTTTATATATTTAATAATTTATTTTAAATTTATTAATTATTAATTTATGTTTTATATTTAATTAATATAAAAAAAACTTTAAGCTTTTTTAATAAATATTTAATTTATATTATTATTATTTATTTAAAAATTAAAATTTATTAATATTATATTTTAATAAATTTAAATGTAAATTTATTATATTAATTTATATATTATTTATTTTCAACTTTATATATATATTTATTAATAACTTTAAATAAATAAAAGTATTTTTTATATAATATTATAATATAAACATTTTTACCTTTAAAATTATCTTTATAATTATTTTTAAATACCCCTTTAACGCGTTAAGGTAGTAACTTAGGTTAGCAAGGTATACGTACCTCCATAGGTACCTAACTTTGGAGGTACAGGAAAAGGTACCTATTAAAAGCGGAGATTCAAGCTCAAACTAAAGGGATTGACGTGCATATGTAGCTCTCGACATGTTTCTCCCTGGAAGCTAGCTTAGGTACCTAGGTACCTAATCGGATCTTAGCAAAAATATTAACCACTACCCAATTAAAACTTCATTTTTTTTCTAGAATGGGCAAAATGGTGATCGCTAATTGTTACCTACAATATTCGCTAACCTATCTACAGTTAGGCAGTCCGGTTTGGAAAACCTCCGTCTGCTGGATATACAACGGTAAATAATCTTGCGTGGTGAAGTTCGCATCAATGTAGTAAGACACATGGCTAGAGCTATAGTTGGAGCCGAGGATAGCAAGAAGATCACTCTCGATACTAGATACACAACACAAGTCAGCAATGACGCCTCCGAATGAAAACCTTTCAACCTTTCATTCACTTTGCATATATTGAAAACTTACAAGTCAACAAACACAACGTCGACAACTTCTGCCGGCTGGCTATCGTTGAATCCGGCAACGGCTTGGAAGAAATCGGGAATTTCATAGTGTGGAATTTCGGAATGGGCAGTGTCGTCACCGTCGGTTCCAAAGTCGTCCTTTGTCGTATATCCCGCGGTTAAGTCGATGACCTGACGCCTTGAAATACGAGCGTGAGCCTGGGCGTAAGCGTGAGCCTGAGGCTCGAGCTTCTCTTCACGTCCAAGTTCCGTAAAGTGGACAGGGGGGAAGGGGTCGACACAAATGTCGCGTTCAATAGGAACGACGCCAACGTTGCGCTTCCGACTGGCCCCGGCATTGTTGAGCAATTCGGTCAAGTTTTTCGCGATGGCGTAAGGCACTCCTGCTATGTACAAGAAAATATCGCGAAATGGAGAGACGATGAATTGGTCGTCGTAAGTGAAAGGACCCTTATACATGTCGAACCGAACACTTCCCGTGTTGGCTATGATATATCGCGGTATATCTGTACGCGATTCGTTCACGACACTTACGGCTAACGCATCCGAGAGGAGAGGAAAGATGCTGCCACTGCCGTTGAAAGGCGCGCACGTCAGACAATAATCCTAATCAGATAAGTGTTATATCAGTCGACGTGCGCATAATATATAAATATATCCCTACGCGTGGGCGAAGCCACCGGTTTCAAGTCCGCACCCGGCGAGGACAATCAATTCAAGGGATTCGATGTAAAATGACAGAGATCAGTGTTGACGAACCTGAGGAACGCATCCGTACACGTCTGTAAGGTTAAGCTGCTTCCTGTCTTTCGTAATATCCGCCGTGACGGCCAGGCCGCTATGATAGTCGAAGCTTTTATTATGTCGCGTCGCAGCGTGGTACTCGAAAGTTCTGCGGTTCCAATCGAGATAGCGACGAGAGTATACGAATGGAGAAGTGGAATTCTTTATTGCTTTCCGAGTTGGATTAGGAACACCAATAGGACTGGGAAAGCTACCAGAATAGCCACTGTTTTTATTGTCGAACCCCGACATCGAGAGCCAACCGAGAGTTTCACAGTATCGGCCTAAGAGATTTATAAGATTCTCGTTCGTCGAGAATATGCGTTGGTTTCACCTACCCGACTCGAGCGCTGTGCTACTACCATCGAGAACAGCAAAATCTCGAATATGGCTATGGCCTCCTATATCACTGTTAACTACGTGGCCAATCTACCTCCCCTACCTCCGCTTGGATATGCTTGGATATAATACAAACCAATAAACTGGACAGGAGTGTCCGGGTGCACCGCACGAATCGCGTCCAAGACGATAGGGAAAGTGCTCGCCTTATCCGTCGGCCTGGCAGGGTTATGGCCTAGAACGACGAAGATGTCCACGGGCTCGGGATAATTGATGGCATCCAAAAACCATTTTTGCGTAACCATGGTCTTCGCAGGGATGACTTTAGAGACATTTGTGTTACTAGTAAAGTCAAATAACACGCCGAAAGCCATGATCCTAAGTCCATGCTTGGTTGTGAAGTATCGGTGCGTGTTGCCGATATACTGCCATTCCTTCGTCTGCCTGTTGAGTATTTGGACGTTTGATGTGAGATACTTCTCGCCCCAGTACGCCGATATCTCATCCAGAGCCTGGTAGGCGACTTCGGCCAGATACAATTCGTGGTTGCCAATAGCCAATAAGTCGTATTGGACCTTGTCGAAGACCTTTATCGAAACCTCGCCGTCCGGTGATGTAGCGTCGCTTAACCCGGCCCCATCGTGCAAATCCCCTGAGCATTCATTATATGAGCATAGCATAACTTTCAAGGCGTTAGGTTTAACTGACCAGTATCTACTAGAAGCAGATCCACGCCCATTTTACCGGCTTGGTGTTTGAAATGAGTCGAGAAGGAGACGAAGTCACCCCAATCAGCGCCATAATTAGCTTCCTTAAGGTGACCCTACCAAAAAAGAAGAAAGAAAAGTATTAGCCACTATTAAGGCAATCATGGGATCGGAATGGTGATTGTGCTTAGATCCTATAACTCTGTCGTATATATACCTCTAGCCATCCATGAGTGTCGGTCTTATGCCTCAAACATCAGCAATGCTGTCTTATAAAATTACCCGACGACGCAAAACACTCACAGTATGCAAAAAGTTCAGTTGACCCCACTGCAACCTCTCAAGTTAGTATATTTTATTTATCTTCTTATTCATAATTGTTTCTATAATAAACGTATAACTTGACCTCTAGAGCTCTCGTAGGTCCGTAGGTAGCATTAATAGCACCGGGCTGCATACGCTTCACGTGTCGGACGTGCTCGACGTGATCCACTGAACCCGAACAACCGGAGCATGCCGAAGCAATACGGGCTAGGTTTAGGGCTCCAAGTACAGTAGCCGAGTTGACGGGGCGCATCTTGACGGAGGTGAAACTATTAGAGGATGTCAAGTCTTTGTTGGCGGTTAAAACCAGACAGCCAAGCAAAACTTCGAGCCGCTCGGTTCTCAAAAGAAACGGGACAAGAGAATTTAAGTACAATTGGATGACGTTTGCCATGCATACGAAGATAAGGGCAATACAGGCATATACCTTGCACTAGGAGTGATAGAAATACGGCCTTCCTAATAGGGCAGGCGGCTAACTGATCATTGACTGCGCTTATATATACATAGTATGCCACTAATCAACCCCCCAGCTCCAACTCCAGCCCCCCCCTCTTTATTAATATTCACAGCTCAACGTTAAATACCTGCTTCGTCACCTCTTCTATATCAGGCCGGGGTGTTCCTGGGCGTGTCCTCTCGCCATCGGCGGGCTCCCCGATTCCCATCTGCCGAACAGCATCACTCGCGTGGAGCGTGCCCGCTATCCTGTGAGATCTCGCCCGGTAAGCGTTGCTAGGAGAGTCGTCCTCGAGGTAGAACTCCAGCCTTTCTGGTCTCTGGTCTAGCCGGAGTCTGCTATTGATATCACGCTCGAGGTTCCTTAGCACTTCGACGGCACGATGTCTGTTTACTGTACCGTGTGTGTAGAGCGATACGACCGTCCACGCTTCAGAGGCACTACTTCCGTAGTTCCCCGCGCCGATGCCGATGCCGTATGCGTAGAATGTTCGGTCTTCTCTACTGATATGCTCTTCTAAAAGATGATTGAGATCGTACATTGCTGGTAATATTTGTCGAAGAATTGACTGGTTCAAGTAAATGAGTTTTGTTTCGTTTTTGGAGATATACGGTTTATATATGTTTTGGTGGTTCGAACTAGAGTTTTGGTACGAGTTATATCAAGAGCAGAATGCTGTGAAGTTGAGAATGGTGGTGCATGTCACATCTCGGTTCCAGTAGCCGGTATAATTAAGCTGATTATAATATATGAATGGTTCACCCTTTGTTTGATTGCTAGGAATATGCCGAGTCAATGCTCCTAACGCTACTGAATACAAAGTTGTTGTTCGGACGATTTACGCTAGAGTGTTTGGCACAAAGAGACGGTTCGAGTTACAGAAAGGCCAACTTTGATTGTCCACCTGTATAGATTCAATGGTGAGTATAAACGCCTCGCAATATAGTTAAGCCTGGCGTATTATACTCCAACGTGAATAGCAGGTTAAGTGTTTGACGTAGACTGTGCTAAAGAGATGCTTTACTAAGGAGGTTTTCTGGGGGGTGAAGATGCGCAAAGTGTATAACTATTACAAACAGTTCAATGTCACTCTGAGAGCAGCCAGGGAGAAGATTGTTTGTAAAAAACGATTAAAGTATAATGAATTCATACGAACGCCTCATGAAAATAAGCCAGTAAAGGTGACAAACCCCAAGATTTATCCTAAAACCCCCCCACGATGTTATATAGCAAACCAATTAGTAACAGTAAATCATGACCCCCCCAAGCCTTACACCGTAAAGTCGCGAAAAATATTCGAGAATATAAACCCAAAGTTTCACTCCGTCGTTTGATATTTCATAAAATCATAAAAGGATGAAGTGGCCGGCTACAAAGATAAGTCCCGTGACGAGGGCGAACGCATTCGTGAATGAAGACGCGCCAGCGGATACAGCATAGGGAGGAGGAATAACGGTGCTGCCGTTGTTACCGGAGCCGGGGCAGCTGGGACCGGCGCAAGGGATGATAGGCTTGGGGTTGAAGCCTGGAGCAGGGCATCCGGGGCCAGAGCATGGAACAGGAACGGGGCCGGGGCCGAAGCTAGGGCACCCAGGACCGTGGCATGGGGGAGCACCAGGGTTACCAGGGCGAGGACATGCGGGACCAAAGCATGGCATGGAACCAAGGCCTTCTGGGCACCCGGGACCAGCACACGGGATTGGGACTGGCTTGGGACCGACGCCGGAGCATGGGCCGGGGACGACTGGCTTGGGATGGGCGGGAACCTTGGTTGGGTAAGCACCTGGGTTGCCCATAGGATAACCAGCTGGCGTAGCAGTGACAGTGGCAGTAACGCCGTTGCCGGTGATGCCGACTGTGGGATACCCGGTGGGCTGGATGCCGGGGCAGGTGATCTCAATGGCAGTAGCAGGGTGACAGACGGGGCAAGACACGGTGGTCACGACGAATCCCGGAGGGATGACAGAAGGGACGTAATCAGAAGGCTTCCCGGTGCAGGTCTCGGTGACGGTGTAAGTAGCCATCCACTGGCCTGTCTCACAGGCAGCGGGCAAGACAGTCTCGTAGACAGTCGTGTAATGAGTTTGGGTGACCGGCGAAAGCATGGTCTTCGTCACTGGAGTCAGGACGGGTGTCAATGCAGTCGAGGTGCAAGACAGGAACTTTGCGGTGTTGGTCGCGTTGAAGTAAGGCATCTTGTAGTAGTTGTTTGTTTGTTCTTGTTTAGATAAGACGAGTGAGTATGGAATAGTTAATGAGAGTTGAAATGAAAGTAGTAATGAGTGACTGTGGGTAAGTAATAAGGAGCGACTGTAATGAGTGAATGAACGAAGGAAGAACTGATGATGCTGTTGATGCTTCTACACCAAAAGGGATTCCGAGAGAGACCGAGGATCTTGTCATTTTTATATGCAAGATGGCCGTAACCAACATGACGGACTTACACGCGCATTGAGTAGACTGAATATTTTGCAAATAGAATCACAACAACGATTTGATTCTTGCTAAGATTAATTTACGCGGCAGAAGAATGGTTTAGGATTACAAGGCATTCCTCTCTAACTCGACTACTAGTCATCGAGTCACGGCTGATGAAAACTTAGCAGATGGGATACGGCAGCATTTGAGACATTCGGCTGAGACTTGCCATGCTCAGGCTCGCGCCCACGCTTGACCAGCTTTCATTTAAACCTCCCACACAAATCAGTCAACAATAACAGGAATTGAGGCGCTTCATTTCTGGGCCGGAGTGCAACAGTGTTTAATGCCTTTCAGCTCATGTTCAATTCAATGATGCTCGTCTACGTCGCGATTGGTATGTTCCCTCGTTTTTTCGACATCTCCCGCACACAGTCCGAGGACGTTCGGGAGACTTCCTAATAAGGAATTTAATCTCCAGAGTGATTCCCGATAATGAGAATGGCAACTCGTCACTGTGAGAAATTCGAAATGACGGTCGTGGCTACTCTGTGAATACTTTTTGATCTAAGGAAGAAAAAGAAGAAAAACGAAAGCAAATTTTCGGACGGCGAAAAATTTATTTATTCGAGTTCGGCCGGTGGGGCAATGGGGCTAGGTACTACCTAACCTAGGTAGGGTACGGTACCTCCTTACCTGCGCTTCCACTTTTAGTGGAATATTCTAGTCAACTAAACGTACTAATACACTACCTAGGTACAATACGGTTTACTTACCTAAGTGTATTCATTGTGGGGTCTTGTCTCGCGCGCCTCATCCTTCAACAATCAAATTACATTCACAATACCTTAGGTAGTTATTTACAATACATAATACATGTCAAAATGCCGGCAGACGATTACGTGACGGCCGCTGGAACTGGCGCACTCAAGCTAAAAGGTGGGAAAATTCAGAAGACGAAGAAAAAGAAGAAAACCAAGACTCCAAACCTCGAGCATTCCCTTACTCCAGGAGAAAGTTCCAACTCCAAGCTTAAGGATGTCGATGATCCTCGGGAACGCGACACCAAAGATGCGGAAGACGGTGATGGTGATGGTGACGTAGTCGAGCACAAAACTGAAGCCGAGCGTCGATACGAAGAAGCTAACAGAAAGAAAGTATGTCCTTATTCAACCCTAGTCACGAACCACAACTTGAAACCACAACTTGGAACTGACCTTAGTTTTCTTATCTAGATGTTAAAGATGCTCGAGGACCCAAAGGTAGCTTCCGAGTTTCGAAAGACCCATAAAGAGAGAGTTGAAGGCTTAAACACATACCTCTCCAAGTTGAGCGAACACCACGATATGCCTAAGATTGGCCCAGGATAAGCTACCTTCCTTGGAGCTCGTCTGACCTGAGAAATTACCGACCTAACCTAATAATAATAAACCCCCGTCGAGTCGAGTCTCACGTCTCATGATGATCATGATGATTATGATCATCATCAATCTGCCCAGTACCTAATTATTCACGGAATGGCTTTACGAAATGACTGCTACAATTATTGTATAGAATATCTTTTGTTGTTGTATACGAGTGGATTTTCAGGGGTCCTCAACTTTGACATTCTGTATACATAGTACCATAATACATGTAAATGGCTTGTCCCGAACGAAGATACATAAAATTCGTGAATTAATTAATTACTCCGCAGATAATCTCGTCATATTCGTTAATAAACTTGACAGACTTGACCCTGCGAGCTCTGAGCCGACCCTTTTTTCTATATACCCGAAGTGTTTTATCTTCCTTCACTCCCAGTTCTAAATGAATGTGGATGCCGTCAAGTTTCCGCGTATGCAAGTGCCGGCGCCGATGATTAAGAAAAAACGATTCGCTCTGATAATGCTGCTGCTACGTGCTAACGCTAAACTTCAAGACTGGAAAGAAAGACGATTCGAATTGTGAGAGCTTAGGCGAGGAGAGCTCCACCGACAACGACACCGATGATGACCTCCACTACTGGCCTTCTGGCAGGCAGCACAGCAGGGCCAGATTGCAGGCTTCCCTCGGCTTCTGAGGTCTGGCTTGCTTCTTCCGGTGCCCCCGGAGTCACCACCTCAACGGATGTGATCGTTGTCTACAGGGTTTGACTAGTTAGCCACGTTCTCTCCCCTTGCTAAGATAGCTATAAATCTGCTTGAAACCTAAGATGTAAAACTAGAGCATACGCTGCTGCCGCGTTGCCCGAGGTGTACCATAGGATGAAAACAGGAGGTAGAATGGGTAATGGAGTAGGGCTTACCTTAGCGCCTCCGGGAAGCGTTGATGTGAAAGTGGATGTCCTGTGCGCCCTTGTAGTGGTAGGGGCAGAAGTGGGTGTCGTCGGGGTTGTTGCTGTTGTCAGGGTCGTGCCTAGATAATGGTCAGTTTCATGCAACGTACGTTCAGAGAACATGTCTAGAGATTGGTATGCGTACCGGGAATGCTTGTCGTCTCAGCAGAAGACTCCGAAGTCGAAGTTGTTGTCGAGTCCCTGGTAGTGCTGGTGACTGTAGTAGTTACCGAATTAGACGTAGATGTCGGGGCATCCGAGGTTGACTCTGAAGTAGCGGCTGAAGTCGATTCTGTCGTCGATTCCGAGGTATGCGTGGTGGATTCTACAGAGGTGGAAGTCTCTTGAGTTGTGGTGCTATCACTCGTAGGGGCTGCAGAGCTAGAGCTAGAGCTAGAGCTAGAATCCGCGGTCGCAGAAGTTGCCGTCGTAGTGATTGTCTCGTTGCTAGACTGTCTCTTCGCCATCTGAACGATGGACGTCGCCAATTCCGGGTCATTCGCGTGAACCGCCTCCATGGCCGAGCGGTCTGAGTCGTAGACGCCATGCTTGTAGGTGCCAGGGAAGTAAGCATGGAGAAACTCGTGGATAGCACGGGGAGATGCCGAGTTCAATAGCCGGGAGAAAGTTGAGTCGTCACGGACTACAACGTGCTCTGTCTCGCTTCTGGCTGTCTCCTCGCCAGAAGGCGTTTGGTGTAGGACAGCACTGGCTAAGCCGGCGGTGACCAGGAGGCTGAGGAACAGAGTGAGGAAGTGGCGCGGTGAAGGCATCTTTTCCGTTAGACGATGTCGAATGCAGCGTTTTGTTTGAGTTGGTGTATAAGCTGCCTGTTCACCTAGGAAACCCTTTTCGGAGAGAGTAGAAGTCATATTGAAAAGGGACAATGTTTGTTGATTGGCACGCCCGTTTTTAAGGTAAGCCGACTGGATCAGTTTCCGTAAAGCGAGAGAGCTAATGCAGACTATTGCAGAAAGACGCTTGGACTTGGGCAGTGGGCAGTGGGCGGCAAGATTTCGGGGGCGACGACTAGAATTTGGTAGGGTACTATCGGTACAGATCCAGTAGCTCCACGGGTTTTATTGCATGCTTTGAGAGGCTTGATGCTTATGGCGTTATCGTGGTAGAGCCCCGTATTAGAGTTGCACAAAATAAGAAGAAGCAAAGCTCGCAGAAAGGTCGACGAGAATACACTATGAAAGAACCCAAGGTAAAGGAGACCGAAGCAGCAAAGTATTAGGAGGTAGTTAGTTGGTGTATAGGCTATTCCAAGTACATGACCTAAAACACGAGTTCGTATACACAGTACGCTGCTACCTATGATCCCCTGGATAGCGTGGGCTTTGACGTGTACCGATTTGCCGGATGCTGTGGAAACCAAGAAGGCAAAAACGGGGCCGTTATGATCTTGTTTTCACTCACTGGGAGATGTGTAAATATATACCTAATACCTAATACCATATCTGCATGTATACCTACATATATATAGGATGTATATATATATACATAGTAATATATATCTACCTACTAGGTAGGTATACATAGTAAGACATCATGGCTGATAGCTTGATCCTCAACGATCAGTGGGGTCACACTGTAGCAAAATTCAACCTGACACACTGTATTGTACGATGTAAGGAGGCTTAGTTGAAATTCCCGTACTGTGATCATGGTGACGTAGCTTCTGTTGAGAATACGAGGTTTCTACTGTTTCGTCTAACACCCCACTCTAGGTACTAAAATGTAAGCTCCTCTCTCTCTCTCCTGTTACTCCTGTCATGGGTGGTGAGCTACACCCGTGTAATGGCACCGTCTATTCTGAATCAGGGAAGATCCAGGCGACAAGAAGTAGAATTGCTGTTTCAGAACAAAGAGAGCGAATGAAATTTTGCCTGCTTACATGTAAGTCGCCATGTCGCTGCGAGGTACATGTACCGTGTAGAATGGCAGATTGTGACATTGGGAGTTAATCTGCTATATATAGCACCCTGGCACGATACGCCCCCCCGGATCCTGGCCAACCCAACCGCGAGAATAAACTCAGGAACTTGGTAACTTTGACGATATGGATGTTGATTTATCGGCTTAGCCCTTCTTTTCATGAATCTGATTCGTCCGGCTTGTCTTTTCCAATGCGATATTTGGATAAAATGTCTCAGTCCAAATCTCGTCATGTCTTATCTTTAATGCATACCTAACATACTATGTAGCATTAGCCGCCACTCTGCCAAGTCAACCCCTGCGGCCCTGCGGATTTGGTAGATCAGCGGCTACAGGGCTGAAAACTTGGCACGGTTTGCCGCTCGTAGTAGTAGGGGTTGGCTGGTTGGATGGTGATATATGTTATATATGACCTTGACTATAATAAAAAGTGGCAGCTACCATGAGTATAAAAGATATATATATAATCGATTAACTCGCGATCAAAACTACAAACAACCTTTTTACATAAGTAGTTATAATTATCCTATGCGACAAATGTACTTTGTCAAGATCTGGTAGAAAGAGCTGTTGTTTGCATTTACCAATAATGTCGTTAGGCGGGATTATTTGATGTATTTGGGTTTCACCAGCCACATAACATCACGTGTAAACGCACGACCTGGGCAAGTACATAGCACCTAAGTAACTCGGTTTAGGTAACTCCCAAAGGTTGTCAGGATTAGGTAAAATTTCAAAGATCTTTAAAAGTTGTTTTTTTTTTTAAGTACGTAACACCGACCCCTAATCGTACATTTTCACAACTTTATCCCCACGATACGATCATTGTTCTTGCTTAGCTGGGACTGAATGAATCACCTCCACGTTGCGCGCCTAAGGTGTGCCTGTCAACTAATTGGGTCTCGATAATGCCTGAGCACCTCGACCCGCCTTCACAAGATGCTTTGAGACTTCTCTCACGATCTCCACATCCCTACTATCGCCAACACTCCGAGCTACTTGAGCCATCCGACCGCTTGACCTATGCAACCTCAAAAGGAGACGCAAAATCCGTCCCGCCCGGCGTTGAGAGAGAGGTTACACCGAGTAGCGATAGTGGCACCGAGGCTGACGATGAACACTTCCTCAAAGGCTTGCCGGCGCCTAAAAGGTTTCGGAAGGGATTACGAGGACGCAATGAAGCCCTATCGGGTAGCTCGACCCCGATACCCTCGCCTGCCGTCCTTGAGGAAGAAGGAAGACAAATGTCCTATAATATGAAGAAAGATGACATAATTGGCAAAAGACTCAAAAGTCCCGCCGACAAGGCGCGGAGGAGGAAGGAGATTGTACGGCGCTCTATCGAATTGCTACTCATCGGATTCCTAGGTGTTGTGGTTTGCACAAATACTCACGTCCAATCCGTACTTCACAGATGGGATCGAGGTGTGCCTTACCCCCATTCCCTTCTATGCAGCTGGCTTGCTTGTTAGAAAGATGCTAATATAAATCTAGAACTATATGTCTGGATAGGGGTATCACTCGTTCTGGTGTTACTTTATCCCTTGCGACTCGTGGTATGGGCTTATTGGTATCGGACGCCCTCAAGGAAAATCCCGATATCTATACCACCATCTTTCGACCCTGCACCGTTATTATACCCGTCAGCTATCACCATCTTCGTCTCATTACTTCTTGCCGCTGATCATGAGGCTATAATGCTGCCTAGCATTATCCTTGCTATATGCTCTTTACCACCGGCCGCCCTTCCCACCTTGTCCAGTGCCGGTCCAGGGTGCGACTCTCTGCACTGGGTGCTCTCATGCGCACCCCTACTCTTAAAGCGGGCTTCTTGGGGACTGCATGGCGCCCAGACGAATGCCGGAGAAATCGAGGTTTCGTTGGCATCTATCTCATTCGAAACTGCGACTTTATTGTATCCATTACATCAAAATCTCTGCTCGGTCTTACTTACCCTAACTACGACTAGTCTTCTGACAGCTGAACTACAATTGTTATCGATCTCGCTCATCGATCTTTTATTCCTCGCATCTTCACCACAGGCCGTGATCCTAAAGTCACTACTCTGGGTAGGAGGCCTTGATATTCTTGTTCTGTGTGGTCAAACCATCAGATGGGGGATCTCTTTGGCTCGTGTACCAAAGTGGCGTTTTAAAAGGACCCCTAACTCCTCTAAACCAGCGCCTTCTTTCTTTTCAAGCATCATGCCGTGGAGGAGAGTAAGACACGATTTGTTTCATGCCCCAGTAGATAGCTCTTCCTGCAGTTCCTGCGAAGCATTTGACGGCCCGGAAGACAGCGACGACCCAGTATCTACTGCAATTAGAGGATCTAGTCGCGCCAAAACCATGCTTGATGGCGTTGGTTCTGCGGGGGTCGAGGAAAATTTACCCCCTACTATCAACATGGGTCAGAAGTTCCTGCCCAATTCTGTAGAAGTGAAGTCTGGATCGACGCCGCTTCGTAGACACACCCTAACTGGCGTAGACAATCTACCGCGCAAATCTCATACACATACGCCGTCCGGTCGTAGGAAGCTCAATGCCTCTCGCTCCGTCCGTGCTTTCTTCTTGCTCACGCAGAAACAGGCTACAACGCGAAAGTGGATTTATGCTGCATATGTGTATATATGCATTATAGGTGCTATATTTCTTCCTCTTCCATTTGTCGGTGTCAAATCTGTCATTTCAGACGACGCACTTCGCGGTCACGAGCCTGTGGGATGGGCTTTGGGCTATTTGTTCGGAGATCTACCTCAATTTAGGTGGGAAGTTGTCAGCCGGAATTTAGAGCGATGGGTATGCCTTCCCCCAAGGCCATCTGGCGAACTTGAGCACCCCGTTTCGTTGGGTTGGATCAACGATCTCCGTCAGCTATATTTTGGCCAAGCCAATACACGCCTCTTATTAAGCGCGTATTTTATAAGTGTCATTGCAATTGGATTGATAGTGGTATTTCGGCTATCACCTATATATGAGGTAGATACACGGCGGAAGGTTTTCCATTTCATGATGGTTGCTATGTTCCTGCCGGCTACTTACACAGATCCAACGTTTGCAGCTCTGGCACTGTCTGTCGTCCTCGCTCTTTTCCTCCTGCTCGACCTCCTTCGCGCGAGCCAACTTCCGCCACTCTCGAAACCGCTAGCTTCTTTCCTAGCTCCGTACGTCGACGGGCGAGATCTTAGAGGCCCAGTTGTTATCTCGCACATATTCCTTCTTATCGGTTGTGCAATTCCACTGTGGCTCTCGCTAGGTTCACTCCCGCGGGACGGGGTTGGATGCCTGGACGGCTGGGAGGTGCCCACGAGAGAGGTCAGTATGGTATCGGGTGTCGTGTGCGTAGGGTTAGGCGATGCAGCCGCTTCTCTGATCGGACGACGTTATGGGCAGCGAAAATGGCTGTGGGGTGGTGGTAAGAGTCTTGAGGGAAGCGTTGCCTTTGCCTTTGCCGTCTTCGCGGGACTCGCAGCAGCCCGTTTGTGGCTACGCATCGGTGAATGGCCTCAGGCGAATGGCAACCTGGACACGTGGAGTGTCGCAGCCCAGAAGATGGGTATATGCGCCGCCACGGCTAGTCTCACAGAGGCTGTCCTAACTGGTGGTAACGATAACGTGGTGGTGCCTGTGGTCCTGTGGACATGTGTAAAAGGTTTTGGCATTTAGGTTGCCAGTGGTGGTGAAGGGTAGACGATAAGGGATGAGATGAATGAATGAATGAGAGTTCGGCGTCCGGTCTGAAAAATTCGGCATTTACGAGGCCTCCCAAAATGGGGTTAGAAGGTAACAATCGGCAGGCCTGACTTATAGACCAGATACACCCGCCAGGCTTTGGCTGGCGTTTATTAATGCTGTGACGTAGATATATCGTTGCATAATGAATTAAGAAAAGGCGGAATGAGCTAAGAGCAACCACCGTGATACCTATCGGTTGACAGTGAATGAATTAATTAAGCTATACGGTTTATTGTGGATTAAACGGCATATCCGGGTTCTTTGTGCGCTAGATACCGGTGTTCTAATTACCCCGTGCTCCTTAAGCTGAACCCGGATTCATTCCATAGGCAGTAGTAGGTACTACGTGTGGCCGTGTGCCTACCTACCTAATGTATCTTGTAGCGGACATACGGTGCAATATACTGTGTCATGTACACCTACGTAGTCCAGTCCTAGGCTACGGTATTCATGTGCCAAGAGGGGGTTCAAGAATGGAATATTCCGGAAGATAATATTAGATAGGTGGTGTACAAATCAAATACCAACACAGCTAAAACTTTACATAAAGCTGCTTTATCTCATGCGAGTTGGAAGGCGCAAATTGAAATGATAAAATAAGAATTCATCAGCCTTAATTCTTCGAATAACGATTTTAGAAACCGTCGATCAATAATATTTCACGTCTCTGCGTTTTCGGCGAATTCTAATAAGATTACCTACTATGATAGCACTGCTTACAGCCTACTGCCGCCTTAGCACATGCACCTCACGCTTTAAAGGAAACTTACCTAAAACGTAAACCGTAGGTACCTAAGGTAATTACATAATTCTAGGTTTACATAAGTAATTTACGTACGCTACTAGGTAGGTACTACACTATAGTACACTATAGTACATTATGTACCTAACATTTACGTTTACGTTACGTACTTACAAATCTACCGTGTTCAAGTTGTTCAATTGAGGAAACTTTACTTATTTTTCATCCCACCTAACATCTTAATCTTAACGTATAACTACCTATCATACCTCATACATACGTCTTATACCTGACGTAGCTTCTAAAGAAGGCCAAGCCTTTCTCATTGCTTACCTAGGTACCTAGCTCTAATTCCTTTTCAGATCTATAGCCACATACACACACCTCCCCTAATAATTACAAGGCGTTAGGCAACCTCTCTCATTCGTGTCGCAATTCCTCCACTCTTTGGCCGCAATCGATAAAGAAAGATATTCTTTATTAATCCCCGTACGAAATAACTCCCACATATTCGTACTACACTACCTACACCATTCTCGGCTTCATTCAAGAACCCCACTAGATTTTATCATCAAGAGTCGATGATAGGCGAGCCAACCAAGTCTCACTTGTAGACTTGGGGGGGCGTGCAGGATTAAAGATACGGGAAAGGTACGGGATTGAGAAGACGTCTGTAGCCATGGCATCAAGCTCGTCGGGAAAGCCACCCAGGGTGCTTGCTTGTGTGAGTTGTTTTGTACCACCGAGCCGCTCAATGGTCGCCATCCTTACTCGGTATTTACGTAGGTCCTATGTCAAAATAGAAAGATCAAATGTGACCGCAGAACTCCATGTTCCAACTGCATTAAGGTAAGTTTCGGACGGGGGGGGAAGCCTATGATTCCCTAAAGCTCGAAAGGTCCTGACAGATTGTACCCAGGCCAACGTTGCCTGTACTCCAAGTACTCCCGCCCCTGCACGCAAGAGGCGGAGGCCGAATCAAGACTTGCAGCAGAGGCTCGCCCGGTGCGAAGAGTTGCTGTCCGAGTATGCTACTGCCAAACCGCCCGCTCCTTCATCCGTCGGGTCTCCGAGCCAAGATGATTCTTGGAAACCACTCGGGAAACTGATTGTCGACGATGGCGGCGTCAAATTCATAGATAGTTTCTTATGGGCTACTATCCATAGCGAGGTGAGATCATCCTCTCCCCCCACACCCCTTGTCCCTTTTGTTGCTAGTTCTCCCTATGTCTCCCTGTCTGTCTCTACCTTTGTTTCTACCTTTGTCTTTCTTTCTTTTTTTTTCTCTTCTTAAGGATCCCTGGCTTAACTCCTCTTAATACCACTAGCTCTCGGCGATGCGCGAGATACTCGAGGATGAAGAAACAGTAGACGATCCATGTACTCCTGCCGATTCGCAGACTTCCGATCTCGACGCAGGTCTTATATTATCAGATACTTCTAACACTGATTTAGAAGAGCTACATCCTCAACCAGCTCACGTATTCCGCTTATGGCAGATTTTCATCGAAAGGGTCAACCCATTAACCAAGGTGATCCATGTCCCTACAGTCCAGCCTCTACTTGTCGAAGCGGCAGCAAGTAGAGCAAAGATACCTAAGAATGCCGAGGCTCTATTGTTTTCTATATATCTAATGGCTACCGTGGCTCTAACCGAGGATGAATGTCTAGAAAGATTTGGGTGTACTAAGGACGTCGTTTATACTCGCTTTTCCAAGGGTTGCCGTTCGGCCTTAATGCGTATCGGTATTCTCAGAAACTATGACCTTGTTGTCCTACAGGCCTTAGTGTTGTACTTGGTATACACATGTGCCACCTTCCCTTCAGTTATGCCATGGCTAACAGTACCTCGCCAGTTCTCCCTGCCCGGCCATTACGACCGTCATGCGGCATGGATTTTAAACGGTGTCACGGTAAGGATTGCGCAGAAGATGGGCCTCCATAGGGACGGAGAATTCCTCGGACTCTCGCCGTTCGAGACTGAGATGCGACGACGCATATGGTGGCAAATTATCTTACTTGATGCTATGTACGCGTTGATGTCTGGTTTGGGCCATTCTCTTCTACCGCGCTCCTGGGATACGAAACCGCCTCTAAACTTGAACGACTCGGACCTTTACCCTACCATGACCACTATTCAGCCCAAGGATAGCCCTACAGACATGATATTTCGCCTCATATGTTGCGAGCTAAGTGCAACCATGGTTGACACCCCTGATATTCATACGGTTATTATGCAAAATGAGATGGGCGTGGACAATCCTGAACCTGAAAAGATCGAAAGGGCAACTAGACGCATCGATGAGCTAGATAAGAATTTGATGGAAATCCTAACCAAGTATAGCGATCCCTCGATGGGACCTGTGCATGTGTTAGCAGCCGAGACGGGGCAGATAATGATCGCCAAGCTACGAGAACTCGTCTGCCCGATTAGGAGTCAACCGGAATGGGGCACGGAAATCTTAACACCTCAAGACAACTTATTCAAGCTATCTCTCACAGCGGGCGAGCAAAATTTAAGGATGTACCAAATACCTCAGACGAGAGGCTTTTTTCTCTGGTTTAGTAAGTAGCGATGGATTCTTATGGATGATTATATATACTTTGCTAATACCTATAAGTGATGTCCCATTTTCAAATAGAAGTTTTCATATATATGGTCGGGCAGCTTAGCACTCGCACATCTGGACAATTGGTCGAAAGAGCATGGCGCGTGGTCGAATTGATTTACCAATACCATACAGAATTATTCGATCTCTCGATAAAAGCGCACATGGCGTCCGCTATCTTCACAATCCGTGCTTGGAATGTGCGAGAAAAGGTGCTACGGGATACCGCGTGCTCTCCTCTGGAGACGCCGGACTATATAGCCAGGCTGCTGAGTATCCTTCCACCCGAGGAAGCTAGGCATACGCGCACTAGCGAGGCACCCAGCGCGACGGACTTAAGCGTGAGCCATGCCACACCTGCACAGCCTAGCACAGAGCTTCCGTGGGATCAAATGCTCGGGTTCGTCGATGCCAATTCCATTGATTGGAGCGATATATTTGCAGCTTCGGCGGCACCACAACCGCAACCAAATTACGGCGCCTATTCAACGGTTTTCGGTGGAAACTCGATCAACTGGATGTAGAAATTCCCATCAAATCCATTAGAGGACCCGGATATCATGGCTTACATATCGGCATTCGATTTCTCGTATATTTATTCCAATCATGACAGGATACTCGCTTTAGTGATATAAGGCTTTATCGGAATATAGAACTGGACGAACTTACCGCTATTACGTACCTGACAAATTGGGTGGCATACGCCGGGCGCGTTGACTCTGTCGGATACTGGCGAGTGGATTATAGGATAACTCGGGGATTGTTCCTGACGTCTGTCTGGCTAGCTCAATGGGATATGGCGTTATATTACTATGTAATACTACTCACGATTATAATAGACAAATCCAATCAAGAATAAATGCTAGTAGGGAAAACCATACGCTCAGTTCGACGTGGAATGCGGTATGACAATGACACAACATATGACAACATAAGGTAACTCGTAACCCGTTTGCTCGAGCCCCTTCTAGAAGAATCTTTACAAGACTGGTACTGACATTGCAATGGAAGCCTCAGTTCAAACTGAACCACCTCGTTAACGCATTCCACTATTGACCGACGATACTATGTATATTCTTTAAAACCTATTGTGTTCGAACAAGTGCTCTTTCGAACAGTAGTCGAAAGCTAGGAACAAAGCCTTCTTTTTCGGTACGAGACAATCCATTATAAATATTTTCTACCGCAACGCTTTGCAAGCCGTTTCTATTTTCCTTTTTGCTCGATCCTCGTTTGTATTACCACCGGCTGCCCAAGTTTAGCTCTCTGAGTTGACCTCATAGCGAAAGCAACTCATATCAGGAATACCATCATTAATGAATTTCTAATCATAGCTAACACCCCCCCCTCCCCCTCGTCATGGCTTTAAAAGGCACGCCCCCTCTCCCCAGGATCAACAACAGCAACTGGACCCCCATGTACGTCTTCCTCGGCCTCATCCCCGTAACATTCATCCTCCTCGCCCTCTATTCCATGTGGCGCGATGCGCGCACCCTCGCCCTCGACATCGAGATGGCCGCCCTGCCCTCGCAGCGCGAAGCCGTCGCGGCCTCCGAGCGGCCGGGGGTTCCCTCCCGCCGGGTATCGGCGACCCGTAGGCTCCGGGTGGTGATCACGGGGCCGATGTCGCCAGACGTAAAGCGGCGGGCTGACGACTTCGAAGACGTGTCACTTAAGAGCCAGCCTCTCTAGCACGAATATCATTAACCGTTCCTTTTCATGAGAGGTAATCATATCCGTAAACGCATTCACTCGTTCCCGTAAATCCTATAGGGTGTATGAAACTTCATTTTCCGAGCTTGGGAGGCAAGTTTGCAAGTAGAGGATTCTAGACTACCATATAGGAGAACATTAGGACATTAGAACATTGGAACATTATCGATTATCATTCAGTTTACTTCTCCCAAGAAGTCAGATAAGCCTAGCTAACAAAGACATCTTAGTTTCATATCACTCAGCAAGATCGGGCACAAGTTTCATGCATCTAGGCCGTAATGATTCGCAATAATTGGCCCTTGAGCAGGACGTTCGTTGATTTTTTCATGACACGCCGCGAAGCGTCTGGTATCGATCTTACGCCTAAAATCTGGCCGAAACATCATGTTCTCGTGTTCCAGTATCAATTGCACTTCGCAGAAAAAAGAAAGAGAAAACAATACGCCTTTTCGTGACATGCCTTGCCCATATTCCACGTATTACTCCTAACGCCTTCATATTCCGCAATCTAATGAGGTACCGTTTCTTCCCTGGCCTGAATTGTGAAGAAAAAAACCAGTTTGCATACGAACTCGAAGTCCAATTGGGTATCAACAAAAGTATTGAAGAGTATAGACAATTGAAAGGCAAGTGAACGCTGCTCCGAATCAGCGTTGGGTATTTTGGTAATCCCGCCACGGATAGGCTCCAAACATGGATAATGGTAGGCCGAATAAAATCCTTGGCTTTTTCTTTTAAAGCAAGTGGTGTCGTTGGCGTAAAACAAGGTCGCAATTTAAAACATGCGTATTTCCGATAACATGCGAAGCCTTTCGCTTCTTATATCAAATCCGGCCGGTCAGTGGTTCTGAGGTTGCCAGATACCTGCGCCGAGGGGTTTGCTAATACCAACGCCAATACCAACGGCAATGCCCACTATCAGGAGCCCAATGAGGATCTTTGCAATGATTCTATTTCTCTTGCTCATGCGAGCTATGCACTGGCAAGACCGATTGTTGATTCTCGCCGCCTTCGCCTTCTGCTGCCAATGCTCTTGTCCAGGCCAGACTTGGCAGTCCGATTTTCGCCTAGTCCCGATAGTTGATGTCTTGTTTAGGTGCTCAGAGGATTTGATTGGCATCATGGCTTCTATGTCGGTGTCGAATCCATTTGACGCGGTGGCGGATGGCGTCGATACATTCGAGCCTCTACGCGTCTCTAGGCTCCCCTCGTGGCTAGGGAGTTGGAGTTGTTTGGTAGTAACAGTCAATTGGCCAGACTTAGCCGCCTTCTCTTGTGCGATTGAGGCCATTTCTCCTAATAATAGGTAAATGAGAACTGCGGCGTACAGGTGTCGAATTGAGGAGATATTGATGTGTAGGCGTCGCCGTTTTTGTTTAGAATCGAGCTCGATAAGAGACGAAACAAGGTGTCCCCGAGTTGAGGAACGCGACAGGGAGTATATAAGATCGAGCTGGGGGATAAGTGCTGATAGGAAGAACCGTCAGTCGAGCGCAAGGATTCGGGTATAAGAAGTAGTACTGAGCTCACCGGAAACCACTTAAAGGGTAACCAAAGGAGGCAAGGCCGCAAGGGAACACTTGACCAAGGCCAAGGCCAAGAATCAGATCCAGAATGGACACAATTGGAAGGAGCAAGCTAAAACTCGCTCGGTTTGTTCTTGGGATTGTGCTCGGATTGTGCTCCAAGCTGCATGGATTTTTAAAAGATGGACGTGGAGAAATGAGGTCCGAAGGAGGGTACGAATGGGAAGAAGGGAGTGACTGCTATTCTATGCACCTACGTAGGTATGCATGTACGGATGTATCTGTATCTGTATCGTCCTTCTTGCGCTGGATGTACGAATGTAATGTACGAATGTAATGTCATGTACGTGTTATTCGTGTTAGTCCCCTGATAACTTCCTAACAGCTAAAAATGAAACATTCAAATGGATGATGATTTGCTGCCGACAAGTCGTACGTGATCATGCAAGGAACGAGTGACCCTAAAAAGCCTTCGAGGGGCAAAAGAAAAGAAAAAAAGAATAAATGGCAAAACGAGTAAAGAGTGTAAGACAAAAATATAGTGGTTAGACAAATTGACAAGGTAAAAAAATAAAATAAAAAGGTACGGTTGAGTGAACGAGGTAAATGGAGTTATTGTTCCAGACTTCTGCATTTTTCCAACCTTGCTAAACCTTGTCGCTTAACCTTGTTACCTATTAAACCATGCAGCTATGCCCTGCTATGTCTGCTATGCCTGCTTATACTGCTAACAGCCAGCCATTTACAGCTGATTTACAGCAGCCCATAGCGCGAACCCATGCATCTGATACGTAGTTGCAGGATGCAGGAACCGGGTGGTCATTGGATCAATCAAAAAGGGGGAGTCAGGGGTGCCCGACTAGATAGAGTATATGTAGCACAGGCCCATGAGGGGCTCGACCACTAAAAGAGAACTAAAATCGGAGTCGGTGGCCCCACCACGCTTGCACCCGTCGCAACAGCTTTTCTGATCATCAATGGACATTAGCGTGGTTCTTTTTGCTAGACCCAACAAACCAAATGATCTTGTTTGAAGGATCCTTTTCCTAGCTTCAGATCTCAGGATAAACCCGACAGGCACATGGCAATTTGCGTGTTAAATCAACGGGTAGTTCCGACTTTTCGGTCACGACCAGCAGCAGGCAACGCAATAAATCCTCAAATCGGGCATTGAAGCCGACCAGCTAATTATTCAAAAGGAAAGGGAAAGAGAAAGAAAAAGGTACGAGAATATAATGATCCTTTCCATATTCAGACCCGATACCCCATTTGTTATATACCGTTATATACCAGCTTGTTATCAGCTAAATGCTCATATTAATCACTACCGCTGTCAAAATAATACCTTGCAAGCACTTAACTCAAAAACGTGGCATTCCTGGCCAATATTTGCAAGTCAAATAGGTATGTACATAGTAGAGCATAAAATACAAATGGGGAAGTCAGTATATCTCCCCACTAGCTAATAACGATAGCATCATTGCCCCTGTTAATCATATCCATTTGCAACGTATTTAGGACCCAATCTATCCACTTTAGGTACCTCTTACCTACCTGTACGATTCATACTTGCTACCTTTTTGTTAGGTAGGTACCCACGTATGCAAGCAATTCATTGCGTAACATATGTAGGTACTATCTAACCCCTAAGTCAACATATCTTCATAATAACTACTAGGTATGATTGACGTCCGATATGGCCCTATCGTCATATCGATATTACATATGACATATTAGACGAGGCATTGCCGCATTGGTAGGTAGCAGTCGTATCTCGTGGCTTGACATGGTACTACTGGAACGACACCCGATCGATCTGTGGACACACTCGATACGATCTGCTGACCTTGGTTCCTTGCTATATACGCGTCCCAATTCAAACTCAGTGCGTATGTATATCTTACACTTACACGTCCGTGAGCTCTTTCGAATATTTGCTACCGTTGGTTTACGGACTGTTGTCATGTCCAACATATAACATGTCCAACCTAGGACTCGAGGTGCCTGAATATCTACAGAGCTAGTATATCCAACCGTCATGGTCTAGCATAGGATCGCGAATTATATCTAGGATACCAGATGATGTAGGTTTGGGTATCTCTGCGGTTTATGATTATAGTGCGCCTAATGAGGCTCTGCTGACACCTGATTATGGTATCCTGATATAGGAGGTATTGTGTATCTAATGTAAGTTGTTGACATCTTGCCAACATAATTTCAGAACTAAGAAATTATCAGTATACAGCGCACAGCGTACAAAGGAAAAGGCAGGACCTATATAGGTAAGTAGGTACCGGTAGCTACGACATAATGTAGCATAGGGGCGCTTGTATTTGAGGATGTCAGATTCTTTACATTTTTGTATGCAAGGCAGTTTGCTTCAATGGTGTAGCCGAAACAGCTTGAAGAGCAGGTTGAAAGGAGCTTTTGCATTAGGTAGGTACAAATGGTAAATCGTGGAAATGTACGAATGTATGTACGTACCGACGCATTTCAACGGTCCTGCCTCGACTGGTTGCTTCTGTGCAGCACCTACCCACGAATTTGGGTACTTTTAGGTAGTCATTACCTATAAACAAATGTAAGGTACCTAACGTATTTCACGTATTTCACGTATTCTACATATTATGCAAACGCTGTCAAATGTTCTTGATTTTCCTCTCGGTCTCGTCACAGGCAGTCACTTCAACAACTTTCTTGCCCATCCCACAAATACATCTGATCAACTCATACACACATCCATCATCCATCCATCTTGTTACTACTAGAATCTCGAGCCCAGATTCTAGCATTCTGCTTTTTTTTCATACAATCCTAAAGAAACTTTGACTTGCAAACCTATTCACCATGAGATTCACCACTGTCTTTGCCATTTTTGCCTTTGGCAGCAGCCTAGGCATGGCGGCCGTACTCAACTCGTCTGAGATGGAGGTACCTAGCATTGATCTATCCATGGCACCTTCTGCTCTCGAAAAACGAGATGCCTACACTTGTTACGGCGTAAGTCACAATATTCCTCGACTAATTCACTGCGTCTCATACAGCACATCTAATATAACACATCATAGTCCACCAATACCTCGGTCTCGGATTGCCAGAAGATCATTGACACTATCCGAACCGACGAGCAGCAGCAGTTTGCGCTGTACTCGGGCATCTGCGCTGTCTGGAACCAAGGATCATGCCGAGTCCGCTTCTGTGCCCAGCCCTACGTCAACAGACCTGTCAACAGATCTGCAACCTGGCTGGCAACCTACATAGCCAGTCCCCTGCTGGATGGCTGTGTCGGCAAAGGAAACCTAGGAGTTATAGCAGACCATCCCAACATCAACAGTCACTACGGCACATATCGACTATGGTTGGATTGATTCAGGAATCCTAAGTGTGGAAGCAGTTTACGTTATACGTTATACCCGCTGGGTCTAGGATGGAGTGGAATTTTGAGGACATGATGGAGACGACCTTCTGTTATGTAGCTTGGAGAGAAGCCTAGCAGAGATTAAACTTGATCAGTACGCGCCTGAACAAGTAACTACGTTAGATTAAGTTAGGTACCCATAGCATTTGCTTTTACGCTTTTACGCCTGAAGGTGTCAGTCATGGCAAGCAAGATGATAATGGCCTTGCAGAATAATTATCTGATGGAGAATAACCCTACATAATAAGATTGTATTTCCGCATCTCGGATACACTGGCCGTATTAAAATTTAATGGTAGGTGTACTGTAATGCAAGCTTAGAAGCACAGATGGTCAGTTTGATCAGGCTAAAGAGGTGTTACTCTGCCCCCTTTTCCAATCAAGTTTGGTAGTCACGAGTTGTTATTCAATAGACTCGTCGAACCTTCCAAGTTGCTCACCCTTACACCTAAATCAGCAGACCTTAGGTTAGGTACCTACTAGAGGCAGGCACCCACCAATCGCTGTTTCTATCTTGCAATCTTCCTAGAGCTGCTTACACAAATAGGTCAAATAGGTCAGGTACCTACCTAAAGCAAACATTTCCATCAATTCACCACCAAACGCCTTTAAACCCAACAGTTCGTTTCGAGACCAACGTCTTGATTTCAGCAACCATCAGACTCCATTGCCAACCTCTACATACGGGATATCATATCGATCTGAGATTTTCAACCATGTTTCTCATGCGCATGACCGCCTGGGTCGTCATCCCAGCCAGCTTCCTTAATCTAGCACCCGGTACAGCAGCCGTTTCCATCGAGGGTATGAAACTTCTCTCTTCGGCTTCCTCGTCTGAGCTCATGCAAGACACCGTCCTTCGCGACATGATTGCCGAGTCTATAGTCGGACATGCTAAGCAGCGCCGCGACGCGGTTCACCGCTGCTACGAGCCTGCTTCGGAAGTGGTAAGTTGGCGTATTCCCAGAGCCGGGTTTTCCGAATTATAAAAAAGGTAACTACCTAATGTATAAAAAGGGTATGCTAATATACATGGTATCTAGGGCCCAGTCCCTTCTGTTGACGACTGCCTTGGTGCCATCAAGCAGCTTCGAACCGTGCAAGGTGATATCACGGTCAAATTGGTCGAAGGCTGCTACCATGCCGTGTCCGGTAATTGTACCGCCTCTGTCTGCCCCCAGCGCATCGGCACTTCGACAATCTCTCCTGCGCTCGCCGCTCAGTACATGTCTGACTCCGTGATGGGCGAGTGCATTTCGAAGGGTCATCGTGGCTGGTACCTCGACAGGGGCAATGGAATTGGCGTCTATCTTACTTGAAAAGTTAAGGGAATGTGTGTGAATGAGTGAAGTTGAATTTTTTCGGTTTGGGGTAGTGTCGAGATTGAAAGTCATATGGATTCATAGCAACTTGCAGGTTGAAGTCATGCTAAAGGCCATATTTTAGCACCATCGAAAATAGCACCCAACATAGGTAGCAATCGACGTAGCAATCGACGTAGCAATCGACGATAAACTATGACTATGCTCGTTTGACCCCATGATTCAGTAGTCACTGGCTCTTGGCTTCGTTATACAACCTTCTCGTCATGCAATCCCTTATTGATGCCTACCTAAAGTTACCCCAATACTGAATTCTGGCGGTGTAAGAAACAAACTCGGCCATTTCAGAACAATTCATGTCTTGCACAATGTTTCCTCGAGATACATCGGCGGGTCTTTGGACGGAATATGTCCTCTTGAGAACCCTCTTGAGACCTGTCTGACGCGTGTCTTAATGGAGAGTGATGATACCCCCTAATTTCCGATTAGGTATGATATCGTAACACACACACCGTTTGAAACACGCTCACGAGTACCACAGAAACGGTGCTATGTAAGTATGGCCATCGTCCGCTATGAGCTCCTTGGGGGAATATTGGATCGGGCCGTCTGTCCTCAAAGGGATATATCTCATGGACTTCTGCGTAACAGCTAACATGCTATAAGCCGTACCTCTTTTTAAGTACTTTTTACTATTATTTGGTAATTAATCCCGTTCGTGTTCAAGAGGAAATCGGACGTGATTTCTGTATATGCCGTAGATGTGAAGTTGGAAAGCTGTACCTACAAGTACAGAGGTACATGCTAGAAAAAAAAGGGTAAGTGTGCGGATCTCAAAGCTGCGCGGCTGGGATGATACCTGTACCCACACGTCAGCCTGCATTATGTAGTACAGCCTTACATGATCAATCGCATCCCACCTTAGGTAATCCCACTCGTGAGTCGTGACTCTACTATGGTACCAGGCCAAAGTAAAACCACCCTTTGAAGTACCGCACCAGAAAGCTCTATCAGCCACTACACCATATTAAGATTAGTATGACCGGGGGTTACAAAAGATATATTTAAGATCTAAAAAGAATAAGAATTCCTACCTCTACCATTTATATACCTTATATAAATAAAATATATATTAAAATAATCCTTAAATAAATAAGAATCTAATGCTCTTATCAGATTTTAGTTGATGTGTTTAGATATTAAGATATCTAATGCATTAATATTGATACCTTAAAAGTTATTGCTTAAGCCACATTATAGCGCGCTACTTTTAACAGGGGTTTTACTTACCCATGATACCATAGTACTATGTAAAGAATACGTACCTCCTACTTAACGTCGATACATACAACATCTGCAACTCACTTTACATGTAAATATAATAACAATAACCACAATGGTATGTAGTTACTCATTTCTTTTTCCAACAGCCAACCATCCATATCTACCTATATATAAACTAACCTTTCCTACCCCCAGAACAAGGACAGCTGCTACACGTACGTGCACATGCAGCACCCGCGCGACGCCGACATGTTCGAGGATTTCTGCAAGGACAAGCTGCCCGACGATGACATCTACGTGCCGCTGCACCACCAGCCCATCAACCCCGAGGACGAGGACGACGTCGTCCCCGACCAGCACGCCGCCTTCGGCATCCAGAAGGCTACCCAGCGCAACAGGGAGCCCGTCTGGAAGGATTTGGGCTTGGCCGAGCTCATGGGGAAGGGTCCCGCGCCAGGAAAGAGTCAGAGTCGCGCCCCGGGGGCTTCGTATAAGGGACTGCCGCGATGACGAACGAGGGGTTGTGTGCTTGCTTGCTTGTTAGGTCAGGTACTTGGCAACGGGTCGGAGAGCTTCTTAAAGGTGTAAGAGTCTTTACAACCGAGGGAACTGGCGTTTTCACGGCGGATCGGCGTAGTAGCATTGCTTTCTCTTTTCCTGCCTTGAGAGATTGTCTCTAATTGACTGGACTATATCATGATATCAACCCGCATCCCGTCTCAACATCTCCTGCTTCGTGATATTGCGCCCTTAATATAATATTTAAAACGAAAATGAACCAGCCTGAGGTTCCCCATTGGCAAAACCGTCCCGAACGCCGTTGCAATGCTAGAACCCACCCACTTTGTCTTTTATCATGATTTTCTTTTTTTCTTTTGAGAAATCATGACCGTCTCTTAGCCCTTTCCTAAAAATCCTTCCCTCTCCATGACTTCCGGCGCAAACTTAACCAGGAAAACCGTCCTCCCGGGCCACATCTCGCCCTCCTCCTGCTTTCCGACGCTGTGCGCCGTGACGCGCGCGGGGAACGCCGAGCCGTCGCACACGCCCTCGATGATGCCGGCGACGTACGCGGCGCAGTTGAGCTGGCTCATGTCCTTGGGCACGCTGATGTAGCGGTTGACCAGCGGCTCGTTGTCGATTATCATGTACTCGTCCGGCTTGGTCGGATCTGACGACTTCTCCAGCCCGTCGGCTGCCCGGCCGAATAGGTGCTGCCACACGTTGATCTTGATGAAGTGCAGGAGCGTGATGATGTTTAGCGGCCGCGTCTGGGATCGTGGCGGTTCGCGGTATAGTAGGAGGTCGAGGAGCTTCAGGCCGATGGGGTGGCCTTGCACGTTGAGTCTGGAGTTTTGCCGCATTAGCAAAAAAGAGGGGAAAAATATAAAATAAAATAAAATAAAAACAAGCTTGTCGAGGACATAAGAGAGAGAGAGAGAGAGAGCTATGGAACTACATAACTTACCGCTTTTCCAGGTCTTGTATACTCTCTATCTTCTTCGAGGCGTATCCTACCATCTCGGAGAAAAGGTAAGCAAAACTAGCACCGCTGAGCTCGGCGGCCTTGGTGCGGTTCAGCGGTCGGTGGTATATTGTCTTGCCGCTCGTCGGGTAGCGTAGGCCCGGCAGGTCTTTACTGCTGCCCTTGACGGGCTGGAGGGTTGACATTGTCTTTTTTCCTTTCTCTGGTAGATGCGCTTGCGTACGTAATGATATGCGACCTGAATTTAAATACCGGGAGTGTATCGTCTCGGGGACCTTGCTGATTTGGATGCTGGTTCTAGAAGTTGGAAGTTCTTGGGGGGTTTAACGTTGTAGGTGTGGAGCTCTAAATTTAGGTCCAGCGGTTTTACTACATTAGGTACTTCACACAATACAGCAAAAGGTCCATGTACCTCTTGTATGTACCACGTACATTAAAGGTACAACCCCCTGATTCTAACCTCCCTCCTTATACATACCTGGGTACCTACCTACATGTCAGTAATTAATTCTTAGATTAACGGAATTCATGGATATTTATATAAATGCCATAAATGATACGCAGCTTACTCCCAAATCCTCAAGATATAATATGCTAGTCTGACGGGTACCTAATGTTGTAAGCTGTTTGTTTTATAAGGGTATTATTAGTCCACATTGGTATTCAGTTGGTTTAGTTATGTACTCTCCAACTAGACTCCGTCTTAATGCAGGTAATTTTACATGTTATATCCTCGTGATTTCGATCCTAGCCCTTTCAAATACCTTATGACAGACCATACTCCCGCTACTCAACTCTTCATCCGTCACTTCCGGTGGAAATAGAGTCATCCGAGCATACGTACCCGGGCCTTTCCTTTTCGAAAGATATCCAGGGTTGACGATTACAACACTCTCCACCACCTAATGTGTGTTAGTAAGTCCGACTGGCGAATTGGGGGGGTTTAATAAACTAGACATACCCTTGCAAACGGAGGTAAAGCGCTTGGAATGATCATGATATCTGGTCTCACCGTCACCATCTCGCCTAATTTCAGATAGCTCGTATCAAGCATGGCACCAGGCGGAAGTCCATCTGCCGTCCCGACCTTGGGCAGTTTTGACCGGTCTACTGGAGGGAATATGGGAAAATAATGCCTCTGCTCGATCAAGTATTTAGGAGTCCTCGAAAACACGTGGCTATCGGGAGGCCGGTTGCCGATAAGTTCCTCGTGGTGGAGGCCCCAAAGGATATCCTGTGACGAAATTCCGAGTACCGTCTCGTTCAGGGATAAGGTCATGGGGTTGCCGATTATACGTGCAGCTTTGGGTAGCCCTAACTCCTTTTTGGGGAAGGAATCTTGGGGCCATGATACATGTTTTTCGATGACGTCTCGTACGGATGGTACCAAAAGAATGGTGATGGTTGGATTTGATGCGGCAAGTCGGTTTAGAGCCGGAGAAATCATGTACTTGAAAACTGTAGACATTGTCGCAGCGTCTGGGTCTACAGTCGCGTCTTCTGGAAGATCGAAGTCTCCCGTGGCAATTAGGGGATGGTCGACGTCGATAAAAGGTCCTGTTAATATAAGGGCGTCGGCGTATGTGTCTGCCGCTTGGCTGCAGAGCGCATGAAGGGGCTCGAAGTCGAGATTGTCGTCAGCCGAATAGGGACCCGAGCCGAATATTATGTTCAACGGTGCCGGTTCTTCGCCCGAGTCCATCGCGTTTGGGCCACCCCTGAGCCTCTCCCGATGAGCCTCGATACCGGCTGGTGTAGACGCAGCGCTAGGTAGTAGGGGCATTTCCAGTACTTCCCGGACAACGAATTCTTTCCCGGATGAGTTGATACCCCTGAATGCAGCAATCTGCCCCGGGAAAAACTGGTAGCGTCCATTTAGCTTTTGTAAGTTTAGAGGAATTCTTCGACCTCCCCCTGTCCGCCTCGAAGTCTCTAAAACGACAGATGCCGCATTAAGCTTGCCTTCCGAAGAATCAGACGCAATCCGGCCCACAGCAACAATTTCCGTAGTACTTTGACTCGCCGCGCTGCCGAATTCGCTCTCGTCAATGTTTTGCTGATCTCTTAATAATCCCATAAATTCGTCTATTCGGTCGTCTAGAATTTCAGATGCTTCTGAAGATTTCATAGCGAGAGTTTTGTAACCTAGCTTTTTCATATCTGAAGCTGCGGTCAATTTGATCCGTGATTCAGAATGTGGTGCGATTGGGGGCTCAGGAGGTTTAAGGTGGTCATTAAGTACTTCTATAACCTCTCCTGGATTCTGACGGTCATTAAAGGAAGTTGCCCTGCAATTTTTTAGTCTTTCCTGTACGGGTTATGTATTCTCATTGATCTCAACGACAACTTACGAGCCAACATTTAGAGACTCTAACTCCCGAGCCACCGAGGGTGTCTCGAGTTGATTTCGTCTCTTAGAGGCACTCTTGCTCAACTTGGCTGTAGATGGAGTGCCAGGTACCATTCCTTCCAACATACCGTACACATCGCCGCCAACCTTAGCATTATTACGCGGTGTCCCACTCGAGCGCTTCTCCGTCTTGATGTGAACGTGGTGCGTTCGGTTGCTTCGCTCCAGGGAATCTTGGATGTCTTGCTTTAGAGCCCGCAAGCTCTCTACCGATATATTATTTCCATCCATGTCCATCTTTATGCAATAAGACTCCCATTTGAAGAATAAGTCCTGGGCGGACAGGGAATGTATCCGCATGATGGATCGCAACTCGGAGACGACATCAGGTTGTAGTTCCTTGTTCGGCGTACCGAACTGTTCGTTCAGTTCTGCTAGATCTGCTTCTGCCATGGCCAATTAGGTATAATTTTAATCTGCGCTAGTCTGTTATATGGTAATTAAAAGAGAAAGTTATTGTCACGAGTACTGCCTGGCACTTATAAATTTAAGACTTGACGACGCGCTTTTTCTTTTTTTTTTTATAAATTCAGACGCGTCTAAAGCTATTCGCGTTAAGTGGTTTATTGGCTTATTGGCTTATTGCCCGGTGGGTCATTGGTACCTACTTTAGGTACCTACGTAGGTACTTAAGAGGTACACCTTGCGAATCAGGGAAGAGAAATAAATTCAACGTTACCCCTATTCCTGAGCTACATTGCGATAAGATAAGACTCATTATATTTATTTGGCTAACAGGTACCTTTTTCCTACGTAGGAAAATACTTATCACAAGCACAACACCCGACATAAGAGTAGGAAGAATTCGTTATGTTTATTTAAAGGCTTGGTGAGGGTTCACTCTGATATTAACTACCTCTCTTATGCCTTGTATGCAGGCAGGTATTCTGAAGAACTCTTCTAGAATCCGATGGGACAAAAGCCGATAAATTCCTTCAGAACAGCTCTTCGTAACTCCTCATCTAGGACGGCCGATTCAGGGACTTGTAAATCCCGAAGTATACGCCTGGCTTGTGTTGTGCGTAATACCATTATAGCGTCGACGCTTCGAGGACAATTGCGGATGACCTGTCCAGTTGCTAGACTTTGCAAAGGGAGCAAAGAACACCACTCAGGGTCTAGATAGAACTCTAGTTTGTTTATAGAACGTGTAAGACTGTTCTTGAATTTTATATGGCGGTGATTAGAAGCTAGCCGATCTCTTCGGATGTCTGCAAAAAGCTCTTGATTATTTACTTGATTTCCTCGGACGTTCGCAAGACTTTCCGGGATTGCTTGAAGTGGACCGTGGATTTGGTCGCCAAGAATATGATGAGTTATCCCGGTCTGTAAATGTCCAGGGGCAGTGTTGTTCTTATCCATTACTCGTATTATTACGGTTAAGGTCCTAAATGTACCTAATAATGCTGTAATGTGTTTTTGTTTTTGTCCTTATCCTTATTGCTGTTGAATATGGCAATCTGGGGTTAAATATATTGGGGTTTTAAGAAATTGAAATATAAAAGAGTATTAGGCCGAAGAAGCTGGTTGACAATGGAATATATAGCTGTTAACTACTATGTATTCTACCTAGGTACTACTATTTTATTCCTCAAGTCACTAGTAACTACCTAAGTAACTAGTAACCCAATAACCCTTAGGTAGCAACCTGCTTAGGTACCTAAGGTAATTAACCAAAAGCCTTGTAAAACTTACAAAGTAACAATCCGAATAACCCCGACAGCCCACTAAACGCGAATAACACTTACACGTCTGACTTCCAATTATAACGTGTTCAACTTTAACAAGGATAACTTTCAACTTCCACACGGGGAAACTCAAAAGAGCCTGTTATTAAGTCTCAGATAAAACAGGGATTGGCACTATTATATTATACATTATAGACCGAGATGTCCACACCTAGCACAACAGTAGCGGCTGGAAGCGCTGAGCCTTCGATCCTCCAAGAGAAAAATGAAGCCGGTATACTTAAGACGCCCCTATCGGCTCCCACAGCCGGCAGCACCGCGCCCGAGAAGCCAGCCCTTACTGCCGACCAGACAACAAAGTATGATTGGCTTCTCAGCCGAGTGAAGGAATGGAAGGAGGTTCAGTCCAAAGAGAAGGGTGGCCCCCTGACAGACAGCGAGAAGATGTGGCTTACAAGGGAGTGTCTGCTACGATACCTAAGAGCCACCAAGTGGCACGAAAAGGAGGCAGAGAAGCGACTGCAAGAAACTCTGGCCTGGAGGAGAGAATATGGAGTCGAGGAATTAACTGCAGAGCACATCAGCCCTGAGAATGCCACCGGAAAACAAGTCTTGCTGGGCTACGATAAGCACTGCCGCCCCTGCCATTACTTGAACCCGGGACGTCAAAACACAGAGGTCTCGCCTCGACAGGTCCAACATCTCGTCTTTATGCTTGAGCGCGTCATCGACCTCATGCCGGCCCAGCAGGAAACGCTGAGTCTTCTCATTAACTTCAAGTCGGGCAAGAGCCGTACGAACACGGCTCCTGGTATCGGCCAAGGCCGCGAAGTCCTACACATCCTCCAGACGCACTACCCGGAGAGGCTCGGACGGGCTATGATTATCAACAGTAAGCCGGATTTTATAACAGCAGATGATGCCGGATAGACTAACGCCAAAGTATAGTTCCTTGGGTTGTCAATGGCTTCTTCAAGCTCATCACGCCATTCATTGACCCCTTGACGCGAGAGAAGCTGAAGTTCAACGAGGATATGACGCAATACGTACCGAAGGAGCAGCTGTGGTCGGAATTCCCAGGCGGTGAGCTACAGTTCGAGTACAACCACGACATCTACTGGCCTGCATTGCAGAGGCTTTGCGCTGAGAAGCGTGCTAAGCAGCTTCAGAGGTGGGAAGCCGGAGGCAAGCAGATTGGAGAGAAGGAGGACTATCTCAAAGGCCATGACCCCCAGGGCGTATCGCCACCACCTGGTTATGCTACCGACAAAACTCAGGACAGTGCTACGGCTTAGAAAACTCAGGTTATAGTAATCCCGTAAGAGACATATTGAGGGTATGAAAACCACGGTATAGACAAGGCACATTATATACGGATATGGATAAATCAGGTAATATAGGGTATCGAGTAGGCGATATACTCGTTGGAGTACGCCCAGCTCAATTAATTATAAAGTGGTATGAACATATACGCCGCAGAGCGAAATTCTGTCTACTTAGACTCTATTTTCCGCCTTTTATCATTTTCATAGCGACCTGCATCCCGTGATGAGTCCCTCTTTCTTCGACTGCTAAAATCGTCCCTGTCATGCCTTCGAGGGGATCTAGATCTAGATCTGGACCTAGACCTATTTCTGTGCCGCCTATCATCGTCTCTCGGACGATAGCTGTCTCGATCTCGATCCCTATCTCGATCCCGCTCGCGGTATTTATCCTCATCTCGTCCCCGATTTGAATTCCTAGGACCTTCCGGTGCACCACGGACAGATTTCCTCTCCCCGATCGGCACCGCATTGGCTCCGCCAGGACCAGATACCTCTCTAGCACGATCGGATTTAAACCTCTCGTCAACATTATAGCGGTCGAATTCTTTACCGGGCCTCGTGTCGCGGATATCACCCCATCGACCCGTGTCCTCAGACTTGAGGTCCTTGTATTTGGAGGCACCTTTCTTTCCTAATTTCGTCATATCACGCATTTGGAGCGCCTTCGGGAGTAACTCGCGGTTCTTGACGTCGTCTGCGAACCGCGAGCCCATAATATCTCGGTTGGCCAGGCCTTCAGCTTCGGCCTCGTCTTGGTAGAATGCGCCCTTATGGAAGTACTTCTGCATATAGGACATCTTGCCCTTCGCGTCCTTCTCCTCCTTTTGCTTGCTTAAGAAGGCATCATCCTCCGCTTTTCGTTCTTCTTCCGTTAAATTTCGGCGGCGCTCGACTTCTGCTCTTTCCTTCTCGCGGGCCTCGATAGCCTCGCGCTCTCGTTTGATGCGTTTGAGCTCACGTAATTTCCACGCTGCATACTCTGCTTCTGGGTCCACGTCGTCTTCGGTATCGACGTCTTCCTCCTCGTCCACAACATCGTCCCAGTGCTTCTTCTTGGCCGCCCGCGCAGCAGCAGCTTTGCGCATTTGCTCTTCCACCATTTCGTCCATTGCTTTCTTCTTCTCCGCCTCCTCCTCGGCTATCTTAGCCGCCTCATCTTGTTCCTGAGTATTATCTCTATTGCCGTTACCGTTTCGTTGGCTTTTCGGTACGAACTTGGGTTTTAACATTAATCGGCGGGGAGCTTCTTCCTCGCTACTTTCATCCTCTTCTTCGTCTTCGTCATCGTCGTCGCTTCCCTCTTCGCTATCTTCTTCGTCTTCACTTTCCTCAGTGACGAAGCCCTCCTCGGCAGCCAGGCGAGCTGCTTTCGCAGCCTCGACGCGTCTCGCGTTCAACTCTTGCTCTTGCTTTTGGCGCTCATTGAGGTCTACCTTGCTGAGATTGCTAATTATTTTGCCTGCGCTTGGAACCTTGGGTGGTGGCGCGATTTTACGCTGGGGCTTTTGCTGTTGCTGATCAACCGCGGCGTCGCTAGCTTCTGAATCAGATTCGGAGGACGATGATGCGCCGGTCGGCTTACCAGCGCGATAACGGGTTGGTCGCGCAGGGTTTGCTGTCATGCGTTTTTGTTGCATTGTAGGGGGCATTTTATGAGAGAGTGAAGAGATGAAATCGGAGATGCGGGTGTTTGGTGTCGACTTTCTCTATAAAATACATGCATGAGAAAAGTAGAAATGCTAACTAGCAATGCCGCAAAGACGATTGTTCATGTATTGCAATTTGTACTAGGTACGATAAAGTACGTTAAGTGGGTCCCCATAACGTTCGCATTTATCGATAAGTTCGACCGACCCACAGACCGATAGACCGATAAAGAGCGACAGGTAGGTTAGAGGTACCTTCATATTTGAACACTCGGATTACCTTGGGTAACAATGGAACTTCTATATCGCATTGTTTGTTAAGTTCTTTTTGTCCTGTCTTAGAATGGACGAGGTACCTCACTATGTATCTTGTAACCGACAAATGATGAATGATGAATTTTCCCTCCTGCGCCAATAACGCCCAGAATGATGAATGTTCCACCCGGATTGATTCCCAAAGGTCATAGAAAGGTCATAGGATCTCATCTTCATCCTCTACTTCTTGTAGAGGAACCTTGTCTGCCGACGTAGCACCATTCTGGACCTCGCCAGACTGGGCATCATCCATCTCTTCGTCGAATTCGGATACTTCATCTTCTCTGTTATCTACCTCTCTTTGAGGTTCACTCTTGTTTGTGGGTATTTGGTTGTTAATCTCATCCCAAGCTTTGCTTCGTGATTGTATTGCCCGAGCTTGACCCTTGCTTTTGGCAATCTTCTTTTCCGTCCTCTCCATAATATTTGCAGCGCGATCCTGTTCTTTCTCGTGCCTCCTCCTTGCTTTAGAGCTCATATTTCTACCCTTTTTGGCCTTTTTCGAAACTCCCGCTCCCTGGTGTATGGCAAGCACAGAAGGGCGATAGTCTACTGATTCGGCAGGAGGCTGGATATTCTTCAGCGACTTGTCCGTATCGATACTTGGGGACGTAGCACGTCTTGCAACCCGCGAGTGAATCGAGGGAGCTATGTAAAAAGTATAGTTAGTTACTAGAAATGGGGCTGGAAGAGAAATGGTAGTTGAACCATGAAGCCACATACCCTTTCTCTTTTTTGTTATTGCGCCCTTAGCCATGACTTCCGTGATGGGTTAACTTTCTGCTGTATATTTCTTGACGAAGAGGATCTTGTTTTTTCAGTCTAGCTTCAGACCTCTCTGTAAAGTACTGGATATGTAGAGAAAAAAAAAAAAAAAATTGCCCCGCAGGGGTCGTTTGATAACGATCCCGTTCCCAATGCGATAAGAAGTCCGGGGGAGGGTCCTATGAGACTAGCTTTAGCCAATCAGTAATCATATCTGCTCTGCATTCGCAAAGTAGGTACCCTTTTCGGCGTAGTTTACGTAGACAGCATTAGTACCTTAGGTACATGACTAGCATGAACCTTTAAAGCAATTGCTGTCCAGTGACCCACTAAAATAAACTGTCACATCAGCCCTGCCTTTCCAATCTTCCAATACAAATACAAAGTAATTGTAGACCCCAATTTTTATCTACTCCAATCAAAAACAACACCTACTCATAACTATCCCGTAACAAACTCGAACAAACGCTTCAAGATACCTATGTTCGCACAGCATCAGGTACGCGGATATAGAATCCAGAGACAAGCAACGAGATAGAAAAAAGGAGGGGGAGAGAGAGATGAAAACGTTTTCGCATTGCCATGGCGATATTCGTCGACAATAAATTTCTGCCTTGACACCCCACGAAAATAATCATCACATGCTCCATCTTTCAACAATAGTCCACGAACTCCAGAATGCGCTCCTATCCTTCTGAGGCACAACCTGACCGCCTTGGTAACTATTATTCTTATTACGTTTCCGATACTCTAATAGATCGATTACGCCAACCTAGCGTGATCGTGCCGCTACTCCTCCTCTTATTTACCATCTTCTACCAATATCTCCATACTTCGCCCTTCTCGCAACCACGGAATCCGGCAGAGGTACTTTGGGACTTTATAGTAACGATCACTCCTGCGAGCGTACTCTATGCTATCGACAGTTGGCTCCATCCACCAATATTCCCGATTCCGGGGTCTATGCTATCAAATCAATCTCGATCGCACGACGCTAAGAGCGAGCTTCTTAAACGAATTCTTGGGATGGGTGGGCCAGGTAACATAATAACATCTGTAGCCGATGCTGGCATAAGAAGTCTCTCTAGTTTATCAAACACTACATTTGTCAAACATAACACCGACCGGCCTCCCGGCCTAGGAAATTACGATAATTCCTGCTTCCAGAACAGCATCCTTCAGGGACTATCGTCGCTAAGACCATTTCCGTTATATCTTGCCAGGGGTCTCGAAAGAGATGGTTCTAGGAGTGATGGGGAGTTAGGCTCAGCCAGTTCATTGCGGGATCTCATCTCGAAGTTAACGGGCGATGACTATAATGGGAAGACCTTATGGACACCCGGAAAGCTAAAATCCTTAGATACGTGGCAACAGCAAGATGCGCAGGAGTACTTCTCTAAGATACTAGATGAAGTTGAAAAGGAAATTATGAAAAAAGTAAAACCTATCTCCCATTCGCCCGGGTTCGAAGCGACTGGTATTAGAGATGATACGGAGGACAGTCAGCATAGTGACGATAGTGGATACCAGTCGCTACCAACCCTTTCTAAAGCCGGATCTGATGCTAGACTTCTAAGACACCCCCTTGAGGGCTTACTGGCACAGCGAGTAGCATGTGTTCAATGTGGCTATTCCAACGGGCTTTCTCTGACCCCGTTCAACTGTCTTACTCTTAATCTTGGCCTCGAACAGACAGAACACGATCTATACGAGCGGCTAGATTCCTATACAGATTTAGAGACTATCGAGGGGGTTGAATGTGCCAAGTGTACGCTACTAAGCTATCAAAAGCTGCTTAAACTCCTCCAGTCTCGTAGGAAAGAAGACGCGACGGAAACCGAATTACGAAAGCTAAATTCTCGGTTAGAGGCCGTGGAACTTGCTCTTGAGGAGGACGATTTCCAAGAAACCACCCTGAAGGACAAATGCGAAATACGTAAACGCGTCAATTCTACCAAGACTAAACAGGTAGCCATAGCGCGATCCCCCCAGAGTCTTGCGATTCATATGAATCGCTCGGTGTTTGACGAAAATACAGGCCAGATGTTCAAGAACCTCGCAGCAGTACGATTTCCGAAGACGCTTGACCTTGGACCATGGTGCCTAGGAAGTGCCAGCGGACCAGTTAATCCCATTCAAGAGGTAAATTCTGCAGACAGTTCCTCGGAAGACGAAGAGCAATGGGTTACAGATCCGAAGCTGTCGATGGTTTCAGGCGACATGAAACCTTCTAAGATCAGTGGTCCACTTTATGAGTTACGCGCAGTCATAACCCATCAAGGACGACATGAAAATGGCCATTATGTATGTTATCGAAGGCACCCCTGTAAGCCGTCAAAACTTGAGGACGAAGAATCCGACTCTGGTATTGGGAGCGAGAGTAACGCAGAAGATGACCAAAGCACACTGGTCGATGGAGACTACGGTGGGTGCACCAGCTCGGATTCCGTCGCAAAATGGTGGCGTCTAAGTGACGAGACAGTGTGGGAAGTATCTGAAGAGACTGTCTTAGCACAAGGCGGAGTCTTCATGCTTTTCTACGATTGTGTCGATCCAAACTCGGTTCTTGTTTCTACAATTCAGCATCATGAAGAAGAAGAGGCGGAGTCGTGCAACGATACCTTCATGCCTCTCGAGGGCCAAGATGTTGATAATGTTATAGAAACAGACGACATTGAGAAGTCAGGGGATGAGCTACTGGAAAATGATGAACAGTCTGAAGATATACCATTGATCGAGGAGCTTCCAGACGACGTCGCGAACCAGTCGAGTGATAATAGCCCCAAGATCGAGGCCAATGGTACACAGCCTCGAGAACCGATATCTGCAGGGTCGAGTCTCATCCCACCTCTTAGGGAAGGCGAAAAGGTGGACTCTAGCATTCCCCTTCACTGGCCTAACAGTTAATGACGAATGGAAATACTCGGGTTTTTCTTGGGCTAGCTTACTATAACAGCTGGATGATAACGGGCAATGAATGTATTATAATAGCCTCCTTCTTTGCATAGCTACGGCGTTCTGGCGGAGTTGGCCATAGAAGGCTTTTCAGGCTTTGTATTTAGCCATGATGCAGCGGGCATGTACTTATTCAGGCGTGTGTACCCTTTGGTGACAACCCCTGGAGAGGGTTGGCAAACAACTTAAACCTCGTCGTTCTTTTTTGTTTATTAGCATCAGTGGAACACTATGTTCCATCCCACGCCATCATTCTAGCTCTCTATTAGATGGCTGTTTTGTACAATCTAAAGGCTGGGACGGAGTGCAAATGAATCACTAGGTTGGAGCATTGGATACGTAGATAGACATACATCTATTCTATCTGTACTTAGTTACGTTGATCATATCGGGCAAAATGTAACGAGACACGTCAACTATGGCATATATATTCGTCATTTTACTAGCTACTATTCCCTCGTGGTGCGTAATAAAGCTTTGCATTCTACCACCCGCGTAGTCGGTCAGCGAAAAACTGCATAATGGGTAACATCTCGTCCCTGTTCTGCGGCATGCCGTCGTCATTTTTCCTCCACTTTACTTCCCGCACATCAGCAAACTCCTTCTTCAACAAGTCTACCGCGTCCTCATCAAGCACCTCGCTTGACCTGCCATGACACGCCAACACCGGCGTCCGGGACTTCTCCCGCGCGCTGACGGTCGGTACAGTGCTCGGCGGTAACGCCCCGCCGATCGACACGACGCCTTCGAAAGCCGTGCCCAGAGCAGCAGCAGTAGCAGCCTCACCCCCCTCGGTCACGTCCACGACCTTCTCGCCTTCGCGGAGCCTAGACGACAGGCCGAGAGCCAGCGATCCGCCTTGCCCAAAGCCGAAGAGCAGGATGTCGTTAGTTTCCCAGCCGCACTTCTCGACGAGCGTCTCCCGAATCAGCTTGCCCAGCACCAGGCGTTCGGCTTTCGAGAATCCGGGGTCCGGGTCCAAATCCCCGGTTGTTGGCGAGAGGGTCAAGTCGTCCCCCCAGTGGAAGTGTCTGGTTGGACGGGCGGCTTCCTCGGCGGGTAGCCCGAGGAGAGATGGGGGAAGGGGAGATACGCCACGGACGGAAATGGATAGGACGCCGGGCAAATTGAGGTTTTTGGCGAAGGTGGCGAATGATGCTTCGGAATCACCTAGACCGTGGAAGAGGATGAGGATAGCGGTTGTGGTTTCTGGGACCTCGGGAAAGATTAGGGATGTGTGCAGGGAGGGTGATAAGTGCTCGAAGTCTTCTGGTTTGGGTATCCTTGTGGGCATTTTAATAGCTATGCTTGACTATTAGGGATTGGGGGGAAGGGGGGTTTGAGTGATAATAACCGGGGAACTACGGGGATAAACTCATTGGTAGATGGCCGGAACCCGGTGATGCAGGAGCTACGCAGCAACGTTTTGAACGGGAGCCGGGGACCCACTTGTACGTGGATGAAGTTGGTTTTGCAATGGAGCTAATAAATACCTAACCTTTTCTTTTAACGCACTTAGGTATTAAGCTAATAAGTATAATTGGGTTAACATTATATACCTAGGTAGGTAGCACCTGGTAGCACCTAGAATACGCTACGTATTACGCCTTAAAAAGTACCTGTTACGCACCTATAGTACCTAGCTCCCCCTCCACTTGTCAACTTTTTCCAACTAGGTTCACAATAACTTCCGAATTATAGGGGTTCAAATAAGGATTGCATTGCAACGCCGTTTTCTCTTTGCAAATCACATCTCACCTTTTTTTTCTTCAATATCGAATGATAACTCGATTCTCACTTTATCTTTTATTTTGATTCGGTACGCGACACTAATAAATTGTAACCTCTTTAGCAGTAAGAGAGAAAGAGAAAAGAGAGAGAAAAAAAAAAAAAAAAAGAGAAAAGGAAAAAGTAAAAGTGAAAAACTGCCAACCTCTTATTATTGCAGGCCCCCAGGTACATAGTAGTTAATATTTCTCTTCCTTTGTTCCTTTTGGACAAACCCCAAGAAGCCCCCAACCACGATCCATTATCGTCTCATTCTGCCCCATCCATTAGCTGTAACATTACCACATTACCACATTAACCCTTCGTCCCCATCCGCCAGTCTTACACCGTCTAGCTGTCCTCTTCCCTCTGTTCCTTCTTTGCCCCCTTTCCGAGTTTTAGGTGGCAAAGCACTTTGTGGAATAGGTAATTCCAAGAAAGAGATATCTAATCTAAGGAAGGAAAGATTACACTACATAACTCCTAAGCCGATGCCCGACAAGCGCCACACTCATTCTACGCTTATCCAATTTCATCTTTAAGGCGTTTGCGCCACCACCAACCAAAACCAAATATCACAAAAGCACTAATAAAGTTGCCTTTCAAATCAAGGTCACAGTTGTGTCCATTCCGTTGTCTGTGAGAAAAGCCCCACATTCTTCCCCCCCTAGTCCCTAGTACATAACCTAGCACACGCTTAGCACACACCCTTAGCGGATTTCAAGCTTGAGCATCCCTATCGGGTCACCCTTATCCCAGCTTACCTTACCCTATCAGGAGTACCATAACCAGCCTATCGTTCCAGCCCAATCGTTCCAGCCTGTGAGCCTGTGAACCGTGCATAGGTAGGAAAGTACAAGTACGGGTCCTAGTTCCTACAATACTAGGATAAGGGTACTGGGATAAGGTAAGGTACCTGCCAAATACTCCCAAATACTCCCCCGTAACTGCCAGCTTGCCCACCACCTCCTGCGATCTGCGGCACCACACCCTTCCGACCTTGTGTCAAAACATTTCTAACCCTTATGCAACGCAGCAACGCAACTCCCTTCTACAACTTCTTCTACTCCTACATAGTTGCGTCGCTGGCAGGTCCTTCCAGAATAATATCCATACCATACCTAATCAATTTTTTATCTTCATCAAAATACTAACGCCTCCTATTCCTTTAGCTATCAACTACTACATCGCCGATATCCTCCCAATCCCCCAACCCCCCCAACTGGTTAAATCAAAATTGACATATCGAAATCGCCAATCATGGCTGCTCCGGGTGTTCAATCATTGAAGGTATGTCGGCGATGTCGCTCCCATGTGCATGTGAATACCGCATCATGAATCAAATCAAATATGCTAATGCGAGATCAATCTGCAGTGCGTCGTTACGGGTGATGGTGCTGTCGGAAAGGTCCGTCTATTTCCAACCTTAACCAACGTCGACCGAGTTTAGCCTTGTTCCAAATCTAACCTCAATGTCAGACATGCCTTCTCATTTCATATACAACAAATGCCTTCCCTGGTGAATACATACCCACGGTGTTAGTAAACTCGGCCCCTTTGTCTGTCTTGTTACCTATTGTATACTGATGCAAGATATTCAGTTTCGACAACTATTCAGCAAGCGTGATGGTCGATGGCAAACCCATCAGCTTGGGACTATGGGATACTGCTGGTCAGGAAGATTATGATAGACTGCGACCGCTCTCCTATCCCCAAACCGATGTATTCTTAATCTGCTTCTCCATTGTGAGCCCGCCTTCGTTTGATAACGTTAAGGCCAAGGTACGTGAACAACTAAAAAGGACCTAACCAGCCAGGCCGATTTACTTGAGAATAACCAGCTAAGTTGGATCTAGTGGTATCCTGAAATCGACCACCACGCGCCCAACATTCCCATTATCCTAGTTGGCACCAAGTTGGATCTTCGAGAGGACCCCGCCACCCTGGAAAGCCTCCGAGCCAAGAGGATGGAACCCGTGTCGTATGACCAAGCCCTGGTCTGCGCAAAAGAGATCCGTGCCCACAAGTACCTCGAGTGCTCAGCCCTTACGCAGCGAAACTTGAAGAGCGTATTCGACGAGGCCATTCGGTATGATACGACATTGATGATAGCTTCTCGTTGCCTAGCCACATACTAATCTAGTCTACAGTGCTGTCCTAAACCCTCGACCTATCCCCCAGAAAGGTGGAACTAAGAAGAGCAAGTGCACAATTCTATAAACGGCACATATCAGCATATATCATTGCTTTTGAAAGTTTTGAAATTTGGTCGAGCAAGCCAGAAAGTTTTTCGAAACGATGAAGGCGTTTTGGTGGACATATAGGAAAGACTATCATCCTCCATGAGGAACCGACGTATTCAGGCATCTTCAAGTTGGCCGACTACCCATATTTCGCGTCCCCTCATTTTGAAATCTACATACCCAGACGTTTTTTGGTGGCCGTTTTTGTCGCAGGCCATGGTATTCGACCAGAAGAGAGTTAGGGGGGAAGGATCAAGTTGTAAAGTCGAAAGCCGTTAGCGAGGAATTGGGAGCGTACGTGAGCCTGCGAGTACCTTATTTTTTTTTTTTTTACAAGAAAAAAAAAAAGAGTTCTGGCACGCTGCCATCTGGTAATACTCTTTACAATCTTGGCCTTCCGGCGAGATTGGACATACGGGTAACCGGGATTAAATATTTCATGGAAATCACCCTTCGTACTAGACGGCAGCAAGAGTCACAATTACCCCTCATAGCATATTCAACTCGCCTTTTCACAATTCTGTAGATAGCATATTTGCGAGAAGAATCAAATTTTCACGGCATGTCCCCCCAAGCATGGTATTATTATTTTTTATTTTCCATTTTCTATGCGTAAACATCTGTCCCTGGGTAGGTAGGTAGGTACTTAGTAGAAAATGTGATTAGGATGAACCAAATAAAAATAGATACACAGACAGAAAAGAAGTATACTGTGTAGGGTATCATGACCGGGCTCCAGGGACCCTCCCACGACGGCTCGGGTGGATAGCATCTTCTACGCCGCCGCCAGCCTTCTTGGCCTCGCCCCCATTCTGCGCCTTCTCCTCTTTTTCGGCCTTAGCCTTAGCCTCCTCCTGTGCCCTCCTCGCGCGCTCCTCGTTGAGCTTCTCGTTCTTGGCGCGGATCTTCTCCTTGCGGTGGGAGGTGTTCCCGCCTCCGCCGGCCGTCAGCTCTACGTTGATGCGGCGCTCCTCGATCCTACCCTTGCCCGCGTCCTTGCCGGTGGCGGGGCAAGTGAAGGTGGTGTGGTGCATGGTCTTCAGGCAGGACTTCATGTGGTCGTACCGGGCGAACTCGACGAAGGCGATGCCCCGGGACTTCTTGGTGCGCGGGTCGTGCAGCAGGCGCACGGAGGTCGGGTGCACGGAGGCGAAGTGCGCGGTTATCTGCGCGGGGGTCGCGGAGTAGGGGAGGTTGCCGACGAAGACTATGAAGCGGACTTTTTTGTTGGAGGAGGAGGAGGAGGGTTGCTGGGGGTCTTCGGCGTCTGTTGCGGTGGACTCGACGTCGACTTCGACCTCGGGTTTGCCTTCGGTCTCGGGTTTGTCGTCCTTGTTTTTGGACTTGGATTTCTTGTCCTTTCTGTCCTTTTTCTCTTTCTTGCTGCTGCTCTTCTTCTTGGAACTTTCTTTACTGCTTTCCTCTTCTTCTTTGCTTTGGGACTCTGCAAGAGGTTGAGGAGCGTCGTCATCATTCATGGGAACGTCTTCAGGCGAGTCATTGGCTTCAATAGCAGCGGCAGCGTCTTCTGCAGCGGCATCTTCTTGGTCTTCGGCAGAAGGAACATGTTTGCGCTCCTTGTCTTTCTTGGAGGACTTGCTGCTCTTCTTCTTGTCCTTTTTGCTCTTCTTGGACTTCTTATCCGAAGTAGGGTCGGCATCGCTCAGGCGTCTTCGCTTCTTGCCTGATGAAGTAGCATCGCCGCTCACGACGGCGGTCGTGGTGGTGGTAGTGGCCGTGGGGTCGTCTTCTGACTTGCGCTTCTTGGAGGGCATCTTGTCTTCGATTCCCATTGTATGAAATGATTTTTTTATGAAAGTCGCTAAAGTGAGCTAGGTTGTTGAAGGCGGCTGGATACACATGTAGCTCTTTGGTACAATAGAAATCCACAAGTTGCGATAACAATTCAGACAGAAAATTTTAGTGGACCCTGCAACTAGCTTGCAGGTGTGGGGTTAGTGTCGAATAGCATCGCATTGTACAATACATACTACCTAATGTAATGCATAGATAGGTTAGGTACTTTCACGTCTTAGGTACATAGGTCCTACATGCATCAATCCATCTATCAGGCACCTTTTTGGACCGATATCCCATTAACCGAATGCTACCTTCACTCCTTCGCGAAAGATATCGTCTGACTTCCACTTGATCACCTCCGTGTCTCGGATCCATCTATCTATCCATTCATCCATCCATCTTTTTATAAATACAAGTGGACTAAGCTTAGGTGATCCAAGTAAGACAATCATGTTCTATACTGATACGTGGATAATCTGGAAACCAATGCCGATAAGGAATTTGAATGCTTTGATGTCCTACCGCATAAACTGCCTATAGTCAACTGAGAATAATAGCTTTACTGTGACACTGACAAGGCACAATCTTCGGGTCTAAATTACTTAATCGTCTCATTTTCAAACCAATTCACATTGAAAGAGGGAACTAGAAAAAACTTACTATCAAAACACTGTAAAGCCCCATAATGCCTTTGCTTTGTCTAGTCCTAGGTCCATTCAATGCTATTCATCATTCATGCACGGCCAGCTGCCAAGCGCTTGGCGCAGCTTAAAGCGCCCTCCAAAAAAAAAAGGAAACGACCACCGTGGGACTCGAACCCACAATCTTCACCAATTCCACCGGATACCGGAAAGTGACGCGATACCATTTCGCCAGACGGCCAATTTTTACTACACACTGGTGTCAATGATACAGCTTGGCAGAGCTATTTCAGTACAAGTAGTCCGAAAAAGAACAGATTCGTGGTCGATTTTAATAATCGCCTATGCTCTAAGTTCACACGGCCCTATTGGATTGACAAACAACACCATTGAAAAATAAAAAGGTTACGCATTATTGGTTTTAGATTTATTAGATCAATTTCGCCTGGTAGTCTGTTCTTATTTTATATCAAGCTTCTACTATGTACTAAAACGTTTTGGCATAGTTTCCAGTATATCCATTTACATAGGTAGTAGCTATTTCAGAAGTTGATAGTCGTGTGTTCAATCTAGTCACCCTTTTCGAATTGAATCAACATTAACTGATGTCTGATTTTCCCAAGATGCTTTCCCAAAATACTAAGTAAAGCTGTTGGGATATTTAATAGGTATCTAATATGAGCCGTGGAGAACTAATATGCTGCTGTTTGCTTAACTGCAACGAAGACTCGATGGGGTGATGGGGTTATGGGAAAAAAGGAGAAGTTGGGTAGGTAGCTGTCAGATAGTAATGCCTATATTATTCACTTTCTCTCTAATATTTTCAAGTTGCTAAACCTTTCATATTAGGTGCTTATATATCACATACAAGATACTATAGAAACGGGTGCGATGACGTCCAACCATAGAGGAAATTGGAGAGCCAGAAGCATTTTGAGAGCTCGAAGTTCCAATCTTGGAAGGCTCATAGAAGATTTAGTAGGAAGTTAAATTAATGAAATAATGCAAATATACTTGGGCCCTGTTTTATATATTCAGAGGCAGTAATACTCGGATACCTCAGGGGTGTTACTTTGGCAAGAAGCGGCGCTGAGTTGTCCTGTTGAAGTAGTCGCAATGTAAATATATGATTGCGCTTTCCTAATTAACGACGTAATGGAGCTAAGCTTCCTTCTTGAGACGCTTCGAAGTTCCTGCGTCTACAAGTTTGGTAAAAGCAGGGCGTACTTTCTCTTCACATTGAATTGGAAATATTTCAAACTTAGGCGGCGAACCTGTACCTTTCCCTTATTCCCTTTTCTTTTTTTTTTCACGTCGTAACACATATTCGGATCCTTGAACACGCCTCTCTCTTTTTTTTGGATTGCCAAATATCAACATTCGTTTCTTCGGATCGATCTTCTTGGTGATCATCCTTACAGTCTTCAGTCATTCGCTTTGTACGATTTATGGAATCTAGAAAAGCAGAAAACGCACAGAAAAGAGAAAAAAAAAAAAAAAAAAAAAAAGGAACGGATAACATAATATAACATAGCACTCATTCTCTCCTCTTGAATCCTCTCTATATCAAAAAAACCAAGTTCCAAGTCCCCATGAATTTAATGAAATTTCTTTTTGTGCGGGTTCTCCTGGGGAATCTGTTACAACTCGCTGTCGCGGTTAGAAATGGTACAATACCCAGCCCTCCAGCTGGTCCACCCAGTAAGTTCTTCTTCTTTCACACTCTTGACTGGTAGTAACCACATAAGCTGATAATAATCCTAGGTTGTGCCTCCCGTTGTATTATAGACAGCATGTTTGTGACGCAGTGTCTCGATACAAGATGCCTCTGCAACCAAAGAGACTACCAGACGGTCTGTGATCTTTCTTTTCCAACAACTCCTATCCGTCCTACTAATTCTCCTTTCTATCTAGTCCCTTTTCCAGTGTCTTTATTCTCAATGCGACTCGAATCGATACGGCCCAGCCCTCAGCCATTCCATCTCACTTTGTATGAGCTATGGCGCTGAGATCTACATGGTTGCTCCCGGTGTGGTGGGTGACGAGCTGCTGCGGTCTCGGGAAGAAGACTACTTGGCCGGGCGAGAAGTCAAGCCAGTTCCAGGCCTCCAACTGAGACAGGAGAGTGTTGCGGGCATAGGAACGATGACGGTTACTATCACCGTCACGGACTTCATAACGGTGTCCTACTCGCTCATCACCTACACCCCGACCTCACCTCGCCCCAGCCCGTTCCTCGAGACAACGCATGCAGCGGAAGTAACTACTTCCTCGTTAAGCAGGCCTTGGGTGATCCCTGTATCAGAAGGCACTGAAGGGGCTCGGTCGAGACCGTCTTTCTTCGGACTTGTATTGTGGGTCGCGTCTGTAATCATGCTCGATTGCTGGATGGACATGAGCAATCACTAGGTAGAATTAGGCGAGTATATCTCCATTGTCGATTTTATTTACGACGTGGATATCGAAGTTTGTTGTTAGAAAGAGGGACGAAATGTTAATGACAGGGCGTCGATGATCGCCCATGTAAAGTTAGCCATTGTGATAATCGTCTTTAAAATTAAATATCACGGTCCCATCCATCTGGCTGCCAATCTCGATTTGTACTTAGTAAATCCGTAGGGCATAGAATAGAATGAACTTTTAATACAGAACCTCACAATGGGAGCCCGCTGTGTAGGGGGTTCGTCTATATGCAATTACTAAATAATGAAAAATACTCATTGATTTGCGGGGTATCATATTTTGACCTTCCTGCTTCCACTCTCACGAGGTTACAGGTAATACGTCTGAATATCTTTGGCACCTATATTCATTTCCAGACTGCCCATAGGTACTCAGTAGAACAATAACTGCAAGGGCTTCTCAGGATCAGCATATCGCTCCTTGAATTCATGACGGGCCAGCCAGCGGGCTAGGGGCAACATGGTCTCTTTCATATCCATGATGCCGCGCTTCTTCTGGTCGATATGCGAAGCGTCTACGACCAGACGCTCGAGCTTGCTTAGGTTTAAGGCGGCTAATAGGTATGTTAGTGACCTGTTCAAAGGATATATATATACTTCAGGGGAAATGGGAAGCGGAACTTACAGTTATCGACTAGATCTGATAATCGAACGGGAGTGCCCACCGCGACGCCCGTGCGGTGTTTCTGGAGGAATTGCACGCTTTCTTCAAGCTTGATGTGCTTGGCGAACTAGGGAATTATAAGTACCTAGTTATAATAACTTGAGATTGCCCTCCTACCCCTTTATCGGGTCGGATGTGTTTGCTGTACGTACCAATTTCGCGACTGTGTTGTTTTTGGACTGATATTTCCGGACAGCTCTATACGTCCTGTAAGCATTCATGTTGGGACGAAGGGAAAAAAAAAAGAAAAAGAAAGTGGAGTACCTGACGAGATCTGCGGCTCTGAGACCGGCACCGGTGACGATGATGGTATGTGGTGCACCATTCTCCTTGGGTGCTTCTCCTAGGGTCTTTGGATCCGCAAATTGCTCTAGAAACTTTGGCAGATTATCTAGATTTCTCGTCTCCTGGAAGGACGTTGTGTCTGTGATGTAGTTTGCTAGAATGACCTGTTAGTTATTTTTTTATTTTTTATTTTTTATTTTTCATGTTTTTGTTAATGTAAAGGGGAAAGGGTGAAGTCATACGTGATATGTCCAGCTGACTGAGCTCGACGGGTTTTAAATCTGTTCCGAATCTCCTGATTTTCTTAGATATATGGTCTGCGAGAAGTAGGTTGTCTACCATGGATATCTTCTTGTTTACCCCGGTTTCTAAGTCGAGATACTCTTCATCTTCCTCATATGCTTGCTTTCTTCGTTTGCGCGAAGCAGGCTCGTCGTTGCGAGTGCGTTTCTTGGACTTGGCTTTTGCGGCTGCGGGTTGCTGCCTTTGAACCTGAGTCTCGGCCATTTTAAGTATTCTGATTGGCCTATTCTAGAGTATGAATTTACTTTTGGGGTTGTCAATTTGATGGTGTTATGTTAAAGTGTTGTGATGAGATGAGAATGAGAATTGTTGATGAGAAGAAAAATTCAGTTAACCGTTGAGGTCATAGAACCCATAATAGATATTCACGTATCCGAGGTTTTCTTTAGCATACCTTACCTCCATGTACTATGTATTGTACACTGCTGTACGTACCGAATACCTTGTATCTTTGAATTATCTAATCTAAGCCCCGCCATGCCGCCGACATCCCACCAAGGATAGAAAATTGCCCCGCGTCACACGTTCAATGTTCAACTGTTCGCCGGAAGAGTCAAAAAAAAATAAAAAAATATCGGCATCTTATCATCACCCCATCATACGTTAATTACTCACGCCGACGAACCTATTTAAAGGGGGAAAATTCTAAAGTTTAAATCTGACCTTTCTCGTCCCATTTGAAATTTGTATCATTCACATATACACACATAAACATGTCTGAAGCTCCCGTCGACCCGGCCCAAGCTTCGGGTTCTGTCCCTCCAGCCGAGGGCGAAGCTCCCGCTCAGTCCAAGAAGGGCGCAAAGAAGGCCGAGGCCAAGGCTAAGAAGGAAGCCGAGAAGGCCCGAAAAGCTGCTGAGCGAGAAGCTGCCGCCGCTGCTCAAAAGGCTGCTTCTGGCGGCAACGAGGATCTCGCCAAGGACAATTATGGCGATATCACTCCTACTACCAAAGTTGCCGCTGACAAGGTGCAGTTAAAACACCTGGGAGACCAACATATTGGGAAATCCGTGAAACTACGAGCCTGGATTCAAAATTCTCGTATGCAAGGCGCAAAGATGGCTTTTGTCGAGCTGCGAGAAGAGCGCAACTGGTCCATACAGGGCGTCATATCTGCCAGCGCCGAGGGCAAGCCCGTCAGCAAGCAAATGGCTAAATGGGTTGGGAGCATACGGCTAGAGAGTTTCGTCTTAGTTGAAGCGACCGTGCAAAAGCCTCTCGAGCCCGTCAAGAGCTGCCGTGTCAGCGACTACGAGCTACACTTAACAAAGGTCTATTTAATCGCTTCTGGCCCCGAGGTCCTTCCCCTGGGTCTCAACGCCGCCAACAGAGCTATTTCTAGCTTCGAAGACGAAGACCCCTCAGCGCCCGCTGCTGCTGCCGCTGCGCCGGCAGAGGGTATCGAGAACTTGAGCATTACCGAGTCTGCGGTTGCGCCGTCTGCGAGCTTGTCCACCCACTTGAATAACCCAGCTCTACACAAGCGAGCACCTGTACAGCAGGCTATCGCCGATGTTCGCATGACCGTGCGCAAGCTATTTAGCGAATATCTCGACTCTAAAGATTTCGTCCAGTTCGAGCCCCCCTGCCTAATCGGCGCCGCCTCCGAAGGTGGCGCGAACGTGTTTGCCCTGCCCTACTTCGAGAAGCAGGCTTTCCTGGCGCAGTCGCCCCAGTTCTACAAGCAGATCGAAATTGCTGGTGGCCGAAAGCGTGTTTACTGTATCGGGCCCGTATTCAGAGCAGAGAACAGCAATACCCCCCGACACATGACTGAGGTAAACGCTTCTTAACAATATTTGTCTGCTATCTACTTACTGGCCAACTAACAAATTTGTGTAGTTCACTGGTCTCGATCTGGAGATGGAAATTGAAGACCACTACCACGAGGTCCGTGACATGATCGAAGGCGTCATGCTTTACATTTTCCGAGGCCTCCAGGAACGATGCAAGGAGCAAATCGAGCTAGTCCGGTCCATTTACCCTTCGGACGAGTTCCTGCTACCGGAGCCCGGCAAGGAAGTACGGCTCACCTTCGCCGAGGGTCAGAAGCTGCTGCGCGAGGAAGGCCCCGAAGAGTTCCGCAACGTTTCGGACGACGAGGACATGAGCACGCCGCAAGAAAAAGCGCTGGGGGCCCTGGTGCGCAAGAAGTTCGGCACAGACTTCTACGTGCTGGACAAGTTCCCCGAGGGCGCGCGCCCCTTCTATACGATCGAGGACCCGGAGAACCCCAAGGTCACCAACGCCTACGACTTCTTCATGCGCGGTCAGGAGATTCTGTCCGGCGGCCAGCGTATCCACATCCCCGAGCTGCTCGAGGCCCGCCTGCGCAAGAAGGGCATCGACCCCGCGAGCCCCGGCATCAAGGACTACGTCGACGTCTTCCGATCCGCCGGCGTCCCGCCCCACGGCGGAGGCGGTATCGGCCTCGATCGTGTGGTTGCTTGGTATCTAAACTTGCCCAGCGTGCATCTCGCGAGCTATTACCCTCGCACGCCCAAGAGGTTGACACCGTAAGGGGTGAGTAAGTACGTACCTAAGGTATCTAGGTAGGTAATGTGTGGTTTAGTTTTTTTTCTTTCTCGAGGCCTGCTTCGATAAATAAAGAAGGAATGAGAGGGAAATGTAAATAGAAGAGGAGAAATGAAGAAATTTCTTAACGATTCAGGGGCGACGACAACGACGACGTATTGGTCATACTCGAACCGAGATTACGAGTAGATTCCATTATAGATACAACCCAATAAAATAAAAATTTCCAAGTTAATTAATGCTTTGCGTGTCTTTAACATCGATGAACAAATCAATTACCTAACTACTAAAATGGTAAAGAGTTTTGCTTCGCGGCTCTGAGTTCCTGCGAACAGAGAATAAGTAAAAGGGGGCTAGGTACCTATTTCGGGACCTAGGTAGCAACAGGATAGTGGGATCAAGAATATGGATGATAAATTAACATAAGATGAGGTTACCTTTTATTTAATCATATATTCGACATTTCCCAGCGTGCAGCATCATCTAACTGATCATTTATGTACCTGGTATTTATAATGATATCCTATCGTGATACCACTGACTTACCGTCTCTCTCTTTCGCTCCTGTTTCTCTTCCCTTCACATTACTTACTTGCTAGTGTACAATTGCATGCCGCATGCCGCATTTTCCCCAAGTAATCATTCCACGGCATGATACTTCTTCTTCTTCCATCCACGCATTTATCCCAATTAATATTTTAGGTAAATAGGTACCTCCCTCCCTCATCACTTCGTTTCCAATCCCCATTCAACTGCCTACGCTTTCCATCGAGCATCGATCTGCTTTTTCCGGACCTGCGTTTGGGTTGTTAGCGTCTGTGTATGCTTCACTTAACTATTTAAAGGAAAACGAGAAAAAGAGATAAAAAAGGGGGTGGGGGGAGGAGGAGAAAGAGGGAAAAAATAGGAGAAAAGCCTTACCATAGGTCTCAAAGCCCCCACGCCCGCCACAAGCGCCGCCACGGTGCCCACGAGGGAAACCTTATTGAAGCCCTTCCCCAGGACATCAAACGCCAGACTAGGCGTGACCCTGGTGCCAAACACGTCGACGCCGTACGCGAGGACCAAGCTGGTGCTCTCGAGGACCGCGGGCGCGGTGATGATTTTCTTAACGCCTAGCACGTCGCGCTGGTGCGTGATCATCATGCGTGGGTCCAGCTCGATGGCCGGGAAATACTTCGTAAGTCCCTCTTCGAGCTCAGCGGGGGTCGGGTCCCGGCCCACGGGACGGCGGGGTTCGAGGGCCATGCGCGGGATACCGACGATGGAGCGGGATTCGGGGAGGTATGCTAGGACCTGCCGGGTCGTTATGCCCTGTCGGGTTTTGGTTACGGCGAGAGACGTTATAGGAGCCGAGACGATAAATGTTTTAGATACGACGGATGGGAGGTACGGGCTGGTGGGAAGGTCGACCGGGTCTAGGGAGGAGTAGTTGACAAGGTCCGCGAGCGGGCCGCGGTCGTTGGCGTAGTCGGATTCGTATAAGTCCGATACGACGATTTGGTACCCCTTTAGCCGCTGGGACTGCGAGTCTCGCAGCTTGTATTGGCCGAAGAACGAGCATACGAACCAGTTCTCTGCAATAGCACAACTGATGTCTTTGGTAGGGTCTATGCCTTCGTAGGTAGACGAGGTTAATACTTGTCCGGATACAGTATCTAGGAGGTAGACTGAGAGTGAAGCCGTTTGTTCGTTAACCGTTGCTACCACAAGGGTGTTAGGGTTCAAGTATTTATACTTGACAGTTCGGTCTCCTAATACTCGGCCTATAGATGCAATGGGGTCGTGCGTAGATCGGCTTGCTACCTCAACAATCTTCTGTCCTGCAGGGGGGTTGAAGGTCCAAGTCGAGATTGCGACAGCTTGTTCGCCCTTAGTCAAAAATTTCACCCCCCGGATTCCACCGTCACTTGTGCGAGTGACGATAGTTTGCTTAGGGGCCCATGTGCTGTTCAACTCAGCAATCTTCCCACCTTCACCGATAGGTAGTAACCAGGGTCCAGCGTCGCTGTCCACTACAACAGCACTTTCAACAGGCGGGAACAAACCAATCGGCATCGATTCAACCGTCTTGCCCGTATCAGATTTGACGATGATGAATTCCCCATCAGCTCCGCGGACGGTAACGAATCCGTTCGCATCATCTGCGTAGATAGCCCTCACATTCCAGGGCTTCTTTCCGGGAGTCTCGTTTGCCGATTTAGACCAGACGATTCTCCCGTGGTTGCCGGTGTCAATACCGTACAGTTTGCCGCGCTTTGTCGCGAGAACAACAAGCTTATTGAAACCGAAACTATCTCGTGTCAAGGTTTTGCTAGGCTCTACGGTTTCCAAGCCAAGAAGACTAGCTGAAAGACGCTCGGGAACAGTTTTCAGGTACGCGGGTAGGTATTGCAGTTCGTCGATGTGACGGGCCACACGGTGCACAAAGGCGGACCAGGGGTCGGTATGCGCCTCGGCCTCTAACGTTTTCGCCAGGTCTTCCGATTCGGGAATTTCCGCCCACGTAGCAGCTACTGCGCCGCTCAGACCTTCAGGTCGAGTCCAAGATACGTCGCCGTTGACAATTTGAGTCCAGTCATCTTCATCCGTAACAATAGCCGACCGGACGGCGAAGGTATCTTCGGACTTCTTGATGACCTCGGAAACACCGTGGATAGCATCAAGTTTCGGTACTCTCGTGTCCAAGGGCCAGCGACCTAAGATGCCGTGAGAGATAGAAGAGGTGATAATAACCTCGTCGGTAGTAACTCGAGTGAAGTAGACATTGGCAGCTGAGGAGCTAGTAGAGAATGCGCTTCCACCGTCGAGCAAAGGTAGGTCATATGCTTTGCTAATAGCGTTGCTCTTGAGATCGATGTGGAACACATCTGCTCTGCTCCCTTTCTTAGTCCGGGTGTGTACGAGGAAATGCGGCGAAGAGCGGAGGGTATGGGGCGCATGAACTTCCACACCAACGGCATCGACCACAAGAGGGAACTCCTGTCTGCTCTTAGAGCCGAGGACGTTGACCTTGAGCTTTGATAAAGTGTTATCCGTCCAAGCGACGACGGGAGCCGCAGAGTTGGCCCCGACGAACTGGACATCCTCGGGCTTCTGCACCTCGCCCTTCGTCCCGAGCACGATTTCGTCTAGCTTCTTTCCGGTGAGAGTATCCAAGGCGATAACCTTGAGGGTATAGGATAACAGCGACCCATGTAGGGTGACGACAAACACCTTCTCGACGTTGGTGCTGACTTGCAGCGGCACATCATTAGTGACCTCCCTGAATTCCCATACCACCCTGCCCTCGACGCCGTCTATTCTTCTCGCAACCGTCGTGCCGTCTTCCCGATGTAACGCCAATACGTCCTTGTGGCCTTTCTCGGTCAATTCCATAATTTCCAGATCCTTCACAGCTCCGTCGAAGTCCAGCGTCCAGACATTGCGGCCGCTAATAGCATCCCACGAATGAACTGAGCTTCCCAGAGCACTCGTCAGCCACGTCTCGTCCTCGCCAGCTCGTAGATGGCCACCCCCATCGGTAACATTCTTATTTAACAACTGTCTCCACACGATAGCGCCATTACCAGGGTTCACGGCGCCTAGAACACCTAAATCGCTAAGTGTATACAGCAGACTGGCCTTTTCCTGGGGCCTCGGTCGGTGGAAGAAGGTAGTCTCGCGCTGGGGAACGCCCAGGAGCTCGTGGTGGAAGTCGATGTGATCGACCTCGTCCTTGAAGACGGCGCGCACGGCGGCAGGGAGAGCTAGAAGTAGGGCAATGGATAACGACTGCACCGGTAAATGCATCTTGGTCGGATGCGTAGAGATCTAAATCTACGCGACGAAAGATGGCTTAGTTGGGAACCGGGATCGGAGTTGTGATCGTGGAATCAGTAATTATCTGGCATTTGCATAGTTAGGTGGCATCAATGGGGGGGTCGAGAGATAAAGTCGGATGGTCGAATAAGTCGAATTCCGGGGTTAGCAAATCAGACCCATGATACAATGCTTACGTAGGTAGCTGGTACGGATTCGTACCTAACCTACTATTACGTAATTTTATGTACAGAATGGGTTTATTCGGTTACATAGTATGAGTAATGTAACAATAGCATCAATTGGTATCTCTCGAAGCACAACTATCATCTACGCCTGGTATTACATGGATCGTTATCAAGACTTCCATCTCTCCATCTTGACCGTTCAGTTTGAAAAAAAGAGGAAAAAAAGAAAAAAAACACGGATTATCTGCTCGAACAGCCCTGAATAGCTTTGTCATGGAATATCGTCCTGGAATCATGATTAACCATTATTTATATCTGACCTTGAAAAAAGCCTAGATATTTGAGATTTACTCATCGGCAGTTCTATGCTTTCGGTTAACCAAAGTCCATTTGATCCAAGTTAATGAGACCAAAACTTACGCCTTTTTGGGCCGACCTCGACCTCGTCCACGCTTAGGAGCAACCTCTTCCTCGTCAGCTTCGGCGGTCTTGGCCTGACGGCTACCTTTTCCCTTAGGTGCTGCCTTCGGCGCTGCCTTCGTAGCTGCCTTGGGTGCTGGCTTAGATGCCGCCTTTGGAGCCGGTTCCTCATCATTTTCTTCTTCCTCCTGCTCCGATTCAACAACCTTTGCCTTACGACCGCCCTTCGCCTTGGGCTTAGCCTCAGCTTTAACTTTAGCCTTGGGCTTGGCCTTAGGAGTCGGCTCCGGTTGCTCATCTAGCTCATCATCGTCAGATTCGAGGGTTGGAGCTTTAGCAGCAGCCGTCTTTTTGCCTCGTGCCTTAGCAGGGGCCTTAGCAGGAGCTTTGGCGGGAGCTTTGACAGGTGCAGCCTCCTCTTCAGGCTCTTTCTGCTCCTCGTCCTCGTCCTCGTCCTCGTCGGCTACCTTCTTAGCCTTGCGGCCAGCTTTGGTGGTCTTCTTCTTGGGAGGTGGGGCATCCTCTTCTTCGTCTCCCTCATCTGTCTTCTTGCGGCCACGCTTGGCAGATTTCTTGGGAGCAGCCTTCTTGGGGGCTTCATCTTCCTCATCCTTGACGTGTGTGAGTTATAAAAGCAAAAATAGAACAGAATGGGGAAACTTACCTCGGAACCCTTTGTCTTCTTCTTGGTAGCGGCACGAGCACGAATAGCAGCCTGGCCGGGGTTGTTGAATTCGGGGTCCTGGTAAGTTGTTAATCACTTTTCCGATGGAAAATGTGCATTAAAAAAAGAAAAAAACACTTACTCCTTTGAAATCCTCGGGGTCGATATGGCCTTGAGTCACGACACGGCGAATCTTCTCTTGGATATCAGGGTGATCCCTAGGGATGAAGAATTAGCGAAACAAATGGACAACGTGTGGTTATTTGTTTAAGACTTACTCTAATTCATCGTAGCCATCAATCATGTCCCAGTCGTAATCACCCTCGCTGGAGATTTTCTCCTGGATATTGTTGACGGTTTTACCGGAGACACAACCCCTTCGATAATGTTAGTTGGCAAACTATAAACGGTAACTAACTACCTGGGTATCCAATCAACAAAAGGTATGGAGTTAACATACCAGTGTCGCCATTTGTAAGATCCGTTTTCAAGTTGAGGCAGCTCAACCCAGACACCGAGACGCAGTTCACCCTTCAGGATTTTGACGCTGGCCTTCTTGCACACGGTATCCTGGCAGAGGGCACGGCCAGTCTTGGCGATCTCTAAAATGCAAATTAGCTACATTAACCAGGGTATTTAAGAGGAGGGAGGTGGGTGCGTAGATGAATAAACTAGTGATAGGATATAATGTAAGGGGGTGGGCGATAATGATGTCAAGTAGGAGGAGATAAGTGAAATTCACAACTTACCAATGCGATAAGACATGATCGTGCCGTATCAATTCGAGATATCTCAAATATACGGCACACTCTCGTTGGATACGGAAAATTAGTATCAAAGTAGGGTGATGTCGAATGAGGTAGAATTGGTATTTTAGTTGCGATGAGATGGAGTTTTTCTTTTGCTAAAATGCGAGGGGTGGTTTGGCCCTGAGAAAAAAGATGTGATTTAATGCAGGACCGGTGAAGATGGGATTGTTCGTTTAAGAAAAATTCCTAAAGAAACTGCAATTTGAAAGATGCGTTTTCTTTAGAACGAAGAAAAAATATTAATTGTAGTAGCGCATTTGAAATTAAAAAAGATAAAAACGGAGAGAGAGAGAGAAAATAACCTCATGTGTTGAAGGCAGAGAACAATAAAGGAAGGGTGGTTTAAAGTTGTCGAGTTTGGATGGAAGAATTGGAGAAACGAAACTCGGGGGAGTTGGAAACGCGTTGATCAGCGCGTCGAACACGCAGTGTACGGAGGCAGCTCCAGACACCCCAACCTGTCTACTTAGCAGGCAGTTAGCAGAGTCACTCATACAGGTAGGTAGTGAGTGTCCTATAGGTACAGTTGACACTACCTAATGTAATACAATTTTAGGCAGTAAACAGATAAGCGGATAGCTTTAGGTTTAGGTAGTATTAGAGGTATGTAGGATAGGAGTTAGGTATGTGCACAGTTGACTCATGATATAGTTATTTAATTTGCAACATCTTTTCATTCTAGGGGAAACGATCACCTGTTTAAAAATCCTGCCACTTCCCAAGCCTTTTCTAGCATTCGCGACATCAACGACTTATTTCATTTCATCTCATTTCATCTCATTTCATCGTATTATTTAATCTTGCTGTCCCTTTTTTTTTTTTTTTTTTTTTTTTTTTTTTTTCCTTTACCAACCTAAGCATGGAAAAAAAAGAAAGAAAAAATGAATTTCGTGTCCAAATTTCATCATGATGCCTAATAACAATCCTATCGTACTTATAAAAAAAAGAGAAAACACAACATTACTGTTTCTCCTATAGGAAAGGACACCAACCAATATACATAGCCGACAGGTTCTTCGGGTTAACAGCCTGCTTGATCAGCTCTTCCACCTGTCCCTCTACCCCGAGCGGTATGCTCTCGTCCGGTAGCAAACCCCTGACTTTCCTCTTGATGCTATCCACCACGCTCTGCGGATTGAGCTTGACCACCTCGTTTTTTCTGCGCTTATCCCGCTGTAAATCTAATGTCGGGTCGTAGATGAACGCTTCTAAGATAGTCATCAGCGTCTCTTCCTGCTGTCGAAGGATGCTCAGCGTCAGCTCTGAGCACTGTCTGAACGGCCCCTCGTATCCGTAGATTCCCATTGCCGCCACCATATTGTGCGTTAGGCGGAACGGTACCCGTTCGGGCTGCGCAAAGGTAAGACCTTTATCGAAAAGACAATTGAAGTCAACGTGGAAAACACCGCCGTTGCCTTCTTCTAGCAGCACGTTCTCGCCGTGTCGGTCACCCAGTCCTAGGATCGTGCCGACCATTGACATGACGGCGCACGATCTCGTGTACCTGAGTCGAGCTGCAAACCAGGCTGAAGGGTTCGGGAATTGCGCGATGAACCAATTAGGGAGTACAGGCGGAAACATTCCTAGGATCGTCTCCGAAAATATCTTGGTGTTTTTGTCCCCCGAAGCGGCGTCTTTCATCATCTGCGCCAAGTGCTGATAATTAGGGATGATACCACGAGATCGGTAAATGCCGAGGAGAATATCCCGGAGTGTTTTGAGCCCGTCAACCCACTCGATAATGCCGCACTCCTCATTGAGCGGCGTTACGGCGTACGTCTTGATGTATAATTGCCTCCTGCTAGACTCCGCATCTCGCTTCAGTGATCGGTTGATCATGCTGTTGAATTCCATTAATCGCTGATCAGTCCGAAGATCATCTTTAGGTTTGATCAGCAGCCCATAATTTACTCCGTTCGATCCTCGAGCCGTAAGCTTTCGGGGTTTTGCCAAAGAGCCTAGCACTAACACCTCATCTAGGAATGACTGTATGCATATGACGTCTCGAGAAAACGCTTTATGTTTTTTGACATTATCCGTGAGCGTAGGTAACGTAGCCGTGAGACAGGCCTCGATTGGGACGACAAGGGGACATGGTGTGCATTTGTGATTGAAGTTCAGATCCCGAGTGATGCTGGCCACTGTCGTCCTATTGCTTTGGAAATCCCCATTATTACAAGCCATTAGTAGCTGCTCTGCCAACTTCTCGCCCATACGCAGCAGAGCTTTCAGATCAAAGGAACCGCTCTCTACCTTCTTACTCCTACCCCTGAGTTTCTGTAGCATTTGATGGCCGCGTGCCCTCCGTTCAGAATTTGCTTGTCGAGTTGTCATGACTGCAAACAAGCTCCATAATGCCTGCCTTGGATGGGCCTCAACAACTCTTAGTATGATCTCCTCCAGTATCATGAATACCTCCGTATTGGGATGGGCGATACGAGCAACCAGTTGAGGTAAAGTGGTATAAAAAATGTACGCGGGCAGCCGCTGGATTGATTTGAAAAGATATTTGTGAAGCGACTCGAGCTGTGTTTTACGGCGATAATGAAGCTCTTTAGAAAGCGATATCTTGCCTTCCGGTGCTTTATCAACCTGTGCACCCATCTCAAGCCATAGCGTCAGAACTCGGGGGAGAGTCTGGTATAGATACTTGACGCCATAGTTTAACGATCTGATGTAGTTCTCAATTACGAGCTTGGCCGTCTCCCCGGTCAGGTATTCGTCGCTTTGATCATCTGGCTTTAGCACTTTTTCGGATTCGAGAACCTTTTTATAATGTCGGCCGAGGTAGTAGTGGCCCTTTTCCCATGTACCATATATTTTTGGGACGTTCCGATAATGTTCTCGTAGTGCAGAAGCATGAGTTTGCCCTGCGCTGTCAAGCCATTTCGCGAGAAGCAATTGAGCCCGTGCAGTCAACATACTCTGCTGCGACTCAAGATTCTTCTCAGATGATTCATGTTCAGTAAAGCTGTGACTCGTAAATGCTTGAATATCGATAGCTCCTTGAAGTGTCTGGATTGCTTTTCTATTGTGGCCTTCTTTCCACAGGAGCCGGGCATTTTCGATGGTCGCGGAATCGTCGCCGAGCTGCGAGGCATGGAGTACTGCATTGAAGGACTGGTGCATGGAGTTGGTCTTTCTCGCGAGCCGGGCACTCGATAGCCAGAGCGCTGATATATCCAGATCACTAAACCTCGACCTATTCAAGTTAGCTCTTAAGGAGAAAAACAGATTGTATAATTCATGGAGGCCTTACCCCATCAACTTCATAGCCGCCCGTCGAATGCTTAGTACATATTGTTTATCATTGACATAAGATCCGAGAATCTCGAGACGCCGGCCTAGGGTTTTGAGTACCTCTTGGGGATGTTGATTGCTATCGTTGTTAATACCAGCAATTAGTTCCAGGTCAGTTAGAACATGACATTTCAGCAGGGGTTCGTGGCACGCCCGTAACGACGACGTGACTGAGTAGTTCATAGAAGCATTAACTCTGTCTCTGAGTACTCTCATCTGATCGGCGAAGTCCTTGGTCGATCCCCTCTTTAGGCAAAGAAGAGCTTGAGCAATCGATACGTTGAAATTTTCCGTGATATCTCCCTGATATTTCCTGATAAATTTCTCCATCGTCTGCCATCTTCCTGTTGCCCAGGACGCTTCCACGGCGTAGGGTACTATCCGGTTAATCGTCGTGATAGCGGTGTGCTTTTCAATGCCTTCAACATAATTGAGGAGGACATCTAAACTTTTGATTAGTGAATGGTCTGAAGGATGTAGTGCATGGCGGAAGCAGCTCACCGTGTTGTCCTGATTCTTTGAGGCAAGTTAACAGGTCAATCTGAACATCCACATTGTCAGGGTCTTCAGCCAGTTTGATTTCATACCAAGTCTGTGCTGCAGCCCATCTCCCAGCTTTCTGATGGCTTCGGACCTGCTGGTTGATATCAAGTACATGCAGATGCGCCGATATTCCCTCTAAGCCATCTGGTTCGTCTATTTGCGTATATATATCTTGCAATCGTTGGAGGAACCGCTCTCTCTCCTCGGTACCCCTTTTTTCCTCATCCACTTGCCGGATGTGTTGTTCTAGATGGAACAACGCTCGAGCATAAGCTTTGCAATCTACGGCACGGTTCGATATCAATTCGGCAGGAATCGAATCTAGGATCTTCTGCACCTTATCCATAGCAGCGTGATCACGCGGACCGAGATTTGTTTGAACCCTCTTCATTTGTAACCAGCGCATGCCATAGTCAATGAAGCGGAACACGGCCTACTAAGTTAGTATTAGAGCTTTGGATCAGACGCATTTGAAGCTTACCTCGCAATACAACTTTTGGTTTTCCCTCTCCTCGTAAGTGGCATTATTCGGAACTTCGTGCTGAAGCACGTTAAGAAGTTCATTAAGCAGGTTCAAGCGCTCTTCGTCGGTGGTATCTTCGCCAATGATGTTGTGAAGAACTACGTAGGGGAAAAGGAATTCTGCTGTCGATAAATCCTTGATCCGGATCACTCGACACAGAGGCTCGAATATTAGTTGAGCAAACGGAGCTTGCGGCTTGCGCATGAGATCAAGAGTGAAGCTCCGCATCCAGTTGGCATACCTTGTCTTACCGGGACGAAAGATTGGGTATTCTGTCTTCTGCGGTGCCATTGGCTGGACAACATATCTTGAAGTCATGAAAGGGATCAAAACTTCCCGTGCGTTTTCAGACATGGATAGCCATTTGCGGTAAATAGGCGCTGCTTCTCGAGAACCTTGCATCTCCACAGCAGCCCTGATGTCGGACCTGTCCAGAAGCTCTTGCATGGCATAGGAGAGGAATCCCTGAAGGTTGGTATCGGTTGCTGAGAGGAATGACTTTACGAGAACCTCCTCTAGTATATATATAACGAAATCTGTTGTCTCTCCAGCATGCTCAAAATTGCTTTTAACGACAATCTGCCTCTCGGCACGAACTGTCTCCACGCGATTTGGGTCTAAACAACCTATTAACCCTATGCACTGAGTGCAGAGATCGCTAATTTCACTATGGACACCATTATACCGCGATGAGCAATCGAGAAGCGACCGAATGAGAATAGGCACAACGGAATCAGGCTGCTCACTAACGGCGGATGCCTGTAAATAGTCCTGCTGTCTCTGCAGGTAGGATACGAGCTCCCTCAGTGCTAGCAATACGACCCCATCATTTTCATGGCGGATTCTCTCAGCAAGTAATGAGAAGGCTGTCCTGCTATCAACCGGCTGACGAAGTTTGCTAAGTTGAGCTTCAATATCCGACAGATTGTTGATGTGACTAAATGATGGAAGTTTACTAATCATCGCTTCTAGTACTGTAGTTTCTTTCTCCAATAAATACTCGATCAAATTCCGAGTTTGCTTCTGGGTTGCTTCATTGAGCGAGGACCAGTAATGGCTGATAAGGAAAAACGTTGTCTCAAGAAGAGCTTCAACATCCTCTTCTTCTAAGTGAATAAGCATCGTAGCCCAGCAGGAAAATGCAGCAGAGCGAAGTTCGTCATCCAGCATAACAGCTTGAAGACAGGCAGATATCTATCCTAAGTTAGTATATATTAAGTGCAAGGCCGTGAAATGGACATTACCTGAGGACGAGCAATACGAATATACTGTTTACCGGTTCGAATCATCTCTTCCATCGCCCTTATGTACCGTTTCCGCTCCTGCGTAGGTGTTCGGATGGGCGTATCATTGATGACTTGGGTCAACCCAGCCATAAGAGCTAGCGCATACCTTTGCAAAAAGGGGCCTGATGCATGTACTTTCTTCTGTTTTAACTCTCCAGTTCCAGCTAGCATCATACTTGCCACTTTGTTTAAGACATTGCGGATCTGCAAGTCTAGTCAGTACAGTCCATAATAACCTAGGTATGTGAACGTAGGGCTCTCACGTGAGGTTTGCGATCTTCATCAGAATCACCTGCCGCCTTTAGCAGTTCCAAGGTAGTCCCGATAGGTTCTATTCGAAGTAACTCCAAAAGACCACCAGATTTATTAAGATGCGGGGATATATGTCCCAGTAGCTCCATACAAAATTGCTGGATGTCGGAGGCTTCTTGTGTTAGTAACAGAGCAAGTATTGGGCCTAGGTTAGCCTCGTCCAGACACGGCTGCCAAGCTTCTTGTTCGTTTCGAGCTTCAGCAATCTTTTGAATGACATCCCGCCTCTTGGTAAGCACCAACCAGGGCAAAGCGTGCTTTTGTATGTACAATAAAAGTTCCGCTATGCTCATATCTAGGAGCTCTGCTAGTAACTTTGTTAGTTTTGGGCGGGTTGTGAGATCTTTGATTGCGGAGAAGGCAAGATATCTCCAGAATGGCTCAAAGAATTGTCGAATGGCCATGCCTCGGGCGCGAGCAAGCTTTATTATCTGAGTAGAGTAAGAAATATGTCGGAATAAACATTATAAGTTAATATTCATACCTCAGCAAATGCGGCAGCAGATACGATCATGCTCTCATGCCCCAAATAATCAACAAGCTTTACCAGTACAAGGTTCAGCTGATCCTCGTATATAACACTAATGCAGACATTTAGTATTCGTTTGTCAATGGTGCCAAGTATTTGCGTTTACCTTCCGACTTGAGACCAAGCTAAAATGCAGGTCTCCGTAAGCTGGGGTTTATCTTGGTCCGAGAGAGACCGAAGTATATTAAGAATATTCGCGCAGTTCTTTTGTACGAGGTTTGATGTGATATTTAGATGCTTTGATACGGAAAGGAACATGGTAATGGTTCGCCTAAACTAGTCAGATAAAAAAAAGATAAAAAAAACATGCTGAACATTGACTCACCCAGCTGCAATACGAAGTTCTCTGATCGAGCTCTGGAGCGATTTCAAACACCACAGCGCAGTCGTAGAAACCTCTATGTCTAGGAAATCCGAATCTGTACAGTGCTTTGCAATACGTCTCACTGCAGTCATCGCAGTAACACGCGGTTTTCTAGATTCAAGGAAACTTGGAAGCTCAACTAATGAAGCAAATATGGCTTGAACTACTTGCTTCGTGGCAAGGCCTGAATATAATAATTCCTCGTGTGATGGTTGAGAGACTTGGCAATGGTGACAGTCAAGTCGCAAGAACCTATCACCCCCTTTATCATGTATTGAAAGTGTGTCATCGGCCGCGCAGCAGATGTAGCCGAGTAAGTCGATAATCCGGCACAGCTCAGGTTCAGATAGCTCTTTGAATCGAGACCTGTCATAGTAAGTAACATACAAGCATTTATGAAGGTGATGAATAAATAAACGTACTCTAAGATCGGACCCAAGTCCACAAGAGTCGGCATAGGCTCTGCTCCAAGTAAATGCCATAGCTGAGTAGTTAATTTAGATAACGACAGCGAATCGGCCGAGACTTTTCTGCGTTTTGACTGACGCTCTAAATCAGTGGCATCTGTAACTTCTATGTTCAATTCATTGACCTCCTGGCGGAGTTGTTCGTCGGAAAATTGGTCAATCTGCGCCACGACACCTAAAGAAGTCGGCACGAGCGCAGTAGTTACCTTTCGAAGCAGCTCTAGACACTTCTATATAGGAATCAGCAACTCCTCTTCCAATTTCAAGCTATTACTTACCCATAAATCAGTACCAGAGACAATGACTTCGTTCCCTAATATCAGTTTCTCAAGCACTGGTATTAGCTGCGAAGTGGCGAGTCGCGATGTTGGTTCGGAGTGTAGGCAAGCTTTAGCCACCTTGCCAAGTGATCTGCATAGCAATTGGAACTCCGAACTTCCTTGCCCGTTAATTACAAGCTTGTCCAAAGAATAACTTGACATTTCCATGCAGAGGAGAACCAGCAAGGTAGAAGCTTTCTCCCGAACACAGGCATCGAAGTTGTTGGTGGTCTCGGCGGTCTGATAGAACTGCAAGGTATTTCTTAAGAGCGTGGGGATGACGGGAGGAAATATATGATGCCATTGAACTTGGATGCCGTGGAGATGAAGATAAGCATCGAACAGCCAAGGAATATACTCTTGAAAATTGGAGATGATGTCGAATTCAGCATAGCGTGATGTCAGTGGCATAGACATGATGGACAAAAGGCAAGAAGCGTGTTGTAGAGCCTGCGATGCCAGTGGTATAGCGTATGTACATTGCTGTTGAAGTAGCCTCAAGTCTCCAGGGGCAGTGGAGATAAGAAACGGTTCCGGTGGTAAGTGTAAGTGAACAGGAATATCCCTGTTCATTGAGTGAGATGTGAGTGCTTTAAAATACTCGATTATAGCTGCGTGAGTGGTCAGCTGAGACCATTAGTACGGAATCAAAGCAATTACAGGCCTACCGTTGAAGCAGAGTTTAATATAGGCAAGGAGCTGTGGAAGGACAGGCCACAAAACCCCGGTATGAGAGCTGATGAAGAGAACTTCGCGAAAAAACAACTCGATCTCTCCTTTTAGATCAGTGCAATGGTCGTTCCCAAGCATTTTCAGTACCTTCGGAAAGATCCATAACCACAGGGGCTCGCTTCCTCTGAAGAGGAACGAATCCGAATCGGATTTGGCGTTCAGAACTTCCGGAGTTTCTCTGATTGTAATCTTCAAGAAGTTCAACGCTTCCAATGCATTTGCGCGTAGCCGGGCTCTATCGGCAAAGGGATCATCCCATCTAAGGCCTTCTAGAACAACCCTAGTATAGACATAGATCAGCATGTGATTATGCTCCATACGCTCTTTCGCAGTCCTCAATAATTCGGGCTGATTCTTGACATCTTCTATGATACCGAAGAACTTCTTAAGTTCTGCCGTCTCATCTGGTCGAGAAGACCGCGTCGAAGCGGAGATATTTTCCACCAATTGCGCTGCCAGAGTTGAAGGCGGCGGGCCATTATTATTCATAGAGCCATTCACAAGGCTCTCACGGCCGTTCGGGCCAGCTCGTCCGTGAGATGTAGGAGCCATAGCGTCAGTACCATTACTTTATATGAGCCAGATCCAAAAAAAAGAAAGGAAAAAACAAGTGAAGGCCGGGTTTGCGATCGTAAGTTGGAGACGCGTTTCACGCGAATTTGTTTGTCGCGACGCCACGTGATTTGAATTTAGAGCTTATCAGCATTCAAGGCGGGGTCGAAACTTTATCTTCAACTGGCTGGTTGGCAGGCAGGCTGGCTGGGCAGTTTGGGGGGTAGGGCAACCTTGAGTCCCCCTGTCTGAATAACACTGTATCAGCTGCACACTAAGCTCAAGTTCAATAGTAGTATCTCCACTAAGCTTAAGTGACAGACCACTATATTTGTAGCGATATCACCCACTATACAAGATAGCCAATACAGTGCAATGTGCTTTCATTTGCACGCCGCTTTGCCAAGACTACCTACCCCCCTTAATAACACTTCGCAGACATCTACAACTCATTAGGTACCTACCCAGTTGAATGGACATTTCAACGTTCCGATTAATAAGCCCAATGATAGCAAAGTCAATGATGTCCAAATTATCACATATCTCCCGGCAGCACATTTATAGTATCACTCGGTAAGGCCACATTAATATGTTATTACGGAGCTCGACCAGCTAGCTCCAGGTACCTTTTATAGTCGGGAGGCTAGACATAGATAGAGGACCAAAGTAAAAGTTTTGCCCCCCCTTTTTTTCCAGCACAGGCTCGGCATCAACTGTATTAGGAGAAGCTATCTGTGAAGTAAGCATAGCGATAGACTACATGGTTTTTTTTTTTCTTATTCGCAATAAACGAGAAGGATGTAGTCCTGAGGTTGCAGTTATCTAGCACCATTGCTACTCAAATATCGAACCGTGCAAGAAAGAAACTCATTCGCATTACTTAGAGATCCCACTATGGGCTATCCACTTAGAGACACATCTCTTCACCTCGTCCAGATCCTCAATGAAACGAGATCGGACATAATTATACCATCCTTGCTCGGAGGCTTGTCAGAATATCGCAATCGAAAAGCAAATGTAGTTGCGCACCATCTTGTGGCAGATATATCTCATAACTCCGCCAGTCATAATCGGAGTGTTGATCACACCACCACTACCAGTTGTCATCCTGGTCGACGTTGTTTGAGTTGCCACCAGATCCCCAACCATCCTCAGCAGTTCCTCCAGCATTGGGAGCACCCCAGCCGTCGCCTGCATCACCTCCAGAAGCCCAGGAATTGGCACCAGCATTCTGACCATCCTGAGGACCGTTCGTCTGCCATGCGTCTCCAGCGTCTCCCGCTTGGTCCTCAATGTCGCTCGTATCATCCTCCATCTTGAATTCCTTCGGGTCTACGCCCTCGGGGATGTACTGCTGAAGGAAATCGGGCACAGGCTGTCGGGTTTCCATCAGAATCTTTGTCAAATCCTCAGCGAGAGGTTCGTCTCGTTCAGTGTAGAACGAAGTAGCGGAACCGGTGTATCCGATACGACCAGTTCGACCTATGAAGTGTTAGTCAAAGAAGACACTTTGGAAATAAAGGATTTCTTACCAATACGATGAACGTATTCCTGAATTCCTCCATGATCTGCGTTCGGAAGGTCATAGTTGACGACGTAGCGGACATTACGAACGTCGATTCCGCGGGAAGTGATACCCGTGGCAACTAGAATAGGTGTCCTACCGGAACGGAACGCTCGCATGGCGTCCTCTCGTTCGCGCTGAGTGCGGTCCGAGTGCATCGATGTGCAGGGCATACCCTTGTGAAAGAGGTAATCGTCGATCTCGTCTGCCGTACGCTTACTGTTGACAAAGATGATGGTTCGGGCCGGATCCAAGGAGTACATAAGATCGATAAGAGCCTCTCGCTTCAGCTCTTGCTTCACAAAAATGACATCTTGTGAAATGTTGGCATGGGTACTTCCGATACGACCCACGCGAACACGAATGTGGTTCATCGCAAGGTACTCCCTAGCAACTGCGCGAACAGCGCCAGGGAAAGTTGCCGAGAAAAGCATGTATTTCACGTTTCCCTGTTCCTGTTCTGTAGTATATGTTAGATCTATATCGATGTGCTAGGATTTATAAGCTTACCTCCGCCAACGAGAATCTGTTCAAATTCCTCGTGCCAATCCGCGTCAAGCATCTCATCGGCCTCATCAATCACCATATATCGAAGTCGACGAAGTGTAAACAGATGCGAGCGCTGCATGATGTCGATAAGACGACCAGGAGTGGCAACGAGGACATCACAACCTCGTCCGATCTGTTGGAGTTGCTCCTGAATAGGTCCTCCTCCATAGACCACGCAGGGACGAAGCAATGTGCGGTAGCAGAACCTGCGCGCTTCGTCGAAGATTTGAATCGCCAACTCTCGGGCAGGGCAAACAATCAAAACCAGGGGTTCGGCTCGGAAATTGGCTAGGTTGCTTCTAGGAACCTCAGAAACGGGGCGACGAGCGACCAGCTTTTTGGCTTTGCCCATCAGCTCATTCAGAATAGGGATCAAATAGGCAGCAGTTTTGCCCGAACCTGAAAGACAAGCGAGTCAGTAAGAACCATGTTGAGTGATGCCTGATGATAGGGGAATTCTCACCTGTTTGGGCAATGGCGATCAAGTCATAGCCCATCTTGATAGCCGGGATGCAATACTTCTGGATGGGGGTCGGTGTTTGGTAACCTGCCATCTCGACATTCTTCAACATGATAGGGTGAAGGCCCGCATCTTTGAACTTGAAGATGGGAACGATACGATGCTCACCCTCCTGTGAGACACTGATCTCCGCAATCCTAGGAAAGTTAGATGAATATTCAGTCGCCAAGGGTAAAGCCATGAACTTACTTGGAGAAGTCTACGCCGGCACAGTGTCGCTTATCCGGGCTACCAAACAACTGAAGTTCCAGTTCCGGGTTCACGGGGGCGACATCACCTTCTTCGCCATCCCATTCGTAGATGGCACCGTTGCTGCCCCACTGGCGGTCAACATCAGTTTCAGTGTAGTCAAATGCGACCGGCTGACCCCAGTCAGCGACAGGTCCCTCAGGACGTTGTGCTGCGGTGGTTGAGGGACCGGCAGCATGGCTGGGAGCCGCGGGGTTAGCCACCGGGTTCTCCTCAGGAGCGCCCCAGCTGTCAGACATTTTGATCAACGGACCAATGATATTGTTCTCTGAATACTAAGTATTTCGCGTTAGTGATAACAGAAAAATTGACACTTATCCACTGGCTGTCAAACACTTAGAGGCCTAAACCTCAGGTAGTAGTAGATATTGCGGCCAGTCAGTACCCGAATGAAAAGGGGGCTCATGTATCATATGAAGAATTCGTGGGAGGCAAGGCAGGATGTAGGAGATGTTGTTGGTTAAGGTGTTGGAACTCAAAAGTGTCATATAGGGGATGTCAAATATATTTTGCATGGAGTTGGGAATAGGGAATCAGGCACATGGAGAAAAATGTGAAAGAAGTTTGGGTAGATACTTACTCGATGACTGAAATCTTGACAACTCGAGTCACGGTAGCTGAACTCGTATGTCGACCCCTGTAGATGAAGTTGTGAGCAAAGCTAAAGTTAAAGTGTGAAGTTGGGTTGGATGAGAGGTGGGAAGGGGTGGGAAAATAGGGCAGCAGTCGTGTATGAAAATGACGGGTCAGGCAAGAATTAATTCAATGAGGAACTTCCACAATACAGACGGGCCTACCCACCTGAGTTGAATCAACAAAGTACCACTGCGTTGCAGTAGGACGTGTAGGTTGGTGAGTATTGGGTTAGGCTAAGTACCCAAGCTTAAGAGAAAAGAGGTGTGGAAAATAAAGCGTGGAAGTGGATGGATCACAGTAAGATGTGATCAAGGAATAGACAATTAAAAGAACACAAACAGTCGAAGTGTTCATGCATCGAAGGAAGGGAAGGGGAGGGAAGGAGGAGATACCAGAGTGTGTGCTATTGTGTAAGGCAGATGCTTCAAGGTTTGCCTTCGGCAAGCTGCTCTGGACAGATGATGCATAAGGTGTCAATAGGGAAAGATGAAATGTTAAACTTACTTCAAGTATTGCTCTAGGTGTTAAGGAACCAAAGAGCTATGTAGGTAAATACCGAAATCCTGGTTCTCAGATGGAAGACAAGTTCTGGTCTGAGAATGTTGCTGCGGTGAAGAGGAAAAGGAAAAGGAAAAGAAAGTGAGCTGTAGAAGAAAGATGCCCTGCTTTTATAAATGTGGGTGGGAGAGGACTAGGTCACTAGGATCTTAATATTTGGAAGGAAGAAAACCCGTGAACTCGAGAAGTAGCAGTGGCCTAGTTGAGTTTGTTGCTCTAGTTTAGGTACTTCAGAAGGGAGGAAAGTGAATTACCATTGCCCTAGGGAGGTAAGTGCCAAATTTGTTATCACTGTTTGTGCAGCTTCATAAAAGGTATAACTTTTAGTAAGAACAATTTTAGGCAACCAGGTACAAAGGAAATTGTCATGTAGGCACCTATGGAATGGCTATTAGGGAGGAGCCACCATCTACCTAGGTAGCTATCTGTAACAGGTGCGTAAGTAGACTACTTAAGGTTGCTTCGGTTAGGTGCAGCTGTTACTAATATTCAATGCACTATGAGCTTCTGAAATGGAAGGTACTCTGTGATAATATTGTTTTACGTGGATCTAGATCTCTTTGGGAAGGCCGTATAGTATAACGGATATATAACTAGGAGCGTCGGAACGATATACAAGTAACTGTGTGAAACGACGAGGGCATGAGAGGTAAGTACCTAGGTCTACATATACCCAATTAGGGGGGGTATCAGCCACGACAACCTACATGTTAGACTAGAGAAGAGGATATACATGGAATTTTATGGGATTAATAGTTATTACATAAAGGAGATGAAGGTAGTCTTTTCGTATACTTCAAATATTAGTTCACAATGCAAAGTAATGCACTTAATTCAGGCATATGAGGTATGATAGGGCCGTGGTCACGAGTTCGTGTACATACAACCTATGGTAGGTTAAAGTGTGTTTGAACGCATGGAAAGAAATGGATTCGTTGAAAGAGTTATAACATATCTACCTAAGGTATGTTAGGTTACCTAAGTAGGCACTTAACAGTACAGGTTGGTTTCCTATTTAGGTACCTATAGATGACCCTGTGAAGAGGTAACATTAAGAAACTTGTTCACTGGCTGGTTACATTTTGTCAAAACAGGCATGTCTAAAACATATCTACAAGTTTGTTGCGTCGGGAACACCCGTGGCAAGGTAACGGGCTTTATGCTCCGTGAAATGGTTACGGCTTTATATGAGGTACGTGCTTCAGAATATGCATATGTAAATTTTTGTAAGGTATTTCGTATGTAGTGTTCATTCATATTATATATTATATATTATATTACTCTTAGACTATTACGGTCACTGACTTTGCTCTTCCAAAATACTTATAGGTATGAGATATAGTTGCATGTTAAATCTTATGTAGTGTGGATAGTAAATTGAGAACGAGGTTTTTTTGCCATCAAGTGTTATGCTGCATGGCTAGGCTGGACCAAACATATAACCTAGCACTAGAAATAGAAAGTTAAACGTTATAATTTTTAATGAGGTAGAATTTTCAGACATGCCTTGAAGAGCATAGGTAGGTACCTAATTTACAAGATATACCCATCCCACAGATGCTCCTCATCATTGAACCGTGAGATCTGCTCATAGTCGCCCATCCCATCCTTCAACACCTGATCTAGCGTCGCAGCAGCTCTCCCCGCTGCCCCGCCTTCTTTCTTAGCCATATCTACGCCAGCCTCAACAGCTGCCCTGAATCTCTTCTGGAAGATCTCTTGCCTATCTTCCCGGTTCCGATAGAGCTCGCTGTCCTCGTCCCGGGGTGGCTTGAACAGGCCGAGATACCCGAGCGGATCGGGCGTTTGGGGCACGCAGCTTATGCTGCTGAACCAGTCGTTGGGGGTCCAGGATACCGCCGTTCCCGGCTTGAACCCAACATCTAGAAATTTGGCCAGCACCAGCATCTGGCGCGGGAAGGACTGGCCGTATTTCTTGGCGCCGAAAGTCGTCCGAGGCGCAGACGTCCATCCGCTCTTCGCTGTTGTAGCGGTTGGGGCCGACTTGACGGCCCATCCTAATACCGACATAAAGTCTCTAAGCGGTTTAACCCAGCAACCGGCGCTCGAAACGACGTCCTCTCCGGCCACGTCAAGTAGCCATTCCATATAATTGAGGCCGTCGTCCTTGATCTCCTGTGCGATGTGGGTCATAGTGCCTCGGATATACAGCATGATCTTCTCGACATGAGGGCGGACTTCGTCTGCCGGAAGAGTTCGCAGCAGCTTTAGCAGCTGGCCGCGCACGGGTCCGGAGGAGTCGGACATGATGGGGAGAAGCTTCTGTAGTAACGTCGAAGTGCCTACTGGGTTTACCGGCGGATTTGTCGAAAGCTGGCTCGCGAGGTAGGATAGCGCATCTCGGCGCTGAGTGTCTGAGCGAGAGCTCGTGAGAGACAGATTATGCTTGAATCGTTCGGATAGATCTGGGGCATTCTCTGCAAGCTGCTGTTGCAAGACAATAGCTACTAGGGTTCAGTAAGGCCATCCTGGATCGTGATAAGGGTTCTTTTTTTTATACCTTTGGACTTAAAACTGGTATCTGTAAAAGTGGAAGGCTTCGCCTTTGGTTTCCCTACTTTCAACTTGGGCTTCTGGAAGTCCTTCTTCTTTTCCTTCTTCTTCTTAGTGCTGGAACCCATCTTAACTCAGTCATTGGGATGAATGAGAACTGACGAGATAGGTTGACTAGGCCAATTGGCCTTGCTATCGCCGTTATAGTTATCCTATATAGCTAACTGAGCTTTGCGACGGAAACTTATCAGACGGAACTTTTTGGCGGTAAGTAGCGGCATAATTCGCTGGAGAGCTTATCTTATCATCTTATCAGTGTGGCTTGTTCACCTAACTTCTGCCACTGTCCTGTCTTGGTGGCTTAAGCTCTATATGAGCTCTCATGTCATACCGAGGGCAGTCCCCTTTTACAATTAATCCAAGGAAGTTTTTCACCTTAGCTAGTCACAAGAAGACATGGCAGAACAGGCATCGGTAAGGGTTACAAATCTCTGAAATTATAAATTATAATGCACAGGTAATCTGACTAATCACGTACGCAGCCTTCCGTCAACACGGAATCCATAGACGAAGCACTCCACCGGCTGTCTAAGAAGCCTGGGGTGAAGGCCTGGCTCATGCTGGACCGGGTTAACGGCGCCGTGCTGAAGACGAACGGTCAGATCTCTACCATTCGACCCGCGCGATCCATAGAAAATAAGAACTCTCTACCGAGCCCTACCAGCGGTTCCTTTTCGGCCGACGTCAGCACGAGCACGGACAACGAGACACAAGCCGCGCAGGAGCTCGCCGGCCTGGTATGGGGCTTCTTAACTACGGCGGGGAGTTTGGTCGACGAGATTGACAGCGAGGTAGGTAAATCGTCAACTTCAACGTTCAGCGGTACCATTAAAAAAAAACCCAGAAGAGAAGATGGGACTAATATAGAATGGATAATTATAGGATGAGCTCAAGTTGTTGAGGCTGCGCACCAGGAAACAAGAGCTCGTAATCGTCCCCGAAATTAAGTATCTACTGGTCGTAGTCCACGACACACCGCCGGTATAATTGGACGCGTCGCGTCGCGCCGCGTTTTAGGCTATCGAATTTGAGAACTCCCCAGCTCACATATTTGAGCTGGTGGTTTCCCAGTAGCTTGTGAGCATACACGGCGTTAAAGGGCGTTTAGGATGGCATTATACCCAACATTGCCAAGGGGGGAATGATTCATGTTTGATGGCCTAGGATCGTCCTAATGGGATTCGATACGGTTAATAGAAGAATATTGTCGTACGATTTGCGCAGGGCATCGCTATGTGACTGGGTCTATTTCGAATACATGTGGTCTCCAAATATTGTATCTGTTACGTGCTGACTGGGCGAGGAGTACACGACTACCCCAGAGGCGATACTTGACTCTTGATAACACTACTTCATGCCTCACATCCCTCTAGGCATTTTTCAACGACGCGAAATTCATGGCTAATCTAACTTCCTAGGAGCAGCGGCCAGAACGCCGCCGTGATACCGTCGCAACCCACACCAGCCATTATTTTACTATTGCGCCACGAGACGGTAATTTGTTTACAGTCCATGTACGACCTGAACCATGGGTCGCTCTGATTATTGGGTCGCGCTCTGCGGCTAAATGGCAACGCATGTTGTTCGTGTCAGACTCACTTAACCAAGGGCTGAAGGGCTGTTGTCCCTATGCTGACCACCCAGAGTCAGCTTAACCCTGTAACAGACGCTTCAGCTAGGTAATATCACGCCAACAACATTGCCATGTATGCAATCTCTAGAGGCCTTCGTTCGAGAGCGGTTGTTTCCCCCGTCGCGTCTAAGAAATTCCCGCACGACAGCAAGCTGACTGCAGCAGCAGGTCCTAGCTACTGCAGTAGTTTAAACCTGCTACTGTAGGCAATGCAGAATTTGACAAGGGTACCGGCTTTCAGGGGCGTTTTGCATCTTTTGTGTGTTAGGGCCGGAACAAGATGGTCTAGTGGGAGACGGATATTGTCGTGGTGGCTTTATGATGTTTCCGAGGACCTGGAACGCTCTGTATTTATGACCATCCGCCTAGCTAAAGGATCGGCATTTGACGCACTATCGAATGTTCTTAAGGCTAGGAAGAAAGCCTTATGCCTCCTCTGGACCGCTTGCAGTAACCATCTGCAGTCGGGTAAGCCCAGGCGCAGACTCCGCTCCGCTGTCTTGATGATACTAGCCATCACATTCGTCAAGTCCACCACAATGACCCTGGGCAGAATTGATGCCTAAAGGGCCATCGACCTACCTAAACGGTAGCTGGCTTGCTTACCTTGCCGGGGTTGACAGGGCGCATAGTGTTCTTTCTGGTACGCCTTCTAGAGAATATGTTTCTAAAAAGACAACCGATAGGGATAGGAGAGAAGAAACAGCTTGTTAATTCTAAGTGGACGAATTCTCCAGACAACTCCGCGTATGATGTTAGGTATTGAGGCCGTCAATATAAGCTACATTGATTGCCATTGTATATTGTTCGTTTACAAGGCAAAACACGTTGTATCCTTGGGAATGGGGAATTGATCTATATTTCTCGAACGTTACTATTTTTTTTATGAGAGAAGTTGGACTCCGCAAAATGGATGAAACCGGACAGATAGGTTTCCGTTCTAGGGTCGGTACTATATGACAAGTTGAGAAAGAGAGGATGGATAATATCCCATACCAAGAGGAGGCTGACCGTGGGATGAATTTCGCGTGATACGAAAACTGCTTGTGAAAGCGCAATCGACATGATTCGCTCAGGGCGGTTTGGATTTGAGAAAAGAGGATTTTCGTCACGGGGACTCATCTTGCGTCCTGTAGATATGGCGGTTGGCAGTGCCACATGAGTTGGCAATGATGGATGAAACATGTCTCGACTCCTAGGCTAAATGATTATACCTAAACTTCCACGTGAACTTCATGTCTTCATGTCCTCGCATAATTTTCAACCAAAACAGTCAGCTCATACTCCATTAGCCTTGTCGATAGCATATCTGCTCTTTTATTCCGACTGGAATCTTTGATATCTGTAGACTTGTCATAGTCATTGCGAGTACCCCCAGTTTAGGTCCCAGTCGGACCAAGAATGGCTTGACGAACACGAACTGGACGTGACCAAGGAAATGGACAGCTTAGACCTTGAAACCTTGAAATGTGCTTATGACGCGCGAAGTACTGCGTATACCCGCGATTCAAGACCTCTCGGTACGGTAATAACAAGTATGGATTCGCGGGAGGCGATATCAGAAGATCCTATAGAAAGGCTCCATGGCCAGCGTTATCAATAAGTACATCCAATACCGCCAATTTGACTGACCACGGACAACTCCGATGTTGGTGATTCGTAGTACTATTTAAAGTCTTGCCAGCTCAATACGTGGATAGCAACTCATCACCAACATCAGCTATAAGATTCGACACCAACTGGATGGACATTAGCCTCGGATCAAATGAGAAGTTCTATGATCACTATGAGCTGTAACCGATCGCCGTGGTTATCGCCTTTGGAGCGATTCTAGAATACTACATCCGGAACCGAACTGGGCTACCGTAGGATGATATACCTGGACGCCCTACGGATGTAATTGAGAATCCAACAAGGTCAGGATCATTGGCTTGCAGTCATTCCCGAATTATAATAGGACAATTGTGTTGGTGGGTACATAGTATGTCATATAATCCAACATGCCATTGGGTTAGCGTATGAAGCAGCGCCTCAAGCTTCAGGATTCAATGTTACACCATCGTATGCGAATTATTTACCTTGGAATATTCTATAGAAGCAAGGTTTTTTTTTCCACTAAGACATCAGTCAACGCGTCCCATATAAATGAAGTTAATACATTCGAATCTATGGGGTTGAAAGGCTGAGTGTGAAAGGCCACCTATGTTTTAAATTAAAGTGCTAATATTATCAAACTTATACGGCACTGCTCAGGATTTGGATAAGAGATGTTTCGGGAATAATTCTAAAGCAGTGAAGAAGCACCATAAGGCTAGCATGGTTTCGAAGTCGTAAACAAGAGCGCTCTCATCCCGTACGGAGAACCCGATAGCGGTTTATATTTGGTTGGCGGCTTAAACGGAACTGGCATAGTAGGCCGATTCCACGTTTCTGCTTCTAGAGGATAGAATCGCGGTTCGCATGGGTGGTGCGAAGCGAACGATCTGGTGGATCTATCTATGGTTACATGTACTATATGGGTCGCCCACGCGAGCCACGTCAGGCATTTATGGCTGAAACTGTAAGTGAGCCCTAGCGACGAACGTGGATGCTATATAGCGTGAAATAATGTCGGTGTGCGGCTGTCGCATACGTAAGGTATGAGAAAAGTCCACAACCGTCGGAATAAGACGCATGATCAGATAGGTACCTTACATAGTATTGACGGCGTTAGAAGCTACCGACCATGTAGATGTAGCATATTAAGGGCGAATTTCGAATTATGTACCAATTCTCGTATAGTAGATATCCCCCCCTGCACATTCGACCTCCGAGGTCTATGAGGTAGTAAAAGTGACTTGAAACAACCTAAAAATGTACAAGATAGGTAGTTCAGGTAGCTTACCGGCTGACTATCTTGCTCATTCATAAGCCATCGCGGGTTGATTACATGGGTATGAGTACCCATCGCCCGAATCCATCTGTCATGGACTGTGACGTCCGGCACTTTGAATGTTAGCTTGGCGCATACAAAGATAGATCGGATGCTTGATACGGCCGGCTGGTTTTAATATGGCCGTATAGCCGCCCGGCCTTGTCCCCCATAGCTGTGCAATCTAAAATTTCCATCTGGAATTGAATGCGCCTATCATCGTCTTCCAGCATATGTCTCGGGAAGACCGCAACATAGACGATCACGCCGATTAGTTTCTGAACCTCACTCGAACTCAATATCTTAGGTCCAGCCCCATCTTGACTTCAACTGGGTGTCTTGGCGGTTATCCTCATGGATCCTCGTGGACCCTCATGGCACACTTATAACCATAGGCAGTAAGACGATTTTTTTTCTTTTTCTTTTTTTTTTTTTTGAAACCACGATGAACTTTTCGCACAATATACCGTCGGACGTCGTGTTTGACGTTTTTAGTTTAAGCCGCCGGCAAAGTGCACACGATTCACTCATGAGGATGCCATCATTGGCTGTGTTTAAGCCTTCGGCACTGATCTTTATTACCGACAGCAAGGAACCGAATGATGGCAAACGGCGAAAACGCTCATCTAGTTATGCTCGGATTCGAGAATTCGTGCATTGGCCAAAAGAGAAAAGTCGCAAAACTTCTCAGGGACGAATACGAAATAAGTTGCAAAAAGGCATCAGAGTAATCAGAGGGGTTGGAGTGAGTAAAGATGAAGGATCGCGGAGACGAAGTGGATATTATGCAGGAAAAACTTCGAGCGCAGATGCTGGTGCAGAAGTAGGCGCAAGCGTTGGTTTGAGTTTAGATTCAAGTTGGAAGAAAATACGTAGAAGCGCGGCCGTCGCGGATGCAACAACGACTCCGACAGGTACGGCTACAACCACGTCCGCAACCACATCCAGAGCTACCGGCGGAAGTATAAGTACATCGAATGCGGAGAAAACAAAGGCCAACACAGCAGAAACTACGGTACTGTACCTACCATAATTTCCTTTTACAGCAACCCTTACCGCCCCTGCCTTTTTTCTCCCTCCACATTAGGTACCACACTATCCTTGTCGGAGCACGTGTCCGCCAAGTGGTAGTCAGTTCATTATGGTCAATGCAATGGCAATTGCCAGATGCACCACATACGAGTTTATCCCCCCAATCCAAGCGTTGTACAAGTAATTGTACAAGCATTGTATTGTACAAATTGCAATGCAATGCAATGCAATCCATGGAATTAAAGTTCAGTCCCCAATTCAGTCCCCAACCCAGTCCGGTGAGGCGGGGGAAAGTGCAACAGTTGTTGAATAAACCGCGACCCCTTATAAACGGGCTTGTCTTATGACCTCAGCTGATGTTTCTACCTAGACCCTGCATGCGCTGTTTTCCTTTCAAATCCTCTTGTTCCTTTCAATATTTTCTTATTCTTTCATATACTAGCTGAGACTAAGTAGTTTTTGCAGCTGAATGTCTTATATCGATTTTCGAGTTCTGATACATCTCACGTGTTCAACATCTTCTGTAACAAGCGCTGCTCACAAGGAGTACTTTTCGGAGTTTACCACTAACACCGCTCGTAACCTCTCAGCAGATTCCAAGTGCCCGGCCATCTACTGAGAGACCACCATTATCTCCGCGTGTTCCCGTCAATTCTAACAAACCACTTCCATCTCCGCCTCCGCCGGGCACTATAGACAAAGTCGATGGCAGGCCTCGCAAGCCTGTTTTAAAACTACATCGCATCATGGCAGCATTGACCGATACCGAGATCGAGAAGTTATTCTCCGGAGCTCCGCAATTCTTCGCTCGGTCTCAAGGCCACGGCACCGGTGCCCCGCATCCATCCGTGGCTTTCCCCTGGAATGAAGAATTAAGCATCAGAGACCTAACCGATCATGTTCAAATAGGGGATAATGCCTGGGGCTGCGTCACGGCCGGGCCTCGCATCATTCTCCGAGATCCCTTATCCGTAGCTTCACCATCTAGCAAGAAGCGGCCTCACTTTAATGCAAGGTGCCAGGAGCGACCAAACATGCTTAGCATGCAAGGTTCAGAGAAAGGCACCATTGGCTATCAGGCTGCCTTGGAAATTTTTATTGCCGATGCCCTGCAGGAGGAGCAGTACGGCTTCAACAGCTTAGGATCTAAGGGCCGTGTCATTGTAGAGCAGCGCCAGAGGTTGATAACCTCCAAGGATGGCTTGCGACATCTCGAGAATTCAGCTATCATGGAACAATTAATTAAGTGTGAGGAGAGGTATCAGGCTGAGCGAAGGGGTGTTCGCACGAAATCCCGGGAGCTTTACGATGAGCTATTCTCCAAAATTCTCCTTCCGCCAACAAAAGTCATCGACCCCAGAGATCCTTACAGTTTGGCTGTTCAGATTCATGCCTTGGTGAAGGTACTGGCGGCGCCAAATGCTTGGACCGACTTTTCCCGTGTCGAATGGAGGATCCGCCTTGGCCAAATTTTGTGGGCCTTCCCGTTGGATGATGAGATCTTGGACGGGGCAACTATCAACGAAGGAAACGATGCACAAGATCGGAGCGAGGAAAGATATTGGCTTCTGCTTCAAATTCTCATTGCCTGCGAACTCCTCATTCGATTAGACGCCATCACGGAGGGCGATGAGTGCGGTGTAGGCCAAAGCCTTAAGGCGTCTGAGATACACAAATTTGAAAAGGAGGCAAATGTCTCTGTTAGATGGTCCTTGATTCTAGCTCGATCGTGGCTCGAAAATATCAGGGTTAAAAAGCAACAGGATAACCATTCCGAATCATCCGCGCCTAAAGGATGGCTCTCTTCTTTGACGAGCAGGATAAATCTTAAGCACGAGCACATGTACGGGGCGCATTATGTTGACCATACCCAGCATCGTCATAACCTTCAGTCCGAGCATGTGTATACGATAGAAGGTAAATACAGCGAGCGACAGGTTTACGGCTTAATGCATTTCGCACGAAAGCTACGATGGCCAGGTATACAATATTCTGGCACAAACTTATCTGAAAGGGCTATGGCATTGGCTAAAGCGACCCCCGTCATTACGCTTCCCCTTGATTACGATTCCCGTCGCTCCTCATACTTCTCCGATGATGCATCATCGGTACGCGAGAGGAGACAACCATCTAGACAGAGGAATACCAAAGCTGCATTGCATGCGTCTGGTTGGTTTTCGAAATCATATGTATCTGGCTTAATCCTACCGGGTGAAATGTTATCGCACCATCTCATGTCCACTCTACTCGAAGTTGATGAAGAGGTATTGACGAGGCTCGGTCCGGTGGCAAATCTTAGTGGTGGTTTTGTCTACAGTGGGAAGAGTTTCTGGAGCACGGCCTGCATCGTGGGCCGCGTCTTGGCTGCTGGACAGGGTGCGGCAGAGTGCATGGGCTGGATATCGAGTGATGTGATTCCTCAGGGACTTGGTGACGGCTGGTTTGATATTGCAGTTGATGCCATCCCAGGTAAGCCCTGTCATTTTGATCCAATTCTATTCAAGTTACTTACCATTATAGCCGATCTCGCCCGTACCGGAAGAAAAGCCAGGATATGGGGGAAAACAACCATCGAACGCGAATCAGATGTTCTTGGTGATGCTGATCCTTCAAGTGTACTGCCCGCCGACTTTATAATCCCGTACGAAAACGCGTATCCCAATCCACCTCCATCGAATATCAGAATAGAGCTCAAATCGTTAAATCTAAATGCTCCGGTAGACAGCGTAACCACAACCCCTACTACGGATAGAAGTTTCCGCCCGCTTTCGGGTTTAAACCAGGATGCAGGCGCAGATATTCAGACATACCCTGCTTCTGTAAGTTTTACAATGTCCCACGATGGCCTCGAACGAGACGAAGAACACAGCTTTACGCTTTCCAACGACGTTTACTTTGTTACGGCTCACCCTTGTGTCGCCTCTTCTTATGTAAAGTATTTTAAATCACCTACCAGCCCTACTATTCAGCAAATAGACGTCGGAGGCCACAATTTCAGTGAAAAATCTTCCAGTCCGGCACATATCACAGGTTAGTATCCGCGCATCGCTCCTCTTAATGTACCAGTATCTAACTAATATGTATCAGGTCACCCACTTCATCGATTCTATCATTATACAGCAATCCATTTAACAGATCTTATAAATCACCAATCTGCAAGTCTGGAGGAACTATTGAGCAAAGTACCAGTAAAAGGTCATTCGAGAAGCCACTCCTCCATCTCCATCTCCAATAGGCTTCCCCGGTTCCTGGTAATTGATTGTGTGACAGGCTTTGCGCCACCACAATCACCGGACATGCTTTCACTGTCCCGTATGTCTTCTCTTTCATCATCATTTGGTATGGAAGCTACCAATATGTCACCATTACGGACCTCTAGTTCGCTCGAGCTAGAGAGACGACCAAGCACAGCAGCATCATCCCTCAGCAAGATAGAGAGGATCAACCCGCCAAGCTCTAGTCCCGAGGCCAAGATGCAACTCGGAACGCGTAGGAGACAGTTCGGGTCCGACCTCGAAATCCTTGTCCGCGCTCTGTGCGCCGAGAGGGGTTGGAACGCTATAATCAGCCGCCGTAGGAGGGGCTGCTTATCTTGTGCCATAAGAGAAGCGGGGGCTCTCGGATGGAAAGTCATTATCCGAGTTGAGTAAATAAAGCATCGAGCGAGGAGTATTAATAAAGAAAGCACGAGAAAGCAGTTTTCGAGTCCCACACGGACTATACAAAGTTTTGGTTTTCTTGGTGTGGGATCGGTTTGGTGGCGCAATTTGAAATCGCAGCATCGTCGGAAAAAGTTGACGTACGCACAAAAAAAAGGGGGTGAATAGGTATTCATTGCAAATAGCGTGCATGCATAGTACAGGGTGGCTGTTACGACTATCTTTTTTCTTTTTTTCTTTTGTATACCTATCGAGATACCCAGCTCTTCAAGCTACTAATAAACAAGAAGTTTTGTTCTTGGAAGATGTGTCTATGAGTTCAATCACTGGCGCTTCATCGGTAGGTACCTACCTGGGTACCTGTCATATTTGATTGGAATAGGAGATGCGGAAATAAAACTTACATCTGTTCTCCGATCCATTTCCCTCTTTATTACTAGGTTACTCACGGGTACTCAAAAGTAAACCACCTGACATAGATTTCCTTCGGAGATTATGCCAAAAATCCTACACGTGAATAGCGACTATCGACGGAGGATTGGAGAGGAGTCGGCCTCTGCTATGACAAACCCGCGATAGGCTCCAAGTCAAAGTCCCCGTTGAAATCGCCATCGGCCGTCATTAGCATCCAGCTCCCGTCGTCCTGCACGTTCTCGGGCAGCCATCTGAGCGGCGTTTCGACGGGGATGATATGTGATTGGAATGTTGTGTTGTCGCCATCGGCGTTCGTGTCCGTGTGCCCGTCTTGTATATACGGGATCTCGCTGCCTACGATGGAGGAGATGATGAACTCCCCTTCGGCAACGGCGAGGGACGGTTGTTGGAATGAAGCGGAAGCGGAAGCGGGGGTTGGCATAAAGGTCTGGGCGTTGGGATTAATTCCCAGCTCGCTTGGAGAGGAGCTATCAGCCGTTGCCTGCGACGTCTCTTGCTCCGAGCCCCGTTCCGTATTGGCGTTACGCATCGACGCCTTCTGCCTGTTGAATAGCTGGCAGATCGTCGAAGCGCACCGAGCTGCCACCGGAGTACTGTTCGCCTGTCTAAGGATCTCGAGCCCGAAGTGAAGCCTGGCATTCGCCTCCCGAGCTAACCCTAGATCTCCGGCGGAGGCTTCGTTCTCGGTGAAATCCAGCACGTTTACGGTGCAGGCGACGAATAGTGTGTAAGTCTCTAGATAGGTGATGTACCGGAAGCCGAAACGCTTGACGTGCAGCATCAGCAAGGTATCGGCCATTTTGGCGGCTTTGGTACATCGCTTTTTTGCGGTAGGTTGTAGGGTTCGGTACGGTCGGCATAGGAGTATTGTGGCGGCTTGGTATGTCAGGTTTAGGAGTAGAATGTATAAAGGCGGGGAGACTATTGCCGTCGAGGTCGTGTCTTGAATGAATATTTCTGGGGGAAGCTGGTCGGCCCAAGACTGTAACCGTTGCAAGGTCATGTTCATATATGCCAACAGGTCGTCTTGTCGCCTATTGTGTGGTCGCGAGTATAGCGTGTCGAGGATATTTTCGATGATAACGCTGAGCTCGCAGTATGCAACAAAGCGCGTGCTGCTCAGGGACTTCTGCTCCACGAGGCTGGTCACAAACGAATTGTGCGTTGTTACCGGTGGCCATACTTCATCATCTGCGTCGTGCCCGTATAGCAACGTGTCTCGAGTGGGAAGTTCCACGGAGCAATGTACGGCCGGTGCTCGGCCTAGACACAGGCTCATAGTCTTATCCCAGGTATAGCAGCTCCAGAAGACCTGTTTGCGCACGGCAAGCTCCTCTTCGGTGAATTGCTTGGCCAGGTGGCCGAGCTTTCTCGGAGATATGTCTATCCCGAGATCTCGCATCATCCGAAATGCCGTCCCGGAATAGAGCCAGCCTTGGGAGACGCGGCCGCAAGCGCACTCGCGCGCTGACAGGATAAGAAGACCTTGGATGGTGGGGATGGAGCTGCCCTTGTCAATGTCACTGGGTAGTAGTTGTAAAGCCCGAGAGGCAAAAGTCTGTCCGACTTCGGTGGCGTCGCGCCGTGTGGAATACCGAGCTGCTTGTGCGAGCACAGCACATAACAGAAAAGGGGTAACATATGGCCCTGGAGTATATAGGTCTCCTGGGAGTCGGTTAGAATCTTGACACAAATAAAGCGGTTACGAGAGTAGACGAACGTAAAAATAGGGGCTTGCATAATACACAATGAAAGTGATGTGGGTAGCACCAATAAGTATCTAGGAGGTCATTCAAGAGTTCGTGTGGTATTTCGGCTAGGAGTGAAGCTATATCATGGAATTCGAATATCGAAGGCATGGCCGCCATGTCGTGAATATGAGTTCCCGTGCTATCGCCATAGCTCGATATAGATGTAGGGCTATGTTCTTCAAAATGTTTAGGATCTACGTGGTACAAACTTGTCTTTCCGTAGAAGTTTACTCGCCCGTCTGTGCCAACTGAGGCCATCTCAGTGGTGTAATCCATATTCTCAGCAGGAACACTATCAAGTTGCTGATAGCTTTGTAGATCGGGAGGGCTTCGAAATGCACGGGATCTCCCTCCATTTGGGTTTATTGTTCTCATAGGTTCGTTCAGGAGGGCGTCCCTATCTTTATCTTTGACCCGTCGAAGCTCCTCGATTCTGTTCTTATACGCTTGCAGTTCATCTTGCAATGATACAGCATAAGCTATTGAAGGGGCCCTAAAGAAATGTTGAGTATATGTTCGCATTTTCAATTGGTGCTGATATGCTGCTCACTTGTCGTACGAACAAGTTTCACCGTTCGAAAGACATTTCTGGCAGGCCGGCATAGCACCATTACACCTAGCTTTTCGTCTCCTACAGTTTGAACAAGCAAATCCATACTTCCGCGCTGGCCTAGCATTGGGTTGTCGCATTATTTATGATTGGTTCAATACCTAGGTAGCTAGGGACTCAATGATCGTCTGTGGTTAGGTGGGGTTGGATGCATAGGTACGCAAAGTTAGGACAACGAGTGTAGTTATAATCGTAGATCTAGGAGATTATTTTCAGGACGGCCATATGCGATTAATTCCGTGTCCTTGCAAAAGATCTCAGTTACACCATTCTATACCCTATCACTAAGTACTTAAGTAGCTGTCGTCAATATCTTACTAGCTAACTCAGGCACCTATTATCGCGAATATTTATCAAGCCGGGAATTCCAAGTCGTATGCGAGTGACTCTCCATCGGCAACCGCCTCGCGAAGCTCATGGACACTGAGCGATCCGTGTTAGTTGATGCGGACTTTCCTAAAACGAATAATGCAGAAACCTACCGTGAATGGGCTGGGTGAGTTGTGTAGATCGGTAAGTCCTCTGCCCTCTCCAGAATAGCTACAATGCCCATGTTAAATCCTTGGCTTCTATATGCCGTATTAGGCAATGGACTATTTATCTCGAGCTTTATGAGACCTTATATTATACCATCACTGTTAGTTTTCGACGAATAATATGGTACGTTGACTGTAGTGTGTGTCCAATAACGGCTACCCACCAGGAACCTTGGACACCATTGCTCGAGCATGGTTCTTGAATTCCTCCAAAGTCTCCACCGTCACTGTCGGGTTTAGCCGGAATAGTACTAGAACCGCTGTCAGCATTGTTAAAGGTTAAAGTTTCCCATGAAACCCTGAGAAGGACGGCCAAGTTAGGAGGTACCTATATGATATAAAGGCATGACTTTGCGAAGATGGATGCTCTGATTTAAGTTAAGGTATTGTGCCGAGTATTGCAGAGAAAACGATTTCTAGTTGCAGAGGAACTATACTTAATATAAGTTGACAACATGAGCATTTCATACGCCATTCGACAAGTCTTCTCGTCCCAAGACTGTCAATAGCTCTGTATTTCGCTGATCCTGTCCCGCCTACAGGAAGTAAACAAGATTCCGATAGGACTCAAAGATTCGGCCATATCCTGGCGATAACATATCCGTCCATCAAGTTAGATACTCCGCTCCGCACATCGAGAAGTCTCGCGCCAAGCAAACGAGAAATTGAAGTAAGACAAGCTGTCTAGGATGTCGACAAGATGACGGGGAGTGTCCCACTACCCCGGCATCTTCCCGTGTCCCCGCCCCGGCTGTCGTGGAGATGAACAAAGGTGGGCTTTGATACATCATTTGTCAAACATCTTTTCGCAACAATCTCACCGTCGTAGTGCAAGTGACAGTCATATTAGCACTGCAAACATTCTGACAGGCATCTATCCGCACAACAGTAACATTTTCTAAGTGAACGCATATGTTATGAGTAATCCGATGGATTTGGAGTCCGTGTCTCCGGCATCCTACCGGATTACCACCGGTATAGATATACGTCTTAAGAATACCCTATTATCTTATCTGTTCGATGATGAAGTCTCCCCCAAATTAACGAACGGTTTGGCACTCGTTAGGTAATGATGTCAGACATCCATACGCTTGCGAATCTTCAGAAGACTTATGTCGGTCCTCATGCAATACCAGCATCACTTAATACGCCCTTTAGGGAAGCACTCAAATCATACGCTGCATCGCAGAAACTTCAGTTCTCGGTGCGTGATAAATGTCTAGTTCGAACTTATAACATCTAATAAAGTTAATAGGAAGACAGCATAGGAAACAATTATATTACTCGAGGCGATCGCGATGCAGATATAGCACCTATTGCTATCGCCTTCCCCCTAGACGGCGGCTTATCGGAATCAGCTTTTATTAGTGCTTTCCGTCTATTCTCTCTTCTTTCCGAAGCGTCTCTTCCTTGCAATCTAATGCTCGTGGGATGGACGTATTCAGGTTCGCGACTTGTAGGCCAAGAGCTTTGGGAATTATCAGCAACGACACCTTCATATGAAGTACCCTCAGAGTTGCAGGAGTTCCAGGGAAAGGCTAGTCCAAAAGATGTATCGTTTTCGGCCATTTTTCAAGCATCAGAGGAAAAGCGGACGCCTTTAAGAATCGACGGGAGTCCTGTTCTCGTCGAAAAAGCCCGAAAGCTCACGACAGTCCAAGCAGATGTTCGCCAGTCCCATAAAAAGACTGTTCGGGCACCTTGGATTTCTATCACAGGACCTGGAGCGGAGGATGTGGCGATGGAAGCTATTAAGGAGTATAGCGCCTACATTGTAGCTTTATTCGATAATTTCGATTAGTGCGTCGAGACGCAACTCGATATTTGATTTCATTCTGTACTATATAATATTACAGCGTAGCTAGGAAGAGTATTAGGACTACCACAAGAAACATCGTCATCTTCCAATAAATGTCATTTTATTCCATAACGCGGTAACTTGGAATTGTAGTAGAAATTGTACTAGTATTCTTCCAACATGAAGCATGTCAGGGGTATGAAGCACTAGTACGGATAGGGCCTTATGGCCCACTAGGATTGTGTATATAAGGAGCACGCTGCTCCCTCGAAGGTGCTTCGAAGGGCAAGCGTTAATAGGTCACTACTATACACTGCATACTTGATATTCTACGTGCTACTGCTTCTAGTATTCACTCTATGTACGACATACATCACGGGATCCTTCTGACAAAGCATCACTATGACCTAAGCACGAGTTCCCCACGCTCCAACATCAAGAATGCACGTCATAGCGACCCCCCTCCATTCCAACCTATTCAGGAGGAAACTACTTGCGAGTTACACCAAAGCACGCGTATGCTGGGATCCCGCAGTGGGAGCATTCGGCAACTTGCCGTACCGGTCTTGATGTACTTGGAACATGAACTACGTACCTTATTCCAAAAAATCATAAGCTGGTGTATAAAGAAGGGTGTTCTTCTTGTAGTGTAAGGGTATACACGATAACCACCGTTATACCTTACTATCTCGTTCAACATGGCTTCGCAAATTAGGTCGTCCGGTTACGTACCCCGAGATTCCGTTCAACTTTTCTACGAACGCGAGGGCAGCAGTGGAGCCAGAAGTATTCTGTTCGTCCACGGCCTTGGAGGTACCACGAATACCTTCCAACCGCTGGTTTCCGGTTTGCAAGATTTCGATCTAGTTCGCTTCGACTGGGCAGGTCATGGTCGGAGTTCTCTACCCAAGAGTACAAGCGTTGAGTCATACTTGGCAGACTGCGAAGGTATGGGCCGCTTCATCTTTACAGAAACCCAAATCCGCCTTATGTTCTAATGCAGAACTAGCAATAATTCGCCACTTAGAATTGAAAGACATTCTCGTCGTGGGTCACTCATTTGGAGGGCTCATCAGTCTTCACCTTGCAGCGAAGCACCCTGATATCGTAAAAGGGGTTGTAGCTTTTGGTCCCGTCAGACCGCCTCCTGAAGCGGGCCAGAAAGCACTTGCTGATCGTGCCACCGCTGTTCGAAATCAGGGAATGGGAGCAGTTGCTGATGCGGTAGTGTCAAATGCATTCTCGCCTAAGTCATTGGTTAACAAGAAAGGAGAGGTGGCACTGGCTAGAGAGATGCTGACGAGACAGGACCCGAGAGGGTATGCTTTGGCTTTGGATGCTCTGGCAGGAAGTTCGGAGCCTGCGTGGAAGCAGATTAAGGCCAATGTTCTAGTTCTTACTGGTGAAGAAGACAAGATATCTACAGCTACAGCAGGAGCTGATATAGTGAAGGAAATTAGACCGGGAGCAAAGCGGGTCGTTTTCAAGGACACAGGTCATTGGCATACATTGGAGAGTACGGAGGAGTCAGTCAAGGCTATAATTTCGGTCGCGAAGGATATTACATGATGTCCTAGTGCTTAGAGAAGATATGGTGACTCTGGTTGTCCTTTGCTTGGACACTAGTATTTTATGCCGATAGGATTTAGAATATTAGAACCAATACATCATGGCACTGCGCTTCCCTTATTAGGCCTGTTAAAGAATATCCATTTCACTGCCGCTCGCTATATGCTGTGCGAGCTAACTTAGTATATGCAACACTTGTAATAATAGGGGCTTGGCTACTATGTTGTGACATACAGACTGCAATATTGAGCCACCAAGACGATTATATACCCTGAAAAGAGAATTAACAGGATATATGTAGAGAACGTACCTTAAAGGTGGTAGCCAGTGATACTATTGCGTACAATTATGCACTAAGCCAAATTTACATCAATTTATCACTTCCACGAGGTGAAGTGTACGTGGCTGACTCTTACATAATGCATCTATGCTAATCTGAATGTACATACGTCTACCTAATTATATCTCCTTGCTTAAACTGAAGTCTTCGCCCTTAAACGGTGGCAACCCGCTGTAACTCGCATCCCGGCGGCGCACGAACTCCAATCCAACCCCTCACCACCGAGAGCCTTAGCGGTGGTGAGATGGTTCCATGCGTGATCAATGACAGGAGTCGGTGTAGAATTTTCAGCACCTAGTCGCCGTATGTATGTCGCGTCCTTCATCCCGCCGGGCAGAGTGAATCCCGTGGCGCCACTGAAAGCCCCGTCCCGAATCTTCTTCCCGTAGTTTACCCAAGCTGGTGCAGGGAACCATTGTTTTGATAGTTTGTTAGCTGATATATATGGTTGTATCTTTTTTCTTTTCTGTGTACTTACGTATAAATTCGTAGAATAACCTGGCGTCAAATCCCGCTTTCTCGGCTAGAGTGAAATTCTCCGACATGAGCTCGATCGTACCAAGAATACAGCTGTTTCCTAAGATCTTGAGAAGTGCCTCTTTTCTCGTGTCTTCGCCGCAGTCGATAATGGCTCTTCCAATTGTTGGTACGATATACTCCTTTAATACAGCCCTAGATTTCTCATTACCAGATAGTACAACTAAAAGCCCTGCGGTCGCAGCAACAGCAGGCGGGCCAAATATGTGTCAGGGGTATGAGGCATTAGTACGGATAGGGCCTTACGGCCCATTAGGATAGTGTATATAAGGAGTATGCTGCTCCTTCGAAAGTGCTTCGAAAGGTAAGCATTAATAGATTATTATTATATATTGCATATTTAATATTTTACGTGTTATTGCTTTTAGTATTTACTTTATATACGATATATATCACGAGATTTTTTTAATAATTTAATGTTTTTTTTATTAATGTAAATTATTTATTAAAAATTAATAAATAATTGTTTTATTATTATAATATAATTTAAATAAGATTTTAAAAATAAGATTTTTAATAATATAATTTTTAATAATATAATAATTATAAATTAAATATTAAAATAAATAAATAAATAATAATAATTCTTATAATAAATAAATTTAAAAAATTTTAAAATATTTAATAAAAAATTATAATAATATAAAAAGAAATTCGAGCGGAAAAAAAAACTTTTTATTTTAAAATAAAATAATTACGCATATAATAAAATTTATAATAATTACTTTTATTTATTAATAAACATTTAATTTATATTATTATTATTTACTTAAAAATTAAAATTTATTAACATTATATTTTAATAAACTTAAATGTAAATTCGTTATAATAATAATATACATAAAAATAAAAAAAATTATTTATTATTAATAATTTTTATATAATACATTTATAATATTTATTTTTTTAAAAAAAGATTTTTTTATATTTATTTAAAAAATTTAAAAACTTATAACGCATAAATATACTTAAATAAAAATCGTAAAAATATAACAAAATATAAAATTATATAAAATAAAATTTCCTTCTTTTTCTAGCAATTTTTATTTTTTTATTTAATATGTTTATTACATTCGCATTTAAAAAACTGCTATTTCTTTTCGCATCCAATCAAAAGCCCGGAATCTCGTTCATTCTCTACAAAAGAGCCTATTTGGGAAAAATCGATCCTACCCAGTCAATGCAAATTGGTGATAATAACCCTTCGTAAACTCAGGGCATATAAGGAGTACGCTACTCCCTTAAAAGTGCTTCGAAAGGCAAGTGTTAATAAATCACTATTATATATTATATATTTAATATTTTACGTACTACTGCTTTTAGTGTTCACTTTATGTACAACATATATCACGGGATCCCTCTGACAATATGGGATAAGATAAAAAACTTGAGCCTGTAGCTTCGGCTTCGGCATGTAGTGTCGAGGATGTCGTTGGATATAATGTTGAGTGATCCACGAGTATAAGTCCTGGCTTGGCAGCTGTCAGAATCCGGCGGTAAACCGAGAGAGCAACCTCGTCGTTTGCAAGGCACGTATGAATGATGGTGCAGTCTGTTGCTATACTCTCCAGTGTATCGGCTACTTCAATGAATCCTTGTTTAGCGAGTTCATTAGCTTTACCGCGAGAGCGATTCCATAGTTTGACCTTTGGGAATCCTTGCTTCTGGGCATAGCCGGCCAGGTTCAAACTCATCACAGAGCCCATATTCCCGAGGCCGACAAACCCGAACGACAGGACTGTGAAGCTTTGAATACCAGTCATATTTTCTATAGGAAAATTAAACTAAATAGGAATAGGGGTAATGGATGTGTTTGTAAAGATTGAGAGGATACCAACAACTGCCGAAATGTCATGTCGTACACCGTCTTATAAGGTACCTAACCTACCTCCTGTTAGCCTCCTACGATACCCAAATGCCCCACCATCAATGGGAGGTATTGATACATCTAAGTACGGCAACTCTCCGAGAAGTGTCAGACGGCATAAGACAGCGTTGCAACCTTACGGCAACTTCCCGGAAAGTATGGAAATACTCCACGGTCTCCCCAAACGATCTACGCGGAAAGGGTGTAGTCAATCCACGTATATATGATGGTTTGACTTGGGATCTAGTTGAGACTGACAGTACTATTCCTCGTTCTGCAGTGGGTATACTTAGCTTCTCATCATCCTCAAGCTCCCCTATTGCCCCTGTTCTACCCGCGACTACACATATATCGTCATCTTCTAGTTCAAAATGGCCTCCGCAGATATCGTCAAACCTAATAGCCATCATGTGCCTATCTCGGATGGCCTCTGGGTTGATCAAACGGCAGAAGTTAGTCCCATCAACGGGCTACCGTTCTATAAGCCAACGCCTGCTGATATAACGATAAACAACCATAAAGACGGCGATAAGGCAAAGATTTTATTTAAGAACGTCAACATTTTCGATTCCACCGGCGCAGACCCCTATCCAGGTGATGTTCTCATCGAGGGAGAAAGAATCAAGGCAGTTGGTAAAGTCGACGAAGCCCCTGATGACGACACCTTGGTTATCGACGGCCAAGGCAAAAAGACACTCATATCAGGACTGGTTGATGCCCATACCCACTTCAGCTGGAATAATTCGCCGACGCTAGACGGCTTAGCCAGAACGCCGCTAGAAGAGCACATGCTACAGACGGCGCAGTCGGCGAAGACATACCTGAACTACGGATACACGATGTGCTTCGGAGCGGCTTCCGCACGGCCGCGCCTCGACATCGCTGTAAAGAATGCTATCAAATCAGGCCTGATCCCAGGTCCCCGCTCTTTGGCCAATTGCCAGGAGATAGCGACGACGGGTGGCGCGATCGTTCCGAGTATCAGTCAATATGCCGACGGCGCCGACGCTATGCGACAGGTTGTGAGGAAGGCTATTGAACTTGGCGCTGATAATATTAAGCTGAGCACGACGGGCGACTACGTTCATGAGACTATGGGGTATGTATGCCTAGGTACCTATGCTATAGTTATTTTCCTATGTTGATTGCTAACTAGAAACTGTGCAAATAAGATCGAAAGAGACTTACTATACTCTTACCGAGACCAAGGCAGCTGTCGAAGAGGCCCACAATAGGGGCAAGCGCGTATGCACCCATGCCCGGTCGGCAGCTTCTGTGAAGATGTCATGTCTCGCGGGCGTAGACATGATTTACCACGCGAGCTACGTCGACGCCGAAGGGATGGACATGCTCGAGGGGCTCAAAGACAGAGTCTACGTAGCGCCAGCCATCAACTTCCCCCTGCTGAGCTGCACCGGAGAAGCGACTCCGTACGGCCTCACGCCGGAGATGGCCAAGAAAAGGGGCCTTGTGCACGAGGTCGAAACCGCAACCAAAGCTATGAAAGAGCTCAAGAGGCGCGGAGTTAAGATACTCCCCGGCGGCGATTACGGGTTCGCCTGGGCGCCACACGGAACTTACGCGAAGGACATGGCTCATTTTGTCAACTTGTTCGGATATACGCCTAAGGAGTCGCTTATCGCTGCGACGGCCCTGGGGGGAGAGGTCATGGGCTATCCGGATGACTTGGGGAAAGTGTTACCTCGCTATTACGCCGATGTCATCTTGGTCGACGGGAACCCGCTGGAGGATATCGAGCTTCTCCAGGATGCTTCCAGGCTACACGCTATCGTGATAAACGGACACGTCCATAAAAATGTGATCGACATTGAGAATGGTCCAAAAGAAATCGTGATAGGTAGCAATCCTGACGGATCTGGAGTTGGATCTAACCTAACAATTTGAAAGAGTCAGGGGTAGCAGGATACTTTGCGGGAGAGGAAAATGATTCATAATGCAGTCGTTTTCGGTGTTTGTAATTTAGTTTGGACCCGGGGTACCAAAATGGACATAATTGTATGTTGCGAGCGCCACTTGATCTAGCTGGAGACGGTTGTACTATTCAATATGATCGTTTCGCAGCGGCCAGGTTGGTGGTAGATCTTGAGCAATGATTGACTTTCGTGCAGACGGGCTTTAAGCAATCCTTCTATAGGAATTGGCAAGGACGCATACGGGAGGTAATAAGTTGCTTTCTCGGGTCAGACTCGTTATCCACAGCGCCTAGCTGGTGAGCTTCAAACCGGGGTTTATGAGCATTTCGACCACGACTGACTGAACTAGTAAATATTTTCGCATATTCTGGGAGAGTAGAGGGGTAGAGGGCTGAGATCACTGGAAATAGGCGTGGTACGAGTATTCGTATCTGCGATAGGTGCCATAGCAAGACAGTTAGCTAATCTCAGGCGACCCCTGAAGATATAGTCGAACCTCTGAATAGGTTCCTAGCCCAACTCCCAATAGAGACTCACAGAGAAAACATATATCTGAGAATCTTTGTAATAAGGCTTCTAAACATTTCGGTATTCCCGTAAGACCGACCAAGCCGGCGGTGCGGCGGTGCCACCCGTTGTTCCGGCCTATGGAATCTCTCCGAGTAGCTCCCGAGTCTTATTATCAGCTGCCTATACCTGTGTTGTTTACCGGGTAGAGCAGCGTAGGGTATCAACTCTCAGAGGTTGGCCGGGTGCCCTTGGATCTACTAGTTCATATCGCGGTGGCCTTGCTGGGTCTTCAGAACCTAAGACGGTGAGTCCTAGTGCCGTTATACTCAATTCGCGTAATACACATACTGTATCATGGGATACATTACTTCCAGTGATTCCTGAATACGCTGGAATACATTTTGGCAAAAGGTGTTAAGTTGTAGAACCGTAGGGGTGGTCAAGTCGTCTTAAAGCAAATGTGGTGGTTGTGCCAGAGGGGACGACTCTGGCATAACGATTGCAGTTAGGTCAAGTCTAGCTATTAAACTACAAGAATTTCACCGTGACGCCTTTTTGGCATGTGTAGAAACTGCTACGAAACTAATGGCAAGCCATAATACTTCGTCATATGTCTTTTGTTAGGATGAATGGATGCCCAAGAAGGTTGATGAATTGGTGAAGGCACAGGCATGATGATTGTGTTAACTATTATGCCCCATAGGTTCAAAGAAAGCATATTCGGCGTAATTATTATCTTTCACAACATTCAGTGGATGGATAGTTCAACACAAGATCAATGCATGTAGAGGCGAGCTGAAAACTACGTAGATATGCTTAACTTTCTTGTGAAGATATATCAGAGCCTCATAGTAGCATGGACCATTGAAAATACCAATCCAAATATCCACTGTTCAAACATGATTTAAGCTCTGTTGATATTCTTTATTCGAAAAGGGAGGCATTATCATTTCATGCTTAATTTTTCAGACACACAATGTTGTCTCAATTACTACTCCTTCCAGCTGTCCCCCTAGGTCCTTGCCCCTTAAAATTCTCGTCACGTGTCTCGGTGAACTTCAAGACAACGTTGCTCAACTTCTTGTAGCTCACACTACGCCTGAACGACCTGGAGTTGAAGCATTGATTGCCGTAATTCCAATATTCTTGAGCCTTAAATATATACAGCGTCGTAGATAACCGGCGAGGGGCTGGAGTTCATCACCACTTCAAGATGTCACTAGCTTCTACAGCCGGGATATTTATAGCATGAACCTCATAGTCTTATATTCGTAAAGACGAAGAGCTCTGTCATAGGAGACTCTGCTACTGCTCAAGCCCGTAGGTCCACCCAATGCCTGGTTATGTGGTGGCCCCCCTAGAGATACTAGCTGCATAGTTGATCTGTGGTTGTATAGTCGTCAGGTCGTGGAGTAGTTGTCTCTTAGTCGTCCCTATCTCACAATTCCCCTCCACCCTTCCCCCTCCGGCCCTTGCTCTCACCCTGGACAACCACTTGACTACCTAAAGAGGGTATGAGCTGCCTTCAATACTGAGCAGTTGCCTGTTGCCATCCCATTGCAGGAGGGCGCATAATTACCCAAGCAACTTGTCCACTATAAAGTAGCAGTCCTTCTTTCAATTTTCTTTCAATTTTCTTTTTCTTTTCTCCCTCATAAATTTATCCTGTTGCACAGGAGGGAAGATTTGTCTAAAACACACAACAAAATCTCTCAGGACCAAGACCTATTCCTCATCTATCTAAGAACTTGAAGGGTGCAGCCTGTTATCCCAACCAACATACAAAGTAAGTATTTCCTTCTTTTTCATCTTCATTCCCATCATAACATCATGTAAATACCTAATCAATTAGAGAAATACTAATTTTGGAGGAACCTTTCTTAGATGAGAATCCTTCAACCTCACGGTACTTTGTCCTCAAGCCTACGAACTGTCAGTCCGTCGCGCCAGCGATACACCGCTGGCAATATGGGGGACAATCTTCCTCCTTTTCGATCCACCATTGAGGCGAGCGGTTTTCTTCTCACGCCCATCCGCGTCGGCGCCCCGCGCCCCCCCGCCTTGCCCGTCAAATGCATCTACCCGGGAAACTATCTCTGGGACGCGTTCCTCGTCCGTCAACGCGCTATTAAGTATATCATCAGCAACGTGATGGAGACCCTCGACTTTGAGGTGGAGTTCTCGATCGTCATGACGCGTCCCGAGGTCGAGCACTCGTTCAGCTCCTTGACTCTCACGATCCAGGCCGAGGCCAACACCAACATGGTGTACGGCGAGCTCTGGGGTGAGGACACCATCTACAAGGGAAGCAAGTGGCTGTACGTCGTGGACCATGTTCGCAGCTTCCTCAAGTACGATGGCCTGGGCTTCGTCACGGTCGAGATGCAGGAGCGCGGCCTGCGCCGCGAGCGCCTTGACCCCTTCGTCATGCGTGACATGTGCTTCGATGCACCCTTCTGTGACACGTTCAACCACGGCATCAGCCAGGTCTACGAGGACGTTCACAACATCTGCACCGACGACCTGCGCGTCGGAATTCATCTGAAAGATCTAAGCATCCGCGACGTCCAGTGGGTCCATCGTCTCCCAGCCCCTCCCTTCCATGCCCTTGTCATGGAGTTCGACTGCGGTCTCGACGAGGAGTTGTGGTGGCCCCTGGAGGAGAAGATTCGTCAGCGCCTTGACAGCGACGATAAGGATGATCTGACCATTCTCCCTATCATATTCGCTTGGAAGATCCCCATTGAGTAAAGCAAGCAACCAACATCAACTGTTTCGGGCCCCGTCTCCTGTTTGGTCTTTTAACCAAACGCTACATACACATATGTATGCTTTGCTTGCTGGTTTTCTTTTCTTTTTTTTTTTTTTTTTTTTTTTTTTTTTTTTTAATTTGAAAATTGCCAGGGATCACCAAAACCTCACGCCAAAGAGGCGTCTAGACACATGTGTAATGTTCATCCACATGTGTGCAGAAGCAATCATCAGAGCTATCGGAGGAAAAGTAGGAAGAAAACTGCTATCATGAAACTTGAAGGCTTGAAAGCCACGTTATATTTTTGTAATGACCCTATACACGCGGGAACTTGTTTACTTCATCATTCACTGTACTACCAGCTTATTTCATCCAGCATTCAGCATCTTGTATCTGGCATACCATTATCGTTATGGCTAAGCACATCGAGAATGAACAGGCCTAAGTGCCAGAAATTTTGGTAGTTGTCCATAGTTTGAAGGAACTAATACATATCACTCTTTCCTTCATGGCATCCTATTCAAGTAGATGAGGACATCAATGTTTCGGAACGTCTATGCTAACCAAACTGAATCGCCGTACCCAGCTGTTAATTCGGTCATACTAAAGTGACCATAACTGGTACCGTAATATGGAGATGTATCCTTATGCTTTAATAGTTTGGTATTTCGCGTGCCCACCAAACACGCGGCTACCTACTTCTCCACTGCCGTAAATTCAACCAAAAAAAAAACCTGACCAAGTTCTGATTTGTATTGATACTTGCTACTAAAGGAAGTTGAATGTAGGATTGAAAAAAAAAATTAACGTGCAGATATCATTAGGGCGATATACCTATACTCTTTTACGATGTTGGCTGTGGGTTTGGGGGTGAACTTGCTCAATATGAAGTGTAGTCTTTCCTCCTCCTCATCAACAACATACTCAGGCCAGGATCGGTAAGCCCCCAAGGCAAAGAGCAGCCTGATCATGATGAGGTTGACTTCTCCGGCGTGAGGCAATGTCTCTGGCACGGCATCGCGGAAAGCCTGAAGAGTGAGCTCCCAAGTTTGATCGGGGGATAAACGAGCACCGCCTCGAACCAACCAAAACAGCTTTTGGTGACTTTCGTCAGTGTAAGGTGAAGTGAACAACGAATCGGGTATGCAGGTATCCTTATGTACTTGTAGAAAAGTGGATGGACTTGGTTCAGCGAACGTCCTGACGTAATATCCAATGTGCTCTCGAATTGACCGGAAGGTAGAGTAATCGTGGAAGAAACACCGGCTTGCCTCCTGGGGGTCGACTAAATAGGAGTCGTCCTTTCGCATGGCGTTGGCCGGGTTATCCGAATCTCCCCATATCCTCAAATGCTGAAGGTGAAAAAGAACATTGTTTCCAGAGGACTGTATTTTCGCAAGCCTCCGGACATAGAAGTCCCAACATTCCAAAATAAATGATATATTGGTCCACGAATATTCCAAAAGGCCGGACTGCTAATATTAACGAATGGTACATGGAGAAAGGTTAAATTCGAACTTACCTGAAAGTTGGGATTACCTTCAGTGGGACAAGTTGAGTCGTTTCTGTCGCCGACACAACCGAACCAGGCGTCCCAGGTAGGCTGAAATGCTACGATGAAAGTCTCGCGCAGAGTAGAATGTCCTGACAGGAGTCGCCCAATAAGGGGGCTAGAACGGGGTAAGTTGACGTTCTCACTATACCAAAGGATACGCTCGAGTATTTCTAGAGGGATCTTCTCAAGATAGGATGCTTTTGATTCGCGGGATCTCCGAGATTTCTGTCGCTTTGGTTTAGCAGAAACCTTTGGTCTTTTCTCCGGTATAACGACTGCAACCTCGTTACGGCGGCGACGTTTACCGCGGACTTTGATAGGAGTTAATTCCATTGATATGAATGCGAATACACACACAATCAGTAAGGTAGATATCTATCCAAGAATTGAGAAATGATTTATAGGATGAATCTCCCTTAAATTTGGTTTGGCTGAAGTTGACATTGGAGTTGAAGGTGTAATTACCAGATATTATAAGACGAGTCCAACTTGGGATAGTAGCACAGTATTTTTCTTCTTATTCCCTCTTTTCATGAAGCAATGCAAATGTTCGTTCCAAAGTAGAATGTCCATTAAACTTTCTATGCATTGTAATTTTTAGTATAGTGTGGCTTGGGAATTGGTTCCCGACGATGAGAGGTGAAAAAGTTGTAGTGATTATTGAAAGGAGAGAGGTAATAGGTACTTAGGTACGTATTGTACCCAAGGTGAGTGAGCAGGAATATCTTCGGCTAAACCTATTGCACTACTTCAACCATAACTTAGAGATCCACCCGTCCCAATTAGCCGGGATTCAAGGCGGACCGAAAGCAGCAAAGAAAATCAAAGCGGGTCTTGTGATAGCGATCATTTTCTTATCGCGCATTCTCTAGTCAAAAAAAAGTTACAACTTACAACTTACAACTGCGATAACTTCAAATGCCGTATTCTAACTTTCAGAAAGCCTGAGTTACCTAGACAATGGCAAGATACTCGGTCCAGCTTTGGTAACATTCTCTTCCACTTCCGGGCGACCCTCATAATGGCGTCGCTACGTTTGCCAGTGCCCTCTTTGAGGCTTCTAAGATTTCTTCGCATACAGTCGGAAAATCTAAGCTTCTTCAATCCCAGCCATGACCGTGTCGTAAAGTTAGCACAACCCATGCGCAGGATATTATGCGCAGCCAGGAAGAATCAAAGAAGTTCTTTGCGAGTAGGAACTGCTTCGGAAGCTTCTTGGCATGCGCCATTACAAGCCAGTCTTTTGGATGTAGATGCACTTATACGAACCCGGTGCTACGGAGCTTCGAGAATAGTTCGTCAGAAGAATCACCCATACTTCTCTCCGAATATTGGCCTCCGATACACTTCCTCAAACGGAACTCCACCTCCATGTCCGCCGTCTTGGCGAGAGAGATTATGGGGCTTCGGATCGAAGAATACGAAACCTCTAGAGCCAGATGATCTACCTGATGTGGCGGGTGGTGACAATACTTCCATGTTTAACAGTCGGCGCCAGCTCAGTCAAAAGGCTGCCTTAGAACCGAGGCTGCGATGCACTGAAGTTGACGAGAATGGGAATGTTATACTGGTAGACGGCGAGTTTAAGAAGAGCGAGCTTATTGCCAGGGTTTGTCCGTCTTATTGATCTGCCATAGTCACCAACTAATTCGAGATAGTTTGGCTTGCTGCCTCGCGATTTGCGCAAGATTGACTCGTCCAACTTACCGCATATTCTCGTTCGACCGACCGCTATCCTACTTAATCTCTTACACCTTAAGGTCCTCATTAAATACAACCGTGTCTTACTATTCGACGTATATGGCTCTAAGGCATCTTACCCGCAGTCGGCTTTTATGTACGACCTACAAGGAAAGCTCCAGCAAAAGGCGGTACCCGGAAATGTAGGTCTTCCTTACGAGTTTCGAGCTCTCGAAGCTGTTCTTCAATCCGTTACTCAGGAGCTGGAAGCCGATTTCGAAGCGGTCCGCGATCCGGTAATCCGTATATTAAGCGAGCTGGAGGATGATATTGATCGGCACAAGCTGCGCATCTTGCTTGTTCTTTCTAAGCGAGTCAGCACTTTCGTACAAAAGGCAAAGTTAGTCCGTGATGCTATTGAGGAACTTCTCGAAGCCGACGACGATTTGGCTTCGATGTATCTTACTGAGAAGACACACGACATCCACCGAGAGCTTGACGACCACACTGAAGTTGAGATGCTGCTAGAGTCGTATCATAAACTTTGCGATGAAATCGTCCAGGAAGCGCAAAACTTGACATCAGGTATTCGAAATACCGAAGATATGTAAGCGGAGAACTCCACTAACTGGTGTCGTGGCGTCAAGCTGACAATGATATAGTGTTCGAGCAATTCTGGATGCGAACCGTAACTCTCTGATGCTTTTAGATTTAAGATTCAGTGTTGGAACGCTGGGTCTAGCGATGGGTACCTTTATTGCCGGCCTCTACGGTATGAACCTTGAGAACTTTATCGAAGAAACGCACTGGGGTTTTGCCATGGTTACGGCCGTTTCCGTCGTAATGTCCTTATGGGTATGCAAATACGGTCTAGACAAGCTCAGAAAAGTCCAGCGCGTCAAGATGCAGGGTGACGACAGGAAGAGCTTGGGACCCGATTACCATTGGTTTCATGATGAAGGGAACGTGGGGCTTTTAGACCCCAGGAACCGCGAGATGATAAGACGGCTTAATATGAAAAAGGCGGATCAGGCTGAGAAAAAGAAGCGGTGGTAAAAAAAAAGAGAAAAAAAAGGCTACGCAAAATTGTGTGCTATCAAAAGGCCATGAGATTCAAATGGCCCCCCCTGCACCTGGGAAAGCATACTACTAGGCGTCATGGTAAGTCGACATTTCCTGAAGTACAGTAGATGAGTTTGGAGTCGGCAATCTGTGTGTATTAGATTCTGTAACTGAAGGCATTCTCGTCTCATAGATCTGGTTGGGCATCTCTATACCCCTTATAGACCGATTAAGCTACTCCACTCTCCATTGAATTTGCCGCGGGTTATTCTCAACAGCAGCGCAATTAGGTTGTTGCTATTAGCGTCCTGTGGGAAGATATTGGAGAGAGAGGGGGTATGTAGATCGATGTATATTTATATATTTATGTACAACTTGGCCCTTGTCTTACGCGTTGCTAGAAGCGAATATTAAGGATGGATGAAGGAAAGAAATTACATTTGTTTAGATACCTGCCAGTCTTCTCTTTCCAAGTCCTATTCCTCAACAGCCATCTAACCTATTCTCTCCCCTTCTTCCCATCCAGTTCCACCCACCAACCACTCATCAACATCTCACCACCCCTCACCACCACTCGCCCCTTACTCCCTTCCTCTCTTACTCCCCTCACAGCTCGCTCTCAGTAACGTTCTCAAACCTCGCATACTCCTCATTCACCTCTTCCACCACCTCAAGCCTAACCTCCCCGTCGCCCAGCTCCTCCACGCGCACGGAGCTCGCCCCCGCGTACCCCCACTCGACGCCCTTGACGCGGCCCTGGTCCAGCGGCGCCAGCAGCCGGAACACGGCGGGGCTGACGTCGATGGAGCCGGACGCGCACGCCATGCACTTGTCGACGACGGTGGCGGAGGCCGTCCTCCCCGCGTGCCGGATGTGGATCACGCGCCCGCACACCCGCGCCTTGTTCGGGTTCGCGTCGTGCCCGTATTGCGCCGGCGACAGCGCCACGATGTGGTCGCTCGCCGAGTTGTGCTTCCCGCACGCGCCGAGGCCCGGCGTGTAGTACGTCATGTCGCCGGTGAAGGCGAGGGCTGGGCGGGCCGTGAGGGCGGCGAGGAGGAGGAGGATGGGTTTGATAAGGGGGGCCATTGCGTTAGGGGAGCGGGGGGAGGGTAGGGATAGATAGGTTTTTTTTAGTATAATAGATGGTGGATTGTTAAATACCGGTGGTTACGGGTATGATCGTTGCTGATGAATAGGGGTTGGCAACTTTTATAAAGCTCTTGATATAAGGCGATATAAGGCTAGAAGGAACGAGCTGCTGGTGAATAGGGGATTGATATTAAGGGAGCACGTCTCGTGCGAAGCTATTTATACATATTTTCATAGCCTCTCCTCGGGCCAGTCCCTATCATGCGATCCGTTTCATTGTTTCTGCAGCACTGGCGTCTGTACAACGCTCTTTTCCCCGGCATATTCTTCGAGGACTTCGAGTTCAGGTTACTGGCTTACTCAATGACTAAAGGTAGATGGCAGGCGTGGTAGCAGACCAAGATGAAATGGGAGAAATATTGCTGACAAAGTATGCTAGGTAGTCCGAGAGCTTATCCAACCATTCCCTCAGAATCGATATTGACATTCTATTGCTGATACCTTCCACCGATGGTATGCCTATAACTCGAGAGGCTAGATTGTCTAGACCTTGCTGTCTTGGGAGCTTAGTCGTCTGTGACGGTAGTCTGCTTACGTTACCCAAGGCAGGTAAGTTACGATATATTGGAGATGGTTCGCTGTCAGCAACTAGATGAATAGCTCTCAGTATTACTTCATTGGAGGCTTTGACAACTCGCATGACTTGTTTACGGTAGCCCGTCTTGTAGGATCCATTGTCTTCTCGCAAGAGCATGCCATCATGTTACTTACCTACATAGCCTTATGCTACTGATGCTAGCGGCCGTTGAGTACCAGTAAGCCGGAGCCTCTTGATACACAAGGACCCGATTCTCACTGCAATTTGTCAATTTAACGACTCTTAAAGCTTGAATACCAATTTTGAGCCTAGAGAGTAAAAGGGGCAAGGACGATTATGTTGATGAGGTCATCCATCACAGTCCCAACTCCATGATAATATCCTCTTTTGCCCGTGGACTAAATATAGAATGGATATAACAGGCCAGGACCTAAGCTAGAGATTTAATTGTTATAAAAATAAGAGAAAAATGTCCCATAAATGGTAAGGTACCTAAAGTATAACATGTTGTCCAGCAACGATTACCAATATATTTCTTGAGCCGCAAGCAGATAGGACAACTATTCTACACTATCATCTATTGTCAGCCTACCATATTCTGACGCCATGCTCAAAGTCTCATGATATGTTGCTTTATTGGGTCATCTTGATATCAGATCAATGTGCAATATCGGCAATTGGATGAACTTGAAATGGTATGGCGAAAAGGATATTGGAAACCGAGGGAAGACAGGCCAGGTCAGTCTGATGTTATTATTTCCCGTATGTATCATTTTATTGATTTTCCCCAAAGCTACGTCTAAATGTCACAGTAATTCATTCTCACACTTGATACGACTTGGCGTTTGTCTAGTTCATCCAAGCATCCCGAACGCTTTTTTTTCCGAGGAAAATCACACGAGTAAGCATATCGTGGCCTCACCTCTTAGGTCTGGGTAAGATAGAATCATGTAAGGAATCTGATATAGGGGGCAGCCGGTGTGAGCTATAAATATGTCTCTGAATGTGAGACTGTTTTACATGATGCGTGCACCTCATCTGAACTAAACTGATTAGCGGGGATGTGACTCTATCTCGATGCCACTCATAAAGAATAAATCCTCGCCGCTAGAGATTATTAATAAAATAGTAAGAGCAAGGCCGGTTTAGGTTCCCTAGACTAAGTAAGTGTGCTTAACATGAACATGAACGAAGAACGGAATATCAAAATTCCAACAATATGAGATCCGCTTGGATAACAATTCTTATTTAATCTCAAAAGATGCTAAGGCTATCCTGCCTATGTGTATCATTTGCGCCTCCCTGCCGCCTTAAATGCATATATAGTCTAGCTAGCTATTGGTAGCTCTTTAATCAAACAGCATCATCGCCTCTGGGACTCTTCGGCCGCGGCGTTTGATTAGAATCCCTTCTCTCGCTGGCGTCCTCGGGGTCATCTTGGTACTGTCTCCTCGAAGGACTCGAAACCCAGGAATGCCTCCTTTCGCTTTCGCCCCCTGGCGAGCTGGCTATTGCTACATCCGAGCCGTTGTCGCGTTTTCCGCGCCACCACCTCAGCTTCCAAATTCCGCCCAGAGTATCTTGAACTCCAGCACCCGCAGAATTCTTCCGCCGTATATGCTTCCGCGCCGTGAATCCTGGAAACCCTGTTGATTTTCTTCGGTGCCGGAAGTTTTTCCTCGGTGACTCCTCGTTGGGCTCGTCTGCGGTCAAAGAGACTACCGATCCTCCCGGTACTAACCTGCGGTCGCCCATTAACGGTGTATTTTCGCTAACAACGTTAACGGGGATAGTGACTGATCGAGATTTACTCAATAACGGTCTGGACGTATCTTGATCTTCCAATTCGTCCCATATCTCCGAACGCTCGTGCCAGCGGGTTGGAGGCTTGCGACCTGGTGTGAGGGGCGTTGTCTCTATATTTGGCGCAAAGGTGTTGTACGTAGCCGGTTCAGCCTCTTCCACTAGGCCAACCGAATCCGAGTCTGTGGGGGATGACTCCTCTCCTTCCGTGTCGTCCACTAGTCCTAGTCCTGGTGCCAGGGTCGACTGACCGACAGCGGGAGGATGCTGTTCGTCACTGAGACGCCACGACAGTGCTAGAACACCGGAGAGCAAGATGACAGTGCCCAGCGCAATGAGCCCGCCGTGTAGAGGTGTGATGAGGTTCGTCTGGTTAAAATATATCAAGCCATCTAGAATAGCGATGATGTTGTAAATGCAAAAGACAAGGGGGTATAATACTGAGGTGGATATCAACTTTAATCCACGATGTAGATAATACAACTGGCTCAACGCCAGAGAAACTAATCCAAACACGAGCATCCACGACTCCCAATGCACGAATTGGTTGTCGCCATCAGCAATTGTTCTAATAACAAGCTCTACAGCCGACTTGGCGAAAAGAAGAGAGTGAGCCGATAGAATACCGCTGATGCATCCAAATATGAGACCGCGGGCCAGTCGGAACCTAGCATTTTGCGAAAGGCTGCTGAGATGATTGACCAGGTCGATAACCACTGCCATCGAGACAACGAGCACGCCCTGGAGCGACATCCAAAGAATAAAAGGCCACCTACCGAGCAGATCTAGCAACTCTGGCAGACTATGCGCTGGGGAAGGTATCGCGCCGAAAATCGCTATCAAGGCGGCGCCGGTGGTCACAAGTACGGTACCGTAGAAAGACCATCGCGTGAAAGGTTCGCCCAATATTAAAGTCGCACATACCGAGTTGAAGACCAATCCGGCGGCTTGTAAGGTAGATAGAACTGGTAAAGGTAGGGTAGAAATCTGGATCGTACTCCCGACTATATTGGAAAAGATGAACATGCCCATTCCCAACTGCCATCTTCGCCTTCGGTACGCGGGTCGTTGGAATTCGAGCGGAAACTTTTCATCTTCGAGCATATGCGACTTTCGCTGTAGAGTGAGGCCGAGAGATTGGACGCTTGTAGATATTAAGCCAACTAGGATACCAATCTACCAGGAAGAAAACACAACAGGTTAGTTACGGAAGAGGGCACATGGAATGTTCCTAGGCGGTTAAAACATACCGTGATGGTGCCTCCGGGAGAGAGGTCGCCAAATATCCCCATTGCGATAGTATAATACTAGGTCATCTGCGATACTCGCCAGATGAAGGATGTCCTCGACTACCCATGAGACTGTACTATTGAAGGCCTTAACCCGGCACGTCTAATTCGTAGGTGCTCGTAGGAGCTCGTAGGGGCGACAAAATGGGCAAAAAAATGGGCGTAAATGGGTATTTGAGTACAGCGCGACCGATAAGAGAACGAAGTTTAACAAGTGTATTGTAGTCTAGTCGTAAGATGTAACGTTCGACACGTATCTACTAAAGGTAAAAATCGAAGGGTTCGAGACCAAATTGGCGATGCGGTGAACTTCGTAGACGGCTGCACGAGTTGCAAGGGCAGGGGTATTTATTGCTTAAAAGAGGTGGTAATTGGGACAATCTCCAAGCTTGTTGAGTTGGCAAGTTAACCTTAGGTAGCCTAGGCCTAGTCGTCAATAACGAAATGGGACAAAGAGTGAGTCGGAGTGTTGTATTATATGAATATGGATAATTTAATTTACGGATGATATGGTGTCAAGTTGAAGTAAACAAGTTGTAACAAGTAATACTTTGAAAATGGAAAATGGAAAAAATAGACTCTAGGTAGAAAGTAGGAAAAGTACAAAACTCTATTCTAAGGGGTATGAGGTAATGGGTAATGGGCAATTAGTTAAGAGGTTAATGGGGGGATTGATAACACAAATTTGATCCATTTGATCCATGGATGCGGCGGGTTTATTGTATTGTATATTGTATTTATCGCATTTTATTGGATTGCATCTGCCATCAAGTGCCAGTGGTCATTGGCCACACATGGCTGATAGACACAAGTCATTCTGCATTCTGCAGGGGCCACCAGACTCCAGGTTCTGCATCGTGGTACAGCGGTTACCACGGTGGGGTTACAGCGGATAGTTGCCTACCTCCTATAACCTGCCAGACCCTGTTAACTAAAATACTAGCCACAGGGAACTAGTACTCAATCCAACATCATGTTACTATGTACATGTATGTTTGCAAATATGTACATATTGTAAAGGCAGATGTTGTGGCTGATGCTTGTTTGAATGAAGTATCAAGGTACAATGTAGTACATAATGTAAATTGCATTACCTGATGTCGGGTCGGGTCGGTACCTAAGCTCAAGGTGAGCTTTACATAACATTCATATGTCACCGAACCCAAGGTTCTACATAACTTGTATCAATCCATTCAACGTTGCTGTAAACTGACCCGCTATCTTCAATCAATCAACCTACCTACAATTAAACAAATCCAACCTTGCTTGAATATTGAATTGAATATCCCTCCCCTATCGTGTGGATTTCTCAGACCTCGTTTGTCCAGCTGAGAGATATCCCTTCGGCTTAGCCTCTCTCCTCTCCCAACCTCCAACCTCCAAACACCGAGTCTCCTCTCTTCTCCCCATACTCCCTCCAAGATGTCGCAAGTCCACGCCTTGTCCGACGACCAGGTAATTCATTTTCCTTTCCCAATTTGACCAAGGATAAAACCAATACGATCGAGAAGCTGTATCAGTTAACTACACGAACAACACGCTAACGGACGATGTTCCCCCCCTTACCCAACAGGTCGGGCAAGAGCTCCGCAAGATGACGGCCTTCATCAAACAGGAGGCGTTGGAGAAGGCGCGCGAGATCGAGATCAAGGCGAACGAGGAGTTCAGCATCGAGAAGTCGAAGCTGGTGCGGCAGGAGACGGACGCCATCGACGAAGCGCACGCCAAGCGCCTCAAGCAGGCCGCCATGTCTCAGCAGATCACCCGGTCCACCGTCGCCAACAAGACCCGCCTCAAGGTCCTCGCCGCCCGCCAGCAGCTCCTCGATGACATCTTCGCCGACGCCTCCAAGCGCCTCCCCGACGGCGCCAAGGACCCCGCCAAGTACCGCGAGATCCTCAAGAACCTCCTCCTCGAAGGCCTCTACGCCCTCGTGGAGCCCGAAGTTCAGGCCCGCGCTAGAAAGGCTGACTACGACGTCCTCAAGGACGCTATCAAGGACGCTGAGGCCGAGTACAAGACTAAGACTGGCAAAGAGACTAAGGTTACGATCGATGAGGAGATCGCGTTACCCGAGGAAAGGTGAGTTTTTTTTTTAAAAAAAAAAGAAAAAAGAAAAAAGAAATTAAAAAAAATAATAATACTACCACTACTACTATCCCTACTATTATTATTATATCCCTGAATCTAAGCTGCAAGCTGCAAAGACGGGGAGGGAAAGCCCGATATAAAAGTGATACGGTACGCTGACGATAAATCAACCCATAGCTCCGGCGGACTATTAATCGTAGGTAGCCAAGGCAAGATCGAGATCAACAACACCTTCGAGGAGAGACTGCGGCTCCTACAAACCAGCGCTCTCCCCGCCGTGCGAGAGGCGCTATTCGGCAAGAACCCCAACCGAAAGTTCTTCGATTAAGAAAGGGCGGGCGAGGGGATATCATTATTACATCACGTCAAAGGTTTTACCAGCTTCGCTCGCGAGCGGTACATGTCATCGTCATCAACAACAATAACTACGCTGGACGTCGGCAGAATCAGAGAAGGAAGAAGAATAGATAAGAAAGGAAGGAGATTACATATGTATGCTTAAACAGCGTCACGCTTGTTCTCCCCCGTTTTTTTAAAGGGTCTCTTGTAAAGGGATAGTCAAGTCAAGTCAAGTCAGTCAGTCACATTTTTGGGGGGCACGGAAATCTAGAATCCCCGTGTTGATTATTTGTTTGTTGGTGCTCACTAGAAAGGGGCTGCTTGCTTGCTGTATATCTTAAAAGGGCGTTTGCAGGAAAGTCCGCATCAATAAAAAAACAACAACAAAAACAACACACCATTTTTAGCTCACCATATTATCAATTAACTACCTGGTAGGTTAGGTACTCTCTTACACAACGTTCGTATCGTATTATCCTTCTATTTTTCCCACTTTCCTATTAACTTAGGTAGGTAGGTTAGGTAGGTACCTAGGTAGGCACCTACCTAACCTAGTTAGCGGCGGTAGCGGCGGTATTATTACGCTCGGCCTTCTTCTGCGCCCAGTTCTTCATAAACGCTCGCTGCTTAGGTATATTAGCGTCTTCCCTGGGCTCCGGGTCGAAGATGCTGGTCTTGGGCGGCGGCCGCGTGCGCACCGCGTACGTCAACCGCTTAGCGACCAGGTCGATGGACGCCTTGGTGACCTTGCGGGAGAGCAGGGTGCTGTCGTGGATCTTATCGTGCACCACTTTGAGCCGGAAGGTCAGCGCGTCGATGTCCTTGTCGAATTTGCGAGCCGCGTCCTCCTCCCCTTCGTTGTTTCCCGAGTGCTGCTGCATGATAAAGCCCGCGTCGCCGATGGCGATGTCCAGAAGTGCTACTAGCGCACGCAGGCTCTCGAAGTCGGTGGTTGGCCTGACACGGAAATCGTCTGAGTCGAGTCGATCCATGACCTTGGCTAGAGTTAAACTTTCGTCAACAGGTCTGCTGCTCAGAGCCGTGTCCCGAAACAGCATTACGGCGGCCATGCGTCGACGTAGGTCGAGGAGCTTGGCGGTTGTCTTGGGCATATAGCTGATAGGAACGACCTGATGCATAGGGTCGTCTACACTTTGGTAGAGGTAGGAAGATATTGTCTCGCACTTGATGGCTGTTAGTATAATTATCTTGGTTGTACAGTTGGCAAGGTGGCAAGACTTACGACTTCGTCCCATTGTGATGCATCCCACTTCGATAATCTTGTGACAAGAGCTTCCATTGCCGCGGAGTGTTCGGAGCGAACTGTCGTGCTCACGAGAGGGTCAAGTCCCATCCGCACCAGTAGTTTAATAGCCCCTATCGCGTTCTGCGACTTTAAGTTCGGGGCCATGCGCTTCAAGAGTTCGAGGAAAGTCACCAGCCCCGACCAATCTCTTCCAGGGTACGGATCTTCTACTCTGGGGAAACTCTCAAGCTTAGTGATATTTTGGCTTTGAGGGGATTTAGGTCCGTCCATCCTCTCCAGCATGGAGTATAATCGTTTCTCAGTGACGAGGCGTGCGATGCTATCAGGACATAGTGTTACTAGATTGCAGTATTGTATACGCAGCTGAACGTTTCTCTCGGCACAGACTTCGTCTAGGATCCATAGGAACAGCTCATCTGGAAGTGCCTTGCCTTTGGAAGCGATGGCATGCGGTAAGCCGAGTATTACGGCTTGATCCCGTGTGCGCGAGTTAGCAAGACATCGCCAACACCCCTTTGCCCCCTTTTCTGGGAACGGACTTCTAGGAGGCTTGAATAAGGGCGGCTCAAGACTAAAGAAGTAACATAGTCTACGGGACGCATCGATTTTGGTGCGGTTCATAGCCCTCATCAGCTTATCACCTTTGGTATCCTCCTCATCGTCCTTTAGAAGTTCTTTAGCCGTCTTTTGTAACAGCGTTGGGTCATTTTGTACGTCTGTTAAAATCTGATCATTGTCGTCATCATCTTCGCTCTGGTTGATGAGCTCATCCGCCCTCCTCGCACTCTCATCTGCCCTATCAGACTGCCGAGCATGGTTGATTAACGACTTCAAGTCAAATTTGTGCTTAGGCTGTAGTGTCAAAGGCGACTTGAGCAGAGAAGATGAGTTGGAAGCTATCCTCTTTGCCCTTGGTGTGGATGTTAGATTTGAGTCTCTCTGGTAAGGAGAGGGACCATTTTTCCGTTGGATGAACGCGGATATCGACTCTAATGAGTCGTCCGAGTCACCGTCTTCATCGTCGGACCCTTTAATTTCATCGGTCCGATCACGCAGCTTCGGAGTGGGTTTCCGTGGTGTTGTAGGGGATGAAAATGAGAGCTGCGGATCCCGGACCGGTTCTGAAGACGAGGCCGACTGGGATTGAGGATCATTACTGCGGCCGGCAGCTTTGCCGAAGAAGCCTCTGATATCCCGATTCCGGGACGTCGACATATCTAGGTACTATATGCTGATCCGTCGGTACAACAAACCTACGATAGATTTCATCGATACTTATTAGAAATAACATGGGCATATAGTTACAAAGTTGTAGGTACCGATTCCCATTTCATTCAGCTCTTAGTTTGATGCTTGGCGGGGCGCTTGAAAGAAAACGCGTCGTAAAGATTAATTAATTTGATGTGGGGCCGCCCTCTCAGCCTCTGTGGACGTGCTGGGCGTGTTGGGCGTGTTGTCCAGGCGCAGGAGGTGCTCAGAGCACCTGGGCAGGGCAGAGGCCCTGAGCTAACGGAACAACGTTAAACCCTTTTTTTTCTCGATCTAGCCGTCTTAGGTAGGTAAAGTTTCCTGGCTGGTTCCTATGGCGCTTTGGAAGTGTACCCCTGACCTCGGTACTTAGGTACACTAGCGTACCTAGGTATTTGAGATGTCGGGTCTTATGCTATGCTGCTCGAATCTTGGAAACGTCCCGATAACTAACCTAATTAAGTATGTTCTTTGGACAGTCCTAATGTGCGGTGGCTAAAAAAGGGCAACTGACTCGGGGTAAGGAGAGATCCACCGGATTTAATGCTTGGCGGGGTTCGGGTCAGTTCCCGTGTGTTGCAGCTCCCAAGATTACCAGCCTTTCATCATTCATCCCGTCTGTTAGTGCACCAGCCCGGCGCATCAGGGGGTACCTAAACAGGGTCAACAGCCCAATCCCTTAATGCCCTTCACAATCTCTTCACTTGGCAGAAGCAGATATAAACTCACAATCTGAATGGATTTAGACTAAACAGGTTAAAGCTACCAAGATGCTACCCAGATACTTACCTAGGTAGATATAATATGGTAATTCGTAGTGCATCGTTGGTTGGCGTATCGTGTACCTTATGTTGGTTAACTTGGAATAGGGGGTACCCTAGCGCTGCGCAGGTACATACTACTTTGTAGCAGGTTTTGGTTTCTCGTCTTGTCTCCACACCATACAATTTTACGAGTTTATCAAGTATGGCTCTTTGAACTTACAAATTCTTAAAACATCGTGATTCACTCTTTCGTCCTATTTATTATTAAGCGTTTAAGTTCCGTATTTGATTTGCCGAGTCGCCTGGGTTGTGAGGCTGTAAATTTGAAAATCTATGCTGTTTTAAGTTGATGTATTGATACACGAACAGACGAACAGCCTGCTGAATGAGTTGGAATCTAATTTAAGAATATCCCCATTTTATGTAGGACGGTATCCATCTGCTAATGTACGCAGTTATGTACCTAGGTACCTAGTTATGTACCAGGTAGGTAGTGTGTAATGCATATGTACTCCACGGATTTCGGGGTCGTGACGGGAGCTGACGGGAAGTGATGCAAATGCTTATCAAACGTTAGCTGCGTTGCTTCGCCACCTTGATAGTTTAATCTTATTCAGATCTGATTGTGACATTGTGTTTCGTCCGAGGCTACCTAAATCCGTACTTCCATTGCGGTATTAAGCAACTATCTACTAACCGTTAGAGTATACCTATCTAAGGTATGTTCAATACGTGGTGGACTTTGAGGCGTCACAGTAAATCGTAACCTGTATCTCATGAGAATTAACTGTAACGCTGCAAACGGAGTTGTGAAAAACTACCTAGGTAGGCTGTTAGGCTTAGGCTAGATCTGCCATCTCGGGCATGTTCGGACTTACAATGTATTATGAAGTACCAACTTCTTATGAATTGGGGGGGGCGCTTTTCCAAATAATACAGTGGATATTCGGTACTTGTGCAGTACAGTGCTTCACACGGATAACCCAGAATGGCTTTAATTTCGAGCTCGACTCGACTCGACTTATTATTACATACCTGTAATGCTCATACACAGAACAAAAATACATAGTAAGTACATCCATCCTATTACCCAGAGGCAAGTTCTCGCGCATTTTGTCTTATTCTCTGACAGAACATACCTACCTGATATATTAGCAGCGGGCTCCTGGGAGCAAGAGGAGCGAATTGGTTAGCTTAAACATAAAGTCGCAACTCCTGAAGGATCTCTCTCACGCCCCGTCTGTGCTCCCCGATACCACTTGATGAATCGATGATGTGCGTCCAAGACCCTTGTCAGACGAATGGACGCCAACCCATGCTGGGTGTTTGTGTGTGAAGAGGCAGAGAGGGCCAGCTATTGTTTCCACACCGCCGCAACGCCATTAGGGGGGATATAGAGAAGATAACGTGCAGCCTAATAGGCTTAGAATAAGTATCATCTGTATTATTGTAGTTAGATTACTCACTATCTACCTTAGGTAGGTAGATGTAGATGCAGACCTAGCCACACAGAATCTGGATTTAGCTCATGGTAAGTAGCGGCTGATATAATAGGTCGCACTTTTTTTCTACCAAGGCGGAATCTCTATGGACATTGTGCTGCCGCTCAAAAGCAAGTGTATGGGATATACGAGGATTTGCTTCTGGTAATCCAAAAAAAAAAAAAAAAAAAAAAAAAAATAGTGCCGATCTAGTTCGTGGTGCGGTAGGCTACGAACAAACAGGTTGGCCCGTCCAATATGTATTCTAGTTGCTGTGTCAATGCTGATAATTCTGACTCGAGGGGGGATAAAGTCGCACGCGAAGGATGATAACTATCCGCGCCGCTGCACTGCAACCATTTAGCGCAAGTTCTAGGGGGGTTCAAAGAATTCGGCGTGCTACCGAGGGGTATTATGTAGGTAGTTGCTAAATTCAGGCTCAGAAAAAAAAAGTAATGGAATGCTACGCAGGACGCGTGCGCGGAGAGCCCTGGGAAAAAAAGTATCACTGGATAAAGTAAGGGGATATGTCTTAATTAAATTCCCAGGTCGTAGAAGTAAGATAATGAGATGTTATATGATTGTAGTTGAATGTGATCCAATACAATGGTTATCTCCATTGCTAAAATCCCTAGATGTAGACCCCGTTCTAAGAGATTTGTCCTCCTATGAGGATTTCTATCCCGCATAACGAAAGAATCTTAGCCGAGATCGAGTCTGGGAGGCATTTTCTGGGTGGATTGGGGTGGGACAAGGATATTGTTAAGTCGCCGTAATTTTTTTTTTCTACTTAAATATACGGATCCGTACAATAGCGCGTACAGTATAGGCCTGATTACCAAGCTTCCGGTATGTAGGTGTAAGGTACCTTGCCTTGGTAAGGAACTAGCGTAATGTACCTGATATACATTTATATGCGTGGCATCTTACTAAAACGCTTCTATTCACGGGGCTTTTAACGTTTACTTTCTACTCTTTATTGTAATATATATAACAATTCTCATATAATCTCCTTCAATAAAAAACTTGTTCAAGAAAAAAAATACTTAGCTTCATAATATAAATCCAATCATAATAATAATGCGCGACAAATAACTCGAATTGAATTATACTTTCAAGTTGATAACATTACGCTAAAGGTCTTAGGACTTTTCCCCTGTTACTGCCGAGAACACCGGATAGGTACTTAGGGACAATTTGCGGATTTGTTAGGCTTTCTGGTTAAGTGTATATATGGGTATGTTCCTAGGTAGGTAAGTACGTACGTACCTAGGTACACACGCAACTTTTTATATCACCTTCTAGCCTATCCTGCTTATAAGCCTTACAGTGTTCGGCACGGTATTCGGTGTACCTTAGAACCCCGGCCCTTCCGACGAAGCGATCAATCAAAAACTTCCATTGTTCCCTTCCCAATTCTGTCCTTAACGCCATCAACAACACGATCGCCCCCCCAGTACTAAGCAAGGGACGACGGAAGACAAGCGATCACATCCCATCTATCCAAATGCAAACCTTCCTCGACGAAAACCTTGTCACGATAACATCGATCGACGACTCACTTTCTTTCACTTTGGCGACGCCGACGCGATTGCTGCCAATTGCCCGAGTCCTTCGCTTTTAGAATCAAGTAACGTTTCAGGAATTCATTCGCAAGACTCGTGGCCACGGAAGGCCGGTCTGGCGGATACGTCGGGTTGAACGGGCTCTGCCCGCAGCTCTCTCAAAATGCCGAAAGGTAGCAGCGACAAGGCGGTCAACAGATCGAGATGGGCTACTCGGAAACTTACTGTCAAGAGCAGCGGTCTCAAGAGGCTGTCTCTCAGAGACAGGATACAGCATAAGCGAACCATATCGATAGAGAAGAAACGTCATTCTGGTGGCAGCCAGTCAACAAGTGACGATCATGCTACATACGACAGCGCGTCTGCGACCAAGCAGAATGAACCAGGGGATTCGAAGAGTACCACATCTGTTGAGGAGGAAGATGACGGGGGGAGGATAGTCTTCTTCAATCTACCCTTACCTGACGAGATGAAGGATGAGGACGGCAACCCCATTCAATCATATGCTCGAAACAAGATTCGGACGGCCAAGTACACACCATTATCTTTCATCCCTAAGAACCTGTGGTTCCAATTCCACAACATTGCCAACATCTTCTTCCTTTTCATGGTCATTCTTATTGTGAGTATAATAGATTTTCTATCCTTCCGAAAAAAGACACTGACACTACTTTTCCTAATTCCTAGATCTTCCCTATCTTTGGAGGTACTAACCCAGGACTTAATGCGGTACCTTTAATATTTATTCTTGCCGTGACGGCCATTAAGGACGCAATCGAAGATTATCGCAGGACGATTCTTGACATTGAATTAAACAACGCGCCAGTACATCGTCTCGTAGGATGGAACAATGTCAATGTCACCGAAGATAACGTTTCGCTGTGGCGTAGGATCAAGAAAGCCACCTCGAGGTACCTGGGAACCGGTTGGCGCGCTTTTCAGGGTTTGTGGAAGGACAAAACAGATGGAGTGCTCAAAGATTCATCAGATCCACGTCCTTCTGTTGAAACCAAGGCTACGCGTCGCGATTCCACCATGTTATCTCCCCACACCGATAGAACATCATACCTGTCTGCGTACGAAGACATTCCGATGACACCGGTCACGTCGCCTCTTCCGCCTCAATCAGCCAGGAACAACTTACTGGAGATCCCAGAACGCCCGACCTCCGAAACATCCTATATGCCAAACGAGACCGAGACGTTAGCTAGAGTGAAAGGGGACCTCATTAACTACGACATTAAGCCCGGTCAAGCCCGGTTTCACAAGGATCATTGGAAGAATCTACAGGTTGGCGATTTCGTGCGACTCTATAATGACGATGAACTTCCTGCAGATATCATTGTTCTAGCTACTTCTGATTCCGACGGCGCATGCTACGTGGAAACCAAGAATCTGGATGGAGAAACAAACTTGAAAGTTCGACAAGCGCTTCGCTGTGGACGAACTTTGAAGCACGCGAGGGACTGCGAGCGTGCCCAATTTTTGATTGAGAGCGAACCACCCCAGCCTAACCTCTACAAGTATAACGGTGCCATCAAATGGGAACAGATGATGGCAAATGGCCCAAGAGAAATGTCGGAGCCGATAACCATTGACAATATGCTGCTCAGAGGCTGCAACTTGAGGAATACTGAGTGGGTTCTCGGAGTCGTCATGTTTACCGGTCACGACACGAAAATTATGATGAATGCAGGTGTCACGCCAAGTAAACGTGCCCGCATCGCCCGAGAGCTGAACTTCAACGTCATCTGTAATTTTGGTATTCTCGGCGCATTGTGTCTTTTGTGTGCCATTGTTAATGGAGTGTCGTGGGGTAAAAGCGACGCCTCGACTGCTTGGTTCGATTACGGTTCCGTTGGTGGTACCCCTGGTATGACCGGGTTTATTACATTCTGGGCAGCGCTTATCGTCTTCCAAAATTTCGTTCCGATCTCCCTTTATATCTCGCTCGAAATCGTGCGTACTCTACAGGCTATTTTCATATATAGCGATGTTGAGATGTACTACGACAAAATCGACTATCCGTGCGTACCAAAGTCATGGAACATATCCGACGATGTGGGTCAGATTGAATATATCTTTTCGGATAAGACGGGAACTCTTACCCAAAACGTCATGGAATTCAAGAAGGCTACTATCAATGGTCAGCCGTACGGAGAAGCGTACACCGAAGCCCAGGCAGGTATGCAGAAGCGTCTGGGTATCGATGTGGTAAAAGAAGCCGCTAGAGCCAGAGAACAGATTGCCCAGGACAAAATTCGCGCAGTGGAGGGGCTTCGAAAGATTCACGATAACCCATATCTTCACGAAGAAGACATGACCTTCATCGCCCCAGACTTTGTTGACGACTTGCGTGGGGAATCCGGCGAGGAACAGAAGCATGCTAATGCGCACTTTATGCTTGCATTGGCGCTTTGCCATACCGTTATAGCGGACCATATTCCCGGTGACCCCCCTAAGATTGAATTCAAAGCTCAATCTCCAGATGAAGCAGCACTCGTGGCAACTGCTCGGGATATGGGTTTCACTGTACTCGGTAATACAACAGAGGGTATCAGAGTGAATGTTATGGGCGAGGAGATACACTACCAGATTCTCAACACAATCGAATTTAATTCCACTCGAAAGCGAATGAGCGCTATCGTAAAAATGCCCGACGGTCGCATCATCTTGTTCTGCAAGGGCGCGGACAGCATCATCTACTCCCGTCTTAAGCGCGGTGAACAAGCAGAGCTTCGGAAGACAACTGCTGAACACCTTGAGATGTTCGCTCGAGAAGGTCTTCGAACCTTATGCATAGCCGAACGCGTACTTTCTGAGCAGGAATATCTCGAATGGCGCAAGGAGCACGACAAGGCTGCTACTGCAATGCATGAAAGAGAGGAGAGACTGGAAGAGGTCGCCGACAAGATCGAACAAGAACTGACTCTTCTCGGTGGAACGGCAATCGAAGATCGACTTCAAGACGGTGTACCTGACACGATCGAATTACTTAGCCGGGCGGGTATTAAGCTATGGGTGCTCACTGGAGACAAGGTCGAAACCGCCATCAATATTGGTTTCTCATGCAATTTACTAAATAACGATATGGAACTCATTAATCTTAAGGTGGAAGAAGATGAAACCGGCTCGACGCCCGACGACTTATTCGTAAACGAGATTGGACAAGTACTAGACGAAAAGCTGAGGATGTTTGGTATCACTGGTGACGACGAAGATTTGGCCCATGCCAGGAAAAATCATGAGCCGCCAGCGCCAACCCATGCTCTGGTCATCGATGGCTTCACCTTGAGGTGGGTACTTGACGAGACCTTGAAACAAAAATTTCTTCTTCTCTGCAAACAGTGCGCATCCGTTCTGTGTTGCCGTGTCAGCCCTGCGCAAAAGGCTGCAGTTGTATCTATGGTTAAAAATGGTCTCGATGTTATGACACTCTCCATCGGAGATGGTGCCAACGACGTTGCGATGATTCAGGAAGCCGACGTTGGCGTGGGTATTGCCGGTGTTGAAGGCCGTCAAGCCACCATGTCTGCCGATTATGCCATTGGTCAGTTCCGGTTCCTCCAACGGTTAGTTTTGGTTCACGGCCGCTGGTCATACAGGAGAATGGCGGAAGCAATCGCCAACTTCTTTTACAAGAACATGGTTTGGAACTTGACCATTCTTTGGTTTCAGTGTTTCTGCAATTTTGACATTACTTATCTCTTCGAGTACACTTACATCCTTCTGTTCAACCTTATCTTCACTTCTGTGCCGCCCATTGTCATCGGTGTCCTCGATCAGGACGTTTCTGATGCAGTCTCATTAGCTGTTCCTCAGCTATATCGACGTGGTATTGAGCGGCGTGAATGGACTCAACATAAGTTTTGGTAATTATGTTCACCGCCCTATTATACTTAACCAGATTTACTAACAAGGGACAGGTTTTATATGTTGGATGGTGCATACCAAAGTGTAATATGCTTTTTCGTTCCATACTTGGCCTTCGCGGCTACGTCGTCCGTTGCCAGCAATGGACTCGACGTGTCGGATCGGTACCGGATCGGTGCTTACGTTGCGCACCCAGCCATCATTACCATCAACCTCTACATTCTCATCAACACATATCGGTGGGACTGGCTTACGCTCCTTATTATCATTCTTAGTGATCTTGTTGTCTTCTTTTGGACTGGTGTCTATACCTCGTCAACGTATGCCGGTACACTTTATAAAGGAGCTCCACAGATTTACGGCGAAGTCTCGTTTTGGGCGGTTTTAATTGCGACTCCAATTCTTGCCCTAGCTCCTCGATATGCTATCAAGGCTTTACGCAAAGTCTACTGGCCCCGAGATGTAGATATCATTCGGGAACAGGTTACCATAGGAAAATTCGACAATTTAGAAAAGGAGAGCCCGAGCGAAATCCTGGCCAAGTCTAGTTCGTCTGGATCGTCACAGTCCTCCAAGCGCCGGCGACACCAGCAATTCGCCAGTGTGGACGAAGACTTGAAACCTATTTATCCACCTTCTATTGCGACTCAGTCTGTTGCTGGTCATAATTCTCGCAGTCAGAATGGCAGCGACGGCACTAATTACACTAGGCACGAGCCTTCGATAGATGTTCCTCCTGTTGCTCAACCCGTCGACCCGCCTCCCGAACCTGCGGTACGCCCATCCTACGATCGCGTTCGTCCCTCTTACGACCGTATGCGAGCCTCGATGGACCGAGTTCGGCAGAGTTACGAGATGTCTAATGACTTCACTTCGGCTGCCATGTTGAGCCGACTCGAGTCGACTCGTTCCGGCGTCAATCAACCAGAAGATGGTAATGGGATTGTCAGCCGAATAAGAAGGCGGACCCGGGGTAAATCCTTCAAGTCTGCATTCACTCACCACAAAGACAATCACATCCATGAGCATGAATAAAGAACACTCACGACCTCTCCCGCAATAACCCCTGTAAAAATAGTGTGATGCTGGGACTTTAGCTTGTATTCCTTACGATGTGATATCCGGAGCGCTAGGTGCTTGAGTATGATCTCGGACGAACTATTCACGATACCACTATGGTTTCCTCAGCTAGACCAGCGAACTAACCATTCTGAATGGTCTTTCTTTCTTTTTTTTTTTTTCCCCTTTTTTGCTCATTTCCATTTACAACGGCGTCGGCGTTTTCATGGTGCATGGAGTCTATGGGAGGACTTATATGATGAGATGACGATGTTGGTCAGAAGGTTGAAAGGTTCTAGTTTTCTTGCATCATAGACTTTCTTCTCGAGTCGAGGTTACACAAGACGTGTTGTCACCAGTCCCTCTTGAGGCAGACCCCTAACTATATCTTGAAGTTATTATTATTGCGGAGGAGAGTCGATACTTCATCTGTTCTCTTGCGTTATATTTTCTTTTTTCTTCACTTTTTTCCCCACCATAGGCGACAGGCTGGTAACAGGCGTTCTACTAAAAGACCAAGGCAGGATTTGACACCTGGATGTGATAGCATACAGCGCGCTCAGTTTAGCAAACAAGCAAACAAAGAGACGGGGGAAGTTTCGGGATTCTTTCGGGATTCTTAAAGGCATGGCGGGGCTTTCCACGGCCCGTGTATATAAGATGATGGACAAATGCGACGAGTAGAGAGAATGAGAGAAAGAGAGAGCATCGGTGGGCGTGTGTGGACGAGTAGATAACATATAATCGGCCAAAATTAGTACTTTCCAAGACAAAGACGTCACCTTTTTTTCAGTTTTCTTTTCTATTTATTTCTAATTAGCTCAAAATGTGCGGCCGAAGTTTTGTATACGTTTTATATTATGTTTTTTTTTTATGTTTAGGTGAAGACTTATTACTACCCACGTGTCTTGGAATTTTGAAGAATGAAATGAACGTATTATAGTCTTGTACATGTGAGGAATGACTTGATATAGTGTAGGCAGGTAGGTACCTAGATAGATCAAACCCTAATTTGTTACTTGTCATTCACGACTTGAAAGGTTAGGAAGTAGGTACTTGCTATCATCCAAATCTGTGGCCCTTCGTACTAATATCGCATTTCGAACTTCCAACCAAACTGATTTCCTGCAATACCAATACTGCTACCCCTTAACCAAATCATCGTCATTCTCGGAGTGGGACGACGGCTTGAAGAATCCTACCACTCGATGGATAGGTACGCGTACGCATACGCATCTCCGAGGCCAAAGACCGACTAATTATATCGCGTTCATCTATCAAAAGGGCATGATCGTTTCGTAATGTGGCTATTGTAGTCACGATGCTTAGGCGAGATTTTGCTTCAACGCGTACTCTGACGACAGGGGTGTCGAGATTATCGCCACAGAACTATTCTTGAGATACTATCTATCATCGCTCCGTTGTGCTCACTATCCGGCTGGAGAGTTACATACTGCCTGCCTATTGTTTGTGATTTACTAGGTAAGTAATCGTGAAACGGTTACTAGGGTGTTGGTCTACGAATACTCCGTCCAGCTGACACGATGAATGACCCGGAGATAGGTAGAGAAAGAACCCTTTCCAGATTTTTATTTCAAGCACCGTATTAGTTACCGCTTTTAGAAACGTGGTCTCTCTATATTATTCCTCATGGTATAGACTCCTTAATAGTGATACTTCTGTCGAATAGGTACTAGACTTAAATAGGGTTGGTTGTATAGCCTAATTCGACGGACTACCCTACTCATTCGTATGTCTCTTTATCGCTTTGTGCTTAGCTTAGTGTCCAACGCAGTTACCAGTCCCCTATCCATTACTCCACGTCCTGGTAGTGGACAGTTTTGTACCAAGTCGCTATACAAACCAAAGACTAAATCGTTTGAAACAGGCCTAAACTCATGGAATCGCGTGATTGCGTAAACCGATGCAGCATCCCATACATGGTCATGGATCATATCCGCGATGTCAGCCTTAGGTACCCCGTTCTTGCGTAAATTTGTGTAGACGCGAAGCCTAACGCGTAGTGGGAGACCAATTTTACGTGGTAGAAGAGCCATGTTGGACGGGGCTTAGAGGTATTGCTGCCGCAGCTAGAAATAAATAGTATGGTGCTGGGACCCATTTGAAGTCTTTTTGGGGAGAAGCTTCCTCAGGAGAAAACTCGTACTGAGAAGACTTCGCGGTAGCATGACTGTTGAACATGAGTATTTGCTAATCGGGAAATGTTTGCTAGCTAGAGGTATCGATGATTACCTCCTTTATTTTAGTGAAGAATCCGATCCTTGATCGGATTGATCGAAGACGACAGCAGTCAGATCCGCTGTGGACACCTCATAAATCGTTGGGCTGGGGCTTCTCTGATCGGACTGGGGGGAAATCTTGTAGTATCTAGCTATTGGATATCCAGCCGCACGATTCATGCTCCTTATGAATTCCGCGAAGGAAGGCAGAGAAGGTTTATCCGAAACTGACAGGGAGCCATCCTCAAAGCGTTTGTGCGCGCCGCAGAGGCAGAACTTGTCGAAAGCGGGACAATAGCACTGACAGTATTGACAGCTCCAGGCGAAGAATATCTTTTCGTTGGCAGTCCTCTCATCAGTCCGGATACTCTGCGCGGAACTCGCTGTTTGTATTATGGAACCCTGGGTTGATGGCATCGTATTGGTCAAGCTTAATGGATACGCTATATGAGTTATAATCGAGATATATGTAAATTTTTTTTGCGAAGCTCTTTTTCGTTTGGTTGCGATGTGGGATACACGGCCTTTTTATACCTCGAGAGAAAGTAAAGCAGAGTCTAATTGGGACTTAGTAGACTACCTATATTTGAATATTTTCCATCGGACGTTTAGGACGAAAAGTATATTCAGTATATATACCTAAGGTACGTAGGTAGCTACAGAACTTCATAGTCACCTAATTTAGAGTTGTTCGGTGGAACAACGAAGTTGCTACTTAAACCTTTGCTCCACCTTGGGACACTGACTCCCAAAGTGCTATGATGGTGACAGTGTTGTTGTTGCAACTGCTAGAAACACGTATGTTTACTACGGAAGGACACATGGGATAGATACGTACGCACAGAGAATCTGGGGACGTATGTCAAATTGGCAATGCTAACGCAGGAACCTAACGTTAAGTTTCGACTACTCATATTAGCATTTCGAGACATGAAATAATTAATCTCGACAAGATCTATCCCTACTTCCCGAGGTACAATCTTCGTAGCATTACCTAATTCCAGAAACGTACGATGGTAAACTCTGGAGGTCTATGATACTGACCAAATTTTGGACATCTCAAGACCCTCGGCGAAAACGCCGACTTTACCATCGATCGCGAATCCCTGGGACTCCAACTTCCTACATTCGGCGTATAGATCGTTTAATGGTACCCAGAAAGCCTCGATAAACTCACCGTCGTCGAACAGCGGTTGAGGATTCTGATTCTCTTCCTTTTCTGGGTCAATCTTGAGGTGGATGACAAAGCTCTTTGAGCTAGTTACGGCAACCAACAGTTAGTAAGACAACTAAGTGTCGATATCAGGGGAGAGTGGATTCTACCTCGAGGATGCGGGAGCTGAGGATAGAGTTAATATGAATGATTATTCAACTGGGGGGCATTCCCAGAACTCACAGCTGAAGAGGATTGGCCGTGAACCTCCACGATCAGGCACTACCTCACCAATATAGCCTGTTTCCTCCTTTAGTTCACGCAGCGCTGCTTGTTCTACCGTCTCATCTCGATCGACTAGCCCAGCCGGAAATTCAATCACGATTTGGCCTGCTGGTGCGCGAAACTGTTTCTCCAGGAGGACCCTTGGCCCTTCTTTGTGGTGAATGACGGCGATCATTTGCACGGCGTCAACGGGGCTGGAGCTCGGACGCCCGGGGCGTCTTATCGCTTCCCACGTCCGCACTTGGCCCTCTTCATCCTCGTATGTAATCCTGAATCATACTATGGTTAGACGGAGGGAAAGTCTAAAGCATCTCATGACAAAATAGAATGAGATGCTACTGACTTCACGAGATTGATCCACTTCGCATCTTTATTTTCCTTGGAAAAGCACTTAGTAAATTTAATGTAACTGGGTTTTTCTGAGCACGTACGAGCAGTTCGGTCGATATGACCTTGGCAACTCTTTTCGACATGGTGAGGACTGATGATAAAGTGCGAAAGGAGCGAAAGGAGAAGCTCTCCCCTCTCTGCTTGGGCAGTACTATGTACAACTTGCATAGCCACATTATGGTTGTGGCTATCATTTTGGGTGCGGCTTGACACTTACACCTTGCTTATATTAGTGAAACCACTTTATTTCTATACTCTATACTTTTTTATACGCACTAAGTGTTGCACCTTGTCGTATAAGAAAGAAGAGCCAAGTTGTACTAACTTGCGAAATAGGGGGTGGAAGTATGGCTTTGTTCTAAATAATATAACTACGTGATGATCTTCCGGTCCTATTCGTTACGTCATGGAACCGCGACCGTCATCACGCATCACAACAATCCTAATATAAGACTACCTACATGTACCTACCTAATCGACAACCTGAAAACTTTTAGAAAAACTACTCCAAATTACTCATTCTCGGGTTACCTTGATAATATTACGTACCCATCTATATATTTAATATCCCGTTAATACTGCGATAAAACTTGCCGAAATGTTCCTACAGATTCTTCACTTTGCTCAAGCTACTTTGGCTATATACGGCGGCAGGCAATCCTACGTCGCCATCACCAACCTTCGCAAATACGAAGATGCAACTAAGAAGGCAGCCAGAGTATCCAAGGAGGCCGAGCGTCAGCGACAGCAGACGTATGCCACGCAGACCACCGGCGTCGTTACATTGCTGTTCTCATTCTTCATGTCGGTGCTGCTCGCCCGCGAGGGTTCCATCTACGGCTTCCTACCGCGGTTCTTGGCGCCGGCCGCAACCATCGCCGCTGTTTACTTTGCGAGAAAGTATATCCGGGGGTTTTGGGCCGGGAAGACGCCCGGGGTCAAGGGTAATCTGCCGAACATGGGCGATTATGACGACGCGGAGAAGAGAACTCATGAGCTCCTGAACGTGCTGGATCTTTTAATGTATAGCTGGATTGCTACCCTAGCTTTAGCTATAACTGTAGGATATTAAATGTCATCCCGGATGACAGGTAGATTGGTCGCCTTAGATATAAGAAACTCGGTGTAGTATGTTATACATTAGAAATATATATAACACACACCTATTAAATCCCTATGTACTCACGACGACCCCTACTACCTGACGCTAGCATAGCGGCGCAATCTCCCCAGTCTCTAATTCCTTCGCAACCCGCGACGAGACTTCGTCCCAGCGCTCGAACGTGTCCGCCTCGGCGTCAAACGCGTATAACCACCTATTCCGCATCTTGACGCTCTCCGGGTCGATCTCGACGCCCTCCTCCACGTCCTTGAGCGCGTTGTGCCAGCGGTCCCGCAGGTCTTCCCCGTTCGTCTGGCTCGCCCTGGTCCTTGCGAACCGCAGCTTCTCGTAACATCTCGTCTATAGACGGTCAGCGGCCAGGTATATATTAATCTTAATACCCTGCTTTAATAGGTATCGGTATGGGTTATAGCTAGTTCGGTAAGACGGGGGTTGAACCAGAGATGAAAAGAACAACTAGGGAGAACTTACTGCTAACGGAATGTTGCTCTTCCCGGCTAGTTTTAGGCAGACGGCGAGTACGGCAGCGCTTTCTGTCGCTTGGCTCGCACCCTGCGCGCTTGTCGGTAGGTGTGCGTGGCAGCTGTCGCCTAGCAATGCGATTTTGTGGCTCTTGGACACCCACGTGGGGAGAGGATCCCTATAGCAGATTTCTTGAGTTTGGAGATATTAGTTAGGTGTAGGTACCTAGTGAATAAGACGTAGTACGTTACGTGAAGCAGGCAAGGATGATACCTACTCCAATCTAAACAGGATTCCGTCTTCTCGACGGCAGCGCGTATCCGCGGGTCTAAATCTTGCAGCGACTTCTTGACCTCGTCCATGTCTCCCTCCTGGAACCACGACTCCTTGATCACCATGTCGGCTTCGTGGGATAGTTTGCGGGTTACGATCCAGTTGAACTCGTCACCGTTCCGGAGAGTGTTCTGAACTAGATGCGTATCTTTGCCGATCCTGATTCGTTCTTGTCAGCGACATTTCTTAGCAAAGTTACTTACCTAGGTACCTAGACAGTAGCTGCAAAGAAAAGAAAAAGGTCAGGTAGTTACTAGAGGTAATTACACGTAACATACCAAATGTTGACACAGTCGTGATCTACAAATTCGCGACACAGGGGATCTTCCCGCAAGTGCTTCCCGGGAAAATAAGCCCGATAGCAAGAATACCCGCTGCTCTTCGGCGCATCTTCGAATCCCAGCACCAGTTCCCGCGCGCGGGACTTGATACCGTCGGCGCCGACGACGAGGTCCGCCGTATCCTCCGCGCCGTCCGCAAACCTCACGCCCGGCTTCGACTCGTCGTACGCGACGACCTCGCGGCCCATGCGAATCGCGATGCCGGCGTCCTCCACGGCCTGGATAAACGCCTCGTGGTAGTCCCCGCGGTGGCCGATGTACCCCGCCATGTCCATCAGTGGCTGCTGCGCGAGGACCTTGCCGTCGTGCCACCGCCGGATCTGCATGTCGGGCGCCTGGTTGCCGATGCCGGTCAGCTTGCGGTAGAGCGGCTTCCCGCCCCAGCGCTCGAGCAGCTTGAGCGCATTCTCGCCGAGGCCGAGCGAGTCCCCCAATCGGCGGAAAGCCTTGAGTTTTTCGTACACGATCACGTCGTGCCCGTGGTGCTTGAGGGCGAGCGCGCTGGCGCATCCGCCTAGACCGGCGCCGATGACGATGACTTATAATTTGATAGACGATAGCTTTAGTAAAAAGTAAAAAAAAAAAAAATTAAGTAAAGGGGGATCGTAGGCATGGAACCGTAGCACAAAGCCCGGTTGATTCATCGGTTGACTTACCCTTGATTGGCTCGTTATTTACGCCGTTAATAGTCATTGTAAGTAAAGTCTACTATATACCTAACCTAAGATATACCGGTTACCTAGTGCCAATACCGGCGCGTTTAAATTCAGCGGGACGAGCCTTTGTGAGAATCCGGGGGTACCCATATTTAGGGCCAAATCTGGAGGGCTACGACGATGGCCATCTCTTCATGCCGAAGGGGAACATCAGCTGATTTCCTGCCAAGAAATCTCCAAACAACAATATAGATCCATCCACAGAGCTACGCCGATTTTGCTATTGGCGGGATGTATTGGTGCTACGGTAGTCCTATATCCTCTCCCAGCTGTGAGGGTTCCTCGGTTTCGTGATCGATGGAACTTGGTGACATCCCTGCTTCTGGCGTATTAAGGGGGGCGGGGGCACATCCCCCTCTCTGGAAATGTAAATGCCGTCATGGTAGCCGAAACCTGCCATGCGGATTACCGAATTGATAACCTGGTGGCCACCTTCCTTGCTTATTCTACCGGCTTTCCAGTTGGGATGATTCTTTTGCTGATTATTGATATACGGTATATTTTCCGCTTACGAGACCAAGGCCGAGGTTTGGACAGAACGGGATGATAGCTATATGTGTTGCCTTATTAGGTATGGCAGATATTTAGATATATTTGTACCACGAGCCATTGTATACGAAATACCTTGTATGCGCTGGTTACTTATGTGATACGGATCTGATATGTTGAGTAATTTAGAAAATTTTGATATAGTTCGAGACCTTATATCTTTGGATAATGACTGATGGAACCATCAACAGCATGAACATTCCACAACACAAGATCGAGTTTGTGCGTCGAGACTAATAACCGAACATCGTACAGACCGGAGAAAAGACCGTTGCTAATCCTAGAAGTGTTAAGAAATGTACAGGATGCAGCGACAGATCTGCCGAGGGTTCCCCCGATTCCAACCCCCCCCTACGTCCTCCCACGGTGCCGCTTCTTGTTGGAGAACTGGTAACGTGGATGCGGTGCGGAGTCTGGAGAAGCTCCGAATAAGAGGATGGGATGTTCGCAATCAGTCGATATGTCAACTTTACCGAGCTCCCGGGAACCAGAAGAGGACTCTGATTTGATTTGAAGGGAGCTTATTATGGCTACGCAGGCTGCCTCAGGGATAATCCCCTCGATACAGGAGAAATATAGCGGCGTGCCAGTGCGACTGAAGCAAGAAGCTCAAACTGCACGAGATCGCCTGCTATCGAATCGCACGCTACCGGTTAGCCGCCCGAGGAAGAATCCGGTACGCCTTCCGCCGGACGTGTCTCTGGAGGATTTTGAAGCAGCTATCAAAGAGCTGAGAGGGGCGATAGGAGACGAAAATGTCGAAGTGAATGATAAACCGTTGGTAGATGGATGGTATATGCAGCATCCGAATACCCACGATGCTTTCCACATCACGGATCAGGAGGAGCTTGTAAGCAGCGCGGTCGTGTATCCTGGGTCGACGGAGGAAGTCCAGACTACGGTGCGATGGGCCAATAAGTTCGGCATTCCGATTTACCCCATCTCCATCGGCAGAAACCTGGGTTACGGCGGTGCTGCGCCCCGGATCCCGGGAGGCGTAGTTGTTGACCTCGGCAAACGGATGCATGCGATTCTAAATATCGATGCCGAGAATGCGAGCTGCCTCGTCGAACCTGGAGTCACGTACTTCCGGCTCTACGAGGAAATCCAAAACAGGAAACTCCCGTTATGGATCGATACACCTGATCTGGGCGGTGGTAGCGTGTTGGGCAATGCGATTGATCGCGGAGTTGGATATACGCCATACGGCGATCATTTCGCGAATCGCTGCGGTATGGAAGTCGTCTTGCCTAACGGCGAGTTATTGCGTACTGGCATGGGCGCTCTGCCCGGTCCAGAGGGGGCAGACAATCCTACATGGCAGTCATTCCAACATGCCTTCGGCCCATCGATCGACGGCATATTCTCGCAGAGTAACTTCGGCATCGTTACTAAGATGGGAATGCAGTTGATGCCGGAGACGGAACATCAGTCTTACTGCTTCACATTCCCGCGCGATGGCGACTTCGAGCAAATCGTTGACCTTATCCGGCCGTTGGCGCAGAAGGGAATATTGGGGAACATCCCGCAACTGCGCCATGTAATCCAGGAACTCAACGTTACCGGCCGACGAAAATCGGACTTTCACGATGGTTCGGGCCCCATGACACGCGAAGAGGTCCGAGCTGCGGCTGAGAAGTTGCCCTTGGGTGACTGCTCCTGGGTCTTCTACGGCACGCAATATGGACCGTCTGCATCCATTGCGGCACAGCTAGAAGTTATCAAGACGGCGTTTTTCAAGATTCCCGGCTCGAAGTTCTTCTTACCCTCTGATCTTCCATCTGACCACTACTTACACGACCGCTCGTTAGTTTGCAGTGGCATTCCTGTCCTCCGCGAGCTCGACTGGCTAAATTGGCTACCGAATAGCGGACATCTATTCTTCAGCCCCATAGCCCCGACGCGTGGTAAGGACGCACGCACTATCCACGAGATAATCGTCAAGGCGCATGAACGTCACGGTTTCGACCTGTTTCCTACGCTCTGCGTGGCAGGTCGCGAGATCCATTACATCACGAACATCATATACGACAGGGCCGACGCGGACATGAAAGCTTCCGCGGTCAAGCTCATGAGAGAGATGATCAAGGAATGCGCGGACAAGGGGTTCGGCGAGTATCGCACGCACCTTCTTTTCGCCGATCAAGTAGCCGGGACCTATAGTTGGAATAACTCGGCGTTTATGCGCTTCAATGAGACGATTAAGGATGTGTTGGACCCGAATGGGATTTTGGCCCCGGGTCGCAACGGAATCTGGCCGAAGAGATTTAGAGGAAAAGGATGGGAATTGAAGGCTGATGATACTGATCTGTCATCGATTGGGCCGCGCCCCGAGAAATAGCAATACCAATAAGTAGTAATTAACTCTAGCAAAAAGTAACAGATAGGGGTATCAATTACTCGCCTGCAATATTCGATCGTTTAGTTTTAGAGTCCCTAACCTAGCGGATTTATGCTTCCGATGCTTTTCTTTTGAATATCTGGGTCAATATCATGAACATTTACCTCCCTTCCCATAATCTCCGTAATCCTGCCAATCCGATAAACAGAGCCTCGTCTGTCCTGATAGTCCTACTCCCTTGACTGGGTAGAATATTGACCCAGTGATCAAACAGTTCCTTAGTTCGCCCCTTCACAATCCCCATGCCATTCAACTGGGGGTCGTTCTCCGCCGCATTCTCAAGACCTCGGGGCCCGCCGAAGACAATGAGAAGATGATTGAAGGCCATCGCGTCCTTACTCTTCTTTCGTTCGGGAAACGCTTCCGATATAGACACGCCGCGCTCGGACGTTCCGATGTTTAGGTCGTACCCGCCTTCGTAGGTGCACTCTTCAAAAATGTTGGCGAGCGAATCGCAGCGTCGCACCGAGTATCCCCAGTAGTAACCTCCCTCGACACGCGGCACGCTAGGGTCTACCGGTTCCGCCCTCGACGGATCGTTCTCGTCCATCCGAACCGTAATCCGGGTCTTGGGCGGGACCTCGTGGCTAATAGTCACGGGCTCCTTCCTGCCCACGTCCACGAGCGTTCCCTTCCCACCCTTCGGCGTCCCGGACACCGTCACACCTTCGCAGTATGGTAGCCAGTCGGTGGAGTGCGGGTGCGAGGGGATGTCCAAGCTCGCCATGAGCCCCGCGCCCCTCAGGTTGGGGTGGATGGGCAGCAGCGTGCGCCGCATGAACGGCGGCATCTCCAGGTACTGCAGCAGGTGGTCGAGGTACCCGCATGGGTCGACGTCCCCGGTATATGCCGCGGGGTCGACGTGCTTGGGCCGGGTGTCCGGGTGCGAGTCGTCGAATATGACGATTTCGTCTACGCTGAATACGGCGAGCGCACGCGCGATGTGAGACACTACGCCCGTGCGTTGATCGTCCCGACGGCAGCTAGAAATCTAAGTTTAGTACTATGTAGGTATATTTCCACTGTCTCCCGAGATTTGACGGGTAAAAATTGCCATTGCGGGCGACTCACGTCAAAAGAACACTTCCCGGGACAGCTACGGAGATAGTCCAATCCCGACCCTGGGTAGGCTTAAAGAAGGCGGTCGGCTTTGAGGTATCTACGTAGTCGCCGTCTTCTGTGAGACGGCGTTTCTGATAATAAGGAAGAAAAAAAGATTAGATTTCTGGTTTCTGATTTTAAAATGAACTTGTGTGAAATTTGATTGACTTACTTTCTGCCTGTCTTGCTCATAACTTGCCATTTTTATCCTTTATTTTATTTTATTTATGAGATATGACGAAAGGCGGGATGAGCTAGGTAAGAGTCGTAAAATCGCTGTTATTATCACATTTCACATGGCGCAAAGTAAAATTTCCAGCTTCGAATTGATTGAATTAAAATTCCGCCGGCAAAACCTCACCGTCTTCCCCACCGCCTTCTACATTAGGCATAGCTTCGTAACTGGTGCGTTATGGTCCAAGCGCAGTTATTTTCGATTCATCATCGTGTCATTCTCTCCCCTGAATATGGAGTACCTAGGTACCTTAGGTACGCAATGTCAACCCATTCGACTTGAACAGCTCTGTGATATAACTGCCATTGGGAAATATAGCAAAGCTTTTTCAATGCTAAAGGCCAAAATCATTTGTTGATATAATCTCTTCATGCTCATTAAGCTCAGCAGTTACACATCCTTGATATAAATACCTAACCTAGATACCTGGTATATAAGAAGCTACTCCAAAATATCCTTTTCATAAAGCAACAACTTGAGTTGAGTTTCTACTGAAGTGATCATATGATGTGAGACCATCAATTTGCGCCCACCTCCTATTCGGAGACCGGGCCGCTTATTCGGAAAACATGGTTTTCAAGTTCCCAATTGTGGAGAAGCGAGAGTGGACGGAGGGAGATGGCCAATACAACCATGCGGCAACGGAGGGAGTACGCCCGGGATGCAAATTTGAGTATAGATATATCTCCACGTAACACGTAAATACCTTCATATCGCCCCTTTCCCCCAAGCTCTCTGTCTCATCTGCTGTACCTTCCTCTATCACCTTTGCCAACCCAATCCGTGACAATGTTCCGCCAATTCGGTCTCCTCGCCCTTGCTCTCCTGCCCTTCTCCTTCGCCCAAGTCTCTGATGACTTCGAAAGCGGATTAGACACCGCAGCATGGCCTACATACGCGAACGACTGTAACCAGGGCGGTAAAGTCACCCTAGACAGCTCTACCGCTCACAGCGGAAAGAACTCGGTGAGGGTTGACGGTGCTGGTGGCTACTGTGGACACATCTTCTTCGGCACGACGAAAGTCCCCAGCGGAGATGTTTACGTGAGGACTTGGCTGTAAGTTTTGCTTCGCTCGAGGGACAAACACGAGGCAGTTGAAATATACATGTACAGTGAAAAGCTAATGTTTGGCTCCCCTCATAGCAAAGCCTCAAAGGCCCTGACCGACTCTCACGTCTCCTTTATCACCATGCCTGACTCCTCCCAAGGCGCCAAGAAGCACCTCCGAATCGGTGGTCAGAGCAAGATTCTCATGTATAACCGCGAATCCGACGACGCTACCCTGCCTGATCTCTCTCCTCAGGGTATCGCCGCTTCCGCCGCCCTTCCTACCAGTGGCTGGCAGTGCTTCGAGTACCACGTAGGAACGGACGGCACCATCGAGACCTGGCTGAACGGCAAAGCTATCGATGGCCTTACTGTTAAAGCTGGCAGCAACAACGCCAACGCAGGCCAGTGGCAGAGAGGTACCGCCAAACCTAAAATTACCGGTGTCTACTTTGGCTGGGAGTCTTACGGCGGCGACACTAACACCTTCTGGTATGACGATGTTGCCATTAGCTCGACTCGTGTTGGTTGCGATGCGTGATCCTGTTTTTAGCTGCTATCACTAGCAATAGGCATTCTACTCCTAGGATGGTAAATACCAGGTACCTAGAGGCTAGAGTGCAGTGTCAACGAATAAAAATCTATGAATTAAAACATATTGCTTAGCGGACTTTGTCGGCCCTATATACTTGTATGGAAATGAGACTAGATATTAGCCTAAATCCACGTCAAGGTACACCAATTATATTATCGGGAATGTACCTAGGTAGCTTTGAACGACATGTCCTCACTGGTGTGTTTTGTATCCCGGGGGGAACTTGAGCCTAAAAAGGGGTATAGCAGAAACCCCACAAACTGCCTGTTCTCACCTCCTAGCGTATAGCTGTAGGCAGAAGCAACTTATGAGACTAAAAGGCCATGCTGGTTGGAGATTGTCAGCCACTGTATTAAAGCCATTGTTTACTTTGCATTCTATCTACTCTTACTTTCCCTGCTCTATTTCTATAACTGAACTATTCATCCTCATACGGTCTTGTGTGCCTTTCCTCTTCTGGCAACATCTAGGTACGGCTAGTATCTTCTTTCCGATGTAAGCAACTGGGTCTACTATGAATGGTAGGTTTGCGTTTGCATAGTCCCCACCATCATCTTCAATTTCGATGATGTTGATCTGTAGTACATCCGGATCCGGGTCATCGGCGGGCACTGGATGGTCGAATGTGACACCGTAATAGTCAATCTCGCTAGATAGGAAATGAACAAGATAGAATTCAGAGTGCATCCAGTGTACCTGAACATATACGCGTTGAACAATAGCCGTGTCCTTACCTCAGTGATACCGGGGATATCCAGCCCAAATATTCATCTCGAACAACTATATCACCAGGAATGTCTTCACGGACATTTTGTCCATAAATTTGTTGATACGCTAGTCTTGCTAACGCTGGACCAGCCGGCTGTGGAAACTTCAGAGACATCATTTCCGTGTGCCACGATATATTAGGAAGAAGTCTCTGGACTGAGATTAATGGACCTTCTATTTGGATTCCTGAAGGCTGTTCTCGAGGTGGTAGATGGAACGAATGCGCAGGTTTCTTGAAACAGGGTAGGATATAAAGGTCAAGTGCTATGGTGATTAAAGAGAACTACTGGCCTATAAAAAAATGCCACCGATTTTTAAGCATATTGAAAAAGGGATGCATTTGAATATTTAAGCAAGTCGGAAATATAAGTACCTAGGTACAAAAATCACTTCGCTAACAATAATAAAGCGTTGTGTAACATAAAGCAATGGGTAAACCGTAACATAAGAGGTAAGGGAGGCCAGTAAGTACCTAACCTAACCTAAGGTACCTAGATACCCATGTACCTTAGCTAAGCTACGGTCGATTGTACCTAGGTAGATCTGGACAGCTTTATCTCGGCTTCCCGTCATCAGCCAAGAGATCCACTTAACATTTAACCATCCATCGCTATCCATCAATCCATCAACAATTCCAACAACTTCCCGCTCAGTCTTATTACATAGCAACACAACAACGCAGTTACGAACACCCAAACCAAATATCCAAAATGACCGTAAACATCAGCTCTCCCAATGAGTGGCAGCGCATATTGGGGTCTTCGACCGTCGTGGTTACAGACTGTAAGTTCTTACCTTAGGTACTTGTCGCATCCTTCATTTGCGATTCCGGCCTGTCCGCTTACAAATGATGGTTGCATGTATGTAGTCTACGCCGACTGGTGCGGTCCTTGCAAAATGATCGCGCCTACCTTCGACTCGCTGTCGACGACATATTCTAAGCCCGGCAAGATCGCCTTCTGCAAAGTCAACGTCGATAATCAACAATCCATCGCCCAGACCCATGGCGTGCGCGCGATGCCGACTTTCCTCATCTTCAAGAACGGTTCCGTCATCGACACCATCCAAGGCGCAAACCCCCCGGCCTTGACCTCCGCCGTCGAAAAGGCCGTTAAACTGGCTAACGTGAGCGCCCCGGGCGCGTCTTTCAAAACACCCGGAAGAACGCTGGGAAGTGGCTCGTCTTCTGCTGTAAGGCGAGGTGGTCAGTCGCTGGGCGGCCAACCGTGGAAATTCAGTCCTTTCAACATCCTCAACGCCATCCTCACATTCTTTGGGCTATACTTTGTATCACTCTTCTCGGTAAGTTAGGCAGAGATATCCTCTAGCCATTCTATGCTTTACGGCCTGGTAATGGGATGCCGAACTTATTGTTAACAACTCCAACTAGTTTGATCCTTACAAAGCGGCTGAAAGGTCGCAATTCAACCTTAACAACCCAAGTGCACCACCGGCGCCGATTAATCTCAAGGGACAGAAAGTCGGCGGACAAAGTGGTTCTGCCCGATCTAGCGGGGTTAGGACGCTGGCTGATCTTACCAAGTAATTCTGAAGATTGCCTACCTGTTTCGTATATGTTGTCGAGTGTATTGATGGCGTATGGGGTGGAGTTTAGCACTTGAATTGAGTTTTCTGACGATGTGTGCATCCTTCGGCTGAGGATAATAATATATGCATTTCTAACATTACTGACAGATACACCGCTGAGCCAAAAGTGTATTTCTTAATAGCACAAGTGTTATTACAGTCTATCTGACCATGAGTGGTATTACCACCTCATAATTACCAATATTACCTAGCTTATCGGTACGTGGTGAATTGCTTTGCTATCAGACTCTTGCCATAGCTGAAGGCAAGAACAGTGCTAGCTGAGTGGTCAAGTTACTATGTACCTTAGGTAGGTAGAGCGGATAACTGCGTTAGACCCTGCGCACTACGTACTACGTACCTTAGGTACTACGCTAAGTGCGGGGTGTATTCTAATGCCGGCCTTTTAAGTGGATGGAGCTCTACAAGGGAACATGAGCTAGTCTAAAACTTCCCTACATAAAAGTATGAAAAAAAAGTTAGCGAATCTTTGCCATCGTTCATATATTCCTTTTCTTTTTTTCCTTTTTTTTTTTCTTCCAGGCCTTAGGTCCAGTTTGAGAGCGAGCGCAATACTATGCTTTCCGCAGCAAAATCCCGGGGTTCATGCCCTCAGTGTAGGCTGCGGCTGCTGAATTTGTTTGAAAATGGCTTCGCCGGTTTACGAACAGAAGCCCCGCGGTCCTCTCCTCGGGCAACTTACTCGAGTCTAAGAAGTCTTCCATTGAGTAGAAAGTCTAATGTGCGACTCTTCTCAACGACGAAGCGAAAACTTCAAGACCAGCAGCCGACGGAAAATCCTTCCAAATCTAGTGACATTGAAACCTTCGTACGACAGGCGAAACACGCTTTTGGTGATACCTTGCCAAAAGGTTATTTAAATGAGGAAGAATATAAGCTGTACGAGCGACTGTACGGTGCTCCTCTGCGAGTGACTCGGCCAGAAGATGTTGGCATCCCAACATCTAATTTTGTCTCTGAATATGAAGATGTTGCCTACGATTCATCCAAGGGAGTATTACTACGGGAAGGAGAAGATGGGATACTAGAGGAAGTTACCTACGAAACTAATACTGTGGTATCTCTTTCTAAAGATGCCAGTGATACCAAAGGTCTCGCTTCAGCGAACATAGAAAGCTCACAAGAACTTCCCTCTGAAGCCGGAATAACCCATGTCAATGCCGTGGCCAAAAGCCAGAGAGAATATGAAGCTCTGCTGAGATTGCAAAAAGACTTCGAGAATGCTCAGCTGCGAGCAGCCGAAGAAGAGGAAATCGATGAAGAGCCCCTAGAGGAGGAGGAGGAGGAGGAGGAAGATGAAGGCGAGCCCGATGCGAGGTTTGAGGATCGAGAAAGTCGCATTCACAGGTACACCAAAATAGGCCATTGGGGAACTAAACCTTCCACCCTCAACCTACCAAAGGCGGAATTTGTTACTCCCATCAACGAATTGCTCGACCGAACAGATACTAAGCATATCAGAGAAGCTGCGGAGAGAGTTTTTGGCGGTCCTGGATTTCCCAATTCTGTGGCAACTCCCGAAGTACGAAAAAGCCCCGAGCAAAAACCGGTAGCAATGCAAGCAGGCCAACATAAAATGAGTGAGATCGAAGCGGACGCTTACGTTGCTACGAACCTTCCAGGAATGTACGCCTCTGTAATGAGTGTTCTAGTTGAGGTTAGGAAACGCTTGGGTTCAGAGTGGATTCCCAAACTCATCTCGAGAGGCGATGGCGAGGGCCCTCGTGTGCTTGATGTCGGTGCGGGAGGAGCTGGGTTAGCAGCCTGGCAGCAAGTTCTCGAGGCTGAATGGGAGCTTATGTCTGAGGGGGGCAAGAAGCCTAACCACGGCCCACCAGGAAAAAAAACGGTGGTAGTTGGCTCTCCTCTGCTCCGTCAAAGGATATCACGATTTCTTCAGGACACTACATTTCTCCCACGTTTGCCAGATTACATACACTCGGCCGACAATCCAGATTTGTTAGACGCCGGTGACAAGCCGCAGCATAAGAAGTCATTCGATATAATCATCGCTCCTCATTTACTATTGCCTCTGAAAGAAGGATTTAAACGCAAAGCTCTACTGGACAACCTCTGGGAAATGTTGTCGCCCGACGGTGGCGTTCTTATTGTTATGGAGAAAGGTCATCCGCGGGGTTTTGAAGCTGTAGCGGACGTTCGTTCTCGCCTACTGAAGGAATTCATCGTGTCGCCTACCTCGGATCCTCAACCTACGGAAATAGAAATGGAGGCGCGACGGGTCCGGGAGAAAGGCATGATTATTGCCCCCTGTACTAACCACAAGGAATGCCCAATGTATCTGACACCTGGGGTTAGCAGTGGACGAAAAGACTTTTGCCACTTTAGTCAGAGATATATCCGCCCGCCATTCTTTCAAAAGGTTCTCGGTGCCTCGCATAGGAATCACGCCGACATAAATTTCAGTTTTATCGCTATTCAACGCGGAACTTTGCCCGGCATGAAGCCAGTTCCTGTACCCGAGCAGGGAGCCGACTTGACTACTCGCGCGTTCAAGGGTTATGAGAAGGCTAGAGAACAACCGAATACGTTATCATTACCTAGGAACATCCTCCCTCCCCTGAAACGACGTGGACATGTGACCCTCGACCTGTGCACACCTACCGGGAAGATAGAGAGATGGACTGTTCCCAAAAGCTTCAGCAAGCAAGCGTACCACGACGCACGAAAGACGCAGTGGGGGGATCTATGGGCACTAGGTGCTAAGACCCGAGTAGAGCGTAATATTCGACTCGGACGAGCAGGTGCAGTGGCTAATGACGGCGGCGTGCGGTCTCGCGCAAATACGCAGAGCAACAAGCCGAGGGTTATTCATCTCAACGCCGACTCGCGAGGTATTTACAGTGCTCAGGAGAAGGGCAAGGCACGTGGTCCTGCCGAGAGGCGGACCAAGGGAGGAAAGAAGGCAAAGGTGGCTAATTTGCTAAAGGAGTTGGAAGAGGAAGGCTTCCAGTGAGCAAGATGTATAAGTAGGTAAATGATTAGCTTGAAATTTGTACAAAATCTCCCCGGTAGGCGTCGGGTATTACTACGAATAAATTGTAAACCAAATCAAGATGGACTATGAACGATCCGATCCGCCTTTGCCACAATAATTGTATACCTAGTTGAATTTAATAATAGTTCTCTGAGCTATGAAGATTAAAATAAGTAAATAAGAAGTGAGAATATGATAAACAGTAGTAGTTGAATTTCATACCTCCGAAGAAAAGATTTACTTACACGATGGTAATATGGAAACATTTTGTTCGACTTAGACATTTCCGCTGGTGGTCCGCGGAACTCGGTATACGGGTCGAACGAAACTAAGGTCAATTGCTTATTGCTGATTGGTTAGATAAGGCTATCAAGTGCGATTGCGTCAGAGGAAAGCCCCTCCAAAACGCCCCAAACCCGCTAAAACTTTTGGCAGATTGCCCAAAACGCCGGGAATCGGTCGAGACCCTTCAAAGAAATCCGCTGCGGGAAGACCATGGCGACATCGCCTCTAGTTGCGGATAACTTCTTAGCTAAGAAATATTAACCTTAGGTAAATTACCAGGTACCTAAGGTAAATATTTTGGCTCGGGAGGGTTTTCTCGTAGGGAAAATATACTCACGATGAGTAATTATATCTTCTTCCCTCCGTGATGATTTTTCTCCCTTTTTTTTTCTTTTTCTTTTTCTCTCTTTCATTATCTTAGGTACCTATCCTTTCATAGTTGTTCTACTAGGGCATCTTCAAAATCAAGGTTATTATCTCTTGGTATTAGATATAGTGGGTGTTTGACTTTGACTTCGTCTTCGCACGTCTGGTCTATATGAAAGGTCTATACCGATACCGACGATGACCAGTCATATCTCCCTGCTGACGGCAACGGACGCCCGATCGCATGTCCACTTAATTATCGGCTCGAACCCTCTAGCGGCAGCACGCTGTGGGCAATCTCTAAGTGCTGGCGCATCGCCGATCTTAATTGCGCCGGAGACGTCAGAGCTGTATTATGCGCTGCAAAAACGTGTTGACGATGGGGAAGTAAAATGGATAAGAGATGTCTTTCGGGACGAGCATCTTACTACCTTGGGAAGAGAGGAGATTGGTCACGTAGTAGACGCTGTTTTTGTGACATCGGGGCCTCGAGAACCTTTAAGTACAACTATCCTACCTTAGGTACTTGTCAACATCTTCATAAAGAAAGTATTGCTGATTGTATATATAATAATAATACAGGCGCACACATATCAACCCTCTGCAAGCGCAACCGGATCCCCGTAAACGTCATCGACGCGCCGCACCTCTGCTCCTTCTCCCTGCTATCCACGCACGTCGACGGCCCGCTGCAGGTCGGCATAACGACGAACGGCCGCGGGTGCAAGCTGGCGTCCAGGATCCGCCGCGAGGTTGCGGCCTCGCTGCCGCCGAACCTTGGGTCCGCCTGTCTGCGGCTGGGCGACGTGCGCCGAAAGATACAGGAGGAGGACCATCTGCTACACATGGCGCTGGCGGACGGAGACGACATGGACGTCGACGACTCCGTCGACCAGTCGGCGAGCTTCAACAGGCTCGTCACGGAGGCGGACGTCGACGCGGTGAAGAACAGACGCATGCGCTGGCTCGGCCAGATCTGCGAGTACTGGCCGCTGAAACGGCTTGCGGCTATCACCGACGAGGACGTGGCGAACATCTTAAAATCCTATGACGATCTCAACTCTTCTTCTTCTTCCTCTTCTCCTCCTTCTTCCAATAATAGTAATAATAATAGTAATAATTATGCTGCCGGTACCCAGAAACGCGGGCGCATCATCCTTGCGGGCTCGGGCCCGGGCCACCCAGACCTGCTGACGCGGGCGACGCACAAGGCGATCCGGAGCGCGGACCTGGTGCTCGCGGACAAGCTGGTGCCCTCGGGGGTCCTGGATCTGATCCCGCGCCGCACCCCCGTGCACATCGCGCGCAAGTTCCCCGGGAACGCGGACGCCGCCCAGGCCGAGCTCGAGGAGATGGCGATCGCGGGCGCGCGGGAGGGGAAAGTCGTCCTGCGCCTCAAGCAGGGGGATCCGTATATCTACGGGAGGGGAGGCGAAGAGGTGGAGCGGTTTAGGAGCCACGGGCTGGGACTGGGGGATAAAGGGGCGGTGCCGGTCGTGGTACTGCCGGGCGTTACCTCCGCGCTATCCGCGCCCCTGTTCGCGGGGATCCCGCCGACCCAGCGCGACGTCGCGGACCAAGTGCTTATCTGCACGGGGACGGGGAAGAAAGGCAAGCCCCCGGCTCCGCCCGAATTCGTGCCTAGCAGGACGGTGGTGTTCCTCATGGCGCTGCACCGTATCGCAGGGCTGGTCGAGGAGTTGACGGAACACCTGGAGACGGAAAAGAGCGGGGACGAAAACGGAAACGCAAACGCAAACGAAACTCCCCGCCGCGTGCTCTGGCCCCGGAGCACCCCCTGCGCGGTCATCGAACGCGCGAGCTGTCCGGACCAGCGCGTCATACGGACGACGCTGGACCGCGTCGTCGAGGCCGTCGAGCAGGAAGGCAGCAGGCCCCCCGGACTGCTGGTCGTCGGGCGCGCGTGCGAGTTTCTGAACAAGCCCGAGAAGGGCCGGGCGTGGAGTGTCGAGGACGGATTTAGGGGGTTGGATTTGGGGCTGGAAGGGTTGGAGGGGTTGGATCTGGGTGGTGCGTGATAAGGTGGGTAAAGGGGTGAAGTTATTTATTTCTACATTTAAAAAAAAACGGATTTAACACGGAATATGGGTGGCATGGGCGGCGTTTTAAAATATCTTAGATGAGATATATATATATGGTTTGAATTCGGACGTGTCATGATACCTTATCACTTTGGAGTTTTTTAAGTAATAATGTGTTTTGGTTTTATTCTTGTAATAACGAGTGTTTGCAATAGACTTTTCGAAGTACCCAACGAAGGCTGTAACTACCTGAGTAGATTCATGTAATTCCCTGGTTTCATTCTTTTTTTAATAAATATCCGGTATGCTTATGGGTGGGTTTCTACCGCTCTTATAGAATTAAAGAGATATACTTGGGATAAGTGTAAAGATTTGCTTCACTACTTCCTAAGAGAGGTATCTACCTCACCGTACGCTTATTAAGTTGGAAAGCTTCATGGATTCCTAACTGCTGTATTTCTAAGAATCTGTTCTCGTCTCGTACAAGTACCTCTCTTATATAATGTGACAATCTACCCTTATCACGTACACGCCGCGCATATGTATCATCCCGCTTGTAATATAACTTTCAGACGCCCGTGCATACCTAAGGTACATACACATCCTCTTCAAGCATCCTAGGTACCTGCCTTAGGTACTTAATCCCTATCCTCGGGATGGAACACCAGCGCGCGCACCTCGATGCTCTCGCGCTTCGGCACCTCCGGCCCCGCATCAGGGTCGACGAACGCGGTATGCGGGACGCGGCGAGCGCGGCCGTCCGTCTTCGAGTCGAAGCACTTGATCAGCAGGACCTCCTGCGGCGTGAGCCCGTACTTGTAGAACCAGCGGTGGCCCGGGGCGTGGCGGACGGCGAACGTCTCGCCCTTGCGGTTCGGGTAGATGAGCGGGATCGGCACGAGCTCCTCCTCGCCGACGGAGCCCGCCTCCGCCACCGCCAGCGGGTCCCGCAGCACCGTCTTGATCGGCCGCCACACGTTGATGATCTGCACCCGCCCCTTGAGCAGCTCCGACGCTTCCTCCGCCGGCAGGTGGTGCGGCACGCGCGACAGCGCCGCCGTGTACGTCTGGTCGATGTGCACCCGGTTCACGGGGCCGCGGAGGCTGGCGGCCGCGCCGCCCGTACCGCGCTCGTCTGCCGGGTTGCGCCGGATCGTGTGGTCGAAGATGAAGATCTTGGACGCGCCGGTGCTGACGGGGGGGTGGGGGATATTAGCCATCGAGTCTTTTCAATTCCGAGAATATCTTATTTTTTTTTTTTTTTCATCTCCTTCCATCCATCTACCCACTAGGTAGGTAGGTAGGTAGGTAGGTTGGTTGGTAGATAGGTAATATAAATTCACTCAACGTAGACGGATCGATCGACTTACGCGTCCTTGAGCAGCTGCTCGGTCTCGGGGTAGTAAACCGCCTTGATGTGGTCGTCGTCGAGGAAGTCCTTCTCCTGGGCTACGTGGCGGTAGAACTGGAAGCCGTTCTTGTCGAGGGTGAACTCGTCTTCCCGGCCAGACACGTCCGTAATGTGGACTTGGTGCGGCTCCGCCGGTCGGGTATAAGTCTCTGGCCGGTCTACGTAGCTAGGGTGCGGTGGCGAGCCGTCCTCTGGCGCCTTGTAGTAGTTCAGCACGGTGTCTACATCGTGTGGTATCTTAACCGCGGGCGTGGCTGATACGCCGGAGGCTGAGAAAGCTGGGACAGAGCCGGGGAGCTGGACGTCTGGGGAGGCCATTATGTATGTGATGTATCTATCTATTCGCGTATTTTTGTTGGAGGCGTAGGTGGTGATACTTGTGTGAACTTGTGTCTGGAGAAATAATGAGCTAAGAGGCGAAGTCTCGATTCTTATATACTTCTTTATCCAAAGATAAGTTCCAAGTACCTATCTAGGAATGTCGGCTGCTACCTCACAGATGGGTATCGGTATTGTGGTGTACGTCCACTTGGAGGCAAAGGAACAGTAGCTCCCCGCAATCACGCAAGATTGCGACAGTAAGGGGACGTCCGCGACAGGTCGTCATGCGCCCAGAGTATACAACCATTGCCTCCCCCCTGCATGGAAACTCTCCGTTATATGGCACTGATTAGAAATCCCACCTAGTTTCGAGTTGTATTTGTCATATTCTGCTTTCTAATTAAGCATATTTACTTCAAGCTCTATTTATTGCCAGTTTATAGCCTTCCTTTCTTTTGATATCTATGGTTATCCTCCATCTAGGGCTCATTATCGCATGATACTATGATGCCGAATTACACAGCCTCGGCCTAACAATGTAACCGATCTGCAAGATAATAGGACCCGAGTCATCAGTAGAAATCAAGTAAGCATAGGTCATTTAAAAAGACATCCAGGAGGTATTAAACAATTAGTCAACATCATTCGGCACGCGTGTTAGCACAGTGATAGCTGTCCCGTCGTCTAGCACCTCTTGTTTCTCTTCCAAACTATATCCGCCAAGTCGGGGTAATATGATTGTCCATACGAGCCAGTATAGGACGCCGAATACAAGTCTGCAGATTTGTAAGCATCTGCGGTGAAAAAATCAAAGATATCGCCATTGGTTGGCAAAGTTAAGAGCGCTGTAACTTACATGCCGACGCCGACGATGGCGTACGTAGCGTAGAATAGACCACCGGGTTTCGGATGAGACGGAGGGAAAAAGGGGGCGGCTAGTAAAGAAAAACATAGGATGATCCTGAAAATGACCGCCGGGATCCAGGCTTTGAACGGTCGTTTCAAATCCGGCCGCTTATAACGCAGCCAAATAAGTCCTATTGATGTTGCAAGAGCAAATATTTGTCCCGGGTAGCCTTCGACTTCTAATATGAAGGAGTACACCTCGCTGGACGGCGGAAGTATAATTACCAGAACAGAAGGGATCCAATGTACAATTAGCCCTCCTAACGGTGCGTTAAAAGGCTTTGAACTAGACAGATATCTGGAGAATGGTAAAAAGCCTGCCCTGGCAATTTCTTGGTTCAGACGTGCCTATAGTTAGGTACATGTTAGAAGTTGCGCTCTTCACTTTGAAGCTTTACGAAAAACGAAAGCTTATGAAGACAGAAATCTTACCGTCGAAAATGTCACTACCATCACATTACCTGCTGCTGAAAGCGCAACGGCCAACGGCAAAAACCTCTTACCAATATTGGGGCCGAATGTGCGTTCAAAGAATAAGGCTGCAACTAGTTGACCGCTCCGCTTGATATCCTCGATAGGTACCACAGCGAAGTAAGCGAGGTTGGCTAGTAGGTAGAGGAGACATGCAGTAACCAGAGCCGTCAGCGAGACCGACTTCAAGGTTCTGACACTGTATTGATCGATAATAGTCAGCCAATTGCGTGATTAATAAATAAATGATCTCGTCCCATGGTCTTATTTCGGAAGCAATGAACCCCGGCCGGCTCGATTAGGAAATGTGAAGCGCAGGTCGAATAGTTGGGAGAAAGGGAAGGGGGGGTGAGGACTTACGGATCTTTTACTTCGTTCATGACATTGTTCAAATTAGACAAACCAGCGTAGGAATAGAAGACCTTGAACAACGAAGTCGCAAGAGTTCCGAGGTTCCAGTCACTCCCGTCCCATAGCCCTTCCCATGATTGCAACTTCGTCGGCCTGATGCCCACATCTTCCTGCTCGGGTCTCAAAACTACAACGTAGAGGGCCGATAGCACCATGAATACCACAATCCCCACCTTGATCCACCCGAGAAAGTTCTGAATACGTATACCGGCCCTGTACCAGACGCCGTGGATAATCGTGATGACGGTGAGGAGCCCGACTGCCAAGGCCTTCTTAGAAAAATCCCGGGCCTCGACGTCAAATACGAAATGCACGTATTGGCTGAATATGACGCAGTTGCTCGCCGTGAAGCCCAAGAGCACGGCCTGGACCGCGATCATGGTCGAGGCGAAGAAGCGCGGCCACGGATACGTGAACTCGAGGTAGACCTTGTCGCCGCCGGACCGCGGCAGCATGCAGCCGTACTCGAGGGACACGGTCAGGCCGCAGGCTACGACGACGGCGCCCAGAATCCATACCAGGAGCGAGAGACCCACACTTCCGACGGAAGAGAGGATGACCCCCGGGACTGCGAAGATGCCGCTCCCGATGACCCTAGAAATCGCGATGATGTACGCGCTCTTCCAGTCGATGTTTCGCCCCAGGACGGATTCCTCGGGCAACACGTCGTCTTCGACGTTCCCGAACTCGGGTGGTGAGGAAGGCCCCTCCTCTTCGTCATCCGTCGGGGGCTTGAAGATGGGGGACGAACGGATCGATGCCGAGTCCGCGCCTAATAACGGGCTATCCTCGCCGTAGGACGTAGACATATTTTTTGGTTGTTCCTTTATAATAATAATGCTCGGAGTACAAGTCGCACGGGCGCGTAATAGTTTCTAACACATATTTTCCTAATATTATTTACTATTGAATCCGCGACGATATTAACGATATACGGTCGAAGAGAGATTTAGGGATCTTCGGCGCGGGAATCTTTAGGTTCGGAGTATTGCAGGTCAGAGTAGATAGATACCTACGTTAGGTAGACATTCATCGAACATGAAGGATTGCAAGTCCACCATTATTATTAGGTTAAGTTTCGCGACGACAGGAAATTAAAAACATCGCACCTTCGTACGCCCATCTGAATTACCCCGAGCTGCTGACAAAAGAGTCTCTTGATCACTAAATCCAGAGGGTTGCGCCATCCTGCCTGTTTCACCTCGTTGTACCACTCAGCCCTGTTGATGTTCTCGCACGCCATCTCCCCTGACGTTTGCACCACCCTTGCCGAATGATCAACTGAGACCCTCTCAGCCTGGGGCTTGGGGGGGTTAGAAAAAGCTTATCTTTTGGGCTCGAGCTTCCAGCTGACATGATAGGATCTTAGGTGCCTAATGTACCTAACTTGAATTGCGGTTCTTATGTATGAATTTGGAATGACGAATTTGGAATGTTGGTCCTATGAATATAAGAGACAAGTCTGTTTGTCATATGTATAAGTGGATATGTTGTGAGTCTTATACCCATGTAAACAGGTAAGGTACAGGTACATAGTAGGTAATCTTCTGGTATATGTTAGGAGGTACCTATCCATCCAGGTTTCTGCTCGTTAGCTAAATGTCATTCTTATCTTCAAGCACAAGCCGAGAAATTTGGGGGTGGATACCGGGCCATCCGGGGTCGGTATTTGGCTTTACGGAGTCCGGTGCTTGTCACACAGGGCAATACAAATTTCTTAGACTCTGATTGGTTAGACTTTTATTACCCCTTTAGGCGCTTCTATTAGAACCACATCGGGGGTGGTTTGTTGCAATCATAATAAAGACAATAATATGACGAAATACGTCGACTTTATAGCCTATAGCTTAGATACCCTACTCGGAACAATCCGTCTAAACTCCCCACTGATACCGAACAGTTACTCGATAAACAGATCGTCCTTCCGGTGAATAACTCTTTCTCTTCCTGTTCTCTCATCTACTCCTTATCATGACACGAGCCGTACTTCAATCTCCCCGTCGACGTCGACATCAATGATGAAAGATGTAGTCGGCTGATTCTCGTCGAACTCGTCGCCATCCTTCAGATACTTGCTGACGAGCGGGTCCTGAACAATGCGTTCTACAGCCAAGTTGATACTTCGAGCACCGGTCTGCTTATCATACTCGTCGCGAGTGATGGTCGTGCATATTGTTGCGTCATTCTTGATACTGATGTTGATATTTCCAACATACACGTCCTCTTCTTTGTTTAAGGACAGATGCACATGCCGTAAAACTTCGGCTTCCAAGTTCATTAGTTGTCGGTGAGCTATTACGGCTGCTTCCTGTGGCGAAAACACTAGGAAAGGCAGGATTTCGGTAATACGACCGCTCAATGGCGCGCCAAAACTTCCGGTAAGTTCTTTTCTGAGTTGGCGACACAATTTTTCCACCAGCCTGTCCTGCGCGTCTTGGTCTTCTGAATGGAAGAGGACCTGTTCGTTGGCTTCACAGTAGGCATGTATATGCTCATCGAGCTGGTTAGTTGCGAGGATCCATATGGTCTTGGAACAGTCGATATTCTTCCCATTGCGGCGGTCCTCGTAACGTCCTTTCAAGCATGTTAGCATTTAAAAAGGGAAATATGCGAACATATAGGATCACCAACCATCTTGAAAAGGCAACAAAAGCGTATTATGAATTTCTTCACTGGTCTTTTCAAACTCGTCCATAAAGATGATGCTTCGCTGCCCAGACTTTCGAGCCAAGAAATTATTCAACTTTGTGCCATCTTCGCTTCCTTGGATTCCTGGACGTGGGCCGAACAATTCCATGTCTTTGTCGAATATGGTACAGTCGACTTCTTCTAGCTCCAACGACATTAGCTCTCCAAACTTCTTGGCAAGTTCCGTTTTGCCGTGACCACTGGGTCCTGCAAAAACCACAATGAACGGCTTTTTCTTTTGAAGAGCTAGATTCCTAATGTCTATTAGCCATCTAGAGGAGATGCATGCATAAGGAAGCTCGGACTTACACTAAAAGTTTGTTCTGTAGCCAGCGCGTCGCTACTGACTGGGCGACAATCATCTGGTGAAGCCCTAGGACCTCTCCAGCTCCCTGTCTATTTAACACTTCTTTCTCACGGCCGGAGCGGGGTTTGATCTTGCTGGCTCTGTATAGGTCATATCGCTGGGTGAGATTCAAAGTCTCAGAAAGGCGTGCCCGTACTTCCTCTGTACACCATCTCTTGTTGTCATCATTGATGTCGACAAGTTCTTCTTGAACTGGTCCACCTTCTGGCAAGTCTCGGCAGTAAGGTTCATAGAAGGCCTTAGGGAGAACATGTGGGTCTGCGCTGAACCTCAGGAGGGTTTTGAGTGTATTTGATGCCTTGAGCATCGTTTGGCCTGACTTAATTATCGAGAAAGCAAGTAAGGGGAAAGCATTAGGTCCCCATACGGCGTGCGGGTTGCCGCCGTGTTTGATCCACTCGCGGATTATCTCGACGTTGTTAGTTGATACGATGTAAAACATGGCTGGATAACCATCAACGGCCTCATTCAAATATTCGGGAAGCTTCCTCTTATCATAATGTCCTAAGTGTCTGCGGACACGGTCGGCGTCGAAACGGCCAGCTTGGATCGCAGCCAGAAGGTCCCGGAGCTCAAAGACCTCAGGATCAGGAGGGTCGCGGCGGATAAATGCACCAGAAACTGAAAGACTTGGCAGCCTGGGCATCCATGAGTTGTCTCCATTCACGCTTCCATCTTCTTGGACTTCTGGAGAGTCAAGTTGATTTGTCTCAGCCTGTGAATCATTTTCAATAAACGAATGACTTAATAGGCTTTCATTGTCCGACTGAGGTTCTGGTGGAAGGAATTCCTGCATGTCAGTTGAGTAAGATGCCTACAAGTAGATAGAGAAATACGAACTTCAATTGACCTGTATTTTTCGATGGCCTTTTCGACATCGTTCTCACACATCTAGGGATCATTAGCGATTTCAATATTCAAAGCATATGAAGAGACTCACTTCTAAGCAATTAGTTGCTGTATCTCTGGAGCAACTGGGACATTCTGCCATAACCCGGCTTATATCCTCGTTGCTCGGAGATGAAGACATGGTATCCAGAATGTAAGATGTACACAGTTTAGGGCAAAATGAGATTATAGGATCATGTTGAAATGAAAGAAATATTGGGATGAGCATGAATCTCTTAAATAGAGGCCCCAGACGCCAACATAGGAACGAAAGCATTCTACCACAAAGTTCTCTCTCTAGACGAATCGAGATTTGGGTATAATATGCGTTCACATTTTCTACTAGGTATCTAATCTTCTACCTATGGTTTATTTTGCAACTGTCTTACAAGGAGGAAACCTTTCCTTTGCCCACAGGTAATATCATGAGCCGACTGGACCAGGGGCGCTGTTTGTAGTTATTAAGCAGACCTAGTCGGTACCTACCTAGAAATGTATAGACTAATGTTTGTCAAATAAATGAGAGTTGATCTATCCTAACCCGAGTCTGCTTTGTCACATCTCTGCTTAGAAGAAGTCGAGGATCATCTAGAATGACAGTCACATATCATTTGCAAAACAATCCAGTAGTTCTGATGGAGTTGTGGAACCTTGGAAACGCGAAATAGCTGAGGAGAACGATCGCGCGATTACTAGGAGATAGGGGTCTGTTTAAGACAGCTCTGCTGAGGTGATTGACAAAGGAATCTTCAAAGGTTAATCTCGAGGAGTTTCTACAACTCAGCTAGTATAGAAGGTAGAGATAGTTTCCATATGTAGGTACCTATTATATATACTGGGATGCCTCCATATTTAGGTCTCTATATCAATATCTCAAATCTACTGCATGCCCGACTTTGGGAAAACATTATCTTGAAATTTAGACATCATACACACCTTTTTTGTCCACACTTGTCAACTGGAGCAGCCATGGCCAACAACGGCAGACCTCGTATGCCACCGGCAGCCTCCGCAAAGATGGCTATGAGTATGGTCATGAGCAAAGCAACAACTGCGGCATCGGAGATGGTGAACGACACGGATCTAAACTCACCAACGCAAGAACCGGCTGCTGTGAGAGGAACTAATGTACAGTTAGACCTGGATCAGCGCAAGCATCTCGAACACGCAGCAACGTCACGCAGTCTGGCGTCAACTAGTTCATTATCTTCAGGAAGCATGCAGCTCAAAAGCAGAAATAGAGAGAAAGCCCTAAACATGCAACACATACAGCTGGCAGTCCAGCTCAAAGATCAGAAAGAAGTGCGCGAGACTTTGCAAACGAGTATCACAGGTCTAGAAGACCAGCTGGCTAGTCTGAAGCTTAGAAACGAAGCCCTTGAACATGAGTGCAAAAGGCTCCACGACCAAATACATGATGCAAACGAGAAGTTGAACTCCCAGGCTGCCGAGTTTGAAAAGCGAGAAAAGGATATGCTGGATGGAGTTGCAGATCTAGAATCAAAACTAGATGAAGCTTCCAAAAGCATTCTAGAATCGACGGCTGGTCGAGACACACTTCAAAAAGCTTATGATGAGGTTGTGAAGGCTCGCGACCAGCAAGCCGGTATCATCCACCAGCTTGAGTTGGACCTTGAGGCAACCCGAGCTCAGGTCGAAACTTGGAAAGATTCCCACGAGAAAATGCAGGAGCATGTCGATGAACTAAGTCTTGCTGCTTCCAATCTGAAAGAACTCCACGAATCACGCGAGCGCGAGCTCCAGCAACGACTTACTTCCAAAGGCACAGAGATTAAGGACCTCAAGCGGGAAATGAAAAAGCTTCGGGACGATTGGGAAGAGACTGTCGAGCATCGACAATTAGTGCTAAGTGACCTTACCTCGCTGAAGATTCAGAGGGAGATTCTGGAGAAATATGGGGAGAGTCAGAAGGCAGAATCCCAGACACTACGGCAAAGCCTCGAAGAGCTGAGGAAATCCACCGAGCCCTTTGCCCAGAAAATTGCCATTGGTGTCGATATTAGCGGGAGTCTCTCTTCAGTTATTCATAGAGTTAAGCAGACTTACAGAGACGTCTTGCACATTATCAAGTCAAACAACAGCGACGCCCAGGTTGCGGTCGTGATCCATGGAGGTTATGTTAAACAACAGACACTCCATACGCAGACGATTTCCAAAGAAACATTCCAGGCACTGAACTCCATTGCTGCCGGCGGAACCGAGGACTATATTTATTGCCTCGACGAAGTTACTTCTCTTCTGGGTACGAATACTGACAGCAAGAAGCTCGTGATACTCATTGGCGACGGCAATACATCATGCGCGAGGGGCAGCTCTGTGTTGGCATCTTGCAGGCGACTGAAAGCCTCAGGGATTCGAGTTCACTCGATTGTACTATCTAATGGCTCATCTTGGGTTAATCCGGAAGAATTACTAATGCGAGATATTTCACAGGCCACTAACGGTCGAGTTGAGAGCGAGGAGAGCTACATGTCGGCTGTTGAAGAAATTGTCCGCCATGAGCGCGAGCAGCATTTCAACACCGCTAAGTAGTTCTAATAGTTGGTGGTGGATGCAAGTTACGGCTGACAGGGCTCATCTTAGAGGATTAGGGGGCATAATCACTTTGCTACTATTGAATTCGATTAAGCCATAGTCTATAGAGGCTATGTATTTTTCTGTAGATTGACTACTATGTAGTACGTTGCATTAAGATGCTCACACCACCAATACAATTCACTCCTATGATCTCTACCAGCTCCCTTGCCGGCTCCTGTCGTTTCGAAATGAAACCCTCCATCTCAGGTAGGTACCCAAGGCAGCCATTTCATCATGACACGCTGTCAAACCGTACACGTATATGATAAATTCGTATTCGGCAAGGCTTTCTATGTGCCCTTCCGATCATTCGCCCTGCTATTGTTGATCTACTCGATGCAAACGAGTGTGGCTATGCTGTCGAGTAATATTTGCGTTGTAATTTTGACGTCGCTGCTTCTAATGGCGTTTACATACGAGGCTTGGCTCGGGTCACCACGGCCGCCGCATGCATTGGATACATGCGCACCGAATCGCATATTATTGTCATATATCAGATTTTGACTGTACATTGCAAACGGCCTCCTTGTGTAGTACAACGATGACTCGAGATGCAACGCCCACTTTGAAATGCCCACAGCGAAGCATCGCAACATGTAAAGCCATTGTTCGTATACACCCAGATTCGAAAATGATCTTTGGTTTATATCGACCTCATACTGTCATTCGAAAGACTCTAAAGATGCCTAGCCCGATCGCAATACGCCTCCTGCAGACTGAAACCAAGCCAATGGAGGAGTTTTTTGCCCAGTATCCTGAATTCCACCACAATGAAACTAAGCCGCTTTGGAGCCAGTTCAGAGCGTTGTGCAAACATTACCGATGGGAGAGAGATAGTAGCGAGAGGCGCCAAGCTCACGATCAATTCAGAGACGCCATGATTTCTGAATTTGGCAGAATATATGGTAATGATAGCACGTCACTGTCGTCATGGCAGAAGCTTTGTCAAGTTCTCCGGATTAAACGAATCCCTGACACGGTTGCTGATTGTCTTCAGGTTCGCTCTTCTAATAAGTACCTAACCTAGTGATAGCACCGTACGATGAGCTAACATGTTGTTGCCAGAAAGTCCTTGCAGTGCATGTGAACCTCGTTGATCTTGTGGATTGTCAACGAACAGGCAGGCGTGTTAAGCTATTTTCGAGTCTCGAAGATCTGCGCAATTATACCAAATCCACTAAAAAATTCTTCCCTCTAGATGAGGCGAAGGCACAGGGCCCTCTAAGGTATTTGTTGAGAGAGATATTGTGAGAAGAGGGGTTTCAGCGCATAGGGGGGAAGCGATGAGTTTCAGGAACTGTTCTAATTTACGTATTTTAGAGCAGTGTATCTAGAAGACTATTGGCATTAATGTGAGCGTGGAAGAATCGTCGTTTCTATCATGTGCGATAGCACCAAACTTTATTCCCAAGCTGTTTCTAACCCCCCTAATTCCTATTTACATTGCCTTTCTTCACAATACCTAGACTCCAAGTTTCTCCGAAAGCGTGCTGATAAACGCACAACGCTCAAGCAGCCTTTCGCGGTCAATCTCTCGTTTCCTTATCTGCGAACTCTTTGTTTCCATCTCCGCGTAGTTGACGCTGTCTACGAGCGGCTGTTGGAACCCATCGTCCCCTTGTCCGGCAACGTACCTTGCATTGGGACTATCCGCGCCTACTTGAGACGATCCAGACCCTAAAGGTCCACCGATAACATGCACGTTGAAGCTATATGGAGCCGAGTCCGTGGAGATATCTAGTTTCGTAGAATATGGAAATGCCTCTGGCCAAGAGCTGAAATGGTCGTCGTCGGCTGAGGTGGGGTCGCCAGTGTACGCGAAGTTGATGAATGCGGTAGCGATAGAATGCGACAGTTTCTGGTCTTCTTCCGAAATAGTACCTTCGGGGAAAACCCCGTTGAAAATGTAATTGGTGTCGCTGCCGTGAGCAACCCTAATGTATGGCATACCGACGCTCTTAAACATAGGAGTGAGCATGCTCTGATTCAAGTCATAGAGACGGACGCCAGAGAAACTAGGAGCTTTGGATTGCCTAGACATCTCATAGCCAAAGTCAATTGAGGAGCATGTGAACAAGATGTCTCGCAAGATGCGCGATGCCCGAAAGAAGTGAACCGACACGGTGGGATCGGATTCAGCTTTCGAAGCCTCGTAGTTCCGGACGTCTTCTTCAAAATCGGACGCGGGATATAAAGAGAAAAGATCCTCATAATCCGTAGTGGTTAGTGCATGTGCGAAAGTCTTGATAGGTGTTTTGATGTCTTCTTCGCTCTGGAACGACGCAGCGGGGCCGGCATTCATAGCACCGTCGTCTTGGGTCCAGCCGAAAACCATTGGGATATCTAATAGACGTTAGCTACCTCTACCTAGGTTAGGGAGGTACCTTAGGTAGGTAGTTATAGGTAATCCGAATTAACATGAAGGTTTTATATCTTACCTTTGGTGAATCTTCCTGCTTTGTAAAGCACTGTATGGCGATCCGGTATAAAGTCCCCATCAATCAGGGGAATGAATGTGAATAGTCCGGCCGGAGGATGATTCGCCCTCGAGTAGCCCATGGCCGTCTCTATAAGCTTCTCCATCGGAATCTCCCTTAAACACTTCAAGGTATTTCTCCCGTCTTCTGTAGGACATCCTAATTCTTTAGCGACGGCGATCGTGTGTACTTGACTTGCATCGCTAGTGATATTGAGTGCTGTACCAGGCGGTCCGGACATGGCCCAACCTTTTGTGAATGGTGTACCCTTCTCGCCTCCATAAGCCAATGCATGAAGCGATATGAAGGTTCCACCAGAACTCAATCCAAAGGCTGTAATATTATCTGGGTCGCCGCCGAACGAAGCGATATTGTCCTTTATCCACTGGAAGCCGGCGCGTTGATCTCGCATACCAACATTAAGCGATTTCTCGTCATGTAAAGTCGGAAGGTTTGCGAAACCAAAGATAGACAGGCGATAGTTGAGTGAAACATAAATGATCGGCTTTTTGATAGATGTTGAGAGCTTTATAAGATTGTCGGGGTCAAAGTGAGGATCATACGCAGAGCCCTTAACCACCCCACCACCATGAAGCCATACAACCACAGGGAGACGGCTCTCTTTCGTCGTGCCTGCTGGTCTTGCGATACGTAGGTGCAGACAGTCTTCGCTAATCTCTGGGGTCTCCGCAAAAAAGGGCGGTATACCAGGTTTGGACTGTGGACATGCCGGCCCAGGTGTCGTGGCATCGATCTCGCTTCCATCAGGGGGGGTATATGGCTCAGGAGGGGCAAAGCGCCGCGCACCAGAGGCATCATGGGCAAACTTGATGTTTTGGAAGTGTTCTATAGAGTTTCTGGTAGTTCCTTTGTATGAAATGCCACTTTCACCGAGCTGAACTACCGGATCTGTAACGAGGGAGAGACCCAATCCTAGGCCTAGTAGAGCCTCTCGTAGAGAAGCCGGTAGCATGTTGGATACATACGATCAGAAAAGCTAAGTTTCAGTCCTCTTTCAAGTTTAAGTTGGGAGAAAGATCATATAAGAAGACACTTGGTATATAAGCAAGGGAAGGAAATCTTGGGACAGAAATAATAATAACTTATGTAGCTCAGGTAGTTGCAAGTGAGCGACAACGCATATATCTAGAGCCAAGATACATACCTTAAGGTGACCCAGAGGCTACATGGCACCCAATCAACACTGCCCCCATACTTCCCTAAACTAAATAACGTCAGAAGGGTCTTTTGTAAAATAAAAAGACACAAAAGACCCTTCTGACGTTATTTAGTCTAGGGGAGTAAACCTTATCCACGTGTTGGAACGACATCGACTCTTTGGGCCCCAGCGAACCCCACAATCCCTCCTCCCACTTATCTCTCGAGGACCCAGACAGGGGCCAAAAACTTGACCCATAAAGCTAAGTCTCGCTACCAGCTGTTTCTATTCAGATCTGATTCGGAAAATGACTTGAGTGGCTGCTTTGCTATTATTATTTTTGGTCGAGCTTAAGCACAAGCCATATTTAACGGGGGAGCTGTTAAACATTTCCTTTTGACACGTCGTGACCATCAGACTACTAGTGGTCTGTGAAGCGCTAGTTTTTGGCCCATGTTTGGGTCCTTGAGAGATGGGGGGAAGAAGATCGTAGTCAGTACCAATTACGATACAAGTCATAATGCCATCCTCACAAAGCCTGCAGTAAGATACCTTAGAGTCTAATCCGATGTAATAGGACACCGTATGACATTGGCATATACCAGATATGGGGCCCACAATCATCATGCCAACTGATATCCCATCCATGTTTCAACTTGCAACTTTTCTCGTCAGGTTACACTTTTATCTCTCACTCTACTTTACCTCTCGAGGTCTCTGAAGTATCCATAATCCCTTTCTTCACTTTTTCTTCATAGGATGCTGATTTATTCAAGCACCAGTATGAACGGAGTAAAATGCCCCTGAGGGCTGTGCCACTGATAGCGATATTGCAGCATCAACACTAGAGTGAAGTAACCCCTTTTCCATATAAGCCAGGGCGGAAGCTGCTAGTGTTTGCAATTGGTGGTCCTCCGGATGTTGAGCAGAATGACTTTTTTGATCCATCGGTGAATTGAGATCTGACTTGCCAGGGAGATGCTGCATAAAGCTACAGACTCGCGTCGACCGTTTTGCGCAGTTAACACAGGGCTCTCCTTGGCCCTGTGAGACGCACTTAATATGCGCTTGTCGACACCGCTCGCAACTCGTGATCGCCTTTGATCTTCCCCTCTTGCGCTTCTGTGGGAACGACTGCACTTCGTTTTTGCTTGTTGGCTGGATGCTTATAGAACTCATGCATCTGGTTCTATGGGGTGGTAAATCGGGGAGAGGGATGCGCCGCTTCGTTGCCATGATGGCTTTGGTTCTCAACGTATTCGACTTATGCAATGTAGGTAGTGGTATCAGCTACGGAGATGATGGCTCAGTTCGTAGGAAGTAGAGGTATTCGGTTCTAAACACATCACTGAAGAAGCACATATTTCTGTTATAAATTCCGAAAGGTATTGGGTATCCTTGACAGCGTAGGTTAGAAGGAACAGGTTGATCTCTTTTGGGTACCCATTGAAAGAATCTAGTACTTGTGAAGTCAAGCTTTGTGGGCCTTTATTTCTATCTAAAGCTTCAACTAGATGATAGTTAACCATTGGACTTAGATACCACCAATTCAGTTGGAATCAACAGATTAAAAATGTGCTTTTAAACTTCCCTATGTTCTGGAACTGTTGTATATGTGGCTTTTGAAAGAGTCCGGGCCTACAGTATACGCGCATTAACAGCAGCCGGTGGAGATTACAAGACAAAAAGAATTCATTGTTGTTAGTGTAAAGATCAGGGTGATGACAATCGCAAATCCTTCTCTCCAGAGCGGCTAGATTTACGATTATTATACTAGTATTCTATTTCTACCTGGGTTAAGTAATATTCAGGGAGGCATGTTGTGGGTGTGGATCTTAAATCTTAGGTACTTTTTCAGAGAAAAGTTGGTATTGGATCTGGCTGTTCATTTTCAGAACCTCCTGGATAGCCCTATAGTCTCTAGAATCCGTATTTAGTTCTGATGTTTAACATGAATCGCCGAATCTGTTTGCCGCGTAATAGGAACACGACGAGCATCAGGTTGTTCGCCAAGAACACTCCACCAAATGCTCCCGCAATTATTACTGCGTAGCCGCTTTCGGTTACCCCTGAGATGAATGTTAGCAAGTTATTCCTTACGCGCATCCAAAAAAAAGACCACATGAACTTTAGAAGTCAGGCCCGTTAGGAGGAGTAAATGGACTCTGAGGCTTTCATACAATCAAGAACACCGTAGCCAAGGCCGAAGCTAACAGCTTGCTTTCCAACATTTATAGCGACAAGCATCTCGGACGTATTGCTATTATACGAATCCACAGCGTACGCCAACGTAAAGCAGTAGTAGAAATAACCGCCGAAGGATGCCAGACCCGATCCGATGAAGTAGCCTATCCAATGTAAGTTGAGTTCCGCAGTAAACCCATAAACAACTAAGCCAGCCGGGCCTATTATCATAGCAGGCAACATGACTCCTAATCTCATCTCAGCTTCGCGTATTCCGTTGTTGCGCCTAGTTAGATAACCCGCTAGCCGATCAGAAGAGGAGGTAAAGGGGAGCGCAAGAAGAAATCCCAGGAGAGGCCCGAGCGAATGCACACCGGAGCTAGCCTATGGATAGTTAAAGTATTAATGCAGATGGTCTTCTTTACCTATTTTAAAGAGATATGGTCTAACACGTACTTGTGACCAATTATATGGGGGTGCGGTTATCTTGATTGGAAAGACATAGTTAAATGCTAGAGCACCTAACCCTATGATGGTCCCAAAAGACGTGACAACCCATAGAACTTGAGGAACCAGGAAATACGTGAATGGTCGCCATAGAAACGTGTGAAGATAGACTTCTGGATCAATCCGACCCCAAGGGCTAAGCGTCGATAGGAACGATTTTCGTCTTGGAACACTCGCTGTCTGTTCAACAACTGATTCGTTTGGCTTTTCGAAGGCGTTGGACGCTGTATCATGTGAGCGCTCCGTGGAGGTGTCACGGCTGATATGCGCCTCTCGATCGTAGGATGATTCTTCGACGACGAGGAATGCAAGGATAAATAATGTAACGGCGAGTGCTATGATGACATAGAAGAAGAGCCTCCAAGAATACTTAGTTGGTAGCATATATGCGGCTGGGATTGTTGCCATGGAGGCAAAGCACATGCCAACTAGTTCAACCAATATTAGCGGAGACCATAAGGGGGCATATCGTAACAAACTCCATACATGTATAATAACCAATATGTTTCCCTCGCTCATGAAGGAAGAATATATCTGACACAAGTTGAACAGGTAAGGCTTCGCATATGCCGGCACCAAAGCAGTGTATAATTCGTCCCGCCCTATTGAGGTTTAATCTGTTAGCAACGACAATGTCGATCCACCTTCAAACTCGGAGCCAGGTGCTGGCATATGATGTCGTGAGATAGTTTGACTTACTACAAGCTGTCAGTTCATGAAGATAATTTGGTCGCACTCTAGCGAATAACAGTGGGCTTTACGCCTTGTACATACCATCAAAGCACCGAAATCATTAGCCCGAGAACATGCAGCTAAACCGGCAATGAACTTTATCAGAAGGCATTAGCTGTCTACCTATCCAGGGAGTCAATACTCTCCGAGTTCACAAGCTTAACTTACAGCTAATAATGATCCAAGCATCACGGGCCGCCTTCCAAATTTCAAGTATAGCGGTACAAGCACGAAGGAGCTAAAGCCGTATGCGAGGTTTGGGTACGATATGAGTGTTGATGCTTCTGCGGGAGTAATATCGAAGAGCTCCGACCATAGTTTCAAATAAGGACCAGGTCCTAATAGCGCTGAATTTCCCAGGAAAGAGTAAGCACAGATAACCACTAGGATCGTAATCTTCTTGGACTTTGGCCACTGTTGAGTGGTTTATATCGTCAATAATAAGTTTACGACTTCAATATCACCGTTGCTGGTCAGAAAACGTACCTGTAAGGGGTCGTTGGGATCTTCTGCGGGCACAGGGAAAAGCGCCTGGCCGTTATAAGAATCATCTCCCTCTAGTTACCATCTATCAGCAACCAATTATCGTACCAATTATATTAGATTTAACTAACCTACTGTCTGGACGTTGACAGTCCCAGGGATATCTTCTTCGTGGGCATGGCTACGCACTAAATGCGTTCCACGGTCTTCAGACATACTGAGAAGTCTACGAGGGGTATTGATGTACAATAAATGCACAAGTTAATAGGAAATAGATAACCATAAGGCGTTATCCGAGGATTAAACTTTATCACAGAATATTTATATACTGTGCTGGGGACGGAACTTGTTTTATATGCCTTTTCTCTGCAATGATACACTAATTTCTTGCTGCCGCTAAGATCCGGCAGATCCCTAGAACTATCGAGCTTTCTCCTAAGAACAGCTTACAAACAGATTACCTTCTATTATATACAATACACGGGTCGCGACCCTTGTGCCGAGATAGATTTTGGTAGATTACCATAGGTTCCATATCAGTAGTAGTTAAGGATGATTGCTCGAGATGAGTCTTGAGTTACATTTACCCCGCGGTTGCTACCCTACCTCACTTAAAACTTGATATTCCTCGCCAATGGCTTTTAGGCATCATATATCAGTAGAATTCCCGTCTGGAGATATTTGTTGTTCCGGAACTGGCCAGGGTGCGATTTAATATATTCTAGAGTTGTTGATGTAACAAGGGACTCTGGAAACTTGATAGCTTGACTGCCTGCTCCGCATAATCCACTCGCCCAGTCTAGGCACACATTGCCAAAACATCCCCATGATTCGTAACGGTATCCATGTAGATTTAAGAATGCCATCATTAGGCGCGAAGTCTTAATGTCTTGTTATCCTCAAAGGTCTGATAGTGGTGACGGTCCACTTTTAACCCCTTTTATCATAGCACGGCCCTCCCAGAATAACATTTTTTGCTCGCGTCTCCCATAAATAATTTTGACTATTCTCCGACAATCAGATTTCAGCATAGTTAGAAAGCGAAAGATGCATGCTATTGGAATAAGTAAAAAAAGAGAGAGCTCCGTGGTGGCTTACGTCGTGCGCAGCACATTCCAGTTCCAGCCAATGAGCGTTGCCATATTCCTAGTTCAAATCCGAATATGGAAATTACTCTCTTCCCTTGAAGGGTGGGTGTATGCACTACGCGTTATCATTGCATAACGCCGAAACCACTCATATATGAGATACATAGCATCTAGAGTTAGCATTCACCACGATCCGTAATCCGGAACGGCCTACGGCAATCGGTGTGGATCCCGGGTCTCTAGGATGCTGCGAAGCACAAGTTTATCGTATCCTCCGGCTGCTTACGTCGAACCACAAGGAGGATGTTACCCAAACGGGAGCCTAAGCGCCGGCGTGTCGTGACTCTAATCTAAGAATCATGGTATCGAATGTAGAACAAACTCGTATTGACTGAAACAAGATATGCTCAAAATGTATTAGTTCCAGATCTACAAATACTAAAGGGTGTAGGGACCTAAACTAGCTGTTCCATGCTACTCTTCTATGGTCCCTTTTTGGCTGAAAAACGAAGGAAAACGGTGGGGCATAAGAGGACTTGCCAAGCCGTATAGTAAAGTCCCTAGGAGCGTACTTATTACAACGCCCGCGATGTTTTCTACTTGTCACTTTTTGAAGAGAACGTGTTGTGCAGAGTTCTATCAGGTTTAGCTTACGACTTCTATTTTAATAGACATCTCCACAGCAGCAATATTCTCACATAATTCTAACTCTAGGTTATTAGACGTCCCGCATTGTTTACGAGGTTGAAGGACAAAGGGCGCTACCGAATAGGCTATCATCATTACATTCATCCTATCCTGGCAGTTATGGCCGTGGTGACCTCGTGTTCCCAAGTTTCACCACCTACTATGGAGTTTATTATACACGATATGTGGTCCCAGGGGCGTTATAGTTGCTTCGAGGGACAAAGCGAATAACTATAAATGACAATTGATCGATCGCCATGAACCACGATTTGCCCACTTGATGATATTTTCTCTTCTATATTCCGTTCTCCGTCATTCGCTTCTGTAATCCCGTTCAATTATTCATAATAGATTTAGCCGACGATGCTTTTTCGAATCTTGGCGCTTCCGGCTACTGTTGCGGCTTCTGTTATCTCCCCTCGGTCGTCGGGAACGACCTGCGAGAATCCAGCTGTTAGAAAGGAGTGGCGTACTCTATCAACCGACGAGAGGAATTCTTATATCAGCGCTGTAAAATGTCTGGCTACGAAGCCTTCCATGCTCGGCTTGAACACGACGCTATATGACGACTTTCCATATGTGCACAATGCTCTTAACGATGACAGTGGGTTCAATCTTAACTCGTAGATGGTAATATACATCAGGTACTAATTACAGATTAATAGTTCACTTTGTAGCCAGTTTCCTCCCATGGCACCGCTATTTTGTGCACATATATGAGCAAACACTTAAAGATTGCGGCTACACTGGAGTTGCAGCGTATGTGTCACCCAGAGCCACTCGGTTTATCCACCATTAACTCATACGACACAGGTATTGGGATTGGACCCTAGACTCCGACGACACTTCCAAGTCGTCCATCTGGGATCCTATTACCGGCGTGGGCGGTAACGGAAGCCCTGAAAAGACCGTTCAGATAGGCTGGAGCACTTACAAGTGCGTGGTAGACGGGCCGTTCAAAGATCTCGTCCCCGCCTACGTGACTAATACGTATCAACCTCATTGTCTGAGGCGCACTTTCAACAACGGCACCGAGCAGATTGGCAATATGCTCAGCGAGGCTTACACTCCCGACGCCGTAGCCAAGATCAACGCCCTCACCGACTACGTCAACTTCCACAACAAGCTTGAGGGAGGACCGCACGGCGCGATTCACAGCGCGGTAGCAGGCGACATGATGCCGGCCACTTCGCCAAACGGCAAGTTTTCCGTCCGAGACTTTGCAATCCTAATTACTAATTTCTCCTCTAATTAATATTAGACCCGCTCTTCTTCCTCCACCACACGCAAATCGACCGTCTTTGGACTCTCTGGCAGCAGGAGGACCCGGAGACCCGGACAAATGCGTACGGCGGCATCAAGACTCAGAGCAGGCCTGGACAGCCGGCGCCCGCTGAAGCTACGCTGGATGATATCCTGCCCATGGCCAAGCTTGCGAAAGACATCCCTGTTCGAGATGTAATGTCCACCCAGACCGATCTGCTCTGCTATACCTACTAAGCTGTGGGTGACTGTATTCGGATTGATCACGCTGTACTTACTCTCGTGTCTTTTCGGAAGCCCCTTTCTCGAAATGACGTGATATTTGAAGTATCTGTGTACCTACCTACCTATGTCTATAAGTGTTCGCTAGCTCGTAATAGTTTGAAGAGATACCAATCGTCCACATGTTATATCAATATGCGACTTGTTACGGCTCTTACAGAGGGCTGCCTGACCGTGAGGTCTCAAATTGAGGTTTCACGATAATTGAATTAAAGAGAGAAAGGTAAATCTAAGAAATAGTCAGGCTGTAAGCGCACGGGCCACGTGACCACCAACGTCGCAAGCCTACCGTAACTCGACTGACTTGGTCGATATTTGTGCAGGTAAACATGCAATGTTATCAAATACTTCCCAGCCAATTACAAGAAGCGCCGATAACACCATACATTCAAAGATCGTGATGAACCCACTACTTTTAACTCGCCGTACAAGCAAGGTTGGATGGAGGCTATGCTCCTGCTAAGCCGCGAGTACCTAATTTCTGTATGTAACATATATAAGAAATGATTAATCCCCCATTAAAAGGCTGAATGTTCCAGATAAGTATCTGAAGCTCTTCTACGTAATCCTGACTATCTCCCCGATGGCATATACTTATTTTTTTTGCGTTTTGGAGACAGCTATAACAAATCAAAATGTGCTACGACCTCGTGGAGCGATATATCGGCTGCAATTGCATACACTACGAACATGGCCTAAACAAATGTGCAGCCTATGGCACGCCAGGACATCACATAACAACACGTACCATCCTGGTTTCAGAACGATGCGATTTACATTATGTACCACCAGATAGTCCTGAGGCTAGATCGGATTTCTCGGCCCATGAAGCGTCAAGTCGGTCATCTTCCACTCATGCGGAGTTGGATATATTTAAGCACCGGGCTGGTGCCACTTTTAGTATCGCTAGGAACCTTCCCACGTTGACTATAAACAGGAGTCAATCGCCATATCGGCAAGGTATGAATCAGGGAAGCTCCGGTACTAAATCGCAGACTGAAGATGGCGAACCCGGTGATATCTCCACGAATAACGAAGATTCCAACCATGAGCTTCCTCCCACGGAAGGATTCCCTATGGAAGATAGCGATAAGTTTACGTCAACTCCCCTTAAACCTTTCAGACCTCGGACGCTTCTTAAGCCTCTAACGGAAAAGTTCACAAACGATGAATGTCTCCGGAATTTATGGCTTCAGATAGCACGCAGGTCACCCTCTGCCAAGAAAGTGAAGGAGGAAGTATCACTGTTAATCTTGCGATACAGCGCAGACCTAGGGCGTTTAGCCGGAAAAGAAGCGGTTTTGCATGACCGCATGAATTTAATGAAAGTTAGTCAATTCGTGGAGCGTAAGCGACGCTACTTGTCACGAAAAATATATGGACGATTCTGGGTATCTCCGTTAGTAATCGACCAGCCTGTAAACGAAAGTAACGATGTATCGGATGACGACTTCGGGGTTAAGTACGACCCAGACAACAGCCTAGAATATCTTGCCGGTCTACCTACCATTCTGAAAACATTCTTGTTTGAAGCAGAGCCATTTAGTATATTCAAGGAAAATGTCCGAATCTTCGTGGAGCAGTCGCGTCTTGGTCCTCCGCAAACTACCTGGATTGATTCTCTCCGGATAGGTTTTGACAACGCTGTGGTACTTGTAAACGGCAAAAGCGCTCAGCGGGGCATGAGGCGACTTCATTGCGTCTGCGTAAGGAATATTCCCATCTGTATAGTTGGAAGATCCTAACGAGAATAGAACTGCGGTCTTCGGCTATATGACGACTATACTGAAACTCAATCGGGGGCTCTTAACGACCTTGAAAAGATTCTATCCAACTATGGTATACGATCTAGGGGTCCAGGCGACATCGAGTCAAACAACCCGGGACTGAATAAAAAGTCGAACCAGACAAGTTTAAGAGATATATGGAGTTCTTTTGCACCCAAGATGAGCCCGCCACGTTTCTGGTTGAGAAAAGACTACTGGGAACCTGGAAAGTGCCGTCAGGTACACGATACGAGCTCCGAACAGGAACATAACTATCTCCTTGCCTGTCTTCCGTTCGGGCGATGGGTTTCGAAACTGCATCAGCAGGAGATATGTGCTATACATTCAGATCAGGAATTCTTTGCAATGTTGCGGACGTTATATCGTAACAAACGCCACAAGATTTCATTGTCTTGGATGAAAAGAGTCAGGGGGATCGAGTTCGTGCAGGTAAGAGATTTGGACATTACTTCGCCTTTGGTAATAGATTACCTAGGTAGTTAACACTGTCTTGTAGTTTGATGTTCATAGGTCAGAAATTGCGGCGGTGCGTTCTAAACCGGCGTTGCCACCGGAGGACTTGAGGGACCAATATCTGTATGACCCGATGCCGGCCCATTTGATTCCGCCAATTGGACCAAACATGCTGGCGCACTTTTTCGAGAATCCCACGCATGCTAGTGTACTGCCGGATTTATACAGGAGAATACCGAAGAAGCTTCGACAAAAGCTAACGCCGTGCCAAGTGACAGGCCTGTCGGTGGGATGGGGAATCGAATTCGTTGAATGTGTGGATTATTTCATGCTTTTCATGTTCGGGTGCTTGTGCTTCCTCGCCTGCTCAATAGTCGCCGTGTTATGGTCGACTATTAAACAAGACGTCCAGGGCGGTGTTGGAATAGGGGCGTTTATCTTTGCTTTCACGCTGTTCTGCGGCGGTCTCGTTCACTCCGCACTCGACTCTTACACGCTGAAGTAGCACCCGGCCTGACGACTCATTTTAGTTGACATCCTTTGGGTACAAGCATATTTTCGTATATTATCCCACCCGAACTTGAGCAACTAGGTAACATAGATAGAGGTGTTGGATACCATTATTAATGAGGAGATTTGAATAAAAGTCAACCTCAGCTCAAACACGAAAGATAGAAGCGAAACCTTGTGGTTGTTAACAAAGTCAGTTTAGTTTAAGCTCTATAAAAGCTATAAAGCCCCACCACTGACCAGAGCTGCAGAGTTACGTCCTGCCCCGCAATTAGTTGTCGTCGCACCTGTCAATCTTGCACAAAGTAAACATCACAAGAGGTACCTTACCTATCCAAAGAGGCAACAACTACCGCCATTTCGTATGCGCATGTAGAATTAATCATCAACGTATAAACTTTTATTACTTAGCTTGGTTTCTGTACACAGACTTCCTTCTTTTTTTTTTTTTTTAACTCAACACAGCTCCCTGAACCAACCCAAACTAATTAACATCGCGCCAATGGCAACAATCACAACAACGACCTCGTCCAACGCGGCCACATACGGGGACTGCGTAGCCGCGCTCCGCACCTCGCTCTCCTTCCTCGAATCCTCCGTGTCTACCCTCGGCACCGGCATCGCGGACTACCCGCGGCTCGTCAACGTGCTGAAGAGCGTGCGCGTACGTCCTCTACCTATGTACCTCTTCCCCTAATGGTCACCGACCCCAGACTAACAAATACGTTTTTCGTTGGCTTGCTCGCTAGCACTACGAACTAATCCCGCAGCCCGCCCTCGTCGCCGCCGAGGCCTCCCTCCGCGACGAGATCGGCCCGGCCATCGCGACGCTCCTCGACCGCGCCGACGCGCACATCGAGCGCGCCGAGCGGCGCATCGACGCCCTGCGCGCGCGGTCCGAGCTGCAGCAGGGGCGGATGCATTCGAGTACGAACACGACATCCACCACCACCACCACCTCGTCTGCTCGCACCGCTGCCAACAACAAGAAAAATATACGTGGTGGAACGGGAGCGGGAGCGGCAAGACGGAGGACGGAAACCGAGGGAAAGATCAAGGCGAGGCAGAGGGAGGCCCTGCAGTACAGCGTCGAGCGCCTCGAGCTAGAGGTGCTGCAGAAGGAGCGCGAGCTCAGGAAGAGGCTGGATGCGGCGACTTAAAGGGTCTGTGCGGGGGTCTTGCTGTATGGTTTGGTATGGACACGGATATGGATATGGTATGCTGAGGGGGCAATGTAGCGAAATGCACGAAGAAAAGGATGGATGGTACTGTACGAAGAGAGACGACGCCGCCGTCTCCGTCTGAAAAGAATTGGCCGGAACGTACCTATATAAGCCTGCCGACGAAGGAAGCTATGAAAGTCGCCAAGGGAGCGGACATACGTCCTGGCAGGCTATACCCAACGTACGTACGTACCTCTGGGAAAGACTTGACAAAGTTGGGATAAGGGAAAAGGGGGAAATCATGGTTATACAGAACATACCCGCTGACTATGCCAATTCCCCACGGCTAAGCGAAGTTGGTTTCGACTTCCGTATTACTTGGCCTATTCTGCTTGAACGAGGAATTAGTTGCGGGGATCTTAACGACGTTGAGAAAGGATTGTTAGTCACGAGTTACAACAAGGAGAGGGAGGAGGGGAAGCCAAGAGATACGAGATGCGGGAGTATGTACCTAATGTATTACAAGTAGCCAAGGAAGGTGTGAAAGGAGAAATTTATACTAGTGAGCATACATACTATACTCCTTAATAGAGGCTTGAGAGATAGCATGAGAGTCGCTAACACTTAATAAACAACTATATCTCCTAATCAACATGTGTCAGTTATACTGTAATAGCATACACGTTATTGATCCATTACCTTTTGCCGTAGGGGTACCTACCTCCTATTTGCATTCGACAAAATTGCAGATGCTTTATCATTTTACCTCTTGATAAATATCTTATTACTAGGTATGCTTCAAAACTTTCACCAGTTTTCCAGACCAACGCAGCAAGATAACAGATAGTACGTAGGTAGTTTTACAATCCATTCGAGGTAACTAGTACAGACGACAACATTTGCAATACACTTATTTATATCCGGAATCCCACCAAATCCAGAAAATTAGAGATTGGAATCTCCCGTACCTAAAGCTAAAAAAAAGATTTCCTCGGGGTATTTTTGTATACAACAATAGCAGCAGCAGCAGCAACACCTTCAACAATACGCGCGCAGACGCAAGAAAAGACGTAAAAGAAAGTCTTTTCAAATAGTGTTCTTTCATTGATTGATTGACACCACAGCTTAACCACCTTATCTCCTGGTAATCCGTGAACCGATGGCGTGACGTTCGTTAAAAAAAATTCTCCCTTTTTTCGTCCACAAAGCTTTTCCCGTCCAACTTGCCCCTAACTCTCGCCGATTCTCAACTGAATAAATACGTTATATATTCCGAAGGGGTGTAGGAAAAAACGAGTGTTTTCTCCTACTGGTTATTCGTAGGGCAACGAAGGAGGCTTTATATGTTTCTGTTGTGTGTCTATGCCGCACCAGAACCACCCGGTCCATCAGCACAGATGTGGGAAGGAAAGGAAGATAGGATAAAAAAAAGACAATAAACAATTAACCGGCCACCCGTATGAATAATAGTAGAAAAAAGAGCTTTGCAAAAGTGGGAAAAGCTACACCTGGCAATGATGGTGGTGTGTTAAACCCCGATTTTACTCCAACGCGTCCGCGGCCCAGCGTTTCATTCGCAGCCTCTAAAACCCATTCAAATACAAACGCTCTCTTCCCCCGTTATATCGGAGGGAGATTCCGGATATATCATTCAAACGGCTGCGTCCCAATACAAATAAATCCAAGCAAGACTCCGTGAGCTTATTAGTGTTCTCATAATAATATGAGATAGTTGCTGGGTGCTATGCCTGTCTCGCCGTTTTCTTTCTTGGCTTGCCACCATCGCCCGCTTACATCGCTGACTTCAAGTATTTCATGTTTCGAAAAGGAAATCTCATTAGCGTCGTCGGGGTTAGCTTCGTAGCTGTAGATAGCCTTCGCACGGTACGGGTACTCCGTTGGAGCGGTAATCTCTGGCTCGTTCTGCGCCGGCGACGGTGTTTTATTAATGCCACCAGGGAAGCCAGAAGCGCCAACAGAATTGCGTGTGGCATTGCCATTGAATCCGCCGACCGGAGACGGGTTTTCAAATCCGTTGAGCTGGGCAGATGTGTACATCTGCGGCGGTTGGACAGACGTAGATGTCTCGGGGCGACCACCATAACCCCCGTTCATGGTTTGTCGGCTCATCGGTGACTCCTTAGCCAGAGCAAAGGAATCGATGTAGGCACGAGGTACGGCAGAGGGCGCAGAGCCAAAATAGAAAAGCCACACAATCTACATGTCAAGTTAGCATGTTGTTTGCATGTGCATTTTGACTGCGCGTCTTGAAAGACAATGCGATTCTGATGACCGAAGCCGGGTACTTACATTGACCATGGAGAGTAGAATGAAACCCGCAGCAGCAGCTTCCCTTGATCCTTCAGAAGAATATATTAGAGAAGTAACGGATGAAGTTGTGGAGACAAGGCCAACGGCTATGTAGCCGACGATCGCAACGTGGTATGTCTGGATTGAATCCGATGCTATGACGACGAAAATACCGCCTGTCAAGGCTAACATGAAGACGAGTGCAAACCACGTATACCCCGGGAAAGGGCGAAGAACGGTTGCATGCATTTGACCAATAATGGAACTGACGAAGGAGATTACCCATGCGAGCTAAAGAATAGGAACGCAGTTAGTAAAAAAAAAAGGCACTTATACCAATACGATGATACTCGGCTTAGGAGGTTCGGGACTTACTAAGGCGATAGAAATCGTTGCCAGTGCAAACGGATCACCGATTACATTGGACATATTCAAGGCCCTTCGGCCATAACTCGCCCTAGAATTTTCCATTTTGCGCAGCGAAGGAGAATGTAGAGAGCCGTACGAGGGCATAAGGAAAGAGGAAAAGATTTTTGAGCTTCAGCCGAGCAATCAATATTCAAAACCTGGTAACCCGTAATTGGTTATTTAATCGTGCGGCGCAAAGGGGATACGCAAGTGTGATCGAGTCGAGTCGGGTCGTGTCGTGGACTTTGTCGATCTCGCGCAGCTTGAACGTGGCTGTGCTTGGAAACGGTTGCGGAGACCGAAAATTAGATGATTGGTTGATTTATGCTTTGAGTTAATCGTTCAATGGTCGGTTGTTAGGACCCCAAGCTTGGCGAGATGTAGGCTAGATTCATTTATCTATAAAGGAGTGACAAGAGTGGGAGGAAAGAGTTGAGTAGGATGTGTTGTCGTTGAAAGAGGGCGAACAAATGGGAAATGTCGAATAAAACGTCCAAAGGTTTGGTTAGGTTCTAGGTACTTTTTCGGATGATCGCAAAAATAACGTCGTGATTGATGATTTTTCGCGCGCTATCATAAATTGTCTAAGGATTATGCGCAACCGCGTACCCTTGCGAACTTGGCCTGGAGTTTCTTCCCCGTCAAATAGAAAAAAAGAAGAATTTTATTATATGCGATCCAAAGTTTTGTCGTTACAGACAATGAAAAGATCGGATGGAGGGTGGAGAAATCCTATAAGTTGAAGCGCGGAGAGAGGTTAATGTCATCAAGATCCTTAAACTCGGTTGGTTTATCGACGTCTTTCGAAATAGGTAAAAACAACAAGGCGACGAATAAGTTGAAATGTTATAATCGACTACGGTCCCGAATCGAGAATGCGGACGAGGGGCGGGAAACTTAAAAAGTTGTTCTGTCCTTATTCTTGTTCTTCTTGTTCTTTCATGCGCCCCGGTCGTTTCTCTCTTTTTTCTTTTCTTCCCGACGAGCAGCAAACAATCACAAGCTGCAACAACCCCTTTCAACTTCGCAGTCCCTGACGGCGCTAATAAATAACCCTTTACTGGAAACCACCGGCCACAATAAATACGTCGTGAGAAGCGAAGTTGGATCGTTCCACAGTTGCAATGCCTAGGTTGAGAATCGAAGAGAATGATTGACAGAATAGGCTCGTCTTCGCGATGACGGGGTCGGAGGAAAATGGGGGGGAGGGGGGGAGAGAGAAGACAGCCAGCAAAAGAAGCGAAGCGTTAGAGAGGAATAGGAAGGGATGGGTGATCGAATGGTCCAAGGTCCAAGGAAATTCAGCCAGTCAATCAAATCGACTTGGAGAAGGGGATGTAAAGTTGGTTGGGTGGAGCGTGCGTCTTTACCGGGGTGTGTTTAAACAAAATCGCAATCTAAGTTCCTGGCGAAACTGCTGTAAATCGATTGTAAAGAACGGTAAAAAAAGGATCCGAAGATACAAGGAGATACCCACCCAGTACAATGAGAAGTAATGGTATCCACATACAATCCTATTGTATCAAATCCAATTAGAATGTGTACTATGTACTAACAAGTGATTACTGGAGGCCCTCTACTACATGTACCTACCTCCCTAAAAGCTCTAATGTACCTAAAGTTATTAGTTCGATCAGGGACAACTCGGGCTTACGCAAATTCCCCTGGGCCCTAGCTAGCCTAGCAGCCTAGGCCCTGGGCAGGTACCTAGCCGATACCCTTTTGAAGTTAGTAAGTCTCCTATGTGGACCTAGTATCTTTCCTATTCTCTCATTTCACCCTCTATTTCACCCTGGACTTTGGTGAATTATCATTGGCTTTGGACATGCAGACAGGATGTTTGGACACAAACACAACCTATCTTTTAGGTATTGTGCCATTTGTACCATTTACATGTTGGCCCCCCCTTTCCCTCCTAATTCAATTTTTCTTACACGGTATTACCTTAGGTACCTAGGTATATAGCATTTAAGCATTCTTGACGTCGGAACGGTTCGCTCGTAACAAGAATCTCTACTTAACTGACGAAGGGTTAGTTAGTATAATACATAGGGACGACGTCAGAGATGATCCGCTTCGTTTTCGTAACTAGGGCGCTAAGGCAGGAACACGACCAATTGACGTTCCGAGTTTTCCAGGTGACGGTAATGTGGTGGAATGCAGTGGTTGAGTTGGCCTTGGTTAGGTGATCCATGAAGTTGGGGAAGACGGAGGTCGCATGCTGACCGACTGGCGTTTGGGATTTGGCTGGGATCTAAGGGCGCTGTGCCAAGAAAGAATGTGGATGCAAGGTCTTGGAACTACTAACATGATCATGACTTGCTGCTTCGGTAAAAAGCTGACAAGTTGTTAGAATATAAAAGAGCCAGCCCTAACCTCTCTTACCTTAATCCTTCGAATGATGTTATTCACCGCTTAACTTTGTAGCTTTTTTAGACTTAGAGGGTTACCAACTCTCATACTCATGGATTGATAAACTGATGGGCATGTGCCAGTGTTCAGCGAGACGGTAACAGCCGGCTTAAGCATATGAGACCAGACCATGAAATCGGCTCTTTCCCGATGGCGTTTGTGATTCCAACGCCAGGTCGTCGTCAGTGCAGAATAAAGCAGACAGTAGTTAGTGATGACTTCCGACAGGGCAGACGTAGGATGGTTCCCTATCTAGGGGCAAGATCTGTAGAAGTTTCACAATACCCTTCAGACTTCCGTGGTTGCAGGGTTGTCCACGGTGGAGGGTTGTAATGATGTAAGACATAACCACTTGTAACCTTCTGGGTTATGTAAGTCGGTTATTATACACTCACATTCTCCTAGCTATCGTCTGAACCATACCAGAATGTGCATCAGCAATGCCTTTTTCGTTGCAACGAGTTTCAAAACGAATCAAATATGGATCTAATACATATTTTGAAGAGACCATCAGCCATCAAAAAGAATGATGTGAGGCGTAGGTACCTAATTTGGACGGGTCCATTTTGAGATCGTACCTTTTTCCCTGGTGGTCAGATCGGGGTCGACAAAGACTGATCATAAGCCATCTTGGCCCACACATATGAATCAAACTGTACCGATTTCCGGTAATGCAGGCGAGGACATTTGTTAGTTACATCATATACACTTGTACAATACATGTGCCATACATCCGTCATCCTCTAACCTAACTCCTACTCTAGTTACCATAGTAATCGCTTCAGACGGCACAGACCTTCCTTTTGGTAGGCCAATAGGTTCTGCACTTGCTAAGTACTTAAGGTTAGATGTGTTTCTCTCAAGAGGTCCCGCAGTCGTATAGATCAGGACCTTTTGATCTTCATTGCGACCTTTCATGCAGTTTATGTAGTATACCATACTTTGGGCAAAAAAAATAATAATACGAAGACAGGAGGCCAAGATGTTTAGAACAATTTGATAATCTATTCATCACAATTCTGAGACCTCTCTCGAAATAGCGCACAGACCCAGAGGCTGAACTTCATACGTAGGTACAATACAATACCTAATGTACCGTGTATGCATCGTTCCGGAACTCAAATTATAAATGCGGTCCCGAAGGGCTGCATTAGCTTTAGGACCGCTTGTGTCAGGCCGCCGATCCCGTCTGAACTGGCGCGTTTGAGTTTTAGGTTCGAGCTACATAGTAGAATTGGTCGCTGCGCATGCCACACGTGGCTTAGAAAATAGCTTATGGGGTAAGTACATATGTAGCTTTAAAGTTCCGGCATGCAGCAAGCTTTAAGTTCCATTGCTGAGCTAATATCGAGATGAGATTTAGTATGCATAGGAGGTAGGTAGGCACATAGATGAAGCCTTCGGAAATAACTTATTTTGTACTCAGCCACCATCTGAATGAACGTTGATGTATGAATTTAAATAAGGGCTTGATTATCATATCATATCTTACCAAGACTGTATATAAGATGTTAGTTGAATTCCAGTGTTAGAAAGACTATAATGTGTTATTAGTTAATACTAACTACCTCTTAGGTAACTAAACGTAGTTTCAACGTCACTTATATTCTGACGGTCTCTGTCCACTTCATTTATTACTCTTCTCTTGTTAACTTTCGATGTCAAGATAGAACAACGCTGTCAGGGGTGTGCTGCTACCACCATCGAAATGCCCGACTACCAATCAGTAAAGGTATTTGTAGCGAACAGACCCTATCTGATTGATATTAGAGCCCTTTTTGACTGTACTGTCACCGCTCTAAGACTCTATGCCTAGGTATTCATACGGCAAATTCAAGTCGGCTCTGTAAAGGTTGGGCGTAATGCGATCAAGCCTTACAACCTCCCGGGTAAGGTCCCACGTGGAGTAGGTGCGATAGATGATAGTGGCTCGGATCGGTATTTGATCCATCATGTGTAGCCTTTATCCCAAGGCATACGGTTATGTGCCTTAACCTTCAAACTTCATTCCTTGCTCTTTCTACTCTCCTAATGACCCTCTCGGCGTTTTCAACACGACCCTCAACACTTGCAACGAAATTCGAGTAGTTCATAACGTTGTGCTCGTACCACTGGCGTACGACAATCTCACTGCGTGCTCTCAACTCCGCAATCTCTGCCGCCTGTGCTATCTGTGTCGCCTCAATCCCCTTCATCCTGGGTAGTAAGGCGGCTAGAGCAGCCGTGTGCGCCGGGTCCGGAATCGGTGTATCGGATATGGCTGTAAGCGCGGAAGCCGTGGCCGGGAACGAGGACGCACTAGCGAGAACAATGGCGCGTAGGGCTTCGGGAGAGAGTTCGGGCGGTGGCTGAGACGGTGGTGGTGGTTGGAAGAGAGTTGGTTGGGATTTGTCTACAAGTCAAGTACCTAATTAGTTGAATCCTCCGTAGCGTTTGTGAAAAGAAAACGAAGCTTACAGAGTTTCAGGAGTTCGGCATAAACGCGCATTCGTTGAAGAAGAGTTCCAAATCGGTGCTCTAGTTCTTGCATGCTCCTTATAGCCGAGACTTTGGGTTGCTGAACCGTGTGGCCATATAATAAATGCTCAATGCGCAAGAGTCGCGCTTCGAGGAGAGAGATGGTAGAGAGGGTCGTGTTGTCTAGAGTCGATTCCATGGTGTCCATATTGAGTGCGCGTTCGGGCGATTGGACATTAAATTATTACATTAAAACGAACTTCATAAGTGGAACGAACCAATGCTCAGAGAGCGACTACAACAACAAAAGACAGAAGAAGTCAATAGTAATTAAGTACCTAAGGTGTTGTAAAACAATCAACGTACCTATTTCCTAGCTCTCTTTAAGGTGTCCTATTATCTATAAAGGATTGATAAGGATAAGGCTGAGCTAAGTCTTTTGGAAGCTCTGCAGGCGTCCTGGGTGTCCAAACCCTGGTTCGGAAAGCTAGCCGTTAATAGCCTAACCAGGAATACGTGATTTGATTGATTGGCCAGAAATGGCTGTCAGCAGACGTAGTCCGCCAAGATGGGGAGATTGCGGGTGGCCCTGACGACAACTGGCAGTCACAGTTAAATCCAATTAATTCTACCGACCTAACATAGTACTCTAGCGTTTGACGTGTAACTATTACATTCATTCTCCCGTCATCATAAAAAAAAGAGTATACAATTTCAGAGATACTATCGCTTCTTTTTGTTACAAAAAAAAAAAAAATTCTTTTCTTGTTACACGATATCACGATACTATAGAATAAACATATAAAACATATATCATATCCACCGATTGCCGCGCGCGTGAAGACGACCAAAAGATTCTAAGGTTCCAGAACGAGAGAGAGAGAGTCGCGTATGCACGAGAGCGGTCAGCCAGGAAGAAAACTACTCTGTCTTACTCGAATAGCGAAGCAAAATTGATACACACAGATCTTCAGCGCAGCGGATTGCTGCTGAGGAGAATCAGAGAATTATATCAATAAAAAATACACAGTCCCTCCCGGGCTATGCCGGATTATTCGACCATTTCATCTGGAGAGAGCTCCGCCTCTGCTGGCGATATGACAAGGTGCGCAACCTCGACAACTACCCCCATGCTATTAGTGATAGGGACCGATAATTAATATCATTCTAGGCAAAAGCGGGCTCGCGGCCGCCCCAAGGATACCGGAGGGGGGCAGGCCACCATGATTAGCAGTGTTATTAATCTTCTTAATACTAGTAAGCCGTGTTCTGTCGTTATGTCGTCAGCCGAAGTCTAACGTAGGTGGCGTTATAGTTATCGGCGCCGGTACGCTAGCGATGCCCTCGGCCATGTCGCACTTCGGCATGCTGATCGGAGTCATTGTAATCCTCTGGTCGGGATTCACATCTGCCTTCGGTCTCTACCTCCAGGCCCGATGCGCGCGATATCTCGACCGTGGCACCTCGTCGTTTTTCGCCCTATCCCAAATGACCTACCCTAATGCCGCCGTTATTTTCGATGCAGCGATTGCTATAAAGTGTTTTGGGGTTAGCGTATCATATATAATTATTATCGGCGACCTAATGCCAGGCGTCGTGGAAGGCTTTGACGCCAGAGCGGCTGATATACCATATTTGATGGACCGTAACTTCTGGATTACCGCCTTTATGCTCGTTATAATTCCTTTAAGTTTCTTGAGGCGCCTAGATTCCCTCAAGTATACCAGCATTGTTGCCCTTGTTTCGATTGGGTATTTGATCGTGCTAGTTGTCTATCATTTTGCAGTCGACATACCTGCGCCTAGAGACAAGGTCCGGTTTATCTCGTGGGGAGGACCCGTCGAAGCTCTCGCCAGCCTGCCGGTGGTTGTTTATGCGTACACTTGCCACCAAAATATGTTTTCCATTCTCAACGAGATTTCAAACAATTCGCCCGGCAGGTACGGTCTCCCAATCCTGAAGATTCGTCATTATACACTAACGACGTCTACAGTATAGTGGGTGTTATCTCTACTAGTATTGGTTCAGCGGCCGCTGTCTACATACTAGTCGCCATTACTGGTTACTTGACCTTTGGAAATGACGTTATAGGCAACATTGTGTCTATGTGTATGTCCATCACACGGCCGTTTCTCTTACTTGCAACTGAGCTAACAAATTCATTATAGATCCTGCGTCGATTGCCTCTACTATCGCCAAAGCAGCTATCGTCGTTCTTGTAACATTTTCCATTCCGTTGCAAATACATCCATGTCGAGCATCTGTTGACGCAGTTCTTAAATGGCGACCAAATGGATCTCGCTCCCAAGGGCGAACGAATTCTCCTGGCGGACGACCACTTCTTCCAAACCCCTCTCAATCGCGGTCAGATCACGGACCTAGTGCGCCTATGTCAGACTTGCGCTTTGCTATCTTGAGCACGATTATCGTAGTATTAGCTTACGTCACGTCTCTCACTGTGACCTCGTTGGAACAGATGCTAGCATTTGTCGGCTCTACCGGTAGCACAAGTATTAGTTTCATTCTTCCGGGTCTATTCTACTACAAGATTTCGGACCCGGATTCGATCCACCAGCAACGTCTAACTAAAGAGGATGACGATGCTCTCCCCAGCTCCGATTCTGAAGAGGAAGGCGGAGAAGAGGGGCTTCTCGGAAGAAGCGTAGACAGCATCCACAGCGCTGCCAGTGCGTCGAGTGCTAGGAGCAAGAATACGAAGTCTTCTTGGCGCTGGGTTAAGAAGTTTAGGTGGGACATGGAACATATCGATGTCCAATTTTTAAGAGGAGCGGCGCTTGCCTTGTCAATCTACGGCGTATGTGTCATGATCGTATGCTTGGGGATGAACGTGTTCGGCTCCGTAGCAGCACATTAGGCAAGCTGGGCGAAGTTCCTGATCCAACGCATATATGATCTCGCAGAGTGGATATCCAATAACTCCCTCGATTAGTACCTTGGACGTTGAGAGGTTTGATATCCCTTACATACCTTACATCCTTTCCGCATTTGTTGGAGTTTTGGATACAACCATTTTATTGTATATATTCCTTTCAGTTTCTCGGCATTGTCTGGAGTTGGCATTGAACATAAAATTGTATGCAGCGTTCCTTAATCCCTGCCGTACTATGTAGGTACGTACATAAACGCGCCATTACGTGCAGATGGCTAGACCCTTATTTGATCCTTCAGGGTAGCCGTTCTCAGGTATCGTACAGAGCTACGCATAAGCGGGGCATATAAATATATGAATATAGTCTCCACTTATATAAGGCATGGCGGGGTCCGGCATGATATTGCCCCACCAAAAAGTAAAAAAAGCTGAACTGATTATCAAGCAGGCGGTCGACTTCCTTCTACGAGTTACACATTTACACATTTACCAGGCAAATCTTTGAGATATCTATAAGCCTGAACTGCTATCAACTTTTTCTTACGTTGGCAGTTCTACTAGAACAAACCCGATCGCGAAACCTACCCCGACCCCTACCCATCGCAAAATGTCTGCCCCTCATAGAGACAACGAAGATGACGTGCCAGAGATGCTCGACGCAGAAGATGCGCTCGAAGAAATCCAGGATACCGAAGGCGATATAGCTATGGACTCGGACGACGAGCCCGAAGAGATAACCCTACAGAACGACAGTATAGCTTACCTCGACGCTCACAAAGATTCCGTTTTCGCCATTGCCCAACACCCCACCCAGCCCTCACTCATCGCAACTGGTGGTAGTGAAGGTGAGGGAGATGATGCGCCGGGAAGAGGATATGTTTTCGACACAAGCCCAGTCGTCGGACGACCTGTCCTTCCGCCCAGTTACAATGCAGACCCTTCGGCGCAACAGCAAAGGAGCACCGAGTTAAAGCCCCTCTTCACAATCGAGGGCCACAGCGATTCGATTAACACGCTTGCATTTACCTTACCTAACGGACAGTTCTTAGTTTCGGGAGGCTTGGATGGAAGACTGCGCACATACGAGCTGTCTGTAGACGCCCACAATAAGCCCTCCTTCGCATTCGTCGCCGAGTCCCAGGAGGTGCCCGAGGTAAACTGGCTGGCGCCGTGCCCGTCGCAAAAGTACCCCAACACCATCGCGCTAGGTGCCTCCGACGGCTCCGTCTGGGTGTACACCATCGACTCGTCCGACCCCGCGAACCCGATGCAGATCGTCCAGAGCTACTTCCTTCACACCGCGTCGTGCACGGCCGGCTCCTGGTCCCCCGACGGCACGTTCCTGGCTACCGTGTCCGAGGACAGCTCGCTGTGTGTCTGGGACGTCTGGGGCGAGGCTGCCGCCAAGAACCTCGTCAACGACAACGGCCAGACCGTCGTATCCCTCACGGGTGAGGACCAGCGCTTCGGCGTCGACGGCGGGCTGTACGCCGTCGCCGTGGACCCCAAATCGACATTCGTCGCGGTCGGCGGCGCGGGCGGCGCCATCAAGATCGTAGGGTTGCCGCGAGTCGGTGTGGACAGCCAGCCCGTCTCCAGCAAGCAGAGCAAATCCAAAGCCAAAGGCTCCGAGGCGGGGAGCGCGCAGGGAGGTACCATCCTAGCGGACCTGCAGACGCAGTCGGACGGAATCGAGACCCTCAGCTTCTCGTCGAAACAACCGCTCCTAGCGGCGGGCAGTGTGGACGGCAGCATAGCGGTGTACGACACGTCGCGGCGGTTCGCGCTGCGGCGGCACATCAAGGAGGCGCACGAGGAGTTCAGCGTGGTGAAGGTCGAGTTCGTGGCGGGGCTCGGCGACGGGTGGCTGCTGACGAGCTGCGGCATGGACGGCGTGGTTCGCCGGTGGGACGTTCGGGGCGCGGCTAGTTCTACGGAGACGAGTTTGGTGAAGGAGTGGAGGGGTCACAGGGGAGATGGCGAAGGCGGAGGCGTGCTGGGGTTCGTGCAGGGCACGACGGGCGAGCGGATTGTTACGGCGGGGGATGATGGTGTCGTGTTGGTATTTGAAGCTTAGGGGTCTTGAGGTACCTACTGATACGATAGTTCATGCTAGACATTCATACCCGGCCTTGCATAAGAAAACTTTGGCTGCCTGAAATTTGCATTTGTTTATTTGTGATGACTATGGTTTTGGAGACATTTTATCACGCGTGTTGAAGAGCCTATATCAATCTTTTGCAATATCTACCTGCCTAACCTAAGAGGCACATATTGTCCGAGCTACTAATATGAAGACCAAGTCTTACTTTTATTTCTATATGTGCAAATACTTGAAGTTAATACGTATAGTCTATTATAGTTAATCGCTAGAAGACGGGCAAGGGAGTTAAGTGCAAACTCACACCACCCATACAAGATTTCCCCTATTAGTACAAACGCCGTATTAAATATATGTTCCCATCTTCACAAGGAGTTTTCGTCTCCGCTTGTAGAAGGGTCTGATCTCGTAATGAAACCTACAACCCCGTTACCTCATATATTCCCTTGATACCCTTGTCTAACTCAGCTGGTTAGAGAGAGAGGTGTTAAGCCACAGCCTGTGCTCGACAATCACGCGTCACTCTAATTACTATGTCGATCTATCTCATCTAATGTTTCGTGTTGTAGTTTGGAAACGTCTGCCCATGGTGACAGAACGCATTTATACACAAGCTCATATCAAACTAGAGCTTTGGGCTAAGTAGATTCGATTGGCCTGATGTACGAATTAAATTTTCTTATCGGATGTTCTAATGAATCTAGTCGCCTTGGGTCTGATGCTCTGTCTAAGAGACGATATGACTTCAGAAATTGTATTGTTTTCAAGCAGTATGTACATGAAGCTACCTCTATGTAATATGATAGGTAAAGCTCTCTAAAAATGGTATGAAGATACCATGGAATCTGCTCCCATATGTCTACCAAACAATCCAATGGCAGTAAACAGCAAACAGCCACTCGGTATAAATCCCAATAGGTATCGTATACCACGAACCCAGTCCAAGATTCCCAACGCCTTATCCCTCCGCCTGGCCCCCCCAGACAAATGTACCTAGGAAATACCATCATAATTACCAATTACTTCTCATCCATCAACACAAACCACATCCCACTCATTAACCCACCAAGAGCCAAAGCCGTCAGTATACCCGCCCCCGCCTTATCCCCAGTCGTGATAGTCCTCGGCTGCTCGATCTTACTCGAATCTTGCGCGCCGGCGTTCGGATTGCCCTGGGACGAGCCCCCGTTCTCGGACGTGTAAGGCGCCTGCGCGAGGTGGGCCAGAGGCGCCATAACCGCCTGCATCGCGTTCATCTGCTCGCCGACGCCGGTAATGCCGTCGAAGCTGCTGTCTAGCCAGCTGAACCCGCACGCCGTGCCGTCCGGGCCCTTGTAGTCCGACGACGCGGGGCCGGTGCACGCCTTGGCGGCGGCTTGGGCCGACGTCTTGAGCAGCGGCGTGAAGGTCTCGGCCGTGAAGGGCGCGATGATCGACGTCAGCGCCATCCAGCGGCTCAGGTGGCCCTTGAACACCTGCTGGTCCGTGTCGCACTTGGCGGGCGTCTTCTCGCAGCTGGGCTCCCACAGGATGCCGTCCTGGAAGAATATGCTCGCGACCGACTTGGCCTGGCCCTCGAGGCGCGTCTTCCAGGGCTCGGCGCCGTTCGTGTGGTTGTACATGGCCGCGGTCCCGTACAGGAACAGGCCCGCGTTGTACGTGAACTGGGCGCCGTTGATCTCGGTGCAGTTCTCGTCGTTGGCGTTCCCCGCGCCGTCGAGCACGTTCCAGTCGTCGTTGATGAACTGGACCGACTGCTCCCACTCGAATATCTTGTTCGCCCACTCCGCGTACGTCTCGTTGCCCGTGTACTTGGCCAGGCGCGCGGCGATGTTGAAGAAGCACCCGTTCGACACCGAGTTCTTGTAGTTGTACCCGTTGTTGAACGTGTAGATCTGCCAGCGCATGCCGCCGCCGCACGTGTCGGGCTCCCAGCGCCCGACGTACTCGTTGTACACGGCCTGCACGAGGGCTAGCCACTGGGGCTTGTCCGAGTCCGGGTTGGTGAAGTTCATCTCCGCCGCGGTCATGGCGGCCATGGCCCAGAAGCCCTGGTCGTCGTTACCCTCGGACTTGGTCTGGTTCTTGGGCATGAAGTCCGCGTCGTCGCCGACCTGGTGCTGCAGCGCCTGGAACGTGATGTCGTCGTACGTCGTGTCGCCCGTAAAAGCCGCGTAGTCTATCAGCGCCCCGAACATCGCGCCCGCTTCCCACCCTGTTGATTCTATCAGTCGAGAGGCCGCATCGCTCGGCAACGTGAACTGCACGCACAATAGTAGGGATCAGGTAAGTTCCCGGGAACATCGCCCGTATTATTTCCTACGAAAGGTTGGTTGTTAGTATTATCTTCGTTGGTGGAACCCGGTGATCCGGATCCGGCTCACCTGTATAATGTTTGACGAGGCCATAAGCGATCGTGCTAGCAGCGGACTTGATTGAGGCTTTTTGAGCGTTAGTTATGGACGACAGTATCGTACAATTTTACGGCAGCGTCTTACAATCACTTGACCAGTCTACATCGATAGCAGCCACCGAGTTGAGAAGCAACCCTAGAGCGCCGACTAGAATCGATAAGGAATACATGGCGGTCTCGCTTTGGAGGGAAGTAAAGTCCAAAGTGTATGTCTAGGGAGCTATGTATGAGTTAGGGTTTTAGGAGTAGTTAGACACAAGGGAACGGTGAGGTAAAATGGACCTTCCCTGAAGGGCTGATGTGTCGAAATCCGAAGTGATCGACGAGTACATAGTAGGGCATGTACTAGTGGTACGACTCTTTCGACAACTTGTGGATCTAGCAGATCCTGATATTCATACACTACTATAGTACAAATCTACGCGGTTACGGCGACGGCAGCCCATGCTACGAAGGGGAACCCACACCTGTCGGATTCATCGACGCGGCTTCTGTGGGCCTCGGACTGGTCTAACTAAATATTGCTAGATATAAATTCGGTAGACCGTCCAAATGAGAGCAGCAGCATTCGTTGCGGGAAGTTTCCCCTTTCTGTTAGGATGAAAGATTACATCGTCACCATTGCCGCGTAATTTCCAACAGTAGCTACGGATTACGGGATGTGTCAGGTGTTGTATAGGGTACGTATCCCCGCGGGTTACGCTAGAGCCATGCCATCGAATGGTAATGGTTGGTTCATATCGCGGGTTTCGTAGACTTCGTAACCTCGCGCGTGGGGGGAAAGGTCCACTGTGACGCCATCTGGGACGCGTAACGACGTTGAAGGGTACAAAGCCGTTCAGGCAAGCTTTTTTGTGTCTAATCTTAGACGTCTGATTACGGGGAGACTAAGGCTTGGCTAAGCGGATCGTCAGGGGAATCGGAAAAACAAGCTTTTTTTTCTCTTCTTCCTGTCGTCATGCCGCCCCATCCCTAAGGCCGTTTTGTGGGTAGTTTTTTGTGGTTTTCGCGCTTGATCCGGTGTCTCTCTCGGCGGTACAACGTCGACATACAATACAGGAACGGAAATAGGAAGAGAGAGATTAGAATATGTATATATATTACTCATAAGACCAAAGGGATCCCCAACTGCTTTTATTTAAATCCCACTGTTGCTCAATGCCCCAACGCGAGCTTCTGAAATTTCGGAATATCTCAGGCTATAAAGACGATCTGAGGGTGCTCAGCTAATATTGCGACCAGCAAAGTACACACGCTGGCAGGCGCGAAAATTAAATGAGGCAGTTGACCCACAAAAACAACAGCATATATAAGACTGACTATTTTGAATTTAAAAAATCATAGAAATTCGTAGAAAGGTAAACAAGAAATAAGAAAAATTGCATAAGTAATATATACTTTCACAATTATTTCTATATAATTCGTGTATTATTTACTGCTCATTTGATTATAAAATTACTAAGTAACTGAAGTGGGTTATTGGTTTTGGTAGGGCTGCTCATTTAAAACTCGAGGCCGCCAGACACGATGGAGATTCCATATTTGTTTACGAACCCTTGCAGCCCCTCTTTTCACAGCCTCTTTTTTGTCTCCATAAGCTTCATTAGCAGACCTTGTTAATTGTCCATCACCCTTATCAATTTGGTGGAATCGAGATGAATGAAAAAGACCTGGGTTACTAGAAGAATCCACAATACTTCCACTAACTTTTAAGTGCTAGTCAGTAAACTGAAAAGAGCTCATTGGAGGAAAAAAGTTAAGTCGAAAGAGTACCTAACCTAAATATTAAAAGAGTAAATACTCTCTTGATTGAATCAAATGGTGAAGGACTTGCAGTTTCTAAGACCCTTGTAACCGGCGCTTTACTTAATCGTATAAATGAGAATAACGAACTTGCTGTCACGTAGTGTATAAGGCGTAATTGCTAGTTGGCAATTACGGCGTCGTTTTTGTTTGATACTTGCTTTATGGAATCTCTTTACATAGTAGTCTGTCATGGATATTGTTTACAACTCAGGGTTTTAGTGGGACCGAGCGACTTTGTAAGCATTAGACGATATGACCTTAAGAACCAACCAAGAACACATTTATAAAAGGTACAACTCTTTCCTAATTATATTGTTTAAGGCCATATCCTGGGGTTAGTTGGGACTCATTTTCTATAACAGGTACCTCATTAACTGTAAACCGAGCTGTTAGAAGACTTAGCACTACTATCCTAATGGATGGTAACTCTTTGACTCTCCTGACAAACAAAGGGCTTAGTAGAGATAATAGGTTACTTGAGAGTGTGCCACTCATGAGCCACGTGGCTTGCGCCACGTCGCATGGCTCCCATGCTCATTCTTGAGTGTTGAGTAAAAAAAAAAAAAAAAAAAAAAATCTTTTTCCTTTACATAGACAATATTCTTGAAGCAAAAGAAACCTTTCAAGTCCTGAAAGAAATAAAATAACGCTTTTGAAGCACAGGTAAAGCTCACTTGTTTTCGATCAAATCAGTATCATTCAAGGTTATTCTGCTGTTCAACGTAGATGAGGATTGTGAAACTGCTAAAGAAGTACCTATGGGATTTAAATGAGTGCCTAGTATTTCAGTATTATATAATTTGCAACTCGATATTTCCTCCCATAGTGGTCTTGCATTGGCATGAACTTTTTACTGCTGATACCTAAGGGAGCTTGACTTTTAAACAGGCTAGGTGGTTCTCCTCTTGCTTACCCTCAACATAACTAGCCCAGCTATATTCGAGCTTCCCAACAGCCCTCACAGTTGGACGGCGCCAAAGGTCTGCAACAGGTGAATAGACCTTGCGGGTAGGTGTTGCACATGACAACTTGGATCCAGGCGGAGGGCAGGCTACGTCGATCCTAGCCACCTCCCTAAGGTAGGTGGTAAACATATCAACTACATCATACTAGACACAAATCTGTGCAAATGGCGAGATCTTCGCAAAACAGGGAGAGGATCGAGAGGATCAATAGGATAAACAACAGCCGCTCATTAGAGCGAGTTAATATCGCACTTGGTTACCCATTTCCTTCGCAGTATGACCTCTACCAATACCTCGGAACCGGCGCGGTACGACCCCATTTTGACGAATATGTCGAAGACTTCCTCAACGATAACCCATTTACGCGCACGCCGCTCCCAAGTGAGATTCAGGACAGCCTCGCCTTCTCAGTTAGTGCCTTGAGTCCTGACTGCTACGTGTACACTAAGGCGGACTATGCTGCCCGATGCGTCTTTAAGATTATCTATTACGACGAACACTGTCTTGGTAACCGCCTTTTCATGAATGAATCCAAGACTGGACCGTTCCACCTCAATCGCCGCCTATTTTGCGCGTGGGAGATCTTCCGCTATCTGAAGGTGCGCTACGAAGAGGAAATGTTCAGACTAACCGAAGACTGTGTGGTGATGAGAAGGGTATCTGAGCCCGTTTATTGGCTTACATAGTCTAAGGCTAGTATGGATTAGGGGTATAAGGAGCGCGCAACGCCATCGCAAGAGAGTGGCAAGACAAGCGGAAACACATAGAATAACTACTGATTTGTCAGGGGTATGACCGTCTATAATGTATTGGTGATGGATCTGCTAAGATAGCAGTGTACAAGAAGCACGCAGCTCCCTCCAAGGTGCTTCTAGGGCACACGCTAATAGATTACCACTCTACATACTTGCCACTGTCTCTAGGATTGCTCTACCTACGACATAGGCACATCACGGGATCTCTCTGACATTCTTCTAGTGTTCCTTCTGCCTATGCCATTCATGTAACGTTCTCTTCAACAGCTACGTAGGTAAAATATAGTACGGATGTCTAGTGGGAAAATATAATATTATATTCGAATGAAAAGATAGCCGTCTCAACTAAGTTCGAAAGATCGTTTACATAGACACCCCGGTGATCAGTGACCACTCGGGCAGGGATAGCTCCTGGAGAGCTGACCATAACACAACACAAAGTCTTTCTAATATGCGTCCATTCGTACTTGAAGGCAACTCCTTTGCCTTATCTCCACCCTTCACACTAGAGTAACAATAGATTACCTAGGAAGATAACTGATAGCTCTCTTTGAAATCGTAGTATATCACTTTATGGCGAATGTTCAAAGGGCTTTCCACGACCAATAATCGCCTGAACATCTAAATACCTACGTAGACCTAATGTAGCCTGATGCTCTACCTCAAAACTTGATTCGTCTGATCCAAAGTTATGGCTCGCGCATTCATGATCTTCGAATTACGGTGGTGGCGGTAATTCTAGGACTCAGTATTGCTCGCCCGCCTACATAGGTAATCAACGAAAGGCACTTTCGGCCCCGTTGCCCATGCAGGAGAATAGGGAAAGGACTTCGTTATTTCGTTAAGGACTTACGGTTTTTCGAGATCTATCGTCTAGAATCCTAACAGTATGAGTCACAAGTCGTACTAGTTGCATTGGAAGGAAAGAGCTGAGTGTGCCATGCATGTATACAGCTTCTGAAATTATTGGTCACTTGTATTCTAACCTAAGTTGCCTGAGATGGATAGGAAACCTGGTTTCTCTTCGTATCGTGTTATCCCAACCACCTAGCTACCTATCATCATAGAACCCCAACGAGAATTGCTATACCCGCAGCTTGCCGGTAACATCATTCCGTGGGGGGGGGCAGACTTTCTCGCCCCTCCGGCATGATGAGCGCCTCGAAATGCTTTTTTTCCGTACATGTTTCTGCAGCCGGGAGATAGAGCCATACAGAAAGGAAAGGACTTAGCTTATACGTGCCTACCTAAGGAATCTCAACTTGGCTTGGCTATACATATTAAAGTCTGCTTTGGGGGGTTCCTTAGATGTCTCATCTAAAAATGTCGCCTCTTAGATACTTTTCCTATGGTAAAGTATAGGTACCTACCTAAGGAGCTGTGTAATTACTTACATACTGACAACGCAAGTAAGTTTATCAAGAGCAAGGCTTAAGTATTGAAACTGTGCTATTATATTACGAAGGGTTTTCGTACTTGGTGTGTAAGTAGTTCTAGTTGGGGTTGTTAAACATACCTAAGGTACGTATTTTACGAGCGTACTTAGCGTACTTAGCTATGATACATGTACCATGCCGTAGTATTAAATGAGCTATGTATGCGTACAAGATGCCGAATGTAACGTTAAGAATGAAAGATACTTTCGGCATATATCCATAGCCACCTGTTCTTATGATTGGGTAATGCTAGCATATCTTGCGAATTTACCAGGCTTAACGGTCTAGTTAGATAACTTTAGATGATACGCGATATGTCAACTTTAAACGATGTACGATCGAGTGTGCCTATGTGAGCAGCTTAAAAGATATCATATGCAGATGAATAACCCCAAATACCGGGTTCCATAGCAAAAGTCCTATATAACTTTTGCAACTTTAAACAAACCTACTATTACGCCCTATGCTTACACCTACATAAAATATATTAAGGTGGGTCGATTCCGGTTGGACACGTTCGTTCCATGCAAATTGTCCTAGAAATTAAGAAGTTCAAGCACTACAGCCTTATCTCATAAGTACTTCATGTATGGGGGGTAACATACCTCTTACCTAGGTAGATGCATGGTATAAGTAGTACAGCAAGCTCGGCATAAAGAGTTTATGGTTAATAATGTGATACGTTGCGCGGGGGTCGGTAACCTTGTGGCGTTGAGCTTTTGCTACTAACAAATGCAAGTATAGGGGTAACCTCCTCTCTGTTGAAGAGGTTCTCGGGAATCTATCTTCATACCCCCAAATAATAGAAAGTAGGAATAGTTATGTCGTAAGGGAAAATACTCATGAAAATTCTAGTTCTTAGAAATTAGGAACAAGTTTAAATTGCTTCAAATTGAGGCATGTTTGTGTTTACATAGAGGGTGCTAAAGAAATATTACATCTGGTATAGAGTTTCATTATTCTTTTGCATATTTTACAGAATATGTTAGAACCTCTGCGAGTATGGGTGTGGGGGATAAGCCATGGAGTTCCAAAAAAAGCAAAGAGAGTTTAATTTTCTTAGGGACATTGCCACATATGCCGTACCAACGCTGATGTTGGCTGTAAGGATGCACCTCGCTCAACTCAAAGGACCGGATACACCGTGTGGTCGGTTTGCCTATATAATTGACTCAAGTTACCAGTCAGTCCATCGTTTATGTTCCAAGGAACTTTACAACTAAACCGCTTCTTACAACTACCTATTTATCATATTGTTTTATTTCTTCTACACTTCATAATAAATTACATGTATGTTTTCCCTTTCATTTCTCACTGGGTTCTTCTTATGATACTAATCATATATTCTTGTAGCATGCCTCGAAAGCAATCAACTATGACATCTACAGATGCTAAAATGGCAGATGTAGTTTTTAAAGCTACTTACCACTCCTTTACACCTAAGGCAGTAAATTGGGGAGCGGTAATAAAGGAACTGGGATTTAAGGACGAACAAGCGGCTAAGAAGGCTTTTTACGATCTATGCGAGCGTCAAAGGTGGTTCGTGGTGGAAGAAACTACAGCGGAAGGGTCCCAGCCGGGGACCTCCAATACTCCCCCAAAGCCAATTAATCGTCAGAGTAAAACAATACCTAATAAGCGGAGGAGATACAACACTAGAAGTAGTGCCAAGGACGAAGCTGAGGCGGAGCTTGACGATACGGGGCCGATAGAAAGATCGGGGGAGTCGTCAAATTTTGACGACCTTTTTGACATATACACAGCTTCTAACGAAGCCCAATTCAGCTTCAGTCAAGAGTTGTGAATGATAAGGAAATTTAGGTATATCAGGGGTTTACTGTCAAGTTAAAAAGCTAGGCGTTACGAGATCTCCGCAATAAACTGCATACCATGTTCCTAATACTCATTCTGTACATGACATACATCACAGAGCATACCTGGCAAGAGTGATATGTTCATTATGCCCTGGCGGATGCAATGGTATTCTATGGTGGCACTTACGCCGCAGAGCATACGGTAAGGGAAACACCTTCGTTGTTCCACAAGTAACTCTAACTAAGACTCCCGACAGTCTGCGGGCTGCTCATGACAGCTTCTTGCAAATATATACGCTTTCTGGGCTATTTATGTGTCTGTAGATGAACTTGCTGTTTAGATGGGAGGAGTTATGGTTATTTACTCCCAAAATTGGCTGTCACAGTCAGGTTGTCTAGCGAGTAGCACTCACCCTTATACAGTTCCTTAGTCAGGACTGCTATCATGTACCTTACAAAGCCTTGCAGCTAACTCTAACTCTCTAGATGTTCTGGGTCCCCAGCACATCACGGCCTCTTTTAGGTTTCGTGATATTGTCTTAGGTACCTAGGTACCTTATTCAAGGGACTCAGTTACTTGATAGTCTTTTATTGCAGCCCTTGAAAGCAATCCTATAACTCAATGATGAGCATCAACATCTAGATGCCTACTTGCTATCGTATGTTTTAGATAGTTAAACAGTCTTAGGACTCCTCGCTGCATTTCGCATCCTTTCTCTCATAAAGTGTGAACTTCAAGCTTGGTATTAGGAACTAGCAGGAAAAGGGGAAGTGGGGCGGTGCTTAGGGACACTTACAGTAAATGTCCAAAATTATCCGGCCCAACCCCCCATCTTAGATCAAAACTCGGACTTGTCACTCTGCGATAACTTTACCAATAAAATTTGTAAAAATGTATTTTCTGTTCTGGTTCAGAGAAGTTTGAGTTAATTAGAATCTCATATCATATTAATGTTAAAAGATTTAATATTGGTGAATTTATGACATTTCAAATTTGAGTTGGCATTCTTTTCGATAGAAAGTTTCCCGTGAGCTAAGAACTCCCGAAGACTAAATATAAGTCAACTTTCAACCAAGATAATGTTACCAATTCTAAGTGCATCAAGATGCTTAATGCATAAAATATATATTGAACCATATGTCTACAAGCTAGAGTTGGAAAAGTATTTTTACAAATTTAATTGGTAAAGATATCACAAAGTGACAACCTAAGTAGCAAAATGGCTATTTTTGGTGTGAATTTTGTAAATATCCACCTCCGTCCGTGCTAGGTAATGGTGTAGCTAAAATAATACAGTACGAGCATAATAGGTATTTAGCCAGAGACCCACTGGCTTTAAACGCGAAAATTTCACTAAAGAGGGAATGAGCTTCCCGGTATGTATGAGTCTATCTAATACAAGAGTTAAAACAAACCTGTTAATACCATCGTTACAATAGGCGTATCGTTGTTTAAAGTATTAGTTAACTTAGGGAGTCTTTTTCTAAAGAATGCGCACATAATGAGTCAACTTTAAAGTATTGCACGCAATAATGTAAGCTTGGCACTAAGAGGTCATGAGCTACCTTGTGATCTAAGTAGGGATAGTCAGGTACGGGAGTTTGATACAATATATGTGGAGTAAAGCAGCTTCAACTCTATAATTGACTCTGGGGTATTGTAGATTTATAGTCATGAGATGACGCGATTCCGTTGATGACTTCCAATTGAGAATGAAAAGTATACCTAAATAGATAAAACGGAACCCGCGAACAGAATGGCTTGGCTCACAATCATACGATGAAAACTTTGAGCGAAGTCAATACGTAATTGGAGCGGTCACAGGATAACTAGAATCATTAAATAAATCCCTGACCAATAGCACATGTACCATGATGGACGTTACAATATCTCTTCAGATTTTGCAAAGCTGTGCACACTCCCCGCATCTCAATTTTTACAATCATAAAAACCCATGCTCTAGACGCTATACATCCTTACTCATGCTTGATAAATTGTCAGCCGAAACGTCATCTCACCCCCTTGAGAAGGTTTCTGTCCGAGACATCCAAACGGAACTTGTGGTATTCAGCCAAGATGTCTGGTGGCGAAAAAATAACTCAAAGCACCGCGACCAAGGGAAATGTTAGTCCTCAGCAAACCCGAGGCCAGCAGGACGCCACTGGACGCAAAGACGGCGGACAGAGAAGTAGAGGTACTACCATGGTTAGCTTTGATCCAGACGACGATATTATGTTCCAAATCGACGACATAGAGATAGCTGATAGGAGCAGCGAAGACCGCAAGTAGGCTAGATTTCAAGTACGAGGAAGCCTCACTGCTGGGAGTTTGGGGGATTCAATTGAAACTATCACGACTCCATTACTGGTGTTGGCGTCGAATGGCGTGTGGTGTGGGTATGTGTGAACTTCTAGGTTGAGGTAATAAGTGGCTCTATCTTGGGCAAATTTGGGTCAGGTCAGGTTGGTGAAAAGGCCACGGGCGGGCAATGGAATATAAAAATCAGGGAAAACCAAAACAGGGCGATTCGAAAAAAATAGACAACGGTTATGTGGGCTATATGAAATGTCTTTTAAGCATGTTAGTGGATCCGGATGAGAATCATGAAAGCTATGCGATTAGGCCTACCCCTATTCTGAAGAGTGTTATGAAATGAAGTTCACTAAATTTTCATACCGCAGCTCGTACAACACACAACACGCTAAAGAGGTGTGGTCTGAATGTTGGTAAATAAATCAATAAATTCTGGGTAGTTCTCTAAGAATAATAGTTCTCGAGGGCTTATGAATGCTATCGGCTCAATCAATCCTAATGTTCGTCCAATAGGGGTTGCTCCTACGACACGTACATATACTAAGAATCGCATCGCACATTCTCAAGGAAGAGGATATATATTTAATCATACGCATACGGACCGATCCTAGATAGCATTATGGGACACCTGCCAACGATCTGATGAAAATATGTACCTACCTAAGGTTAGGTACCCAGGGAACTTGGTGTGGAGAGTATAGACAAATTTACAGAAAAGCATAGCCATACGTTTTAACGCTAATGTCAGGATCTTCATTATTAGGCGAAGCGAATAATACAAACACGGCGAGTGGGATCATACATCATTGGTACGGATTTATGGGAACGACAGTTGTATGTTCCAACAATGCCACTGCCTAGTCTGTCACTCCACTGTATTCTTAATTTTCCGTATGGTTCTGCTAATAGTCTCGGGCAACAAGTGATGAGCGATCACAGCCGACAGTATTTGCGTTTCTTAAGAAATCTCGCAAGAACTTGGATTTCGGCCGTCAATGGGGTGGAAACCCTAGGAGAGCACGGCCAAGCGCCGGTAAGAGAAATTATCCGAATCTGTACGACGAAGTTCTCGGCTGCTAGCCGATCAAGAGATAGTGCCTCAACGCATTTAGATCGCTCGAAAGGGAGTCCATACACCAGAACTGAGCCAGTATCTCACGGAAGTATCTGTGACACTTGTCTACTTCCTCAATGTCGTATCATGGGTTGATGGCGATAATATGCGCAAGACGATCTCATTATCAAAAGGTCTGACGCGAAGAGACGAACTCGCTCGGCACGAGCATGCTGTGCAGTTTCTAAGGATAGAGGAAGAAGAAAGTCTGAAGTGGAGGTTTGACAGATAGGAATGCTGGTAATCTTCAGATTATATGCACAATATGCCTTACTTCGTAGATCTCATGACAGTTAACCCCTATTGTTAGAAAAGTCCTAACACCACCTTACGAAGTACGATATTACTATCTTCTAGCTCAATACAGATGCAGTCAGCTCTTTCCCAACGATTTTAAATTCATAAATTCTCTACTGATTTCACGAGACACCAACGCCAGGGGCTAGTGGGAAGGCCAGTCTGTCTTGGCAGGTAGTCCAATCCGAATGTAAGAAGACCTCCAAACATCGTCGATACTAGCCAAATGTACTTTGGCTTCCCATTTGGCCGTGGGGATGTTGCGATAGCGAATATCATAGGTTCTAGACTTCTTTTTAACGAAGCACGGAGAGGCCAACATTATCTCTCCGCAGAGTTATTATTAGACACCCCATCTAAAAAGCGTGGCAATCACAGGGATACCAAGTCTACAGTTGCAGTGCGATCGATAATAAGGTAGCATATAATTGGCATCAAGCTTCGGTATTTATATTACTTTGGATACAGCCTAACGGTTAAGCAAGCCGTATGTAACGAGCAAAGGATAACGGCTAAATGGACCTGGACACATATCCTGACCAATAGGTATTAAATTAGCAGCTTGGAGAATAGATTCGAATTATCAAGCATCCCCAAATCTTCCCTCACGTAAACCTCTGCGAATTCCAAAACAACATCATTACGAGACCGGACTAAGAAAAGAAAAAAAAAAATCGGCATAAACATACAACATGCGTGGACACGTTGCTCTCTATCTACTACCCCTCGCGGGACAAGCCCTAGCCGCCCCCTCCCACGTCCGTCGAGCCTCCTGCAGCGAACTCTCGACAACAACGCCGAACTGGAAGCTCACGAACGCGGCGTCGTCGGACTGGCCGGGCGGGCAGAGCGGGCGGGTCGAGCTCTTCGCGCGGCACGTGCCGACGGACACGTTGGCGGCTTGCGACGTGGAGTACCGTCTGAGCGCGGACGGCAAGGTCGTCGACTACGACCCGGCGTCGACCCACGCGTGCCTGAACTTCGGGGCGAGCGCGCTGAACACAACCGTCCGGCTCGACATGGAGACGCTCGTGCTGGCCGTCCGGAGCACCTGGACGTGCGAGGAGGGCGCCACGGCGTACTCGGCGTCCGGGTCCGCTGCTTTGGAGAGGAACACGTCTCCCGGGGCGTGCCTGGTCGAGCCTTCCCAGGTCGGCGACTCTACGACGTGTCCGATAGCGGACGTGGAGATTGAAGGGAAACTCGATGAAGCGTGAGGTGGGAAAGAGGTCTTGGATGGGAAAGCTGCGCTGAGGAGTGTTTGTGTATGGATTCAGGCGTTCTTCGGATGAAGATACTCCAGGAGAAGATTCTGGGGTGTTGTCCGACACTTGCCGGAGGATCTGATTGTGCGATGTACTTAACCAATCAAAGGAATGCCTATTGCCTATTGCACTCTTCTAGCTTCGGTGGTTGTTGCTATTATGGTGAATTCCCAAGAGCGTGAAAGGGCTTGCGTGATAATGAGATGCAACGACTAGTGATCTGCCTATTTAAGTCTACACGTTTAATTGTCTTCCAGGTAGTATTGCTTGGTATAATGATTGATTTGGATGGAAAGTATAAGCTGCCAGAGCCATAATCTCCCAACCCCCTTTTCGGAGCTTAAGCTTGTCAGGTCCGAGTTCCGGTAGGAGGCAAGGGGCTGGGGAACACAGCGAATTCCGATAAATTGTTTTACAACAGATGCCTGCCCAGTATATTTGTAAATACCTCTACACAAACTGGAACCTAGCACGATAGATGGATTCTCATATTAATCTAGTTTAGTCTAGTCCTAGCCTTCCTTGATTTGGGTATGTACCTCTAATACCCACGTTCAACTTTCTAGCTGTTCCCTACGCAAGTCCCTGCTCATCTAAAGATTCCAAGAACGCAGCAGCACTCCTAGTCCGCTCATGATCATACCCAGCATAATGCCTTAGCTCTTGAACAGCCAATTTGGCATATTTCCTCGCCAAGTCCACGTCGCCCATGCTAGAGTACACTCCGGAGATAATGGTGTAGAAGTCGCCGATCTGGGCCGCGAGCGACTCTTTCTCGCACAGGTCCAGTATCTCGTCGACTCTCTTGCTGACAGCCGCGTGGTTCCGTATCTCCGGGCGATCAAGTTCCGCCAGTAGCTCTTGTATCCGGCCCCGGTGGCGGTCCGAAACTACGGTGGCTTCCGGGGAAGTGCACAGCGAACATGTACAGTTGAACCCCCATTCCTTGATAAGGGACTGGCGTTGCTCCGACAAGAGATTCAACGGCAGGTCTATCTTTCTGTTAGTTGCAGCATCGTATTTTGGGTTGAAGCGGCTTACAGCTAAATGTGAGTTCTTCGCCTGGCTCGATGTCCCGATACGCTGCGACCTCCATTCCTAGTGTAGTGGGTGAGAACCGGCTATACATGCTAAGAATGATGTTAACAAAGACTAACCCCCCGGAAAATATCTTATTGGGATAAACTGACTTGGGTTTACAAGCATGATTTATTCTCTGGAAACCAAAATATCTAGGTCAGTAATGCTTTAATTGAATTGGTTTCTTCTCACTCACCGATACGTCAAGGTACAACCCCGAATGATCCGCGCCATCTAGCAGCACGCCAAAGGCATTCGTATTAACGATATCATCAAGAATATAGCCTCCTTTCGAACGGGCCAGCTGCAACATCTGCTTCCCCTCCTTGGGGGGTAACTGAACAGCCGCTCGATGAAGCAATTTCATCACGTCCTGAGTCTTCCACGGCCTGGAATCTATGACCCGAACGATAACGGGATACCTCAGCATGACGACCTCGTCCTTGCGGATCGTGCGGTTCGCAATAACTCCCATGCCCTTGTCCTTCAGATCCCTGACCTCGTACGGAGGCGGATCCGACACGACGAGCGGACGGCCCCTCGCCCAATTCTCCCACATCGGATCCGGGTCCCCGAGAATGCCGGCGCCGGCGGCGGCAATCTCCGGCGTGGTGATGAGGCTGATCCCCGCCTCGCCTCTGAGACTAACGTAAGTGAACACGCACAGCTTGGCGCCGCCCTCTTTCTCCGGCTCCGCGCACACAGGAGGGTACGTCCACGGCAGCCACCCGCGCCTTTCCAGCGCGATATCGTCGTCGACGAGGAGCGGGCACGTGCGATCCGCGTGCCGAGGGTTCAACGGGCCCGCGGGGTGGGAATTGCATTCCCCGGGAGGGTTGAAGTTGTAGTTCTTAAGCCAGTCCGGTGTCTCGCTTGGCCGAGGCTCGGCGGCAGGTTTCCCCAGCCAGAGGGCTAGAGCCAGCATATAATACCTCATAGCCGCGTCTTACAGAAGGTAGTGGTGGTGCTTGCGAAAGGGATTGATGGATATTGGGAAGGCTCGGACCGAGCAGGATAGGCGAGCAGTGCATCATTTTCACGAGTAAACATCCTTTGTAAGTAGTCATGGTATCTGATGTTAACAGCTTGCTACATCCAAGTATTCTACAGCGTCTCCGGATGAGATATGAGGATGAAGATAGCCAAGGCAAAAGGATGAATTAGCCGGAACGGCAAAGTGTAGATCATTGAGCACGCAAAGGTCGGCGATTCTACATAAGGGGATGAAAGATCGTCTATTTACAATGGGACTGGTTGTATCAGTCCTTGGCATCGAGGTATTGGACTCTAATTTATTTCCAATTCAACGGCTCTATGAATTGTAAACGCAAAATTGTTGCTACAGGGGCACAGCTCTTGCCGGCTCATCAAGGCATGAAAAGACAAACAATATGAAATTATGCTGAATCATATTGACCAACATGATCTCGGTGCATGGTGGATAGTATCGACTCTCGAGCGATTATACTGACGACTATACTGATGGCAACAAAGGAAAAAGAAATCCGATCTATTTATGAATCTTCAAGGAAAATTGACAAAAAAGAAAAGATGCATCAGCCGCGAATCGAACGCGGGGCCCATCGATGGCAACGATGGATTTTACCACTAAACCACTGATGCTGTTGCGGAGATTCTTTGATCCGATTGTGATGATTGGGTTGCAATTTGCAACTATATATCAAATCGGGCAGCCTAGTATGGACCTGTAGCTAGATATGTTTCCTTCAGGTAGGCGGTGAAGAAAGAATGCTCTACTAACCCCACGTCGAAATTCTGCCCGTCAAAGTGGGGTGGTGAGACTCTACGGGGATTAGAATCACTAACTTCAACATACTTTTATACCCAATATCTATCATACCTTGACTTTGTAAGACTTTGAAGTTCTTTCTCTTTTCGGTTCTGAAAAGCAGCTCTTATACATTTGCGACCCTAGCCCTACATAAAAGTATAGGTGTTTTGCATTAACAACTACCCCCTACCCCCCCCAAATTTGCGCTGGTAATTTGGACCCGATTAAAGACCAAGATCCTCGGGATCTAGAACCGTCAAGATGGTGAACATAACGGACAAGATTAAGGAGTGCGTTTCTGATTTTTTTCAAAGGCGATGTATGTTCACGTGCTTACTTTTATATATAGGATCGAGGATGAGATGAGAAGGACGCAGAGTAAGGGCGCATCACTATGTCTATCACATGCCAAGTCGATATTCTAACTTAATGATCTGTCTATAGAGAACAAGGCAACTGGTAAGATTGTCCCATTACTCTGTTGGACAAAACAATATGCTAATTTTGATCATCAGAGTATCACCTTGGACTTCTGAAAGGGTATATAATAGCCTCCTGTACTACGTGTCATCAAGGGATATAATCTAACCATGCACCTCTTCAGCAAACTCGCGCGTCTAAGAGCGCAACTTCTTGAACCCGGTCCAGGCGCAGGTGGAGGGGGCGGCGCGGGCTTTGACGTCAGCAAGAGCGGCGATGCGCGAATAGCGCTTGTTGGGTTTCCGTCCGTCGGTAAATCGACGTTCTTATCCAAAGTAACCAAAACGAAGTCGGAAGTGGCTTCGTACGCCTTCACCACCCTCACAGCCATCCCCGGTGTGTTGGAGTACGGCGGCGCGGAAATCCAGTTGCTCGATCTGCCGGGAATTATCGAGGGCGCTGCGGAAGGCAAAGGTCGAGGACGCCAGGTGATTTCTGCTGCCAAGACGAGCGACCTCATTCTTATGGTGCTTGATGCGACGAAGAGGGCCGAGCAAAGGGCTCTGTTAGAAGCCGAACTAGAAGCTGTCGGTATTCGATTAAATAGGGAGCCACCGTAAGTTACAAAGCTATGAGAAAACCCAGGTGGAAAGCTTTGTACTGCTTCAACTAGAGTACAAACTTTTGACTGGGGTCGTTGTATCTCCATCGCTATTTCTCCGTCCAAGATGCTAACTAGGGTTAGAAACATCTATCTGAAGGTCAAGAAAGCCGGCGGCATGAAGATCAACTTCCAATCGCCGCCGAAGTACCTGGACGAAAAGATGGTGTTTAACATCTTGCGAGACTACAAGATGTTAAACTGCGAAGTGCTAGTCCGAGATGACGAGGCGACAGTCGACGACCTAATCGACGTCATCATGAAGGACCACCGTAAGTACATCAAGTGTCTTTACGTGTACAACAAGATAGACAGCGTCTCCCTCGACTTCCTGGATAAGTTAGCGCGCGAGCCACAGACCGTCGTCATGAGTTGCGAGTTGGATTTGGGGATTCAAGACGTGGTCGACCGGTGCTGGAAGGAGTTACAGTTGATCAGGATCTACACGAAACGGAAAGGTGTCGATCCTGACTTCAGCGAGGCGCTCATCGTGCGCAGCAATGCTACAATCGAAGACGTCTGCGACCGAATCCACCGAACGCTGAAGGATACGTACAAGTATGCTCTGGTATGGGGCGCAAGCGCTAGACATATCCCGCAGCGGGTTGGTCTAGGACACGTGGTAGCAGACGAGGACGTGGTATACATAGTCAGTGGTTACAAGGCCTAGTATAATAGCATCGTTAATCACGATTCCGGGAATCCAGTGTAAAAGCCTAAGAAGAAATAAGGCGGTGGTATTATTCATGAATCATTGGTGATGTCCATTCCATCAAAGTATGCGTTATCGTCATACAACCCTGCCCTAAGATTACCCCCGATTACCCTAGAGTTACCCCCTCAACCAACGCCATGGTGAGGTCTCTATACCATCCATCCTAAAGCAAAATCAAGCCATTGTAGTACAAGAGGGAAATCCGTAACGCCGCCGTCCAGTGAAAAACCGAGGAGAACCAGGTTAGGAGATTGCTAGCATTAGCCCGCTAGATTCCGGATTGGGAGCCTGCTGGAGGTACGACGGCCTTGGAGCTGCCGAAGATATCCTTGCCCTCGAACTTCTTAGCGGACGTCTGGGCGAAAAGAGACTTGGGCTTGGCTCTGCGAAGGAGGGATTATGGTTAGTATATCGAAAAAAAAAAAATTGCCCAAATACCTAGACTGAACGAGCTAGGATACGAAAAGGTATGGTATGACTTACTTGCCGACGGCTCGTCCCTTCAGTGCGCTAAGCTTGGCGGTGCAAGGGCTCATGATGTTGTCTGACGGAGAGACGTACTCCTGCTGTCTACGATAGGTGATGTCGGAGTTAGCAAGACGACGATATTGAAGGTTCTTGTTAAGAGGGATAGCCGCGTCGACGCTGGTGACAGTGACGGTTACGGAGGTAGAGGTATCTAGGTTGGTGGTATTGGCTCCGTACTTCTCTTCCTCCATCTTAGAATGCAGGACCTGGCGATGGTGTTCCAAGGTCTGGGCGCTACTGGGCTTTCCGTTGTCCATGGCGGCCGCGTCCTGGGTCTGGACCGATGAGTTGACGTCCTTGGTAGTTAGAGGGGCACCCATTGTATCGAGATCGAGTGGATTGTAGAGTTGCGCAGCGCGAGGTATGTAGTAGGTAGGTAAGGTAGAGAAGCAAGATTGAATAGTAGGTTGTGGTAGTACTTTGTTGTAACCGTAGTTGGTTGAATATGCGAGTTGCGATTGTTTTGAGGATGAACTCTGGAGATGTAGAAAACTTTGTGTAATCAAGGAATGCGACAAAGTCTTTTATGAAAGAGTGTGCATAGTTTAGGTGTAGATATGGAGAGATGGATGTGTGGAGTGGATATATTTTATGGTCTATGAAAAAGTTCGACTGTGGACCTCCTGGGAAGACAATAAAGACTGTTGACCCAGCAACGGCTAAGGGTCCCTAGTCACTACCCCTAGCAGCCGGATAGTGGTTGCAGCTTCGTAACTTCCCAAGGTGCACTGTACTGTATTGTACCTACCCAAGGTAGGTACCCGATAATATGGAAATTCCTTAATGCTTCTACGGGCCAATTCCCCCGCTTAAGGTACCTAACCTAACCTGACCTAACCTACATAAGATAAAACATTCCCCACTGTCAAAAACTACGTCAAAAACATCGTTTCATCAACAACTTCTCCCATGCCAAATTATCTGCACTTCGTCATCCTAGCAACGAAACATTCCCGATGCGGGCACTCCGAGTAACGTGCTAGAGTCACGGTTACATAGCATGACTTTATGACTCATTTACTTATTAATTTCCGACGAACCTTGACAACCCCGAATCAGCACGAACAGATGCTTTTCCATTCAATCGCAGCCTGTTGGGACAACGGTCACGTGCTCGCGTCATGGGCTGAGGTTACACATGATCAGATATCATTCAACCAATTACATGCATTCATTTCGTTACGTTTCCTTTCTTGCATTTCCTTTCATTAATTATTCCTTTCATTATTCAATACGATATCATATTACAGGTACTAGTGCATGTCTGCGTAAACTCGACGACGCACCCCAAAAGACAGCACTAGTACCTAATACTATCAATGCAACACATGCTAGGAAGTTCTTGACGTGTGTGTGTGTATTGTCTATGTAAAGAAAAGATTATTAATTTTTACAAACAATCACTCAACACTGAGGAAGAGCAGGAGAGCCACGTCCGTGGCTCATGAGTGGCACACTCACAGTTCCCTAGGCAATATTCCCAGCAACAAATCGTCCAGGCTCCAACAATACACCTGGCCCAGCTACAACAATTTCACTATCATCTTCTAAGAAATAACTTACAACACGAGAATTACAGAAACGCTATATCAACTATCGGAAATGGAAACTTAACATTTTTTGGATCACCGACACCAGCAACTATGGCGAAAACGAATTTAACAACACTCAGGTAGCTTTATGCTACGCCTTCACCTATTATGAAGTCTATTAAGAAGGTTCTCCAGAAGATCAACGCTATCCTCTTCTAGGAACTAAATCCATCACTTAGTAACTCCACTCTGTGAAGAGTAGGTAGGTATGCTTTCAGTTACGAGTCCCGGCTCGCTATGATGGGCCACGCATAACAACGCTTTTATCAAATACAATCCTTGGTAAAAGCCACGGAAAAGATAGCAAACTGGCTACCTCGGGAGCTTAGAAAAAGGGCGCCCTGCAATCAGGCGTTCTGACAAGTGTGTGTGTATTGTCTATGTAAAGAAAAGATCTACGTCTGTGGCTCATGAGTGGCACACTCGCACGTTCCTATGGTCTTGGTCGACACAATAAGGGGGATTCTACGTACATTGGACCATACACCCTGTTAGCATGTCCAACAACTGCTAGAGCATTTTGGAGAATTCCAGGTCCTGTCAGAGTATGTCTTCTCCCTCCAGTTACCTTCTCGATCCTACCTCATTGAATATCTCACTAACTTGGCTGTTTAGGACTCCATGTCTTCCATGGCTTTAAGACCTCCCGGGAACAGGACAAGGTCAAATGTCTGATCGCCGATGTCGGCGTTGTCAGTCGGTATTGGACCGCAAGTTTTGATCAACATCGGCTAGGAACCACGAGACGTTCGCACATAGACAACGATAAGAGCAGGTCCGGTAGTGTGCCTCGAGTACCTATTATTATGACATAAACGATAACAAGCGCAAAACAGTATTCAAATTCGAAAGCACTAGCCCTTGTGTATGACTATAAATTATCTTCATTATAACATGTAACTCTCAACTTGCTGCCCTTATTGCCTTGGATAAATACCAAAGATATAGTTATTACAGCACTACAGCTTGTGCATTCTCATTCGTCACAACCCCGAAGATCCAACGACAAAGCTGTCATCTGATCCACGGGTCATTCACTTCAATATGGCTCCCAAGATCGATATACCCAAGGTCAAGGCATTCGAAGGATTCAACTGGGGCCCATACACACCTAACCCAACACTTCCCCAGAATATCAAAAACCCCAACGACGTCGAGACGCCAAAACACTACGGAGGCCTGCTAGCCGACGGAGCACCCCCATGGGGACAGATGGCAATGTCATAAGAAAATAATAATTGTTGGGGATTATCACGGGATAGATAGAATATACGCCATCGCATTTTGATAGATGGAAGGATAGACACTGAGGAGGGTTAATGGAAACTCCGTGAGACCAGCGAATTTGGGAATATGTTAGTGACCGAGACCGAACTATTTAGACAGGTATCTATATTGAAGAAGGGAAACGCCCCGCTGAAGTACCCGATAAAAACCAACAGAAAAGTCCGCGCAATAGGGATGAACAGAGTTAATTGAATGGTTCCTGAATGGAACATTACTTGGGGTGGACTCTTAAGTCTGCTGCGACAGGAAATTCGGGTTGGACAACCGATCTTTTTTCCAATTAAATATATTTCTTAGCAGCGCCTAGCTGGACTTATAGCAGGTTTATTGTACATAGACTTATGCCACAACAAACAAACACACTTATGTATAAACCATACCCCTATATTCTATAAAATACTACATTGCCTCCAGGTAGGTAGCTATCCACCAGGCTCTACGCCACTTTACTCCAACATCCCCTCCTCCGTATCGTCCTTCGACCAGCTTTTCAAGCATTGGATAGCCTCCAGCATATCCGTCCGCATGCGTTGAAGGCCAGAGAGCACCGGCTCCGACTGTGCCAGGACACGCTTGCACTCGGCCGTCGTAGCCGGAATCGAAAGGATGTCAAGCGCAAATTGGTGCAGGCGTGGGAATTCCTCTCGGTGGTTCTTCCACCAGAGAATCGGATCTTGGCCACGCTTGAACCCGATGTTTTCCATGCTCAAGTACCGTTCAAGCTCATCCGCATCCTCGGGGTCGGAGTCGAAGAATTCGAAGCGTGATAGCCAGGCGGGCGTTTCCCGACCATGTGGCTTTGTTGTGGATGTTGATGCTAATGTTGCTGCTGCTGTTGCTTCGGCCTCGTCATTGGTAGGAGCTGCAGGCCGAGCGTAATGGCGTTTCCAGTAAGCCGTCACTTTTCTTTTAACTTCCTCCGCTAGCTCAGGGTCAAGGGCCTGGAGTCCCCTGAGGCGTTTTTTGGGGTCTAGCACCACGGCAGCCCAATATTGTGGTGCATCATTTAATGCCTTCCAGCACTCTTGAAGGATGTCGTTCGCGCGCTCTAGACCCTCTCTTAGCTCTTCTTCCCACTCGCATCCCACTTTGTTCCTCCTTTCTTCACACCTTATTTTCTTTCGCGTATCCAGATCATCTACGACTTCTTCGCCAAGTGATCTCTTTCGTTTTGAGCCGCTCTGATCCGGCGTATAGGTAGATTTCTGGGAGATAGCTTTAGGGGACGGCTTGACTTCGAAGTTGAATGCTTGGCGATATGAGAGGAGGTGGTTTTTAAGTTCCCATAGAATGGGCATAACCATAGGTAGGTCCACAACATTGCCCACGTAGGGAAATGCGTACTCATCAAACTTTGCGAGAATAGCTTCAACCTGTTCTAAGCATGGCCAATCTAAACCGTAGGTCACGTCTCCTGACCAAAGACTATATTCACTAAGGGCGTTTCTGCACGTAAAGGTACTCTGGATTCCTTTCAAGATACCTTTCCAACGCGTGTCCCCTTCAACTTCGTATACTCCCGTGTCCAGCACGTGAGACATCCCTTCGCTGAGATCCCATGCCCCTCTTGAGAAAGGATCAAGCGATCCGCCCCCTTTATTGTAGAGGCCAGCGTCATCTTCGCTCTCATCTTCGCTCTTATCCTCGCTAAGAAATTCGTCTAAAGCTATCTGCTCTTCTGGCCCCAGTACCCTATCCGCTCGTGCTAGTTCGTAGCGCAACCGTTGCCGCAGACATGGATAGCACCGAATACTACGATTCATCCGATAAGCCTTTAAAACAGAGGTGATGGCTATATATCGATGCATTTTATGTCTTTCTTTGGATCCTTCGGTCTGACCTTGTAGATGAAATTCGTTGCGACCGTATTGATGATCTGATCACAGCTTCGCACACGAACTTGCTCAAGCCTCATCCTACCCTTCGTCGTCTCACCCCGGAACAGAATTGCTTTTTCGTAGTGGCTGCATAGCAAGTGCAAAGCCTTGTCATGCCCTGTAGCCTACGATTAGTCAATAGACATAAAAAGCTTCTGGGATGACTTCACTAACGGGTATTTTGGTTGGTAGTATAAAATCCCAGCCGGTCACAGATTCCGTACTCCTCGATTACGCCTATGACACTCCAAACTATATCTTGGGGGCTGCAAGCTCCGGGAATATTCTTCAGTCCGATAAGTTTCGCCCTCAGCTTCTAGGTCTTATCGACGAAATGTGCTACGACGACTAGAACCCTCTTGTTCCGTAAAGGAGATAACCAGGAATCGAAGGAGAGGTGAATCTTTGATCGTGCTTGAGTTAAAAGTTCCTCTTTGGTAGTAGCGCGACCCGCCCCGAAAGCTTCAAGTATCCAGGACCGAACAGTATCTGCTGAGTCGATATGTAGCTCTTCACAACACCCCCCTTTAAAGAAATCAACGAGGTCCCTCCAAGCCTCCCCGGCAAAGGCCTGAGGCGGAATACCACATCTGGTAATAAGCTTGATGATGTGATTCTTGTATGTCTCAAACTCTTGCGATACTGGGTTTTGGGCTTGCAGGGAAATATCACGAGCGGAAGGACTAGCCGGATTGCTTGAAAGGATTGAGCTCTCCCCACGCCTCCCTCTCCCTAAGGATAGGCCGTGACCACTTCTCCCCGTGCTTTCCAAATGAGCTTTGGGGCCATTGGTAGCGGCGCCGTTGAAGATCTTGATTCGACCAAGTTTATCGCAGTGATGACATAGCCATATCTTGATGCCTTTCCTTTCTCGACTCACGCCGTCTTTCACTTCAGTTTCAATGGGAATCAGGTAATCCCCATGCTCCAGTATGCTAGAGTTGGTAGCCGTTTGAAGCCAGACATTAGCGATATATTGCGTGTCGTTGATGGTGATTCTAGGGAGCTTGTTCCAGGGTGTTCCTTCTACGATACCGTCGGTTTCTTGCCTGATCTGTTCCCGAACCGTCATACGCTGGGGCTGGCTTGTTGCCGCCATCACCATATGTTGAGAGCTCCCGAGTTGAGGGTCATTGGCAAGCATTGTAAGTAAAGTTATTGGTAGAAGATCCTGAAGGGACTGAAGTGATATGATGATGCCGGACTTGAACGCAGCTTCTTCGAGATTCTACATTGTAACCATCATCATCTCCTTCAAGGGGATCCAATTTTCACCACTGACCGATGCACAGTACGAAGTGTATTGGCTACCCCTTGTATTGGATAGGTCAACCCAATGTCATCCCTGCCCATCATCTTAACCTCTAACCCGAAATGGTAAAAAACGACCTCTTCTGAGCTCACCCTAGTTAACTTAATATTCATACTAGATGGTCCAAGCGCCTTGACGGACCCTCTAGTATAATTTATTATTTTTCATAAAAAAAGGGAATATGGCTTAGGAAACGTTCTTTGCTTTTACAACTTTTTCGAAATACGTACCGCGCCAGCGTACCTCACTTCGAAAGCCACCTCCCTAAATACTGAAAATAGCAACGGGGAGCCATAATCCAGCGGGTCGTTTGATATCGTGGCTGGCGGCCAACTTAGAGTTCGGGCTTTTGTGCTACACGAAGGGTGGCCTCATGTATATAAGCCTACCTACGATACCTAGGTATGTCCTCAATTATTCACGACAAAATGCCAGCCTTGAACAAATATCGTTATGATCCTCTCTGTGCCAAAGATGGCATTAGACTCATTATGCCAGATCCAGCTCTGCGCGAAGGAGACCATCTGATATGTGTAATTATTCAACCCCGGAGTCGACACTAACTGAATACTACTTTGCCTTTTTCTACACATGGGGAAGCCCGACTTCTCCAGAATCTTGGAAATAAGATGCAACAGTAATAGTCCATACCTGGAGATCACTCCCCAGCGTAGATGATTTATTAAGGCGCCTAAGAGCTCTTGAGGTACTTCGTTGCTTATGGATCGATGCGATATGTCTGAACCAAGCCGACAATGCCGAAAAAGCACAGTAAATCCCAGAGATGGGATGTATTTTCGGACAGGCGAAAAGGTTCAGACCTGTTTACGTTCTTCAAAGACGCAAGCCGACTACCCGAAATGGAGACTTCAAACATCCTTCAAGTCCACGAGGCAGGCAAGTCATGTACTCCATGTTGTCTAACAAGCCGCAATTAAATAAGACCCAGAAGACAGAAAAAGTCAAGGGAACCCTGTACAGACTCTTTCCGGTTTCCCCCGATCAAACTTTGCGGGTTCTCGCAGTCTCTTGTTTGCTCAAGATGGTTATAGAATCCCGCCATATAATTACCACCAGACAAAAGAAGGCAGAACTCTCCCTACGACAAAATTATTAGGACGTGTGAGTGTGCCACTCATGAGCCACGTGGCTCCTTTGCTATCGCTTGAGCATAAGTGACTGCTTGTAAAAAAAAAGAAAAAAAGAACCATATTTTACTTTTATATACCTGACAATACACTCATCCCACAGTTCCGTTTAGGGAAATACGGACATCCCGAACCCGACCGCAAAGTGGAGCCTCGGGACCGGGGGAGGAGAGAGGGAAAGGGGAGCCAAAAACATCCGGGTGTCGATCGGACTAGCAGACGGTTGAACGTCAAATGCAAAATTAATTAATACATCGAAACTTTCTACCCTCCGTGTGTTACCCATCCCGCAGAACCCAGCCTTCTGCTTTATACATACATAACGCCTAACCACGCAGACAGGTGTAGTAGTCTCTTATAGAGAAAGACCCCGCCCACACCACAAGATATGTCTGCTTGCTCTCTCATCTACAGTGAGGCAAAGCCGTTGATGACCTCCACCACATGTGCTGTCACAGCTTTGGGTTGACTGTGGAATGGGTAGTGGCCAGTTTCGAAGTCTATCACCTTCCATTCGACATCCGTCTTCTTAAGCCACTGGTTCTGGTCCGCTAGATGCTTGCAGCGGTCGTTCAATGTCCGGATATATACCCTCCTGCCGTCGAAGCCACTGTCCGCCCAGGCGGGCGCTGTGGGCTTGGTAGCGAGAGCCGCAGCTGCGTGGCCGCCTAGGTGCTTGTCCAGCTCGAAAGCCATGTCAGGATCGCAGTCGTGGTATAGGTAGTCCATTGCTTCCTTTACAAACGCTGTGTCCTGTATATCACAGTCAGTACTAGGTAATACATTCAACGAAGCAGTACTTAGAATAGTCATACCCCGTCCATTCGTACATATGGTGGCATTCCACCCATTGCCTCAACGGCAGTCTCGCCATCCAGGGTGATGACACCCGCTATCAATATCAATCCCACGACGCTGCCTCTTTTACCTTGCGCTTCCCGGGTCTGTTTGTCGAGGTCCTTAGCGGCAGCGCTGGACGGGACACAGCCATACGAATGGGCAATAACGACGACGTCTTTCTGTTGATCCTCTACCAGGGGGAGGATGACATTGTTTCTGAGGTGCGTAATATCGTCTACGCAGGTGGCTGCAGCAGGGTTGGCGTGGTTGTAGCTGGGATATGGCCCCGGGTGAGTTGTGAAACCGGCTTCTTTCAGGAACGGGAGCAGCTTGTCGAAACAGGCAGGTGTTCCAAACGCCCCAGGAACAAGAATTATCTCTGGAAAGCTTTTGGCGGACATCTTGGTACTTGTCTCGGATATTCCCAATGGCAAGGCGACATGACCGGGATCATGGGGCTATGGAGACTCGATAGTATTCTTATAGCAGCAACCCTACCTGCGGTTGGATGTCTACCAATTGCCGTCCGAAGTACACACCCGTAAAACAGGGCAAAGAAGCTTTGAATCCTTTCATAAAGGAGCTTCGTAGATATTCACAGAGCTGCTATAATAAGCTACGGATCAGCCACTGGGTTGCTAGGATGACGCTCGCTCACTTGCTTGTCATCCCGCAAAGGGATCAGCTTCTATCCAGGGAGACTGGTCTTGAATAAGCCAAATCGACATAGGCGGCTGATGAATCTCACATATGATACCTCTTATGCAGGTAGCTAAGAGAAGAGCTGTAATCCGGAGAGTGTATAAGCCGTAAGCCTGATGGTCTATCCCGCTTAGCAGGGTTACCGCTTTGTATAATACCCGAGTGCTCAAGTTGATGGAGGCTAGGCATTGAGCTTTTTTTCTTTTTGCTTTTTTTTTTTTTTTTTATAAAGGGAAAAGCTGAACTACACGTTTGCATATTTCAGATGACCTCACACCAAGTCAGCCAAGACCGCTGTAGTCACGTTAGTCTTAGGGCTCTTAATCCGTGTGGTCATACCCGTAAATTGTAGATATTGCATGTATTAACTTAGATTCAAGATATCTTCGACATATCTAACGATGCTAAAGGTGCTACAAATATTAGGGGTAAATTCAGGCTGTTGTAAGTCCCTTTATTTCCTTCTATCTAAGTCTCTTGCTGAAGTTGATGGTCATAGATCCTAGGCTTATGGTACATATACATACACCATAGCTAATTTGGTATTAACTATACGAAGCTGTCCAACGTTTGTGAATCATAGAGATTCATTCTAGTAAATCTCTAAGCGGACTTATATGTCATGCTACCGGAGATCAAGCTACGCGATGTTGAAGGATTCTCTAGGCGCATATGCCGTGTAGTTTCGATTCCAAGATATGACGACAACAACCCCGTCCTCCCGTATCTCGCACCATGCTAACCATAACAATACATAGATCTACGCCTTCATACCAATCCAGTAGTCTAAGATATCAAGTTCTTGGCCAAGCCGTTACACCGCTTTGGCGGTCACAGGAAGAAGATTCAGCAGCTCAGATAGCCGGTGTGACGTGGAAATAAGCAAAGGAATTATACTAAAACCGTTGACCTGCAAGTTTATCTTCGTGACCGCATCCTACGGGCTTGTCAATTCGCAATAGTAGCTTAGCACCTAAACGCCTGTAAGACGGTTGTATATGTCGCCAGCAATTGTACGTGTAGGTGGCATTCGGATCCGTATCTTGCTAGTTATCAGAGATTCGCGAGAATCTTAGTCAATCGAAGGTGTTCCTCTCACTAAATGAATGATCATAAATGAGGTTAGACATGCTTTCTTAAACTCTCGGATATGTGCCGAAGGTAGCGTAAGCATCTCAAAGATCAAATTAGACAAAGATGGCTCGCATCTACGGCCAGATATAAGGAGAAGGAATCTGATGTAATATTTTCGTTGGCTTCAACATTTCAGGGGGGTGTGTTGTCTATTCACTCGTCCTAGCGATGCCTAGATCGCAGGAGGATTCCTACCTGCTCTTGAAATTCCGTTGTAAGGTACTTCTTGGATGATCCTTCATGATAATATAAACTTTGAAAGCTATGCCAGGACGGAGACTTGTTAAAGAGAGCTCGTCGATATTGGGGGCTAGGTTTTGCACTACCGATAATCCCCTGGTATTCAAGGGAGGGTAAGCGCTAAGAATGATGGTAACACTCTCGCGGGATTGTGCAACTCTCTTCACCTCTGGTATGACGAGGCACTGTAACAAAGACTGCTGCTCCGCCATAGTGTTGGATAGGACTCGTTCTAATAAAACAATGGCGGGACAGTGCTTACCTAGGTAGTACCAATCAGTTGGTAAAAGCGTTCGCCGAGGTAAGGAATCCCAATTGGATATATTACGCTGGAGACCCAGCCGGGATTAATCAAGATAGTTGGCTTATCCCTAGCTGAGAATTCTTGGTTCTCGAAGGAGAATCGAGGCAAACGGTGTTGGTAGCACCTGGGCCGCCATAATGACTCCGCGACTCCGGATCGAAGAATTACTTATGCACCTACCGGGCTCGGAGCTACTCCTTTTTAGTTAAGACGGCGGGCTAGAATATGAGATAATAAATTAAAGTATAAGCATATACGAAGGTTGCTGCTAGGTAAGCGTAACGAGATTAGATTCTCCAGGAGATAGGGTATGCCCGTAAGATGTCAGATGTAAGATGTAAGGCTGTAGAGATGGGTCAGGGGGTCCGAGGATAGATCGATCGGCATATGGCTTTTCCCTGACGTTACAACCTCTTTAACAGAAATCCCCCCAATCATAAAAGTTTAAAAACAACATCCTCCCGTACGTCCCCAAGTGCGAGAAGGCTATAGTACACAGGTAAGCTTCTAAATTCGGTTGGTTAGATGTCTTGTACAATGCAACTCTTAAGGTAGCATGCTCTAGGTTTTTTTTGTTTTTTTTTTTAAGCGGGACGTGTACTATAACCTTCTCGCACCTGAGGACATAGCTTACCCCTTTATCAAGACCGTCAATCTACGGCGATCTTAGAACCTCTTAACTCATCTGGCATTGTTACAAGCAGTTACTGTTTTTACGTGCCACTCTTCTCTAGAACTTGCGACCAAAAAGTGAAATAGAATTGCTACAGCAGCTACCTAGGTAGTGTCCTACCATACGTTGCGAATTTCTACATATGCCAAGTGATTGTATACTCCGTCTTCTTGGTCGTTTAACAGTAGTCTACACACACACACACACACACACACACATCAATCATCATCATAACGCGTTCGTCCCAAATTTTCCGACGGAAAACACACCAAAAAGAAAAGACCGCATAAACGAAATCTCGGCGATACCTATCAATCTTCAGGAGTAATAGGTAATCCAGAATTTGACGAGCCCGAGATCGAACAGGTACGCGGGACTACATCACTTAGTATCTTATCACGCAAGACTCGCGAAGACAGAACCTAGGTATGTACCGATCTAGAGAGGAGCAGAGACTGCAAACAACGCAGCTCGTAACTTCATTTGTAAAGGTAATGTCTTGGACCGCCAAAATAATAAAACTGGGAACGTAGAGGGCAGAGATCAAATCGCGAAAAAAGAACCATCCTCACTCCACGTTGCAGACCGCACTCCGAGATTTCCAACCTAACTCTGCCCTGCAAAAAACCCGTCCTCAATGTATGAGAAAAGATTTGCTGTATCACGCCTCATCTCTTCAAATGCACACAGCTGGCGCGTTCCCTCCTCCTGAGGCCCGTCGAATCAGAATCGTCACGAAGCATTTCTATTGTTACGTGCCTGCATTGGTGGAACTCAACGCAACGATAGTTCAGGGCCAAGGGTTGAGAGACATGCGCCCTACTATATTCGTTTACCCGTGTACCGTAGCATTCCTAGGACCGCCCTCAATTCCTAGAGGAACCACCGGACCTATCCTGGTCGGCGATTACCTTCTTGTCTTTCGTAGGCTTGAAGACGAAATCTGCCATGATTTGTATGTGATCGGCAGGGAAATGGTAGTTCGGGAATCCGGGGACGCGCTTGAGATACTCGTAATCCGGAGGCCCAAGTAACTCGACGACGTCTAGCGTGTTAGCGGTATACCATATGTAGTCGATTACGCCAGAGAATGTGGGTGTGTAGTTCGTGAAGGTGAGCTCCGCCGGAGTTCCGAATAGATGGGCGTAGGCATTGCGCAGGCTAAAAGGGTGCTCAATGCCGTCGCGCGTGAAATTTCCGTACGAGTGGCCAATTAAGTCGGGATGATCGGGTGGTATCCGTCCCTTCTCCAAGAGCTCATATACAGAGCTATCGGCCATCGAGTTGTAGTCACCGCAAAGTAACAGGGGAATGTCTGTATTGTTGCGGTACTCCTGGCTAGGTGCAGGTTCGGGATATTCTTCAGCAGTATCCGCGTCTCCTTCCGTAGCTGCCGGCTTGTTTAACCTCTTCTCTTCGATTGATAGGGGCGGCCGACGGGTGTATCTTTCTGCTTGCTTTGTAACGAGCTCCATCAGAATTCCGGTTTGCACAGCCTTGACGTCCGCTAAGAAGGACTCCCAGCATAGATGCGCGTTGACAACAATGAATCGATTACCAGTAAATCTTGACTCGAAAAAGCAATAGACAGCAATAGTATCTTTCGGCATGACTCGATTGAAGACATCGTCGGCTGATTTCATATCAGGTCGATTAATGGCCGTTTGTCTGAAGTCTACGAGCTGTTTGTCCAACATGATATATTTGTCACTCTTGTAGAAGATAGAGCAGCCGTCGACGGATTGTTGGTCTTTGCCCGTCAAGTGCTTGACACGAGTCTTCGGGTAGAATACGCCCTTGTAACCAAGCTTGCCAAGTTCAGGAGTGAAGAACGTGTCAAACGCATCCATAGCGGTTTCTTGTAAGCAGAGAATATCGGCGCTTCGTTCACGGAATTCCCGCATGATGCTGTCCTTTCGGTACTCCCACGATAGGGCACTGGCCGGAGTGTAGCCGTACTGTGTGCTGGTTGCATACTTGTCGCAAAGAGTATTCCACGACATGACGCGGATATGCTCCTTGTCCGAACCCACATCTTCCTGGATGGTAATGGGTAATCTCGGGTTCGGCGGTATGGGTACTATGTACAAAGTTAGTTCAAACTGTCTCCCCGCGTGCTTGGGGATGTAAACCAAATAAAGCAGGGGAATTCGAGAAAGATGGGATATTTTGTCATACCTGGTGCTTGCTCCTTGAGATGAGCGATCAAGGCCTTGGTACCTTCCTCAACTAGCTTCTGCTTTTGGTCCTGTTCTAGCGGGTTGCCATGGATGCCAAGTAACTCGAGGAAATGCAAGGCGCCGAGTTCCGGAGGGATGGTTTGGATATTGTTGTTATAGAGGAGTAATTGACGGAGGGGAGTACACATGCCCAACTCGGGGGGTAACATGGTGAGTTGATTATGGGATACATCAAGGTATCGTAAGGATCTGAGTTGTCCAATCTCCCGGGGTAGACGAGTCAGATTATTGGAGGCAAGATAAAGTTCAGTGAGAAAGGAATAGTGGTTGAAGAGCATGGTAGAAATGTTCTTTAGGCCTTGCCCACTGAAATCCAGGTTCAGCCAATCCTGTCGATCGAGGGCCTTGTCGACGTTAACGGGACGGCCTCTATCCTCCACCTCTCCATCGACGTTTGATTCAGGCTGGTTGGTGCTCGGAAGAGCTGGGCCAATACCTTTATTCTCGTTGGCCCGTAGCCTAGCAAAGTAATGAGGTTGGTGTTGTTCCGTCATCGTCTGATGGGCACGTTCGGACTCCTTGTAGGATTTTAGTTGCTCATTCCAGTGCTCGCTGTACTGCTGGGTTTGGCCGGCTCGAGAACCTGGTGTATTTCCGTTTTGGTGGCTGCTTGGTGTGAATGGAGTTACATTGGACATGAGACCGGAAGAAAAGGTAGAGTGAGCAAGGGAGCCTGTGTTACCGGTGTGGCCGGCATGATCTTGAGGAAGGCTTTGGTGGTGTTGCTGCGGGTGAGTGTGGTGTTGATGAGCACTTTGCTGCACAAAGTTGTACATCATCTGTGGCGCAATGCCACGACCGCCGGGGACACCATTGAGGCGTGAGTTGTGTCCCTGCTGATGGTTTGGCCCATACATGCCGCGGGAGAGATCGATGGGCATCAGGGAAGCAGGGATATTAGACGGGTATCGTGGTGGTGGCGATAGGCCAGCTATTAGTGATGTGAATACTATGGTATGTGATTCAGATCTCTTCTTTTCCTTTTTCTTTCTTTTTTTTCTTTTCTTTTAGTTGTACTGATAGAAGATTTTGGGGGACAGTCGATCAGTGGACTAAAGAATGATTAATGATGGGACAGATTAGTACCTGTAGAGTTAGGTGTAAAAAATGTCGAGGGTCCGCTGTACGTATTGAATACTATCTGCCATGGAGATACTGAGTAACAGGTCGACCGCGCCAAGTGAGGGAGAGCACGTCGAGCTGCCCAGACTCGTCTTTAACAGTTTGTGTCGAAAGATGAACGAGGGGACAATGGTTCAGCGAATATCCATGCATATAGACCGGTAACTTCGTCTTGAGGCATGGAATTTGCAAGGACCAGTGTCCAACCCGAGATTCTTAGATATGGAGTGTGTGATTCACGGAAACTTGAATCCACACGGACTTAATCTAAGTTGTAGTTGCGAACGGGAAGAGAGAAAGACAATCTCGTCAAGGGATGTCAGATCCCAGCTTGTTGCCTCTCAAGCTCTCAAGTGGCGTTGGCACGGGTGGCAACGATAGGTAGGGCTTGCAGTTGTGAGTAAATACGGAAGTCTAAGTGCGATATAAGTTTACAGAAGGATCGTTTCTAAATATTTCGGTAGCTAGAGAAGGCAGCGACGGTAGGGTTCTTGCTCTAACGTTGCTCGTGTCTATGAATACGTAGGTAAAGTTAGCAGCTAGTCACAACTTAAGATCGGGTGGGTAAAGTTGGGTATCTTCCATAATGATATGATACCGAAACACAGAAAGATCAGTAGAATAGCTACACAAGTATCCAATGAACATAATAGAAATGAATGCGATACGGTAGATTTGTAGGGAAGACGGTAAGTGAGGAACAAGTGCTCTTACCTAAAATAGCCCTAGATATGGTATGTATATGTATGATGATGCGAAGCAAAAGTGAAGACGTCGACGAAGATGATATCGGATATCGCTAAAGCAGAATGGTTGACAATTGAGATTTGAAGAGTCAATGTCGCCGGGGCCGTGACGTTGTTTGTAGACGGTAGACGGTGCCGGAGTATTGGCGTAGCTAACTAAGGTGGACGTCGTTGCATGTGAGTTGACAAACGTGGAAGATGCAGTCGAAGTTTGGGTGCGTTTAGGTTCGTTGGGGTGGGTTTATGGTGGTGTGGCGTGGTATGGTCCCAATGTCCCAATGTAGAATGTAGCTATTACCTGCCGACAAAGTCGCTCCAAAAGAAAGTCTAAGCTTTTGATCCGCCGCATTGCATGTGGAGGAGTCAGCAACCAGGTAAAAAAACGACTTAGCCTTGTCACGTGAGTCACTAGTACCTACAAAACTCTATTATTCCCGTACGTCGCCTTTGTAGCCAATGGGAGTTACGTATTTCCCTTCCAACTTTTTTTTAGTCATCGGACGCCCAGGGTACGCCCTTTTTATTCAGCCTTGCAACGTTTTTATACTGTAATTATGTGCAATACCTACCTAAGATACAGGTACCTCTTGGGTCACATGTGCTGATGTGCTGCAGCATGGCTACGTGCCTAACCTTACTCATCTGACGCAATTCTTGGAGGATTATTTGTCTATTATACCAGGTATCTAGTAGCAAACTTCCAAAGGTTACGTGTCTAACATGAAGAAACAAGTGAACGACTCACAGTTTTCTACCTACGCTTTTGATATATTACCTGTCAACTAGTTAGGTAAATAGTAATAACTACTTAAACGGCTCAGTATGAAGCTAACATAGTTTGGTTCAAACTAAAACTCCAACTGTCTTTATGGTGTTTCTTTCATAGTTTTTCACCTTTATCCTTTTATAGTTAAACGTCCCATTTCTTTGTGACGTTATATATTCCTAGGTCGGGGTTTTTTTTTTGAATTGGGTTTTGATTACCTAATATTATTTACTATAAAAAAAATTAATTATGTAGGATGTAATAACATCAACACATGTCCTCAAGTGCGAACTTGCTACAATACGTTACCACATTCAAATTTAATTGGCCAAACAAGTTCGGACTACCCATTCCTGAGGTGGTATGTTTTGAGACCTTTCGAGGTTTTCATCCCGGGACATGGAACGCGCATTCTATATTGAAAAGCTATAAATATCACCGAAGCAGTTCCATTTCGACGTATAACATAGGTGCCTAGTCATGTATTTTCACTCAAATATCGGACCGTCTTGCCGATGAACTGGTGAAGTCAATCAGCATGAGGAAAGATAATAGAGGTGTGTTAAAGGTAGGTAGGCATTTATTAGAGCTTGATGAACCAACATTTACTTGTGGCATTCTACTCCCCCATCAAATATCATTATCCACAGCAAGTTCAAATAGCGCAGGTTATAGCTTTCCATGACGTTACATACCTATCAAAAATGCATAAGGACATCATTTTTGCTCGGGATATATGCGCCATTACCTACCTCCTAAGGTACTCACTTGCGGATAAAGATCGAAAAGCTTGATGCCCCATCACTTCAGCCTCAATACTCATCCCATGCCAAGAGTCTGGAAGGTAGGGAAACGGGGAAGTCACCTTACTGGCTCTCCCTACATTTCAGCCTGTTGGTACAAGCCCGGACGGCCATAAACGAGACTGAATTATAAATGGTAAAATTCTGCTATTAATATAAAGAAACAATGCGTAAAACCTGGGTTGTATAAATTATTAGGTACATTCGACAACTATACTGTATACCTACCTGAAGTACTTATTTGCCAAACTAGAGAACTGCTATATGCCTCTACCAAGCCCGCGTAGCTTGAACAAGTTAGCATCTTGTAGGATTAGAAAAAAGTGAGGCTTTACCAGCGGGGATTTCGCAGACCGCCGGACTCAAGTTCGCGTCCGAACACAGGGTACCTATCTGTTTTCGAAGGATGACAACGCCTATCTCACCGCGTGTAGGGCCGTGTATTCGGAGCTACCTAATATAATCACCCAGTTTTTTTTTTTTCTCTTTTCCACCGGACCAATTACCTGGAATTCGTTCTCCGACCCTCCAGCTCCCTTGCCCCGACCTGCTTGTATCCTGCACGTAGTAACCGAAAGCCCCTACTAGTTATTCCAGAATTGGCTGGGCATCGACCTAGTTGGTGAGTCGCAGGTTCGGGACTCTACGAATTTAGGTCAGTCACAAGCTGCAAGCATACCTACCTTAGGTACATATCGACACCAACCTCGTCTAAAAGAATGAGGGACTAGCTGGACGCCGTCATGCAGGCGTAAATGCGGGGAAGCCATACACAAACCATACCCGCAGGGATCGACGGTCCACCCAATGGGTTTCAATTGTTCATTGACAGGTGGGAATAATAGGTATTTGTCTTAAAACAGCTATAAAAGGATGGTTTAAAGCTTCGTGATCACAATGCAGCGGAACGCTAGACAAAAAAGGGTGAGGTCGTTCTTGAAGTGGCTATATGGGTACATAACGCCAACAGGCCACATATTAAGCCATAAGCAGCTTGATCGGTTGGTTGCATATCTTTTTTTGACATAAATCGTAGTCTCGTCCATCAACAATCCAAATCAATGCTCTTTTACATATCAACCGATTTCACTGGGCGAGCAATTGCATCGTGAGTGCCGTACATTACCTACACCTTGTCCCTTAACGAGCGGATCGGACGAGCTTCATTGGACGACTCCAACAAGACAACCCTACGGCACAAGTAGAAGGGCCAAGTTACGCGGGAACGTCCATCGTCATTTCATCCTAGAGCGTTTCCAGGGAGAGCCACTGGGCACTGACGCATCTCCGACAAGAAAATGAGCAAATGATTTATGCAGCCACAACCGATAGGAGATCATTTGAGAGAGTGTTGTCCTATGACCGAGGACATACATACCATAAGAGATCATGAACTGGGCAAGCCGACCTTGATTAAATTTTCGAAGAAAAGGAAGAAAATCTATCGGGGGGAGTGGTTTAAGCCGTCCGTTGAGGTGGCCGACGGTTAGATCAAATAGGGAAACAAATTGAGCAACTCCGATAATCCGAGGTGATTCGGTGCCAAGATATCCCTTTTGGTTGTTGACACGCCATCATCCTAATCCCTTGCGAACTCACCGAGAAAGACACCGGCCCGGAAATTTGAGATTGCCAATTGGATGTAAGGTACTCAAAATCCACGGGATCGAGAAGTTGTACAACGAATATCTCCAATGTCTCGAGACTAATTGGAAGAAGTTCCCCACAAGGAATTGATTGAACTTGGGCTGCTTATTTCGTATTCCATCTTCCAGCTTATAACGGGCTTTCAGATAATTGAAGGCGGGGGAGGGGTTACCTCGTGGCAAAATTCAACGGGACAAGGGGCAACAACAACTTGAACGACCGAGGCAATAGAGGCAACTAACTGTGTTTTACGGTCTTCTGCAGCCGCGGGCCATTCCGCTGCAAAGCAAGAAAGCTGGCATATGTTTGCCAATTGTTACAACAGATTAGGCATATTTTATTGCAGATCCCGCACAGGCTGCACACCTTCGGATCGGGAAGCAACGCCGATTCATGAAACGAGGGAAGCATTCCTTCGGGTCAAGGTACCCAAACGGAGACGAGACGAAACCCATTCCACCGGAAAACCTATCGGAAGTACCTATAACTCGGACACCAATCATTGGATAATTACCGCAGTCCAAGTCCACGGCTTAGAAGAGAACAGGGGGTAAAGAACCAGCAAAAGAGAAGACCCCATTCAGACTATTCCGTATTTCGCTTTTGGATCCAATGGTGCTTGTGCCCGTGCTCGTGCTCGTCTGAGATCGAACCCATATTATTACGAACGTGGTAGAAGGCATGTTAGGAAGCATTTCTATTATGAGGATTTCTTGGATTGTTTACTGATTGGTTGTCAAGAGAGTTGAATAGACCACGCGGAAACCCGCAATCCATGGTGATCCACGGATTATTTTCGTTGGATAAACATTCCCAAGGTCTCTTTTGCGAAAGTATCCGGAAAGTATTCCGCAAAGGGGAGAGGGAAATAAGTGAGAAGAGAGAAAAGGGAAAGAAAAAAAAGGGTTGAGGAGTGTGGCGCATAAGCACATGTCACTGATTCCCTCGAGTGGAAAAGTTGAAATCATTGAAGAAATCTGATTGATCAAAAAAAAACATAACCCAAGTACCCAAAATTGGATCTAAGTGGAGATCCGATTGGAAGGTCGGCGCCGGGGAGTAACTTCCTGCTTTTGCTTTCCCACTTAACAATTATCCAAAGCTGCAGGACCAGTTGCAGGGCCAGTTGCAGGACACGCTAAAGCGGGACAGGTCAGTTTTTACGTGGGCCGCTAGCACGATTAGCACAACCCTTTTCCCCCTAAAAGCGGATTGCAAAAATGGAATTCGCTTACAGCTTGTCCATGTACTCGGCTCCTGTCAGGGTTAGGCCGGCAAACGGAAGAAGGCCGTCTGGTACTTCTTCCTCCACCAACACCAATACTAACACTAACGCTTACACTTTTGTGCATGGGGCAGATAAACATAATAATACTACCACTAATAACACTAATAATCACGATCACAACCACGAGCACAATTCCGATCAGAGCCATAAGGAATTTAAAGTCGGTACTGGTACTGGTACTGGAGATCAAACTAACAATAGTGCTAGCGGAGAAGCAGATCAGCATCAGCAAGACCAGAAAAAGACAAAGAAGCGGAAGAGCAGCTTGGTTAGGTCAAGGATCCCTGGTAGGCGTAGGCCACCACCACCTACTGCACTCACTGCACCTACTGCACCTACTGCACCTACCGGGCCTGCTGGACCTGCTGGAACTCACCCGCAAGCTCTAGCACACAGGCCGGCGTCGCATTATTCTCATTCTAGGACTTCTTCCTCATTTAGTGCCAGCAGCTCCCGAGCGTCGCACGAAACACAAACACATTCACACTCACATACACCACCATCACCACCTCCACCGTTACCACAACCATTACCATCATCATTACCATTATCACTGGCGCAGCAGTATATTTACATACAGTCGCAAGCACAGACACAGGTACAGACACAGGTACAGGCGCAGGCACAGACGCAAACAAGCTGCTTAGCCCTTACTCATGCCACATCCGGCGGCAACAAGACTAATGACACCATCTCCTCGTCACCGCCTGCTACTTCAAGTTTAGATGAACCTACAGGGGCAAATACTGGCATACGAATAGGCTCAAAGCCGAATGATGGAAAAGGGGCGAGTGCCGTAATAGCCAATACCAATACCCCCACCATTACTGCTACCTCCTCTACTGCAGCCACACACCATATTTCCTCTTCCCTTTCTTTTTCTTCGTCGCCTATTCTACCTATAGTCAACAACAATATTAGTAGTAACACCAAGAATTTGACGGTTGCATCCGCACCCGCGCCGCCGTTAACCGCCGCTTCAGCCTCAAACTCAACTTCGATCGCATCCGTCATTCCTCCGTCTGCTTCTACAGCTTTACCCGCTTTCGAATCTGAGCGGCCGCTTACTTCGCCAAAGTCGTCGTCGGCGGCCTCGAGATTTATCAGGTCCGTGCACATACCAATTTTCAGCTCCGACAGCGGGTACCAATTGTCTCATTCCTCCAGCATCCCTTCCACGACGAACAGATTACATAAACGCGATTCTTCTCTTTATTATACAACGTCGACGCCGACGCCGACGCCGAGTTCGCCTAACCAAACTACCGCGGGCCACACGCCCGCTTGCCGGAAATCGTTCAAGTGTAAAAAACATCATGACATGGAGCCTGGATACGTTTCTGGTTCCAAGTATGGCTCGGCCTCGTCGCGTACCGGCGGCGTCTACGCTGCTTCCGGCTCGTCGTATCTCGATCAGCCATCCATTATGACTTCAAATGAAAACTTGACTTCCTCAAATGAGGGTAGCATAGCTCCGTCTACCGCCTCAACTTCTACAAAGTATTCGCTCTCCGCGGCAAAAGCGTTCATTATGCGCAATAACCGGCTTTACATCAACCAGCCCTCGTTATTGTACCCTTTGCCCGTCGACCTAACAGAACTTCACCGTCAATCTTTGCGCACACTGATGCTATTACAGCTTTTCGGCGGTCCGACTACAGCTCCCGAATTCTCTAATAAACCGCCACAGCGCGTTCTCGAAGTAGGGTGCGGTTCTGCGTTTTGGAGTATGATGTGTCATCGGTACTTTGCGCAGCACGGCCACTCATCCATATCCTTTACCGGCCTGGATATTGCGCCTTTAGTAGGAATGGGACTCAATGGGAGTTGGAGACCCGACAAGGACATGCGCTGGCGGTTCGTGCAACACGACGTGCGACGACGACCGTGGCCATTTATGGACGGCGAATTTGATTTAGTTATGGTCAAGGACATGTCGCTCTCTCTTTCGACTTCTATGCGCGACTCGCAGGCACTTTTCGAAGAATACTTACGCATATTGAAGCCAGGTGGCGTGATTGAATTTTGGGAGAGTGACCATGCTGTACGTATGCTAAGACCGCATGTTCTTAGGGCTCCGGCGTCAAAGGCCTACGACTCCGATTCGGATTCGGACGATAGTAGCGGGGAAGAAGACAATGTTGAGAAATTAGGAGCCTATGCCATGACGAATAACACGCCGCTTAGCGCGCCGCTTAACCCTTTCCTTGTCGAGTACAATGGCTGGGTAATCAAAGGATTAGATGCGCTCGGATTATCAGCGGTTCCTTGCGCGCTGATCGGAGCGTATCTCTTACAAGAAGTGGACACCCTTATGGAATTGCGATCCAAGAGGATAGCGGTACCACTGAGCGAGATCAGGTGGGAGCGCGAGGGCGTCGGCGGTGTAGTGACAAAGGACGGCAAGAGCTATATCGACTCGATGAAAAAAAAGGGCAGGTCACCAGACTCTAGAGTTGATAAACGAAAGGGGCTGACAACTAGCCAAGCTGCCCTCAGACGAACTGCGCTCGAGACGATGGTAGGGCTGATTCTTTGCCTCGAGCCCATCATTCGAGAAGTTAGCGGGAAGAGCCAAGACGAATGGGACGGATGGTGCGGAAAGATGATGAACGATCTATTACGCGAAGGAGGCACGAGCTGGGGAGAATGTCTAGAAGTCGGAGCGTGGTGTGCCAGAAAGAAACTAAACCCAACGCTGTAACTTGAATGCTCAGTCTACCTAGTTGGCCGTTTGCCTAGCTAACACTATGTTTGGCCGACATCCCTCGCGTTGATTCGCCTTATTTCGCCGGTCTCAATCCACACGATGTCGACGTTCTGAGAGCGATTGGCCAATATATCCATCCACTTTAACCCAGAAATACAACTTTAATCATCTTTTTTTTCCAGCGGATCACAGTCCGTCGTACCTCTTTCTGAGCGTACGATACCGTTTCAAGAAATACCTGTAACGCCACATGTCAATACCACGGCCAGCGCTTTAACAGCCATATTACGTTAAATTAGACGATAAATCCACGGCATTAACTTTTGAGGGAAACCGGAAGCGAACAGGGGACGGGTTTTTTTTTGGTGATGCATATCGGGACCGATATCCTGCCTATATTCTTCCTGTATTATCTCTCATTTCTTCTTGTATATATGGTGCATAAGACGGCAAAACGGCAAGACATGATTGGAAAGATATAACAAGTATATATGTGTATGTGTTGGGGCTTAAGTAGGCGCAAAGCAGTGTCCGTCCTAGGAAGTTAGGTATATAAAGGAGATGGCCAATGAGCCCGAGAGAGCTTCATGTTCACAGACGATACGAATGGAATAACTTTGGGTGAAGTTATCGAGAAATTGTAGGATATGTTGCTTAAGGTGCTTTCGATAGGGAACGGACAGATTCAAGAAATAAAATAGACTTACAGCGCCTCGAGCTCTTACCGATGAGAATACTACGTTAGCTTTTAGATCTTCCAGAATTGGCATTGGTGGTGATACTCTCTTGTGATGGTAGATTTCATAAGGCCAGAACAGGTAGATAGGTAGCTACCTAGTATATGTCCAAACGCACCTTTCTTGACGTACTCCGCATGCTTGATCGCTTTACGGATCTCCTCGTCGTCGCGCAGGTCCGCTTTCGCCTTGAAGGCCCTGCGCAGCTGCTCGCGGAAGTACTCGTAGCCCTTGGGGTAGTCGCGGCCGCGGTTCAGCAGCTCCTTGTAGATGGATATGACCTGGTGTCGCAGCTGGAGGTTGGGAGGGGGGGGCATCGTGGAGGGGCGCTTAAGGCATCGTCGGCGCGAACGGGTATCTTTTTTCTTTTCTTTTTCTTTTTCTGGGGGGGTGGAAGATATCGGAGAATATTTGAAAGGAGTCAGGGTCGGATTGAATTGGATTGGATTAGATTAGCTCGGAGATGGTGAACGGAGCATGTAAGAGGTAGGTAATAGGTAATAGATTGGAGGAATCGGAAGCTTTTGGTTTGAGAATGGTTGGTTGTACATGACGCAACATTATAGCCGACGCTGGCTCTAATTCGCACCTAATCTTATCATATCAGCGTGCCCCTCCCGAACTACGACTTAAGCTTAAATTTCAGGTACGAAGCCTTGCTATATTGTACTGTATGTACCTAGGTACCTACCTAAAGTCAGGTACCGAACCTTAAACTTTTCCTTCTTTCTGGCTTGCGACTGGCTTGCGACAGCTACCTACCTCTTAATATTATACTATACCCAATCTTTTTTTTTCTCTTAGGTCACACATACATGCATGCGCGTGCATGTATGTGTATATCTACGATACCTTGACTCTAGATATCTCGGTAAATAAGCCAATTGGCCCCTTGTTCATTCACAATGCCTCCCAGACCGCGAGCGAAGCCAACTTATACTCTCCGCCTCCTATCGTCAGGGATCTGCCGACAACCAGCGCCTCGAATAAAAGAGCCCCCCTTCAGCAGCAAGTTCTCCAGTCTCACTTATAATCAGGACACTGCGAAGTCGGATCTAACGTCGTACCCGTCCAAGAGATGGCTGTCGGAGCTCAAAGCGCGGATCGGAAAGTGCATCACGTTCGGCTGCAACCGCGAGCAGGCCCAGTTCGCCGCCGTCCTTCTGCGCGCTCTTACCACGGAATGGCGCGAGTTAGTGGCTGGTGCCCAGGGGTACCTGACGGGCGGGGGCAGGGGCCTCGAGAACCAGCAGGTCGTATGGGGGGAGATAGATAGCTTCGTAGGTGGTCCGCTCTACTACTTATAGGAGTATTGCGAGAGCTAATGAACAAGTAACGGCACGTAGGGCCACGTGAATAACGCCAATTATATCCAGTACGCCCAATCCGCGCGCGTCAACTGGATTACACACTTCGCGACTGTGGACCTGGAGAACAGGGAGAGATGGAGGGAACTTATGATCCCGAAGGAGACCGGGTTGATTTTGAAGTCGATCAAGGCTCGGTATAAATTCGTACGTTTTGAGTTTCTCTTCTTCGTCTGCGCTATGTATATAGATATATACCTACCAACCTTAGGTTAGGTACCTATTGTAGATACCTGACTGCGTTGTCATCGGCAACTAACCTACCTACCTACCTACCTACAGCCCATGACCTACCCGGACTCCATCTCCGCCTACCACAAGCTGCGATTCCAGCCCTCCGAAACGGACGGGTCCCTCGTTCTTGACTGCATCATCCTGTCGCACCGACACCAGCGCGTGGCCGCGACCACGGAGGAGGACGTCGTGTTCTACGACTACGCCATCGCGAAGAGGACCAATATCCCGTCCTTTGCGCTCAACAAGCTCAGAGACGTGTGGAGGAAACAAGGGGAGGAGATGTACAGAGCTAGGGCGCGGATAGCGGAGCTCGTGAGGTCGGTCGAAGGGCTCGAGAAAGGGACTTGGGATAGGAAGGATGCGGTTGAGGATCTTGGCGGCGCGGGAACGAACGAGTTTAAGAGGGATGCCGTTACGACAGAGTACCCCCGGGCACCACTGAGAACCAAGAGAGATGAACTCCTCATACAGAGCATCAAGAGACATGAGGACTGGGCACAGAGCTGGGCACAGAGCTTCGCACAGAGAGTCGCACAGACCAAGCAAGACGACGTCAAAAAAGAGGAGGTCAAGCTAGAGGAGGTCAAGCAAGAGGAGGCCAAGACGAAGGAATTCAGGAAAGATAATTCGTTTACCAACGCGCTTGGTAGGGGAATACGCTCGTTATTTTAACTTCTCTCTGGGGAGGAAAGGTCAACGGATAAGGATATAGGACAGGCGAGTGGCAGGTAATGGCGTTGTTTGTACAACCCCGTGGAAAACTCTTCACTGGGGGTCTTGGGAAGCCACTGGGTAGCTAGCAGCATGGGCGATCTTAGAAAGTTCTGGCATCTTTCCCGCCTTCCCATACTATGATATCGGTGTAGTATATCAAGAAAAAAATATATCAGTTCCGCTAGGTATGCTTGAAGGGTATTTATCCTTGTGGTTTAAAAACGAGGCACGATAGGCTTCGGATCAGGTTGTATGGGCGCGAAATATCACAAGATAACAGAACCATACACCACGAAAACAACCTCGCTATTTCACTAGGAACTCCAACTTGAAAACCTAGGTCATAGGAGCCCGTAGCTGTACATACTGAAGTTTCATTTTCCCAGATATCTCATTGAGAATGCACATGGAACGCATAGAAACAGCCTCATACCTAGTTCAACAAGAAACTCCAAGCTGAGAATACGAGAGTGGGCAGCTACAGATAGGGGAACTCTATATGTCCCGTCTTCTGATTTTCCCTTTAGGACCCCTTGATGGCTCGTTTCAGTAAAGGGAGATAGTGACGAAATAGCGATGCAAATAACGTTTAAGGAACAAATAGTTATCGGTTAGCTTCGATAATAAATGGATTTTTACTACCAAGGTACGAATATTTTTCGAGACTCAAGACTCAAGACAAGTCGTAGCCATATCTTCTAGAGATTTACGATGGTCAAGCAATAAATCATACAAAGTATCACACCGAAACGCGTTCGCCGGATCGATATATATCAGGTGTGCATAAATACTCTTTAATAGTTGGCTTAGAAGGTCGACTTGGGATTCCCAGGATGTATTTATTCTCTGTAAGACAGGTGCTCTCACTAAAGTCACCTTGAAGTAAAGAGCGCTGGATCACTACGAAAACTATAGTTTATGCAGATCGATAACAGTGTTCTAAGAATCGTAAAGTGTCAAAAGATTCGCAGCTTGCTACAAGTCGATGGATATCATCCCAAATGTTACCTCCCAAGTACCTCCTATTTATATTATGCAATTGCTGTTTAGGACATATGAACTACAGTACCTGATTCCATCTATATATTTCAGCAATAATGAACGCCCAAACTACCCACCTACGCTTATATAAAGCCGATCTTATAAACTATGTGAAATGTAAATCGATACATTGAGCCCAATAATCCTTTTCTTGCGTTCTGCTAAGTGAGAAGCAGGTTGTTAATTAGAAGACTAGCAAGAAACCAAGTGACAGCAGTATGGATGCAATAGTTAGATATTATTTAATAAGTTACATTCAAACTCATCAAGCTGTAAGTAATGAGCTTTTGTAAACTACGTGGGTAAATTTTGAACGGACTCTACGACTGGTATTGTTAGAATATTTTCAAGGGTAAAATTGTTTGCTTGATGAGATGAGTAATAAGAAACATTATAGACTGAACTTGATACTGCTAGATTCCTAATGGTATTACTTTCATCGAACCGAAGCCGCATAAACCACCTTATGTTGCGAGGCATGATCACCGTGGGATAGGTAGTATGTATTTACGCCCTGGGCCATTTTTCTACAGGATGACAGACCCTGTCCCAACTGTTGGATCGACACAAGCTTCCGCCTAGACTACCTAGCCTATGCCAGGTAGTAACCATCAAAGACACGATTTGTGGTTATTCCCAGCCGAAGCGATCTGACGGCGGCATTGCCCCTGATCGTCTCTCAGATTTGAGCTTGATTCGACCGTTCTCAGCTTCCCCACGGGGTACTGATCCCCATGATCTGCATCCGAGCACGTAGACCTATTTAGTAGGTCCCCCGACGGCCTCACCTCGGCCAGCAACTCCGACTACCTATTGCTCAGCCGTCCTCGTCACGATCGAGGAGGGAGGCTGCGTCGGCATAGGTGAGCTGCCTCGAAAAAGGCAGTCGAGCGATGAATCTTTGGGATTAGATGAAGTTGTGATAGTCCGAGTGAAGCGTCACGACCTCGAAAGGAGTCGTAGTTGCAGTCGTGCCCCCTGACCGCATCCGAGTAAGATCTTATGCGTGGTCCGAATCAACTGCCCCATTTCCTGCCACCATCACAAAACGACTCCAAATCTTCCTAGGACCTGGATTTCTGGTGGTAGTCGTGACCCCGGTCTAACTTAGACCGGGTACAGTATGCGCAGGGCGAGCTCGAGAAGCTCGCATTCTTAGGCCTCTTGGGCCTCTCTGCATACCCCCTTTCCGGGCCGAAAGGTAAGCCCCGTAGCTTCAGCGCAGACTAAACAGGGTGGAATCACTTCCTAAATAGCACAGAGCTGTCCCGCGAGGGTTAGAAAGCCGACAAGGACAGCCAGAGCGAGCTATGGTGGTTTGCCAATCGGCCGAGGCTCCCCGAGTCTAGGGGCGCAGGAGACAGGACTTTGGTTGTTGAAGTGGTCACATGTTAGCGTGCAGCATATGTATAATAGACGTCGCTATACATGGGCCTAGGAGGTAGGTAAAAGAATGCTATAGGTAAGCCGGTATTTCAAGTTCGCGAGCTAGCTCCTCCAATCTGACTGATGTAGGTTCGATAGAAACTTCCAACATGCCAATGAAGGCATTGGTCCGATCTGGATGTGCCCATTCTGGCACAACCTGGCTCTCGAACAACCGTTACTGGGAACCCTCTCCCTAACCCAGCACATCTTGGTCCACTTGCCGGCAGTCCTTCGCGAGGCCGCATATCATGGGAAATTCCGTCGAGGATATTTGGAGAAGTCGGAGTTTACAGGGTCACGGCAGACCAGAACGCAACCTACTGCCTTTCCGCATAGACATAGACATCGATCGATGTCTTAGGTATGTTTAAGATCTACGAGCTGTTGCTCACGACAACGGTTTGGTCAGGGACCACGCAGCTAATGTCCAATCAACCATGCATTAAAATACCTACATGGTATTGTCATTTCATTAAAGGGGGGGCTGGTAGGCTTCGCGATTTTAAGATTGATGTATATTAGTTGGTTAGCGTGTTTTACGCAGGCTTTGTTTCTCTTCAATTTAGCTACTCATAACAATATAATTTTTTTTTTTGTTTTGTTTTCTTTTTTCTTGCGAGATGAAATCTACCTAATCATGCATTTACCGTACGTCATCTATTATCATAACGTGAGTGGGTGGGTTCATCTGGTGAGCTTGCTCCCTTAATGGTTCGATGTTAGACCATACCATTGAGAGAACCTGTTAGTTATTGGAATCTGATCAGGAGATTTGCGTTAGCACTTGATCGTTATGAACTAAGCGAAGAGTCGCAAACGTTCTAGTGCGGCGCGACCGGCCGTTAGTAAGGTAGAACTAGAATGGATTAGTAGCGATTTTCTCAATTGCCGCCGTAATGGAGTCGTTAGAATTAATCATGTGCAATTTCATGTATGTAGGTGTGTGTATGTGGTGTGTACTGCGTTCCTCGGTTCTCCAGATTGTTTCGATTTGGGTGTCTCTCCTATTCCAAATAAATAAATACCTACATTGCATACAATTCACACCTGGCTGCCGGTTCATGCATTCATTGGTATGATTAGACGAGAGAGAGCAGAAGCGAACCCCAGATTCCGTCATCACAAGTCCCGATATGTATGGGGAACTGGTCACGGTTTATATGATAACCTAGGTAAGATTGGTGGATAAACCCCCCTCCCTAACCGAACGAATCCCAGGATGACGGCCCCGTTTCGAGATGCGCAAACCCGGGGAAGCGATGGCCATCCCATTTCCATTCGGACCGACACACACATGAGACTCATTGTTCATGGCACAGAAGGCTAGGACTCAAGGAGATTAAATAGGGTTACTACAGGTGCCCATTGCAGTTTTGCGGGGGAGGAGGGATACCCAGCGTAAGAGGAAATTCGGGAGACGACACAAAAGCTGGGATTCACTTGAAGGCCTTTCTCCACATGGGATAGGGGTTAGAGGATGGCAGAATCGACGGGTTACTCCTATTTTACATGTTGTAGTTTGGTAGATGTAGTAGTGAGTAATAATAGTTCTGTGGTGTAGGTACGGTTTATTTTGCGACACGAGATGAGGCTTCTCGTAAGGCTTGACACGAACAAGCTGAAAATCAATGCTTAGCGCGAAACAACTTCTTGTTTGTCCACCTTTATGGGACGGTTTTGATGGAGATCTCGGACGAGTCAAGCCACTTCGGGGTTAGATGTTAGGAGAATGGAGAGAAATACGTTTACCCAAGTGCTTTATTTTATTACGGACGTCTACCGACGACTCAAAACGGGTACCTCGGCCGAGAAAAGTCCCATCTTTTCGCTTATGATTTGCGAGCTGACAACGGCAGTTGGGGGGAAACACACAGCCTGCGAGGTCCTTGCGCACTGTATCTGTTCGCACTATGAAGCATAAAGCTGCTGGCAGGATCGTCATCCATGTTTTCCATGTCACGTATCATGCATAGTACATAGCCAAAAAAAGACTCTTCATAATTCGTTCGCTCTAGTAAGCTGCCGTGCGACCTCCGTTCAGCGCAATCAAGTCACGATGACGACTCGTTGTCGAACAAGACGACCAGATGCAGTGGGATGTTGGCGCTCACGAGCTGAAGTAGATGGTATCTATCAGATGGGGTGAGTGACAATTGTCAGCCCACGGTAAAAGAGGGGGGGCGATCCCGAAGGTCTGGTATCTGGTAACGCATTTTGCGAGATATCACAACATAAAGACATATTACGACCAAACAAACCTTTTCCGGGGGTTATAGACGGGATGTTATCTTTTTTAGACGAGCTCCTTGTAGAAACAAAATCCCGCCCCCCCTTTCACTTCCGCAGATGTAGATCCATTTAACCAAGCGCGGAAGACTTGCTAGAAATGGCTGTTCTTTGTTTCGTGATAGGTGGTTTTTATTCGACCTGAGGATCAGATAGAGTAATTCTCTTTGGCGATCGTTCACCGAGGTCAAAGGCTTAAAATATCAATGCTGGGTCAGACGGGCAAACCCGAGTGTTGGAAGGTTACGAATGAATATCGCGCATTAGGCCCTCGCCTGTCATCCTTCGAGGGTTTGATCTCGTCTTTAGTTTTGCTTACCCGTTTGAACATTGAACCCTTGCTGCGGACCGCCACGACTTTCGATGGATAGGTGAACTTCGATACCTGCCAGTCCACCTACATGTAATGTAATACAGACGGGGAGATGTGGCTTATGTACCTCATTAGGATGTGGTGGGGGAGAGCATGGATGGCCGTTAAGAAGTCTATTATGTTAGCTCCAGCCCTACGTGAGATGCTACACAATAGGTAGTCGATTTGATTCATGAAGACTTAGAGACATTGTGACAATTATGATCAGTGTCAGTGTCACTATGTCATCTTTGACTAAGATGGTGGCTATCTTCCTTCTGAGAGATACCCGGAATAGACGGGAAGACCTCCAAAGAATATTCCATCTTGTTTTTCCTCCTGAAATTTTGCATAACCAGTAATGCTGGACGATCATTTGGCCACCCACCAATGACAGCGAGGCAACCAACTGCCTGCATACAACGTAGCATCTGGGCTCTTTTTTTTGCAGCAGGTGCTCAAACCCGTTCAAAGGCTATTTTTGGTACGATACCTTTTCTCTTTTGGCTCGTTAGGAAGCACGGGAGATCAACGCCTATGAAAAATGATAGCGACATCTATTCGCTACAATAACTTTCGCTTCAACCGCCTATCGGGATATCCAAAAACATCTATTAATCTAAAGTACCTGATAATGCATCTTGTTATTTTTTATTCCTTCTATTCGAAGAATGTTTAGCGATTTCTTCCATGCAGGCGGGCATTCCAACAGCTCGGCCGATGCGTTGCGTTGCGTTGATTGCGGAGTGCCACAGAAGTTCGCGATTTGCGACGCTGGCACTTGAGCAATCCTCCCGTAAATTTGTAAATTTGCGTGCATTTCTCAATTGATCTATCGATCGATGATGCCGCCCCCCCCCACTGTTCCTCAGCTAACCCATCTGCCGTTCAGGGGAGCCTTTAAACAAGTGCTTCCGTATGCGGTGAGCCTCATATCTCCGTATACCTAAAATATAGAGATACAAAATAGAGGTAGGTACTTACCTAACCTAAGGTAAGAAACAAGCCGGTTTCTTCATCCGGTTGTTAATTGACACAGCCCTGTAGACGAATATGGCAGCGGAGTAGGCGAGGTTTGTTCAACGTCAATAGGAAGAAGAACGATTACAGAATCAGAGAGAAGCATGAAATCCTCTTTACTATGTAGAAGCCCTTAATGTCAAGTAACATACCCGCTCTTATTATTACCAGGTAGGTTATTATTATTTTCTTCATGTATTTTCATCCTGGCGACCAGACAATCTCAACCCCCCTTGGCTGGTGCCAATTCAAAGCTTAAATAATATGGTAGTTAGGAGTAGTAAACTTCCATACGCATTATCATGATCGTATAAGTAACTTAGTTAGAGAGTATTACAGAATTGCGTAAAGTAGAACACGAGCTTTTATGACATGATGAAGGTTATGCTGAGGTTAACACTGGTGACCCGGTTTCGTCGTCAGCATCCTGGACATTCCCCAGGTCTCACTCCTTGTAACTTGTAAGTCAGGGTTCCTACCGTTACAGGCGTGCTTTTTGTTTTTCTCTCTCGTTTATCCGCTACGACAACATGTCAACATGCCTGCGATTGACAACTTCTGAGGCATCTGGCGATGTCAAGAAGTGTCCAATTAAATGATGCATATTGCTTTGGCCGCTGTTAAATTATGTACCTATTTTTATATTTCAATGCTTTCATGCGTACTGCTGCCTGAGGTCATCACCATCCGCATAAGTTTCCTCTCTGAGGTTAGGGGACGGTTTTACCACTGCGTTACCTACGGTACTGGTCAAACTGGGGGACGCTGGGGGATGAGAACGGATAGGAGGATGTCGGTGGCTGCGAGACAGATTTTAATAACTCGACACAAGTCATTGTCTCTCCCATAAAAGCATACTTACCTACCTTCGTACCTATGGACATACTAGTATTGTACAGCCACACAGTGCCGTACTTGATATTTGGCCAAGTCTCGCCAGGGACAGAACGGTATTAGCGTTACTCTTCGTCTGGAGATCGTGTATTGTACTTATTCTACTTTGATATTACTATTACTCATTTCTTATACCAGAGCACAACGCCATTCGACGGAGACGTTTGCCTCTTTCGGTGCTGCTAACCTGAGTCAGGATAGTCACATCGGCCTCTCACAGTGTCCCTTTTATTTTTTCTTCTCACATCCTCGCCAGGTTCGCCAGGTTCCTGTCTCGTCTCTCGCCCTCTGTGCCCTGCCAACCCTAGCCTTCTTAGCCTTCTTAGCCTTCTTAGGGCCTTTACGCCGCTCTCATTTCCCTTTCCCCCTTCCTACTAGGTACATAGTAATTCCTACTAGCCGGGAAACACCCTCCTCTGTTGTCCTCTTGTCTCCATGTGTCTTTTAGTCCTAGCTCGACCCATTCACTAAATCCAACCATCCCATCCGCCCCATCCCATTCTCCATCTTTTTTTCTCCTACCTGGCTACTTGCTCCCTCTTCTTCCCGGTTTTCTTTGTTGTTCTAGTGTCGTGACCTTGCCTTCGACGACCATCTCTCTTCTGTTTTTTTTTTTTTGTTTTTTTTTTTCCCAAAACCTCTCATTCTAAATTATCGTGATAAAAAGTCCTCCATTTCATTCATTCTTAGTACGTCCGTTGTTAGTGACCAACAGGTTGCCCTACCCACTTCGACGACCCCCCCCGGACCTTCGAATCCCCCGCGTTTTCCAATGAAAGTGATCCCTCCGCCTTTTTGAGCGACGGGCCGATTAAGCACGCTTGCGCAGTTGCTTCACTCCAGATTCTCTCCGCAAATACTGCCGTGTTCAGCATACGCTCTCCACACACGCCTGGGTAAATATTGGTCAGGCTGGATTTGGAAGTAATTAAGAAGACGGCGTGTGACATATCAGAGTGGCGCATTCGACTGCGTCCAGTTTATCGGAATTCGAATTTACCAGTCTCGGCAAGCTTAGAGATACGAAAGACAAGATGTCGCAGGCTGTAAAACGGGCTTGCGATGCTTGCCATCGACGAAAAGTAAAGTGCGACGGCATCAACCCATGCCGCAACTGTGCTTCGGCGCAGTTGACCTGCACATACAATGCGATCCCCCAGAAGAAAGGTCCCAAGGGTTCGAGGGCGAAGGTTATTAGCGAACTCCGCGAGACGCAGCGACAGACTAGTCTCTCTGCAAAAGTCCAGAGCCGACTGAATGGAATCAACAATCCGCCATGTAGTCCTACGTTATCTCCAACCCCTGGCCTCCTGGTTAGCGAAATGGCGAAAGAATGCATCGAGTTTTTCTTCGCCAACATGTACCCAATTATGCCAATTTTGCACCGGCAGCGACTCGAGCAGCAGACGATGTATTTGGACCAACAAACTCATGACGCTTATTGCCTGGTTACCGCTTTGTGTGCTTGGATGATGTTTCAACCTGGAATGAACGTGCCCGGCGCCGATCCCTTATTGGAGCATTTACCTGGAGCCAACATCGCATCTGGAATGGTTTTAATCGAAGAAACGATTCGGGTTCGAAAAGGCTACGAATATCAAGAATCACCGAGTTTATACAGTCTTTGCACCAGCTATTTCCTTTTCTGCTCCCATTACGCTCTCGACATGCACGACAAGGCCTGGTACTATCTCCGAGAAGCTACGACTTTGGCTCATATTGTTGGAATGAACAAGGAGGAGACTTATTTGCAGTATGACAATATCGAGGCCTCGCGACGACGACGTCTCTATTGGCTTCTGTTTGTGACAGAAAGGTAATTGGGGGGGGGGGGGGGGGGGGGGGGGGGGGGGGGGGGGGGGGCGCGGGGGGGGGGGCGGGGGGGGGGCGGGGGGGGGCGGGCGG